CAGCCTCGACTCCTCCGGCACCCGACCGCGTGAACAGTGAAGAGCGCAACGCCGCGCCCGCCACGGCCGACATTTGGGCTCAGCTTCCGCAGTGCCTCGCCATCAACTCGCTCACCAGACAACGCTCAACCCTGCCCCGCCGCCAACTTTCTTGCCTCATATGCGCGCACCACCGAGACACCGCGACCGACGACACACGCACACGCGCTGCGCCTTCCCTCCCAGTCGCTGCCACTACCCGCGATCACGAGACTCCTTCACTTGCACATGCGAGTCAATGTGTCTGCCGTGACACCTCCTCGACAACCGCACCAACGCCTCTTGCGCGCGGCCTGATGCACCCATCCCCACTCGGCCACATCTAAATGTCTTAACGACCCGCTGCATACTCGACAATCATGGTTAAGCCCGACCTGAAGCACAACTGTACGTCCGGCTTGCACCTGGTAGCCAGGTACATGCACTAATCATATCTCACTCGCAGACTACCAGGACCTCGACCTACCCACGACCGCCTCCGTTGATGATGTGCGCAAAGCCTACCGAAAGCTCGCACTGCAATTCCACCCCGATCGCAATGCGGGCAGAGAGGAGGAATGTGTGCCGCGATTTCAGGCCATACAGGCCGCGAACGAGATTCTGAGTGACCCGACTACGAAGGCAAAGTACGATGCAGACCGACGGAAAGTGGGACTATACCCGACGTCCTTCAGCAAACCCAGTGCGCCGACGACTGGCAACCCTTATGCGGCACGATCGGATTTTCCCCCTCCACCAAGACGAACTCAGCCTGGGACATACCAGAGACCAGGAGCGTCCGCGGCAGGCCCTCAGCCCACCGGTGCTGACAGGTTTACCAATTTCCCGCGTGCAAATATGCCTCCTAGGAAGGACCCAGCTGCAGAACGAACTCAGCAGTTTCGTGCATGGCAGAACATGCAGCAGCCAAATACAACGCCACGTCCTCCTCCTCCAGACGTGCCGCCGAGGCAAGCACCTCCACGATCACCTCAGCCGCCCACGCCAGGCGCTGCTCCGACGTCAGCTCGGCCACGTGCTGCTCGACAAGACACAAAGATGCCAACGGAAGAGCAGATACGAGCTGGCATGCGGTACGGCAAGAGCGGAGGTCCGAACCCAGAAGAGGCCGCGAACCATCAATCAGCATGGCAAGCTTTTCAACAGAATAATGCTGGTCAGCCCGGAGTCAGGAAACAGGCTCAGCGGAAACAGCCCCCTGCGACGCCAAAGAGACCTGGCGGGTTCGATCCTAATGCACCAGGCTCAGACGAGCGAGCGGCACCGCAGTCAAGTCATTATGTGAATCGCCACAAGTCAGACGACTATGGGCGCAACGGTTATCCTCCGCCACCCCCGGGACCTCCGCCAGCCTCGGCAACACAGTCGCCAACGTCGCCGACGACCGCACAACGACCACTTGCGGACCCTCTGCGACCCTTTAAGAGTAGGAGCTCGAATGAGGACGCGCCGTATGCCGAAGGAAACCGAACGAGTACGCCTTATTCGTCGTACATTGGCGAGAAGACCGCTTTCAATGCCGAAAACCTACGACGTTCGGCCAGCGTAAAGGACACGACAAAACTATCGCCAGAGAGCGCCAAGAGTTCCTCTACACGAGCTCGAAGTGTCGATCCAGCGACGAGAAAGAAGCAGGCCGATGCCAACGGCTCTACAAATGACAGGAAAGGCAATGGCTTTTCCGCCGGAATGTTCAGCGACTCAAGCTCAGACTCACAACAGTCTTCTGAAGACGAGGATCTCACGGAAACACCCGAAGAAATGCCACCGCCAGTGCAGCCTAGTACAACATCGAACACCGCTCAACATGGTGGTCCTGCGGCTAGGAACATCAAGACCCCGAAACCGCCCAGTCGATTGTTCACCAAGAATGGACGTGTTCCAGCGCCTGGGAGTGATGCAGCAGCCCATACTGACAGTGAGCAACCGAGCATGCAGGAGCGCAAGAAAAGCGCAAACATGTATGAAACCCCTTCCCTTCATTCTTCTTCAACCCCGTCGTCATTCCATCGCGAGACTTGGATCGCGTGCCAATTTGGCGCTGGTTTTGCGAAGGGTGGTAGGCCCAGCAAAACCAGCGTTCCATCATGGGCAATGCCGAGTTCAGTTTCGCCCGCGACTGGGCGGAGCGTATTTATACCCCCTGATACCAACAGTTCCAACCCTACGGCGACCACCGAAGCTCGCAGAAATGCTGCTGCCACAGCTTTGCTGGTGATGCAACCATCTGTCGAAGAACTGGCTCTCGCAGCTCTCCGGACAGAGCTCACGAAGAGGCAACTTGCCGATGTCGAGCAGCTCAACCAGCTCGATATCACCTTGTTCAAGGCTGTAGTTGCAAAGCTACGCAATGAAGGCACGACCGGCAATGCGAGCTTCGATGCATGTCTTTCTGATATTTTGGCTCGATTTTCTGTTCATGGTGCAGCCTCTCCTAAGAAGCTTGCTGACGACAAACTTTCACACAACAGTTTCTCTTTCCCCATCGACAGCGACACATTCAAACAGACACCTGGCAAGAGCCGTAGCGTCGAAGAAATTAACACGAATTTCTCACCAAATGGCTTCCATGGCAAATTCGAGGGATCTGGCGACTACTTTACGAATCCGAACACCCGACGTCCGTCTCCAACTCATCGGACATCATCCAGGCGTGGTCAGCGCGCGGCAACGACGGACTCAACGCCCGCCAGTGCCCGCGCGTCGCCTATGCCATCAATGCCCCGACCAAATGGAAGTGATACGTCGTTGCCCGGCCCAAGTACGCCTTTCAGCCCTGAAGCATGGCAGAAGACTTTCAGCGACGGTGGTGCATTTGCTTGGCCTCCGCCACCACCGAATCCTCCTGCTTCGACAGCAGCGAGCAGGAGGGGCAGCCGTGCCACCAAGACTAATGGCACAGCCAAACATCCCCATGTGGTACAAGACGATGAGGACGTTGTGTTTGAGGTGGACAAAACTGGTCGCCCTGTACAAAGCACTGTACCGGTCGAAGAGGGCGATGCCATGGACATTGACACCCCTCCACCAGCAGATAAGACAGCTCCCGCACCGCAGGGCACCCCATCACAACCAGCGACTGCGAAAGAACCCCGCCTGTACTCTGTGGAACCGTCGGAGTGGCGGCAGCAACAATCGCAACAGCAGCCGAAGCACCATCGACCGACCTCAAGCTCAACACGCCGGGCTGAGCGCAAGTCTGCTGGAGAAACGAGCTTCAATGTGAATCTGGACGACCTACGCCACACGGAGCCATTTGCTAGGAGCAACGACGGACTGAAGGATATGAACGACCTGGGCTCTAGTCTGCCTTTCGCTTCGAAAGCATCGGCAGCGATTCCCACAGAAAACACACGCCTACCGAGACTGCTTGCGAAGCCGGCCCCAGCCGTGCCGGAAGGACCAACGAGACTCACCAAGGCAAGCTGGATTGCGTACACCAATTCTTTTGCGAGTTACCTTGTTGATTTCCACACTTGGAACAAGACGTATCTCGAGCACTTTGCATCTTTTGAGAAGGAGGCAGAAGACCGCATTAGGAATGATGGATTCACGTGGCTCCAGCAGAGTGGCGACACTGTCAGCGGCATTGGAGGGTTCGGCAGCTACGCACGTTCGGTCGAGGAAGAGAAAATTTCTCGCGAAGCCTGGATCATGGGACGGGACAAACACGCTGAAGCGATCAAAAAGTTTGAGACAATGCGCGAAAGGGTCAGGATGTTGGCTGAATCCGGTACTTTGACGGAGGTTTAGGAGCGCAGGTCTGCCAGGCGTTTGAGGCGTATTTGGAGAGTGAGAGGATCTCTACGGAAGTGGGTCAAGGAAGTGTAGGATCACAGGAAGCATGAGGTTTGTTACAACATTAGCATGGCGATATGGCGTTTGCCGCACCATCAGGGACGGCTTTGCAGGATCATTGACAGGTTGAGCTGACGGGTGCAGTTGCACTGGATATCGGCGGTTGCCTCACGATTATAGAGCTAGTGTCTTGTCCATACTCATACGCCATGCACTTGGCTGAAGAAGAAATAATCCCTACTACGAGAATCTCCTCCCTTCACTTTTCACTTTGCTTCAGCTCTCACATACTCTCGGCAACGGTCAGCATGCAGCAAACATACGGTATCGTCATCGCTGCCTTTCTGGAACATTACAGAAATAGCTCTTCGCACACACCCACATGGCTTGCTACAACTGATGACTCTTGGTCACATCGCTCTTCTCTTGGTGATCGGCACTCTGCGCTCGTTACCTTTCCACGTCGTTTCTCTTACGCGTTGACACATTCGAGCGCATCCACTCGAGTACTCCTCTCCACGAGTCATAACATCTTCTTGAGTTGCACGCCATCGACTCGACCTCGGATCAACACCATGGCGCCCGCCCAAATCCGCGAGCAAAAGGCCAACAAGAAACAGAAGAACAAAGCAAAGAGCAGAATCGTGGTACTTCACTTCCGCCACCCAGAACGACTTGCAGAACTCACTCAACGCCTTTTGGAGACGTCAGAAACAGACACCGAAAACGAGGAAAAGACACAACGCTTCCCGCCTCCTTTCCCCTATATCGACAACGTCGCACTCGCCATCCACACCCAAGATCTCAGCCACTTGGACACCATCCCAGCAGACAAACAAACCGATCTGGTAAGTTTCCTCGAGCAAATTAGTCGAGAATTACAATTTCGATTGCGGAGGAATATCAAATTCTTGCATGAGCATGCTATGCAATTTGATGAGGAGACAACCAAAGCTGTGGTGGAGAAATGGGGTGAGTTGGAGGAATATGATGATTTGGGGTCGGATTTGATGGCGTTGGAGTATTGTAGAGAGGAGACGAGGAGGGAGTATGTGGAGGTTTTGTTTAGGCAGTGTGGGGAGCAGAGGGGGTGGGTGAGGGAGGTTGAGAGGTGTATTTGGGAGCATTCTTGGGGGGTTTGGGGGGTTAGTGAGGAGGAGGTGTGGAGTGAAGAGAAGGGACGAATTGTTGAGAGGTTGGTTAGAAGTGAGGAGGAGGGTGGTGAGGAGGACGAGGGGATAAGAGAGGTGGTGGAGGAGTTGGTGAGGGGGTGGGAGGTTGATGAGGATGGGGTGTGAGAATGAGACGTGCACAAGATGATCAAGTGATGAGCAAGATCAATTGAGCGTCGTACCATATTGAATTGCTTGTATCGCCAGAAATTATCCCTCACTCTGCAACAAGTGACACTTCGCAGCTCCTACGGTTAGCTAATGGAAGAGTCGTGCCACAAAGCCATGTCTGAAACAGGATATTTAAGGGTTACACGATCCCGAAAAGTCCTGCTTGCTCCATGGAAGCAATGGACGCTCTGCTCCCCAACGTAGCGAAGAGTCATGGAAGCGACCCAAAAATCTGTCTGAGCCATCGTTGCATGTTGTATGTATCTTGTACTTCAAATAGGTATCTCCTTCTCAGACAGAAGGTGGACGGTCCTGCCGACGAATTGAACACATGACAAAATTATCCTTAGGAGACATCTCCAAAGAACAGGAGTGTCGGCATATCTTTCTCCGAAATTCTAATGAAGACTCTGCCGTCCAGCTTGAACCAGGATGGAATCGTACTGTGGAAGTCTTTCGGACTCGACTGTCACCCGTACAAGCGACCACAGATGATTTAGTTCTCTCCGGAAAGATTGCCAGTGCTCTGCTGCTCGGCTGGGGAAAGGAGCACAGCCTCGGTGCAAAGATCTGTCAGAGACATGCACGTACTTTGCTCCTTTTTGCTCGCGGATGGTTTGCTGTTCGTCGATTCTGACCATTCGCTCAAGCCAAGTGCTGCGTGCAGTGGCCACACGTGAGGCGGAGGAGCCCTGGACCCCACTAAAATGTGGTCGGAGAATCGAATGAAGATTCAGTACTGCAAGTGGAGGTCCTGGTCAGTCTCCTGCAGAATATGAATTCACAGGCAACGAGTGGAGATCACCACAGAGCCCGCTGCGCTTCACCGTCCAGAGTTGGGCGCAAAATTCCTCTTCTGTCTTCCTTCTTGCTCCTTCCTCACTCAAACCTTCCCTAACCCAACCACATTCCTCAGCGTTCCAAAAGCCAACACGTCACCCATCCTCTCCCTCCCACTAAATAGCATAACCAAGCGATCAACGCCACAACCCCAGCCGCCCGTAGGAGGCAAGCCCCATTCCAAGGTCCTCAGATACTGTTCATCCAACTTCATCGCCTCCTGATCTTTCCCATCATTTCTCAATTGCACCTGTTCTTCGAATTTGCGCCTTTGTTCGAACGGGCTGTTTTCTTCCTCGTACATGTTTGCGTACTCGCGACCTTGGTAGAAGAGTTCTGCTCGAGCAGCGACAATCTGAGAGGTTTTTGGACAGACAAAGTGTTTGGATAGAGGAGACATGCAAGCTGGGTGATGAGTGATGAACAGTGGTTTGGTGGATGATAAAGGTTCGAGGTATTCCGCTGCAAGAGCGTCGAGGAGCCGAGGGAGAGTTGGGTTCGAAGGGATGGAGAGGTCGTTTTGAGTAAAGATTTCGAGGATTTGTGAATGTGCGTTGGAACTCTGAAGGTCCGGGAAGGAGATGTTGAGCTTTTCTTCGAGTGCAGGTATGAATTCGATCGTAGGGAATATGGTTGGCCAGTTGAGTTTGCGTTCACCAGAGGGTGTAGTTGGATTGAGGTCAACGTGCTTCAAGTTTTGAAGCTTTTTCTGCTCTCTGAGCTCATAGATATGTTCATTCAGGGCGTAAAGCAGCTGCGTCGTGGTTTGCATGAGATCCTCGAGGGTAGCATACGCTTGGTAGAATTCGCAGATGTTGAATTCCGGATTGTGAGTGGCATCCACGCCTTCGTTGCGGAAAGCAGGTCCAATTTCGTACACTTTGTCCATTCCACCGACAATCAAGCGTTTCAGCCACAGCTCGGGCGCAATGCGAAGATTCAGCGTTTCATCAGAAAACTCGGTGGCCACAGTCTCGAAGGGCCGTGCTGCTGCTCCGCCAGCCATGGAACTCAATAGCGGCGTTGTGACCTTGGTGAAGCCCAGTCTGTTGAAGAAGTCTTGCATCTTGGCCTCAACCTGATGCCGCACTTTGATGGTCTCGATGGCTTCCGGGTTGACGAGCATGTCGACGTGGCGATTTCTTGCTCGTGCTTCTGGGTCTTCGAGGGACTCCGGGATCTGATGCAGCGAAGGCGCCAGCAAAGTAGGAACTTGTGTCGCCAGAATGGACAGCTCACCACGCTCGGTGCGATGAATGTGGCCTTTGACTAACCATGAGTCGCCTTTCCTGGCAGTCTTGCTGAAGGCCTTGAAGGAGTCAATCGTAACGTGCGGGTCATACGCTTGCAGAGTGCTCAGCTGGACAACGCCTTGGATTGTGCCATCACCAACCACAATGTCAACGAATACGAGCTTGGAACCAGCTGTGCGAATTGTGTTGATGCGTCCTGCGATTGATTAGATGGGTTTGTCTTTGCCTCTCAATCAACCACCCTACCAGCTAAGGTGAAGCCCTCTGAGGACGCTTCTTTGTATGTCTCGCCAGGCTGCAGCTGACTCCCATGCTGTTCTATGGTGCTCCTCGAGATCCTTCGCTCATCAAGACCTCGCACTGGCGCGATATCGCCTATCCTGGGGTACCATTCTGCTCTGGGTCTGCGAGCTTCCAGCTGGGCTACTCTTTTTTGGTAGTCATGTGTCACGTCAGGCTGCGACTGCTTAGCAAGATTGTGGGCGGAAGACGAGATGGCACGCGTTGCAGAAACGGAGTGTAGACGCTGGAAGCCGTGGAACAGATGGGGTCTGAGACGACGAGTGAGAATTTCTTTAGACATTATCTACTGTTACTCTGTCAGTATGTGTTGTAGTCCAGAGTTGCGGTACAGTATCAAGGCTGATGGTGGAGGGTAGTCAGAAATGGAGTGTCTACGATCAGTCTCCGAAGAGTCATTCGCAACGGTTCTAAGGTTATTACATGATCATCATGATGGCGAGGTGGAGGAGAGGAGGGAGAGGAGGAGTAGACTGACCGTAAGCTGCACTGCTGTACACGCGATGTTGTGGTGTCGCGTCGTTGGGTGGTGCATGTGCATCGGCAGGGCATTATTTTCAGCGGGCGGCCTCGCGCTTCTCCGTCTGCGCCACAAGCATTGGCGGGCTTAGCGCTGCCTTTTTGGAACAGGGGACCAGGCGCGACCGCGAGCATGGCCACGACGCTGGCACGACGGCCGAGTGCTGCTGACCCACTGCGTCTTCTGTCTCTACTTGTCTCCCATAATCACCACGCAGACGCCCACTGCAACTCCGCCCTCCTCCTCCAGCGCCGCCGACTGCATATTGCTCCTCTCGCATCCGCACCGCCACCACGCCATCCCGTGCCCGCTAGCAAAAGTGTCAGCTGAAGCTTATTCCACCCCAATCCGAGGCCCAACGCTCGACAGCCAGCCCTACCAGCGTACGACGTGGTGAAACGAGCAGTGCAGTCTGAGGCAACATTCCACCCAGCGCCTACCCGCGACAGACGACATCACCAGCGGGGCCGCGCGAATCGGTGGCCGTCTCGAGTCTCCGTCGCAGTTGCACACCCAACTCGCGCGCTGCACTCTCGTCCTGCCGCTACTGCGCCTGCGCCCTGAGCTGGTCGCAAACTATCCTTCGGCGTGTGACGCTGCGCCTATTCTGCTGGCGGGCCAAGGCCGCGCTCTTCGTAATCGGGCGAGCCACCTCGACCCAAGCAGCCAGACCGAGTCCACAGCCTCACCAGCGTTAGGGGACTTCTCCTGCCGCAGACATTCGCTCAAACACAATCATCACCCGATCACTCGCTAAACCGAGATCGGGCGCACACGGCGCCCTCTCCTTCGCCCACCACGTCTTCCAAACACAAACATCGCACCAGCCTGCTGGGAGGTCAAGACTCGTCATATCAACCGCTCCACGGCCACTCCTTCTCGTCGCAGCGCCCACCCATCTACAACCCCGACCCCAGCGCCGCCTACGAGCCTGGCGGATACCATGATCGTCAGGGCCTGGCCACTCGCAACGTGATCAACTCCACCCCCGGCAGAAGCAGAAAGTGCGGCAGAATGTATATACCCAATACACGATGGACATGGGCCTTCATGCTCATTGTCCTGGTCCAGGCCATCGCCAGTCTGGCCCTAGAAGTCTACGTCTTTGGCGAATTCCAGGCGAGCCTGGAAATAAGCGACGAGCCCGGCGCATCGCGTCCTTCAGCGACCTACACCATCCCGACCTACCTTGCGCTGTTCATCTTCGGTTTCATATACGAACTCGTCCTGGCATGGGACGCGCTCAGATTGAAAAACACGATTCAGGTCATCGGGATATGCATATACAATGTCGGAATGTTGATCTACTCGTCCGTGCAAATGGATCAGGTCGACGAGGCCGTGCAAGAATTGCTCGGGAGGGGCCAAATCGAGGATGATACCTGGAGGCAGCTCAGACCATTTCTGGTCGCCGCACCGTGTGTGATAGCATTGGGCACCGTGCTGCTGTCATTTGTGGCCTGGAAGCTGTACAACGAATTTGCCTGGACCATCTACAAGCACATCTCCGCTGATTTGCGATTGAAGAGGCGATATCTGACCTATCAGGTGTGTCATTTGGCCTGCGCGCACAACACTCTTTCACTAACCTGATCATCAGATTTACATCGCATTGCTGAAGTTTGATTTCTTCTTCTTCCTCGGCTTCACAGTACAATTCGTCGTCGTGGTGACGGGAACCTCAGATTCCGAATTCTACCTCACCATCGCGGCCATTCCCATCACCATCATCATTCTGCTCCTTGCAGCATACTTCAATCGGAAAGAGAGCTACGTCGGCCAATTCTGCATCATCGTCATCTACTTTGCTGCAATGGCCTACTTCATCTTCAAGCTGGTCAGGATGTACACTCCCGCGCGAGAAAAGGACTACCAAGCAGCGCGATCGTCACTCACCACGTTCGCCGTGTTGACACTCCTACTCCTCGTTGTCACCATCGGCACCGCAATTGTGTGCATGATGAACTTCAACAAAGGGTTGAAGCCACACATCCAGCGAAGGAAGGTGCCCAATTCAGGAGAATTGGCAGACGGCAAATGGGCCGGCGACGATATCAATGGCCCCCCACATCCACTCGGAGTTGTTCCGCAAAGGATGACGATAGATTGATTGAATATGGCATTCTTTTTTATTCTGGAGAAAGGAAGGGAATGGATCATCTGCATGTCGACAGACAGCACGGACACGGAAATGGCGTTTTCACTGCACTGCAGCGGGCAGAACGAGCAGGAACAGGAAGGACATATTGTGTTGCATCTCACTTTGATTGCCTCTTCTCACTACCCAGCATCAACAATCACGGCCGCGCGAAAGCGACATCAACATCACGAATTGAGTCTTATTGTAGCATTGCTTTTTTCATCGTTGATAGATACCTCCATGAAATGCTCTGTCAGCAGAGCGAATGACCCAGAAAAGCGCAAGCTCTCTCTTGTTGCTCTTTTTCCTTCTAGCATCTGACTGCACTCGCTCTTTCCTGCCATGCTCGCCCCTTTACAAGAAATTCTCAATTCTCCTCCACTTCTTGCACTCGTTCAGAGTACTCGGCAACCAAACGAGCCCGAGCGAATACGCAGGACGCGAATCTCCAAGAAACTCGGCAAACGGCACGAGACCCTCCGAACGAGGAAAAGCTGCAACAAAAGGGCTGACGTCTGCTGTTGCCCACATTTCTTGCCCCAGCCGAAAATTCCCCGCTGCGCGCCCTGAGCAGGGATTGCACGTGGGCACGTCCTTCAATTTCGGATCGGAGGTATAGTGCGGAAAGGGAATGGTATAGTGGCATGATGACGACGACCAACACAGAGGCCCAAGGAGAAAGAGAGAAGAAGGATGGGGTTGGTTGTAATGACGTTGATGGAACTTTTGACGCGAGGTGAGGGCTTTTTGGTGAGAAGAACATGTATTGGGTGACTTGTCAGTGCTTGGGATTTGGCATGGACGTCAAGGTAGAGCAGCTACGATGTGGGTTAACAAACCCGCAAAGATTGATAGAGATGGGAATGGGACTGGTAAATTTGGAGAGGCAAAGTAATTCATTCAACAAAGGGAAGCGATCGGATATGCCTCTCCCATCTATCCTTTCTCGTCTTTTTCCACCCTCGTGAAATGTCCAAATCATTCAATCGTGAAGAATGCAATATATGCAAAATTCCCCGTCCCAAAAATGCCCATTGTTCGTCCCAAGTCGTACCTTCCATCATGGCAATCGTTTCACTCAAGTACCACTGTAAGAAAGCTTGAGTGAAAGATGCGGAAAAAGTTGGTTCGGGTATCAAGAATCGAAAGTGTATCAAAACGAATGTTTTTTGTCGTTGGTGACTCTGGTGTGTCTTTCGTCTGTGCTTTGGATGCGCTCGATCAGACCAGGAGAGCAGCAGTAGCAAGAAATGACAACTTGTGCCATTGACCGGTTTCTGCACCTAGTAAGAGGCAGCATTTGGGTCTTGGTAGTGGTTTCGGTACACCGTCTCCCAATCACCACCGTTGGCGTCCTTCTTGCCCTTGAGGTACATGGCAGAAGCGACGATGTTATCACCGGGCATGTAGCGGTTCTTGAGAGAGGCGTCTTGTTCGGCCATCTGTCCCCACGCAACGTAATCCATTTGCGTCAGACCACCGTAGACGAGCGGGTGACCTTTACTTTCGATCCAAATGATCTTGACCATCATATCCTCTGGCACGCCGGTCTTTGTGCAAGCGGTCTTGATGGCGTCGGCGTACACCTTCTTGATGTCCTCGGGTGTCAAGTCCATGGAACCGAAAGCCGGGTAGTTGGCCTTCATTTGAGACATGGCAGCGCGTGCAGACGAATCCTGCATCATGTTGTCGATGTTTGGGAACGCAGAATCCGGTGAGCATGAAATGCCGGCCTGCTTGAATTGAGCCTCGACCATAGGTCGTACTGTAGTCAGGTCCTCCTTCATTTTGAGACCGGCAACTTCGTTGTTGATCATGCCGCACCATTGCGATTGCATGCCATCAGTCCAGCCTGCAGGAGTAGTCGCGCCAAAGTCGCAGTTCTCGGCGCGTATCACAGGGGCTGCAAGCGCGCTTGGCGCAGCCATCAGCATCGCGCTGAGGCAGATAATTTTAGAGATGACAGCCATAATGAATGTAGTCGTAAGTTGCGATCGAAGTTACTGTATCGATTTGTGCGTCGTCGAGACGGTGTGGTCGGTGCTCGCGATGAGCTTGTGGTGGTGGCTACCTGTTAAGGAGTGAAATGGCGATCCTGTCAAAGGAAAGCCTGTGAGCTGCTAAGGAGTGAAAAAGAGTGAAGAAGTGGTGAAGACGGGAGAGGAGTGGTGAAGATAGTGAGAGTCAAGTCTTTATATACTTCTCGAATCGCGGCGCCACGAGGCGAATATTCCCTGTGACAATCGGCTGGCGAGCGGTTGAGGCCGCAGCGCGTGGCGGCCAAGGCACTGATGGAGTCTGCTCCCCGAGCGTGACCACGGTACGGAGAGCCATCACACGCTGCCGAGAAGGACGCGAGGTATCTGCTGCGAGTATTTGCAGAAATTGCACATCAAAGGCGGCATGATCCATGGCCCTCGTGGTCGAGAACCAGGAGAAGTGATGTATCCCGGCGGATCCTTTCCCAGCCTTGACCCATAAGTCCACTTATGGAGGGGCGGACGCCAATAAGTTATGGTCCTTCCTTAGCCGCCAAGGTCCCATAGACCATAAGGTTCTCCATCTCGAGCGCTTGAACTTGATCGCCTAGCGGCGCGGTTTTGGCGCCTTCTCACGTCTCACTGACGTTTTATGATGACAGTGTCGCATTTCTCATCGTGTCGCAAGCGTGCGTCGTTACCCTGGCTTCCGACGAGGTATGGTTGGATGAGGCGCGATTTTGCACACAACTAGCTGGGGAAGCCCGCCGATGCTAACTTAGTATGGATGTGCCGTAGACGGGTCCCCACTCAACTGTCGCTTGAATTTCGTGCCGCACCACGGATGGTTCTCTACAGGAACCGGCTGGAACGGCCTACGTTTGGTCAGTGTGGCATAAGTTGGGTTCCTCCACGTTGACTCTGCGGTCAACTATTGCGGTGGCAGCAGTCGTACTGCATCGTGACGGCGAAGACAAGTGGTCGGAGATGCACTCGGGAGAAGGTGATGCTCAAGGATGAGAGGCAGTCACCCTGCGTGTCTTGGCGTCACCACCCGAGACGATGTCGCCCTCGGCACAGTCGAACGATCTTGCCTCCAACATTTCATCACAAGCAACAACTGCCGGACCTTTAGACACCGACGATGTCAACTGTCACGACTTTCATTGTCCACTCGGATGTAGCCTCGTGCCGTATGGCGGTGCGTTCTGCGTTGCGCTGAAGCCCGACAGCTACAACTGAGACGACATCACCAACAATGAATGCGCCTTCCTGCGATTCAACTTCGGTAGGTAATGGTGGACGGCATGGAGACTGTAAGGCAAGAAGACATGCGATCGCCATCGCTGGAGTCACAACTTCCTCCTTCCCAAGATCACTGCGTTCATCGTCTCTGTTGTATCTCTTCTGCTCCCGCACAATGAAACCTATCCCGTTGCGCGAGTACTGCCATTTGCACAGCCAGCACGATGGCATATGTGCTGCCGCTCTCACAACACAGCCCCTTCACGGTCTCAACAAGCCGACAGCCTCCAACCAGATCCTCGCGCTCCTCAACCAGTGCCAGCTCGCAGGGCACCGTTCGACGCCTCCAGCCTCGAAGCACATCTCCCAGGTCCTCCTCGTCAATTGCCTCTCCATGCTCGTCGCATCTAGATGGTGATTCTGCAAGAGGCCGCGCTTGTAGCCCCCTGGGTCTGACGAATTCGACCTCCAGCCTCAATGTCACAAAACTTCCCTCTATGACCTCAGATAAGAGACGCTATTCTGAAACAGCGCGAGAAGATCTGGTGTCGTCCGCACACAGCGGCACTTCGTCGTCGAGGTTATTCAACGCCCACAGACCTATTTCCCTCTCGCTGGTCAATCTCACCCAAGAGAGCCACGGCGATGCTAGGACTAGCCAAAGCTCACCGAAGAGGTCCCATACAACACTGGCGGAGCACGATTCTGACAATGATTCCTCGAATTCGCAGTACCACGAGTGCGCTTTCAGCCTGCCAAACAACGACAATGCTGAAGCCCAGGACATACAAAGCTTGCAGCAGCAAGAAGCACCGTTCAAACGTTGGGTCAGCAAGCTCCGGAGAAAGAAGCACAAAGTTCCTCCACATGTCTCGCTACGCACAGAGAGGTGGACGTTGGATGATTTTGATAGAGCTCCGCTGCCACTACCGCCTTTGTCGCCTCGCAGGAATCGACAAGTTGGAGGACACCATAAGTCTGACTCCCAAAATTCGTCTCTCCGCTTCATCACTTCGATACGATCAGCGACGGCCACTGTCGCAAGCGCAAGCATAGCAACGATCTCTCGACGGGCCAGTAAATGGCGGAGGGGCCACCAGCGGAGCAGTGTCGTGTCCGCCTCAGACCCTCGGCCTTCAGTGGACAGTGCACGCTCCATTGTTGACGAGGCTGCCAAGCAGAGATCAAGAAAGAGGAGAGAGAAGCTTGAAGAGCTCATCCGGACGGAGGAGAGTTATGTCGCAGATGTCAAGGCGCTCTCTAATGTATGGCATGTCATTTGCCTTTCAGACACTTTGCTGACCACTGCCGTGTCAGGCTTATTTCACAATACTGGGACACCAGGAAACAACAACGAGTTTCGCGAGACGCACTGCGCAGAGAGTAATCGCAGATATCCTCTATCTCCATGACGACATATTGGGTGATCTCCATCATGTTGTGCCTTTCTCTGAGTACGATCAGGTCACCGCCAAAGCACCAACCTCCACGGGCGCCAAGGTCCACAACAGGTGGCATAGTGTGGACATTGTGCCTACACGAGGGACGACTGGGCACACTGTTCTTGCGACAATGCGTCACGGCAGGCGCTCGCTCAACCTCAGTAGATCTACTGAGGATGAGCAAGTGGTCCTTTCTTGCAGCCCACAGGTTGTGGCCGCAGTGGCCAAAGTCTTTTCGAAACATGTACCAGATCATCACCCTCAACACAGTCCGTGATCTTGCTAAATGAATTCTATGACAGCTCAAGCGATTCGAAGCATATGAAGAGTACGGCCTCAACTATGAGCTCGTACAACGGGACATCGACGAGATCACACGATCAATCCCCACGATGCCAGAATACGACAAAGGATACGAAGCGTTATCGACCTACCTGGGTGCCTTGAACAGTCGAGCTGCGAACCACAAGCGAGCCATGACTGTGAAAGACTTATTGATCAAGGTATGCGAACTTCAGATCTTCAGGCGCACCATGCTCACAAAACATTCTTCAGCCTATCCAGCGTATGCCGCGTTATGAGTTACTTTTCGAAGACCTCCGCAAGCTCACTCCAGTATATGACGACCCGAGTGCTCATGTGTCAATATCTGAGCTACAAGAGCAACTCAAAATCATGTGCATGCGAACTAATGCCGCCAAAGACGACCCAGGTCGCGCAAAGAGACTGGAGACGACTACGCTCATTGGAAGTCGCCTATCGTGCTCTGGACAACTACCCAAGTCCATCTTCTTACAGCTGTTAGGACAGGTCGTTATCTGCGGATGTCTACATATCGCGTATCGAGGCAAGGAACGAATCCAAGGCTCCTACGTGATCTCCGTACTCTTCGACTCCACCCTGCTTCTCGCTGTTGAAGACGGTGATCATTCGATGTGGAGCATACTTGCAGGCGTGTCCCTGGCAAATACTACGCTGCAAGAAACCGACAACCACAAAGGCCTCCAATGCCATACCGCGCCTCACTCCTGGAAGATCGTCTTCGAGCATCATGCGAAAATGTACGAATTTATTGCTACAGCTTGTTCTGCAGTGGAAGCAGAAGTCTGGCGGAGTAAGCTTTCGAAGGGGATCGAGCGGGCTTCGCAAGCAGTGGCAGAAGGCAGGATGAATGTACTGGAGCTTCAATCGCCACTCACTGACAGCATGAGGAGTATCGGCAAGGCATTTGGAAAGCCGGGGAGCTTTGTCCGCCGCATGTCAGTCCATCGCTCTGCCACGGTCGGCGCCATTACCGATCTCAATCAGGTCATCATCAAGAATACACAAGCCGTGAAGGAGGTGCAGGACAACGCGTCTCAAGATTCGCTGCAGATTCCTCGCTCGCAGTCGCTTGCAACTCCAAGCCACGTCCAGACGCTGGCTCCGCGTCGTGCGGAAAGATACAGACTCGAGGCGATACTGTCTGATGTCTGGTCAAAAGACCTGTTGCCCTATCCAGGCATGATGCGTCGCTCGGATCCCATCCGGGCTGGCGCGAACCATGTTATTCGCAAGTTCAGCATGGCTAGCATCACGAGTAACTTCTCGTCTTCGAAGCGAACAGCAAGCTACACCAGTGTCAACTCCTGGCGTAGAGAAGAGAACTTCACATCACGCCCCAACAAAAGCGTTCGGCGCGAAAGCTTCAACACTGCCAGTTCTCGGAGCACAAGGCCTTTGATGCAACCAGTCAGCTTCCATACTGCGCCTGATGCCTTCCTACCAGCAGACTTTGAGCTTCAGGATCCGGCCAAATCCAAGAAGAGGTCGGTTCTCAGAACCCTCACAATGACTATGGAGCGCCCGTTCAGCCCTCTCCTGAATAACGAAAACAAGCAACAGCCTCTCCGTAGGGCACAAAGTGTACGAGATGTTGCTGATGAAAAGGCGGTACCCAAGCCGTCGGCCGTTTCACTGCCGCCAGAGAAGGATCCACCACCGCCGCAAACGTTCGTGTACAGTATCGTTCAAGAACGAGCGCAGACTGCGGCATCAGTACAACGGCAGGAAGACGTGCCTTTCCGTTCTGGCCAACAGGTGGCTCCAAAGACAGCGCGCAAGAGCAAGAGCAGGATGTTCCGAAGCTTTTTTCAATAGGATTGAGCACACATTGGACATGTCGTAGAAGGACTTTGGATATCTGTTTGGCTCGAATCGCGTTGTAGTTAGGCATAATAATGTTACGGCATGGCGTTAGATCTGCACAAAATGCAAGCCGTGACTCACTTCTACCGCCATGTCAAACACAACAATGGGCCGCATGCATGGCCTGTTGCGTGAGATGACGATGATTGCATTCCTGCACGTGTGTCGCGTTCCGTGGTCGTGTTGGGCTCACACGTTGGTCGTTGCTGCCCCTGGCGATCCGCACGTACGTCATCAATGGAGCTCCTCATGCACCTTGGAAGCTGCTGGGCTGAGCTTCAAAAGAGGTCTCGTGCCCTTTGTTCTAGCGACTGAACACCTCCTGAACACCATCAAACCACGACAAACACATCACTCAACCTTGATCAACTCCCAAATCTCCCATCAAACTCACAAACCACCGACGAAATGCGAGGCAACGACCCACAGACCAAGGTCCACTACAAGGGCAACAACGACGACTTCATCGTGATTGTGGAGTCTGCAAAGGCAGTGCAGGACTGGAAGAAGGATAGCAGTATCCCGCTGGCACAGGTTGTTGCTGGCTTCAAGATCTTTCTGACACACAAGTGAGTTATCTTGCACACATCCGTGAGGGGCAGGGCATCCAGTAGGAGCCTGTCAAAGGTGCTGGAATCATGTGAGAGCTCATGGCTGACGATCTTGCACTTCAGCCAAGGCAACACCGGTGTCCTTGACGCAGCTTCCAAAGGCGCACTCGAGGGCGAGTTTGGCACGCACAACGAGGACGATGTCATAAAGCAAATCTTGGAGAAGGGCAACATCATCGAGTCTGGGGTACGTACATGCACATAACTCTTTCAAGAAGTGGATAACAGTCTAACAACATGAAGAACTCTGGCCGTGATGGCGTCAAGAACGTCACCCAAGGCCCCATGGTCGGTCACTAAGCAAAGGCTTATGGTTGACGTTTCGAACGATTTTGTGGAGGACTACCAGCTGCAATGAGCACCGCAAGGCGGAACGCTGGGGCCTGAATGCTCGCAGGTGCTGGAGCCAAGAAGCTCGCGCCTTGTGCCAATAACTGAAATGAGATATGAGAAATGAAATTCACGGTTGAAGGAAACTTCACCATCGGCCTGTGACGTACCATTCATTCATGCAATGCCCACTCATGGCTGATGTCTCTCGTTAGATACCCGCAGAATACCTTCGATGTCCCGTCGCGGTCATGAGTGTCGCGCCGTGCGAGAAATCGGGTAGGACCAATGACTGTGAGCAGAGATGTCTGGAAGCCTCAGAATCTTGTCCAGGTAAAGTGATCCAGCAAACTTTCCAGGAACCGACCTGTTGTTGCAGATGAGTCCCATCACTTCCATGCATGTGAGTGTGCATCTGCAGCGCGCTCTTCTTTGTCGCCGTCCAGCAGGTGCCCGCGCGCCGTTCGCCTTCACTTGACAGCTGCCACCTGCACCGACCCTTCTTAAGTGCGGCAACGACCACTGAACTTTGAACTTCACAACAGTTGGCGCGACTTGGTTCGTCCTGATCCGGCAACCCACACACCACATCGAACTCCACTTCTTTTCTTTCTGAACTCTTCGGGCTGCGCGCGTCTCTGAGATCGCCGCGACATTCTGGTGTCAGTGGGGCGCGCCACGAGTGATGGATTTCTTCGCAACAGGCACGATGGCCGACTTTTCCACAACAGGCACGATGGACGACAACCTGAGCCGCGGCGAGCTAAGGGCTCTGCTCTCAAGGACTGGCTATCTCCCGGCCGAGTTATGGGATGCGACATTCGACTACATCCACCCATCTGAAGCGAACGATGCTCCATCGACACCCACCAACATCATCTGGCCAACTGGAGAGCGCGGTGATCCATGTGTCCCTCCCAAGGACGGGAAATGTCTGCTCGATGCTATGTCAGAGGAGGTGCTTCGCGAAGTCATTTCCGCATTGTTACCAGCAAAGCACAAACTGATCAAATGCGTGTGCGGCGAGGCGGACACGAAAGCCCCAAGCAGTGAGCCACGTCGCAACCGAGTGAGCGACTTGATGACTGTCAACAAGAAGTTCAGGGACACCATCAAGACCATCATCTACGAAGAGCGATTCTTCGAGGTCCATGTCCATCAAGGTGGCACAGGTGGCGTCGAGTTTCTGGATGCCGGATACCAGCCACTGGCGTATTGCGAGAGTGCTTCAGATGATCGATTCGAGAAGTTTTCTGTCCACGACGAGTACGGCTTTCAGATGGTGAAGAAGATCAAGATCAAGATTTTTCCCACCATCGCCAAGCGTTGCAAGGCAGTCACGCTGAACACCTATTTCATGATCCAAGCGCTATGTCGTCTGCTTGAGCGCGGCGGACAGGAAGAAGACCGCATCGTCAACATCTCCGTCACCTTTCCAAAAGGAGAAACCTCGACGAATAGCCACAATCGCCACAGCATTATGGCCGATGAGCACTATTGGTGGGACCCTACCACTCGAGAGCCAAGATGCACTTCTATTCACAGCATCCCGGACATTGAACTGGTATTGCACCCGTTCACGACGCTCACCCGCGTTCACAATGTCAATATCGAGCTGCCACCCATGGTGAGACAGCATGCACCCACTGTGAACTTCGTGAGCGGTTTGGTGGCAGGCATGCGCAGCAAGTCCTCCCTACCCACTTTGCTACTCAGCCGTGAGCAAGAAATCAGTATTCAGTGCATGCGGTCCGAGGTGGAACTCTATCTCTATCGTCAGAAGCATGGCAAGAGTCAGCAGAGCGTCGAGGACATGGGCGAAGAAGAGATGGAGGACGAGACGCCAGAAGACGATGATGAGGATGATGATCTACAAGCTGCAATTATGGCCTCCATGACCTCTTTCGGCGCAGGCCCGCCACCCGTATTGGGCGACACATACTCATCGTCCATCAACAGTATCCCCTTGACTGGGCAGTTACACCGCGAGCGTCGAGCAGCAACAGTGGAAGATGATGGCCTGAATCCTACGAGCCTCCGGTCGAGGCGTAACCGACTCCTGACAACTCGGTTCCATTCAGCTGGTCGCTCCAGGAGCCAATCCATCTCGCCATCGCTGACGCGGTCATACAGCTTGGAGCGAGTTCCCGAGTATGATGAGAACGATGGCCACCAGAATGACAACTCAGCGCACACGCAGCTTCTCTTCTCGTCGGAGCAGGTGGAGCCCAATGTGCGCGAGAGGATTGAGATGATTGAAGAGGCGTTCGACCTGGCGCAGCGAGGTCCGGCGTCCGCAGAGAACCACAGGAGCAGCGCATCCCGCACGTGGCTTTCAAGGCTGCTGGGCACGGCTCGCAATGGTTCTGACGATGAGATGACTGGCGTGTAGCTGGACAGCGTGCGTAATCATAGGCGAGACCGGTGGAGCGTGCATACGCTTGGGAAGGACCAGGCATCAGCTTGAGCGTGCAGAAACACTCCGAGTGAGTGGAGGCTAGGCCAGCGAGTGGACCTATTGACTCCGTTCAGGAGTTGCTACAGGCCAGGAGCATAGTGGATGGGAGCTTACCTTACCTCATTGCTGCAGCGCTTAGTCAGCGAAGTCAAACGATTCAAGCATCTTACTGTACAACCGTAGTCCATAGTCCAATTGTCTCGAAGTCCCAAGCTTGCTGATTGAAGTTTGCGCAATGTCGTTGTGTCGTTGCATAGAGACACGGCAGATGCACTCTCTGCTTGACAGCACGTTGCCGATCACATGCGAACAAGCCACGCGCCGTACGTCACCGCGGGCGTTCAGAACAGGGAAGCTTGTTCTGTACCTCTCCTGTTCCTTAGAAGTTCAGCGGCCGCAATCATCATCTACACGAGCTTTAGCACTGCAATTCTGTCGTGCGACCTGAGATCCAATTGCGTGGTGCTAACAGCAGGCTCCAGCATACAAATACGATACTGCCGAAGCTAATGCCATAGTTTTCTGGGGCAGAGAAACCACAGCGTTCGAGACCCGAATACGACGGGAACGAAATACGACTGAGCGTATATATGTAATCTTTGCACGCGACAATGGCATCGACAAACGATCAACGCGCAGTCGGCGGACCAGGCTCAAGCGACCAGGACCAACTGCCATCAGCCATGCTCCAGCAGGCCGAAGCTGCTGTCGCGGGTGAAAACGATCGCCTGAGCAGAACCGATTCTGAGCGACGACATATCGGCCGAGATGTTCCTGTACATCATGTGGACTCTTTTGCCTCCGAGCAGACAGAACATGATATACCGCCGCCGGCATACGGTGAACATTATGGCACGGTCGAGCAAGAGCAGGAAGGCTTTGGAACGAAAGCTCGCGTTGCGGAAGATGGACGAGTGAATATTAGGATCGATCAACGAAACAGACGTCTTTCTCAATTGCTGGTGCCCAGTCTGAAGCAGTTGCAAGCAGCGGCGGATCAGGAACATGCTCCACCGCCGCCGTATATTCCACCCTCGCTTGGTGGAGAGGAAGGACAGGCTCCACCGCCGCCCATGAACGTGGTCATCCAGGTGGTGGGATCAAGAGGCGATGTCCAGCCGTTTGTGGCTTTGGGAAAGGTGTTGAGTGAGACATATGGACATCGCGTTCGACTCGCCACGCACCCGAACTTCAAGGACTTCGTCACCGAAAATGGATTGGAGTTCTTCAGTATCGGAGGTGATCCCCAAGCTCTGATGGCATTCATGGTGAAGAACCCTGGTCTCATGCCCGGATTTGATTCTTTGCGAGCAGGAGATGTTGGAAAGAGGAGAAAAGAGGTTGGAGAGTACCTCAAAGGTTGCTGGAGATCGTGCTTCGAATCGGGAGATGGCTCTGGTCCCGAAGCCAAGGACGACACGGTCGAAGACTGGACATCAAATGGGCCGAGCGAAGGCGATTATTTGCATAAGCCGTTTGTGGCTGACTGCATAATCGCCAATCCTCCTTCATTTGCCCACATCCATTGTGCAGAGAAGCTTGGGATACCGCTACACGTCATGTTCACGATGCCTTACTCGCCGACCCAGAGCTTTCCTCATCCGCTCGCGAACATTCAATCATCCAACGCGGATGCGAATTTGACTAATTACATCTCGTACGCATTGATCGATATGCTCACATGGCAAGGACTTGGAGACATCATCAATCGATTCCGACAGAGAAGTCTGGGTTTGGATCCGATCAGCCTAATGTGGGCGCCAGGCATGCTGCAGAGACTCAAGATACCTCACACTTATTGTTGGTCATCGGCTCTGATTCCGAAACCACGCGACTGGGGCGCAAATATCAGCATCTCGGGTTTCTTCTTCCTTGATCTTGCAAAGAACTATACGCCGGATCCTGAACTGAAGGCTTTCCTGGACGCCGGCCCACCGCCTGTTTACATCGGCTTTGGATCTATCATGTTGGACGATCCAACCGCTATGACGAAATTGATCTTCGAGGCAGTTGCAAAGACTGGTCAGCGAGCACTCGTGTCGAAGGGTTGGGGAGGTGTTGGTGCCGATGAGCTCGGCAAGCCGGACAATGTCTACATGCTCGGGAACGTCCCACACGACTGGCTCTTCCAGCAGGTCTCTTGTGTCGTCCATCACGGAGGCGCAGGTACGACAGCTGCGGGTATCACAGCCGGAAGACCTACGTTGGTCGTGCCTTTCTTCGGCGACCAGCAGTTCTGGGGATCAATGGTGGCGCGAGCGGGAGCTGGACCGGAGCCAATTCCAAACAAGCAGTTGACTGCAGAAAACCTCGCAGCTGGCATACAGAAATGCCTTGAACCCGAAAGCCAAGAGCGCGCACGCGAAATGGCCGCTAAGATTGCCTCTGAGAAAGGCAGTCAGGTTGGCGCACAGAGCTTCCACCAATTTCTGGATGTTGATAAGCTGCGGTGCAGTCTCGCGCCATCGCGGGCGGCGGTCTGGCGGATCAAGCGTACTCAAGCACGATTAAGCGCAATGGCTGCGTGTACGCTCGCGCAAGAAGGTCTGCTCGACTTCAATGATCTCAAGCTGTATCGGCCGCGGGAGTATGAAGCTGACGAAGGCCCCTGGGATCCGATTACTGGTGGTGCGACAGCTTTGATCGGTACTATGAGTACAATGATGCTGGGAGTGGCTGACTTTCCGATCGAGACACTAAAGGCGCTGCACATTCATCCCGACGTCAAGGCGAAGAAAGAGAGCAAGAAGGATGGAAAAAAACCAGAAGCCCCTGATAGAACGGATAGTTCGACTGGCTCGATCACATCTGGTATCATGAGCCCAAAGTCTGATGATGCAGGCACCGTAAACACCGACACGTCTTCCCACACCGGTGCAGACACCCCACGAAGCAATACGGACACATCTTCCATCGCACCCTCGGCTTCTGACAACAGGTCGCAATCAAGCTTCAATTTGCAAGAGTCATTGGCGCGCCTGAATGTAGGACCTTTATCTCCTGGCTCGCAAACCGACTCAGGCCGCAAGACTACTTCCTCATCTATGGCTGATGCTCTGAGCGGCCAGAAGGATGGTGCTTCACAGTCTCGCTCAAGCAGCCGGTCATCGCATCGACAAGGCTCAAGCAATGCACTGAAGGACATCGACTGGAAATCTCAATTCCAGACTGGCACAGATACGGCCAAGGGCGTGCATCGCATTGTCGGTGCTGGCCTCAAGTCTCCATTGGACTTCACGATGGGTCTGTCAAAAGGATTCCATAACGCTCCAAAGCTCTACGGCGACGATACCGTCCGGAAGTCAGAGAAAGTCACTGATTTCAGGTCTGGTATGCGTGCTGCCACGAAAGAGTTTGGCTACGGTTTGTACGACGGCATTACTGGTCTTGTCACACAACCCATCAAGGGCGCTGCCAAGGAAGGCCCGGCCGGCTTTGTGAAAGGCTTTGGAAAGGGGCTCGGTGGTATCGCATTGAAGCCTGGAGCCGCGTTCTTCGGTATACCAGCTTATACTATGAAGGGCCTTTACAAGGAGATCCAGAAGTCGTTTGGCTCGAGCGTGCAGAACTACATCATCGCAGCACGAACGGCACAAGGCTTTGACGAGTATCAGAGTGCATCTCCGGAAGAGCGCCGGGATGTAGTCCTGCGTTGGAAAGTCTTGCAGAAGGACCTCAAGAAGAAGCGCAATCCGGATGAGCTGGTTCGCGATATCTTGAAAGAGCAAATGGACAAGAAAGAACACTGGCTTGAAGCTCGCAAGTTGAAGAAGGACAGCTGTCACAACACCCGCAGTGCCAGCAGTTCCAATACTCCCAGGCGTGATCCTGAAGAATCAATGCTGGCTATGGGAACCGATCGTGCTTATACGGAGGAGCCAGATGAAATTGAGAGACGTGCAGTTGAGGAGGCGATTCGACTTTCTGTTCTGGAGACTTCTCACGGAGATGCCACCGAAGATGCGCGCATAGAGCAGCAAATACGGGGCAAGATTGCTGCAGTCCAGCAGAACCATGCTTCCCACGTGGACCCCTCTGAAGATGAGGCAATGCGTCAAGCGATGCAAGCAAGCGTCGCGGATGCAGAGCGGCATCAGCAAGAGCGCTCTCAGTACGACCGAGAACTCGAGCAAGTCATTGCCCAGAGTCTGAAAGAGCAGAGAGGCTTCACCGACAGTGACAGTGACACTGGCCGACGCAGTTCTGCTATCTCGGAAAACACGCTCGCTCCCGCTGATCGGCCTCCAGAGTACGACCCTGGTCACTTGGGCGGCACAACGAGAGAAGAGTTCGAGCGCGATTCCAGTCAACGTGTGGATGAGAAGACACAACAGGAGAAGACCGAGGAGGAGATTGTGTTGGAATATATCAAAAAGCAAAGTCTGCTTGAACAGAAGGCAAGGGCATCACAGGGCCAGAAATTTGCCGACGAGGACGAGGAGTTGCAGAGGGCTTTGAAGGCTAGTATGCAAGGTCATGAGCCTCGTATTGGTGAGGCATCTGGATCACAATGAAGTTGAAGTTGGCTTTCGATTGACAATGGCGGACGACAAGCATAGCATTGCGAAGCAAAGTGAGATGATTCGATGATACCCACGAAGTATAGCTTGTCTGTTATGTTATGTACATGTAAGAATCTGAAAACAAACATCAGATTCATTCTCTGAACGTTCGATGGTCTTGATCACGGCAGAGAAGGCCCAGACCCACAGCACACGACAGCCTTACAGCACCAACGGACCACACTCCGATCGCAATAGACCAATCAATCATACACTACGTCATTAAGCGAAGCTCACTGGCATGGTTTACACGAGCTCACAAGCGCATCCCCGATTCCCCTCTCGTGGGAAGTGATCACTTTCAACGCCATCCCCAAATGCTCCGCATGCAACAACGACAGAATTCACTCACTGTAATACTCGTATATCTCTCGTTCTTCCTCAATCTCGTCCTCGCAGCCTACCACGAACAAGAACCTCTCCTCCAACACAACACCTTCCCTTCAAACAACGAATCCGATTCCACCACCACAATGTCCAAATCCCTCAACGTCTTCAAACAACCCCTCGCCCTCCACTCCACCTCCCCCATGACAGGCTTCCTCCGCAACGGCTACTGCGAAGTCCCCGGCGCAGATTTTGGCAACCATGCCGTTGCAGCTGAAGTCACAGACGAGTAAGTCAATCCATCCCAACTCCACCTCCAAAAAATCCCCCACCTCCTCAGTCCCCAATACTAATGAAACCGCTTTTGCAGATTTCTCGACTTCACCGCCCGCCAAGGCAACGACCTCCGCTCCATCGGCGGCATGAAAGCCGGCTGCAAATGGTGTCTCTGCGCCTCACGCTGGCTCGAAGCCTTCGAAGCCCGAACACGCGAACCCGCAGGCGATAAAATCGTGCCGAAGATCTATTTAAAGGCGACAAATGAGAAGGCGTTGAACAAAATAAAACTGGAGGATTTGAAGGCTTTTGCTGTGGATAAAGACTGAGAGATGGGAGTGTGGATTGATGTGTGAAAGAGGAGAATTATGATCTCATGATGATATCTGATGAGTTTATGGTCTGACTTTGTATGATTGATGGGATGGGATCGGACACAATACGGAATAGGACAATTTACTGATGGGAAGAGTGTCATGAATTGCGATCCCTAGCTGGGACAGAGCTGGGATGTTCAACTATGTAGTGATAACGATATCTATGAAACGACAAAAGCAGTCGTCTGCCAACACAAATACTCGCTTCCAACGATTCCCGTTCACCGCTGGTAGAGAGCTTCTGTGCTCACAATCACAAGGAAACCGCTCTGGATACCGCTCCGGCGGCAAACAGAGAAAGTGGCCGCAAGCCGAGGAAGAGTGCCATCGTCCTGTACGGGCTCACCATGTCAGCAACAAATCATTGTCCACATCAGACAAATCTATCTGCATCTGAGGGCCATCTCGAGATTCCTTCCAAGTTTCGGACTCGCAGAACACTAATCTTTCAGAAAGTCGTCCCTGACATTCACGAAAGCTGCCGCTGCCGCTGGGCCTGCTCTGCCAGCGCATTCTTCCAAAAGGACCTCAGTCTGAGAGCAGACCTTCTCCAGTGCTGCAGAGGAGGGCTTGCCGAGTGAAACTGTAGAAATATGTCAGCATGCGTGCAATAAGTACTCCATGATGTGTGTAACCCACCTAGAATAGCGCCATTAACCTCTTCTGCAATCTCGGCTCGCCCCTCCAGAGAGAAGAGATGGCTAATGGGACTCTCGTAGATATTCCTGTAAGCAAAGCTCGCCGCAATGTCTTGGAGATGCTTCTGGATATGCGGTCTTCGATCCGACTTCCATTCTTGCTGCAACTCCTGTCCATACTCCACACAGGCCATCAAGATTTGGTCTGCTTTCATGAAGGCAGACTTTGGGGGAAGTTCTTGTGAGACATCCATATCAACATCATCGTTCGCTGAGGGCTCCAAGTTTTGTGACGTTTCTCTCCGTAACTGATCATCAAGTTCCATCTGTGTATCTGGTTGATGTTGATCGTGCTGTTCATCCGTCTCGATTTTTGCATGACCGTTACTGCCTAGTGAGTCAACACTTTTCGTCACTGTTGTGGGTGACGAGACAGCGTCCGAAAGCTCGGCATATTTCCTTGTCATCTCCACATACTTTCGACATCGAAGCCGGAAGTAAATGTCTCTATTCCGCTCATCGAACAGGTTTTGATAGTAGGCTGAGAGATATTTCAGCGCTCGATCGATGTCGCCGTCGAGAATGCTCCTTCGTATTCGTTGGCGGTGGTTCGCGTGTTGATCGTCTTCACTTGAAACTCGGAGTGGCTGTGATGGCCCGTTGAAGGCCTGCTGTTGTTCTTCGACGTCCTTCGCAAACGCCTTTGCTGTCTCCACGTAGCCTTCGTGCGCAAGGTACTGCCCAATGAGATTGTGAATCAGTGCATTCTCGTCGTCGGGAGGATGCAAATGTGACACGTCAGCCCGATCGAGCTCTGCCAGAGTAGTCTTGCGCTCCTGCTCGATCAGCCCATCAATGTCAAAGACAAAGGGCGTCTTGCCGAAGTTGACGCGTAAGGAATCTTGCGCCTTCTTCATCCCCACGGAGGGATACAGCTTGTCCGCTCTGACATTATGAAAGGCTGTGCCCAAATGTGTCCCGTTCTTGGTGAAGAACGCGGTGCCCGTCTTGAAGTTGATGCCGCAGCCAATTACATCCTGACTGGTGAACTTGGGTCCATACGCCTTGCCACTCGCGGTGCACGCAAACACATAGCCGTCGTCACCGTGATATGCCCAAGACTCTTGTTCCCAGCCTGGTAGTCTATTGAGATTTGCCTTCCTGCTGGAAAATCCGATGCCTATCATGGCATCCTTTACACGAGATAGTATCGTCACCTCGAAGTAATAAATCCCAACCTCCTTCGGTATGTAGTGATCGGACCTCACTGATGCTGCATCATCTTGCGTCTTGGTCACTCCATTAAAACGAGCCTCGGTGCCGTCAGCCAGGATCTCCAGTCCATTCCATTTGTCATCTTCGTTCCATCTGCTAGGCAACGGATGCAGTTGTGTTTCTTCGGCAGACGGAGGCGGTAGCCTCTCAATCACGTCTTGCACAGGGCCACGGTGTACGTGCTGTGAAGACAGCTTGTTGAGATTCGTCAAGCTCGAACTGGTGGACAGGCTCGAATGATATGGCCTTGCGTTCCTGTTTGCCAGTGTCTTCAGGTGAGCGACATGTTCCTCATATTCTTGCTTCAGCTTCTGCACGTGCCTGGAGTGTCGAAGATATGAGGGCGTGAAGAAGGCCGGGTGGTCCTCATGCTCGTGGCAGCCCAAACCATCGTATCGAATCGTATCGCCACCATATGTCCCCGTTGTACCGCTGCCCGTCTCTGGTCTCCTTCCTCCATCTTGATCATATCTCCCCGTTCCCGCCATATTGTCCCAGCTCGTCAATGTCGCCTCGCGTGGTTCGCGCTCACGATCTCCCTCTTCGTCTCCAGGCTCGGTCGGCTGCCTTGAACGTTGCTCCGATGTGCCTTGCGCGTTTCTCCCAGCTGCTACTGTCGCATAAGATGTCCGAGAGTAGGTGTTGTTGTAGTAATCGGGGATCGGGCGTGAATTGCTGGGTCGATCGGAGTAGGGATTGCTCATTCTGGTGTCTCAAAGCAGGAGCAGCAAGCAATGCCGGACAGCTACATCCGTAGCGCCTGCTTCGAAACAGAGTGCCAGGTCCGCGATTGCCTCGACAGCTGACGTAGAATGGTAGGAGCAGGGTGGGTATCGCGCCAGATGCTCATGCAATGGCGATACGTCCCGACCTGGATGGGTTGTGGAAACTGTTCGTTCATTCGTGCACTCACGGACACCCTTGGACCATGAGGAACGTAGTAGCGGGCGCCGACATAGTTCACATGCAATCCGAGCAAAGTATGCCGACGTTGATGTCGAGCACGAGATCCAAGATCTATGGACGATAACGACGGTAGCTTGCGGGCAAGCGCCAGTCTGCTGCGCATCACATGCGGGGATCTGAGCACGCGGACAACGGGATTGCCACTCGGCCATGATAGGGACGATGCCATCATTACCTGAGCCGGTGGGAAACACAACGATGAAAGCAATGATTATGAATCAATAGGTGTACTGGACTGCATTTTCGTCACGGTTCTCTTGAGCTCGTTTGGACGAAGGTGAGCTGGAGCTGGCCGACCAAGCTTCAGGAACGCCGCTCTGGTGGTACCTCCTGCCACGGGTGCCTGATGACAAGCAGGGGAAGGTGATTGAGAGGCGAATACATTGTCAAAGAATGGTTCATTACACCTTGCTACCAAATGGCCTGTGTTCCTGTTCTCCATGCGCCGCTGTATCGCCAAAGCACCGAATGTTTCCTTATCACCATCTCAGCGTGCTGTGATGCTCCGAAAATCAATCCAAAACGCCTCGCTGAAGTGCTGCACAAACATGCTCAACCGAAATAATCAATGGATCTAGTATACAATGGGCAGCCAAAACCCATGGAGTTGTCCCGAGAGACTGGAGGTCCTCTGCATCGTTGCGTCGAATTTGGCGAAAGTCCGCCGCCGCAAAGGCCCTCTGAAGCACAATGACTTCTTGTGGAAGACGTCGGGCCGCTTTGTGTTGATAGAAGAATCAAGCAATCTCGTCAAGTCGTTCACGCGGCGATGGGCGCCGGAGAGCTCTGCATGCCAGTCATGACAGTGTCCTCTCCGACGTGACTATGACTGCGGTCGCTCTGCACAGCGCTGCTCTGATTGAGCTTCATATCACTGGAGCTGGCACTATCGCTCTTGACATCTCCTGGGAAGCCCTGGTCCTTTGGTGGTGCCTTCCAAGATGACAGATTCCAGGTAGTGCCCGTGAATGATTTCAGCTGAAGGGACTTCTTGCCCCATCTCCGACATGGCTTGCCTGTGCGATCGAGGGCGCGCAGACCGGCATTGATGGCACCAGTATTGGCCTTTGGTCCCAACTTGTGTGCAGGTATAGCATTGGCAGGTTTGGCTCCATTCGCGTTCTCAGTCGTGCGGTCAATGGTACCGTCAGGCCTGGCTCAGGCGTTAGCGAGTGCATAGAATATTGGATGATCGGTAACAAAGCATCGCGACACATAGTCCGTACTTACAATCTTGGTTTCTTCTTTGGACCTGGCCGGCCTCGTTCTCGAGGTGGTGCATTCGGGTCGATGGAAGGTGGTGCACGCTTCCGTCCGCTCGCGGTCGCGCCTCCTCTCTTCTTTCTGCCATCGACCTTGGGCGGTGCTAGCGAGTTGTTGTCGACGGCATCATTGCCTTGCGGCACGGGCGTAGCATTCGAGTCGGATGACTTATCGGCGACATCGGGGAGTTGCACGGACGGCGATGCCTCGTTCTTGATGGATGGCAGTGCTGATGTGTCGCCGGCCGGCGAGCTGTGTGATGATGACCACTGCGCGAGTCGACTTGGCGAGATGCGTAGCGATACTATGCGACTCTTCTTGCCCGGCTTCGCGGCCGACTTGAGCGTCGCCGACATTGTGGTGGAGGTGCAGGACGGTGGTCTCGCAGTCGTGTTGACGGTGTGGTGGGTGTTGGGAAGTGTTGCAGGAGGGATTGCGGCGCGGGCTGGCTGGAGGTTTCGCTAGAGGCCACAAGCAGGCCTCGTCGGTCGGCGGGTGGGCTTGGAAGATTCCTGCGTCGCTGCTTTGTCCGTTATTTGCGGCGTGGTCGCGTACGGCCAGCGGTGGTTTGTGGGAGTGGTGCGTGGAATGGAGGGTGATGCATGGCGATGAAACGGAAGGAAAGACGAAAAGGGAGTTGGCTGATACTTGACCGAAAGTGCGCGCTCGTGATGAGCGATCCATTCTCTTGACAGAGCCGTGCGTTTTGCGCACCCTGAAGTAGCTCCTGTCGCTCTCACACAACTCACTTTGGGGAGAGGAAGTCTCGGGCTACCCGCTGCCAAGACATCAAACATCCACGAGGGCGTCTCCTTCTCGCATCTTCGCACTCGCGCAGCACAAGATTGCATCGTCATCAGTCTTCGTCTCCAGATATTTTCTACGCTCACTATCGCTGCGTGGTAAAACAATCATCACCGCGCGCGCTGCTTCCGGGACGCTCGGCCGGTGACTTACTTCGCTGATCCAACCAGCGAATGAGCCTTTGGTGTCAAAGCCCACTCACCCGACAAGACTTTCCTTGCCTTGCTTCGCGCCACTTTGCAATCTGCCCGCAGCTTTGCCTGGAACGGCGCGGGACAGCAATTACTGACACCATCGCGCTGACCACTGATCGCCACCGTGAAGGTTGCCTCTGCGCCCGCTCCTGGGGACGTTTGTCAGGCTGCCAGCGGCCACGCGTGACAACATGGACCGCCTTCCGGACGAAGTCGTGCTCCATATCCTGTCATGTAGGCGTCTCACGCGTCACACAATGTAAGTGGTACAATGCTAACTCCATGCAGACCTCCATGTCGCCCATCTCGTGCACCTGCAACTCGTGTCCACCAGATACCTGACTCTCGCCCGCGACAATGCTCTGTGGAAGAAAGAATGCTTTGACCACTCGCAAGCAGAGCGCGTGAGGCGTCGGCGGGAGCTCCTCAACAGCCAGGACCCTCGTCTCGCTGAGCTTCGCGATGCTGTGACGACGTTGCCTGGCGGTGAGCTACTGGCACAGGAGATCGCGCAGCTTGTAGGCAACTCTCCAAGCGAAACTGCAAATGACCACGCTGCGCGGGCGCGCCTTCAACGTGCACGCGCACTGGCAAACTGGGATCCCGCGTTTCCTGGCGAAGAGATTGACTACTACGAGGAATATGTACACCGCCATGCTGCAATCAATGTTGGATGGGTCGACTTTCCGAAGTCGCAAGCAAATGCTCGAAGCGAGCATCGCGAGGCAACAGGAATCGGGCTTCTAGCTGACCAGCAGGATAAGACTATTGAACGCGCAGTCGCAGCACTCGACGATGGTAGCGTTTGTATATGGGACCTCTCCTGTGCGTCAACCTACCGCAATGGAGGCGCTGGCAACCTGCTTGTCCAATCTAAGCCTGCCCTGCTTTCAGAAAAACCCTCGGGAGACACTATGGAAAGCCATAACATGATGACTGAAACAGGCGCAGTCGAATGTGTGAGTGTGAACAGCTCAAATCAAATGGCCTACTTTGCAGTGCAGAATCAGCTGCGAGAGGTTGACCTGACCACGCTTCAAGTCACGTCAACCAAATCGTATCCTTTCCCAATAACAGCGCTTTCCGAGACACAGAATCAATCGCCGCTCACAGTCGGCACCAACATGACGGTGCATCTCCACGATCCTCGAGACCCGGCTTTCACAGCTGGTGAGGCATCAGCCCGTGGCGAGCTGATCGGTGGCTCAGTCTACTCCCACGCAACGCTTGCTCAACCTGGACCGCTCTCAATCTTACACCATGGCGCGACTGGTACTGATGACAGTTCGATATGGGTAGCCGGTCGGTTCACTTCGCTGCTCAATTACGACCGCCGCTTCTTTCCTCGTCTCCGCGGTACCATCTTCAGTGGAGCTCGCATTGCTTGTCTCTCTGCTCTGCCCCAGCCGTGGGTGCCGCGCAACCTTGATCTCGTGCGACATCCTGAGGCCTCTCTCGCAGCGTTGCAGAGCAGGAAGGATGCAGTGGGAATGACTATGATTGCTGCCGCCGAATACAAAGGAAAGGGCTCTCTGGAGTTTTACCCTCTTCCATCTGTGGTCGAGCCTTACAAGAACAGACAGACAGCGTCAGCATCGAAATTGCTCTCTGTTGCTTCGCACGGAGGACGTATCGTGTTCAGTGACGGCGATGGCAATCTTAAATGGATGGAGCGTGATGGCTTCACCTACGTGCGCACGCACAATATCAATGAGAGTCTGCCCGGCGAATTAGATGCAACGGCTCAGGGCTCAACACCGCAAGGGATATTCTCAACGTCTGGAACCGAGGTGCCTGGACAGGGAGATATTGTGCAGAAGATCCTGCCATTGGGCACAAACTATAGCGGAGCGAGTCCAGTGGCTGGTCGACCCGACATCAGCCGGAACAACCTGTTGCTATGGACTGGCGATGGAAGACTGGGAGTACTTGGTATGGGCCAGAGCAATCCCTTGGGCAAAGACGAGTGGCATGATGCCCTCGAAGAGCAAGCTCTGTCTGCAGCGGAGAAAGCTCGCCATGATGCTGAGAGACAATACGGCATGGCCATGAGGAGGGCTTTAGAGCGCAACGCAGACGAAGTACGATTCGTAAGAGGGTTAGGTATGGGGTTCATGCGATCATGATAGAAATACAGAGTATACATAGAACAACTTCAACATTGCTAGCCAGTGGTTGCCCGCTGAGCCTCGCCAATTCCTAAGTTATTCTTGCCTTCTGCTCTTCTTCGCCTCAGCATCGTCTCAATCGCCGACTTCACTTCCGGGTCAGCTCGAATAGTATTCTGCACCAACCAGTCCTTCAACCCCGTCCTCAGATCACTCCCCGCGCCCTGCTGCTCCGTAAAAGGCGTCAACTCCAACGCCATCAACCTCGCCACTTCCGCATCTGTCGCCTTCGTCACAGCCTCAAGTCTATTGACCACCTGCTCCGACAGAGCCCCATCTTTCCCAACCTCCTCCAACGCCGCCTGCCTCGGATCCTTCAACAAAGGCCCCAACTGACTCAACGCAATAAAAAACGTCACAATCAACGCCCTCAACAACTCAATCATCTGAAATGGTAAATACGGCTGTCTCAACCCCGTAAACTCCGCAATCGGATTCACCACTCTCGTCAACAAAACCGGAAATTGCGGCCTCGTTACAACCGTCGCCTCGTTCACGAACAACGAAACCATAATCAGATATCTCCAGAACATCGCTTGTCGAAGATATCCTAAGAAGGCCAGTATGACCAGAATCCCGATGGATCCGATATAGTAACCTCCGGAATGCTGGAGTCCAGTAAAGATAAAGTCTTTGATAACTTTGCTTTTCTGCCATGATAAAATCGTCGGTCCGAGTCGATCGTACGCGAAACGTTTCGCCGGGTCCGCGAGAGTATCTTTGGCGAGTTTTAATTGCACATACATATCTTCTACAGAAGATTTATCCGCTCCAGGGGCCATTTTGTCGGGATGATATTGGACTGTCAAGCGGCGGAATTTGGATTGGATGGCTTTTTCGGTTGCGTTGTGAGGGACGCCGAGGAGGCGGTAGAAGTCTCCGGCTTGTTGGATTTGGTGGTCGGCTTCGTAGATTGTGTATAAGAGGTAGGCGACGAGGACGGCGATGTGGATGTAGCGTCTGTCGCGGGCGAAACGGGGGGTTCCGCGTTGGGGTTTGGGGTCGCCGGCTCGGATGAAGATTGCGTAGAGTGTGCTTTGGACGTAGCCTGTTACGAGGTCTGGGAGAACGTACCAGCCTATGAGGCTGAGGATTTGGTTGCTTGCCATTGTGGTGCCTATCGGTTCATGTCCAGATTGAAGAGGGTCTTGTCCGAGAGTGTTGGCTGGTTTCGACTTCAGTGCGCTTGACTGATGCGCTTTCGCTCAGATTCGACACGAACGAGCAATGCTTCAATGTGGAATGCTCAATCGTGGTCTTGTCTTGTGCTCCCAATGCGCGAAAGGGAAGAGGTTATGTAAGGAGCGGGTCTTGATGGAGAATGCACTGCTCGCGCCACTCTTTCTTGAGAAAACCGCAAATTGTGAGTAGAATTTCTCCTTGTCGCGAGAATGAGGAACAAGAAAAGCTTCACGTCCGGATATTCTAGTCGAGGAATGTCGTTGTCGACAGGTGTTCGCGGCGAATTGGACTGCAGGCGCCAAGACTTCGCGATGGTCGCCCAAGCTTTTGCCGATCCGAGTCGCAGGGTCGGAGCACAGCTTCGTCAAATTTGTAGCCCAACTTTCACATGCGACCAGCATCATCATAGCCGCCATGGCCAAAAATGAACGCACAGCAGAGGAAGCTGCGGCGAAAGCTGCGCGAAAAGCAGAAAAAGCCAGCAAGAAGGCGGGAAAGCAGGTTGTGACAGCGAAAAGCCTGGACGACAACCTCGACGAACACAGTCCGATCCAACGCATCACGGCGACTCTCTACATCCCATTATCGCCAGTCGTCAACAACTACCCAATCGAAGGCGTATGCGCCGAACACTTCTCACCCCTCTATCTCCAATACTACCCACCCTTCGACGGCGTGGTCCTCTCCTACGAGAATGTGCGACTATCAGAAAATCCCGAAGAAGGTCTGCGCGAAGATGGCCCATCCACAGTCCTTGCGCGGAGCATCAACGAATACGGCGTTGAGTTCGTCTGGGTTACCGCAGATTTTCTGGTCTTCCGACCTGCGCCGAATACATATCTCAAGGCGGAAGTGAATTTGCAGAATGAGAGCATTCTGGGTTTGCTATACTTGAATTATTTCACGGTTTCGATACCTAAGGAGAACCTGCCGGAGGACTGGAAGTGGGATGGAAGTCAATGGGTTGATGCGCAGGGAGAAGTGGTGAAAGAGGCGGTGTGTAAGGTGGTGGATTTTGAGCCTTCTGGCGAGGGAAGCATTTCGATTACTGGGACACTGGTAGGACTATGATTGATCGACAACGACGAACGCAAATGCATCGAATGCTAGGCGTACATGACAAACGGCTAAGTTGACTGGCGAACGACAACGTGGCCTGCAACTATATGCCGTCGGGAACCAGTTCCTCGGAGCAAGTAAAGGAAATGGTTCTTTTGACTGTGCTCAAGAGGTCTCCTTCACCAGCAACGCTCATCAGGACGGCAATCGGCGTCGCCATTCAGCACTACATCTTCTGGAGAGGGCTGAATTTCGGGCAACAGCCAGGAGTGCTCTACGTGGTGCAGAGGCTTCTAAGTGAGGCATTCATCGGCTACAAGGGTCCAAAAGCTGATATTTGCTTTGGCTAAATCTGGATTGGACATCCACAGGATATCTGGTACGACGCAACGTCCTGTACATGCCATCGAGGTGTGCGGGCTCGAGTCTGGCCTCTAGCATGAATTGAACAGATCCGCGGACGTGGTGTGATTTGTGCCAGTTCGCATGAGAGAGTTTTCCGATATGTGGCTTTGGAGACATGCTTTTGAGGCTTACAGTGTCGACCTTTGTAAGCAGGAGACTCATCGTTAGAGACCAAGTATGACGGGCGGATTATCACGCCATCACAGGCGTGGCCCCAACTTGTACTTGAAGTGCTCTTGAAAGCTCAATGCTGGCTTTGCTGGCCGCAAGCCAAACGGGAAAAGGATTCGGCGTGCGGAAGGTGGCATTTGAAATCGGCTATGGGATCCTCGACGGGGTAGAAAGAGACCAGGCTTCGATAAACCCACTTCAAAAGACATGTGATCGCTGCGTAACTACATAGGGTATATCAAAAGTCAGAAACGCTCCCGATCAATGCACACAAAACGCCGCGCTGGTCTGTCCATGCTGTGCCGTTGATGCCGCAAGAGTACGCATACCCATGATTACCCTCCAAGAGCTTGCTTCGAAATGCAAAATCAACTAACTGTTCATGCTCTTAATTATTCCTTGATCGTACCCCACTGCCGCGCAATACCACCTCTCTGCATACCGCCCCTTTGTCCGCCCAAACTCTGAGAGTGCGAATGTCCAGCCCTGCTAGATTGCAGACTCTGCCGAACGATGGCTTCTGCCGCAGCTGCAGCCGCAAGTCGCTCTTTCTGCCTGCTACGATCTTTGAGATATCTTTCTGCTTCCGGCCTCATTCTGAGAATTCTCAAAATCATGTCGTCGTTCGGATCGGCTTGTGCCTCCTTCCTCTTCTCTTCCTTGGCCTTGCGCATTGTACCAAGATTCCTCTTTTGCAAGATCGATTTGCTACGACGTGTTCCTCCGAGTGCTGGAGAAAGGAAGCCAGCAGGCGCAGACATGCGATTGAGGCGAGCAGCTTGCTCTTGCTGTCGCGCAGCTGTCGCGGAAGCCATGGCTTCAGATGTACGAATTAGGTTGTCTGTCGATTCGAAGTAGAAGAATGCGAGATTCTGGAGGTCATGATATTTCGGACTCTTGAGCACGTCTGTCGGAACGCCATCTGCTTTGCCGGTCTCGTGGTCCATGGCATTGAAAAACTCGAAGAGTATCTGCAGACATGTCAGTAATGAAAGTGTCAACGAGCGCTTGACGATGCTTACCTGTAACCACTTGTAGACCACATCGACTTCTGCTTGCGTGAGTGGCTTCTGTGCAGACGGCTTGTCGCTGAGCGGCGGCACTAGCAAGCTCTCAATCTGAACCAGGACTTCTTTCCACAGCCTGGTCATCACCATGGTCATCGCGCTATCCGTGAGCGTCTGCTTCATAATCGCAAAGTTATCATCGAAGTACTGCAAGAGCGGTTTGAGCGCATTGTTGGCTTGCTCCACCAGCGCCGAACCTGTCGGCGCTTGCGGAGGCGGCGTAGCAACGGCATGTGATTTGCCTTGGACTTGATTCGTCACCCGTGAGAAGTAGCCTCGCATCGTGTTCATGGACACGCCCGCGATGGCAGCGGAGGTGGACGTGCTCGTGAGTCCTCGAAGCGTTCGACGAGACAGACATTGTTGAATGTAGGCCAGCAACTTGTCAGTGATCTTCCGCGTCATATCACGCTCTGTCCTCTTCAAGGTGCGGAATGCCTTGCCGAAATAGAATTGGATGTCATCTCGCTCGCCTTCCATGCTCACTCGCACAAGGACGCGGCCTTGTGTGTCGAGGTCCAGCCAGTACTCACGAGGCAGAAAGTCATTGAAATGGTTAGGGTCAAGCTTTAGACTCGTGCGACCAAGGCAGTCGTGGTCACCGAGTGCATCCCAATCCCATACTGTAGCGATGATGTTGAGCGGCCCTGTCGTAAGAATGTCGATGGTCTCGTCCCATCGCGGGTTCAAGGACTGGTAAACTGTCCTCGTCTTGGCCAAGCGTTTCTGGTACTCGTCACCAAGGACAACGTACGGGTCACTCAATCCATTCATATCACCTGCTTTGAGGTCCTCGGCTTCAATGATCTTTATAGTGAACATGCATTTGTTGTTGCCTCGCTTGCGAACACTTGGCGGAGGCGGAGGCTCATGTCTTTGAATCGCTTCCACGCAAGCATCGACATTCATCTCAGCCTCGACTTTATCAAGCTGAAGCGTCGCGTACTCAATGTCGTTGATCTTGACAAAGCTTTCGGGCCAGAAATTGAAGGGTTCGATCTTTTGACTGAGGCTGCCAGTTGCCCACGCATCACGCGCAACTGACATCCATCTTTCACGTTGCGTTTGTTGTGCGCGAGCTTCTTGTTCTGGCGTCTGGCGGTCCATTTCTTTCGCAAACTTCGTCTCCACGAGCTCGCAATACCGCGCCACGCCTTTGCCGATCGACTTGCTGATCGCAGTCATGAACTTCGCATATTGCAAGTCATTGTCCCAGTTGAGCTTGATAATTTGTTCGATACTTTGGTTGAAGATCCGGTAAACGTCGATTGCACTCTGAGAGTGTCGCTCCTCGTCAGTAGGTGACTCTCCACGTGCCTCTGCGGCTGGATCTTGCCTGATCTTGAAGTCGTCGTGAGCAACACTGCCTTCGATCCAGTCGAGAAGTTTGCTGTCAGTCAAATTTATCCAACGCCATACAAAGTCCTGCAGGTGATGCTCAATATCGAATGCAAACTCTCGTCCAGGCAGAGCTTGTGAGTAAACGCCACGGATCTCAACCATGGCTGCGTACAGCTCGAAGCCGTCTTGCACCGGAACCTCCTCCCCGCGTGCTTTAGTAACTTCCATGATGCGTGCAACAAGCTCCTTCGCATCGCTCGAGAATGAAGGTAGGATCTCTTCAACCAAGATGGGAAGTGGCTTCACCCCCATTACATCCGGCATTTTCCTAAAACGCTTCTGGATCTTATTGCACAGTCCTGTCACTGCTTGGCCCAGCTGAATAACGTTGAAGAACTCCCAGTTGGCAGACTCATCTGGCACATGTTTCGATAAAAGGTCATGGTACTGATCCCGCGCCTTGCCACGTAATTGCTCGGTCATCATGTTGGCGAAAGCGGTCATGTCTTCCTCATTCCTACTAAAGGACGGATCGGACCACACATGTTCCTCCAATACAACCATGATGGTAGAAAATGCTGGTGGTTTGTTCTCGTACACGTGTTGAAACATATCATAGAATTCGCGCAACAGAGCGTCCTGCAGCCCATTCAATAAGCTTTGCATTGTTGCGAAATCGCTGACAGTCCACTTGTTTCGATCGTAGAAGTCCACAAATGGCGACTGAGCCTTGCCTTTCTTCGGCTCCGGGGGCGGTGACTTGGCCAATTGGAATGCCGCGTCTAATGTATCGAGCGATATTTCTTGGTTCTGGTACTTTTCTCGGATGACGTCCAGGAATAACACCATCCTCGTAAAAGCTGGCACTCGCCATCGCTGCGCTATCTCGTTGAGAAGTTCTTGTGTAGGGGCGGAAATCAATTTCGGCCCATCTCCGTTCGCCTGCACATCTTCGTCTTCGAGGTCGGCGGTCAACGCGAGCTTGAGTGCCTGTCTGTAATACGCTTTGACGTCGGGTGGGATGAATGTGAAATTGCCTTGTGATCCGTCGATCGATCCGGTACCAGAGTCGCGCGGCGAGGAATCGTCCAAGTTCAGTCCACTAATATCCACGGGGTGATCTAACACATAGCTGGCATCGAGCTCACTGCCCTGCTTCGAGAGAGACTTGCCTAGTTCGCTGTACATGGCGTCGTTGTTTGCGGTATGTGGGGCCTTCAGCTGAGGGAGCACTGCGCTCGAGCTCTTCGCAAGAGTCGGATCTGACTGTAGCAGAGCCAGCATCATCTGGCTCAATTCACTGAGTTCACCTTTTCGCCACGCCTCGTATGCTTCATCCAGGTCAAAATCATCCTTCGACAATGTTACCCGGGTATTCAGACTCAAATGTGTTTGGTACTCCTTCAAATCTCGCAACGCCTCTTTCTCCGTCCAATGGTCCTTGTGCGCGTTTATATCGTTCTGGGCCTGCACTGTCGGTTTCGAGAATACCCTACACACTCTGATAACTAGCGGCATATCCTTCACTTCGTACGAACGTGGCACTTCGACTTCCACGCTGGTGCCTCCTTGACCGCCATTTCTCTGTTTCTCATCTGCAAGGTCCTGATCGTGTTGTAATAATTTGGTCTCCAGCGATTTGAGCCTGCTTGTGAGTTCAGGTCGGTCTCTGGTCCAGTCGTTGTTGTTCAGTGTGCTACTAATGAGCCTGACGAACAGCGCTACGTGGCGGTCGACCATGAGTTTCCAACCGTCATCTTCTGGCCCTTTTCCCAGCTGCAGCGTGGCCGTGGCCTTTGAAAAGAAGATCAACAACAAATCCTCAACCTTTCTATCTTTCTCCATACTCTTTCGGAAAGTGGGATTCTTGAACTCATTCAAGAACACACCAAAAGTCCTCTTGATATCGCTGTTGTGATACTCAGGCATCTTCTCCGTGCCGGTCAACACGCCCGTCAGGCGCTTATCGAGCGCCGTCATGAAGCCATGGGGGAATTTGGTGCTCTTGCTGTCTCGCATCAAACTGAAATCCCGGACCATGTCATTGATCGAAGTGCCACTCCGCTGAATGGGCTTGGAGGTGTTGGCAACATGCTGCACCCGCTTCTGCCGCGGCTGCAGCAGATAAACCAGGTATGCGGCGCGCAGGGCGTAAAGGTAGGCATCGTGCTCGGAAACGTGGGTATTGCGCTTGGAGTAGCTGCCACTCATGTTGCGGCGCAGAGTCTCTCGCGCGGCGTGCGAGTTGGTGCGGCGGCTGTTGACCGAAGAGCGTGACGAGCGGTCCATGATGCCGTCGTCACTGCGATGCTACAGGACTCCCGTGGTGTTGCAGGCCTCGCATCGGACGCCCGCCACGAGCAGCGACTGCCTGGTCTCTCGTCGTCGTCCAGCCTGGGGAATCGCAGTCGCCCAGGCTCGCAGCTTTCCACGCGCGGGGATGTGCGCGTGCTACGGCTCCCCCTTCCCTGTCCCAGCACGGAAAGCAGCGCCAGCGACTTCCGAGAAATTGGTGCAGTGCTCGTTCAAGCCTGGCAGAAATTCCAAGAGAGAGAAGACTGTGTATTGTTGTTGGCAACAACAGGATTCAAACCCAACGGCAGATTGCAACGCGAAACGCCCACTAGATCGACACTGCTTGGCACACTTTCACGAGACAGCGGCGACGTCACGCTATGCCATAAATAAGCAGGCTAGCGGGGATGGAGTCGGTATGCTGCTTTGTTCTCCACTCGCGTGTCGTTCTTGTCATGCGTATCAACACCACCTCAGCAGGTTCTCGTTGATCGCTTGTCAAGCACTGCTCAAAACGTGTCTAGCCGGCCCGAGACACTCTTTAAAAGCGAATCTGACATTATCGAGGAGCCAATCTGCCGGATCAGAAACCTAGAACACGAGCTCCGAGAAGAGACCACTGGCTCCGCCAATCTTACGTTTCGTGTAGGGCTGCTGTGGCTGGAAACAGGATATACAAGTTCTAGCTGAGAACAAGCGCCCATTCGGCGAGGCGACAGTACGGGTGGACTTCTGTTGATGCATTTAACTGCATTTACCTCGCTTGTGATCTTTCGGAGAGCACGTCGCGATCAGCCAAGTCTCATACGTAGGGCAGCCTGATCATCAAGGCCTATGCATACTCTTCTGGGGCAGAATTCACGCCTACTTGCGCCACGCTGTGTCATTCTAATTTCTGTTCACAATATTGTCTCGTTCCCCTGTCACTTCGGTGTCCGCGTCTCATTGTTTCTGTTCTATCGGGTTTAAGACATCCGGCAAGACGAATGGGCCTACGAGAGCCTTTGAGGCAGAACCAGAGGAGGCTAAAAGGTCCGTTGTTGCTATTGCAGAGTAATAAGCTTGGTGCTTGATCTAGCTTTGAACAAATTATGGTACAATGCTATACTACATGCTATAATTTGATCGAGATGTCGTACCGGTCCAACACTAGAGCGACTCCAGTCAGGACAGCCATGTAGCTCACCAACACAGTCATAGCAGGTACGTCTGCCATGTGAATGGTCGGCATGGTCATGTTGACCAGTCCAGTGAGAAGGTTGGCCAGCAGAAAGATGGCCAAACCGTTGCGGTTGTAGGCACGCATCACTGGGCTAGTCGCCTCACGAATCCGTGTTTGCTCTGCCTCCTTCGTTTTCGCATTGTACAGATTGGGGAACATGCCAGCTTCAATGACGTTGAACAGAAGAAGCTGTCCATAGTTGAATGCGCATACCCAACAAACATATGCAAGATTTGCCATACGCCGTGAAACAAACAGGCGAGGGCCATATCTCCACATCGCCCACGTGGAGAAGATGAACCACATGAAGAACAAGGCACCTAGTCGGGGCAGCGTTGACTTGGGCCATTCTGGCTTGAGCTGAGGCATTTTGATTGGTGGAGGTGCCGCATCCTTCTTCTCGCCCTCGTTCTCGGCCGCGCCAAGAACGGTGGCCAACCACTCTTCGTCTGCGTCGAGAGGGTCCTTCTCAGGCAGCTTCTTCGCGCCAGGCTCTGGATCCCTGGGCAAGATGTTAACACCAGCGCCCATGCCAGCAATGAAGATGGCCAAATAGCCGATAAAGGAGAAGACGCCTTCTCTGTTCTGCGACAGCCAATCGCCTGGTTTCCTTTCTGAGAGAATGATGTAGACCTTCATGTCCGGTACGCAGAAGAGTATGAGTTCGTAGCAGATTGCGAGCACGAACGCAAATATGTTGTAGCCACCAACATACTGGGTTAGTCGTAGTACCGGCTGCAAGATGGCTATCGCTGGCGAAAGAAGCGCCAGTGTGAAGAAAAAGTTCCAGTGAACGCCATATTCGCTCACATGTTCCGCGTAGTCGAGCTTCTTGACACTCAGAAGTCGAACAAAGCCCAGAACCGCCAGTGGTAGAGAGTGCCTAAGCGCAGATTTCAGACGCTTCACCAGTGATCGCGACGCCTCGTTGTCCTCTTTGAGTTGTTGCCGTGCAGCGACAATACCAGCTGCGAAGACGAATGAGCCAACGCCCATATCCATGAGTGATGTACCGAACGATTCTGTCTTCGCGAAGCGTCGTGGGAAGATTGGGAAATCAACAGCTAGGATACTGGAACATGTGATGATCATCATGGCACCGCGATAAGCCGTGATGAAGGGCTTCACAGGTAATGGATTTTTATCGTCGGCGGTCTTGTCATCTGAAGAATCGTCCTTGCCAGCAACTTTTGAAGGAGGCTTGGCCGCCTTTTTGACTTCTGGGCTAGGTTGCAGAAAAGCTGCAACGGCTGGGAGGATGAGTAAGCCATTGAGAACCTGTGGAGCTCCAGCATAGACGGTCGTAGCGAACAGAATGGAACCGCATTGAATTAGGAAGTCGGAGAATGCTGCGGCAAGGGTGTATTGTTTGAAGAAGTTTTGTCGAGTCTGCAGCATGGCCCACAGAAAGGCGGCGGCCTGCATTATCCGTCAGTAGGTTTTTAAATCCATGCAACCAGGAGTCGTACGGGAGCCACCAGGGCAACATGATTAATTTCCCATATTCCGCCACCTCCCAGGAACGAGACCGAAGCTTCCTTTTCCGCCTTGTACTCGGGTGTCATTCTGCTGTTGCCAAGACTCGAGCCTGAAGTTGTCGATAGCACGAATGAAAAAAGAAGGTAAGGGAACGTGTCGTTGATGGAAGAGATTTGGGTCGGCGTCGGCAGGAGGAAAGCGCGGATCCTTGCCGCTGGCGCCGTTGCACACATCCCTGCAAATGCCGCGCCAAGAAACAACTTCACTTCGACTTTCACCGCGACTTCACGTAGCTTCGCGCTCGCAAATTGCATCAGACATAACATAGCATCGCGCCTTCGATCGCGTATCCATCATAACGATGAATTGGACGCACACATACGTGCTGCGGTGCAAACACTGCCAAAAGGATCCCGGCAGCACGAGAGATCCCGAACGCGCCAATAGCATTTGAAGTCGAAAGCGCAACATAGGACTGCACTTGAGGCTTGCTAGCGCAGGGCAACAGTTATAAGGAGTACTCCTGAGTGCGTAGCTGACAGAATTACGCTGCCTCAAGCTGCTGTAGGCACCCGCCATCACCGGCCGGCCTTCACAATGCAGCTGCCGCGTTTGGCACAAACGCAAGATGCCGCCACAACACGTGGAGAGCGAGGACGATGAGACTGTGCGACTCTCCCTTTTCAATCTCTCTACATCTCTTCTTCGTCTGCACTCGTTCGCATTTCGAAGACTATGCCCAAGAACGTGCTGGAAAGCGCAAAGTGAAATGCCCGTTGGAAGTCGAAGTGGCGGGCGTTCGCCAGCTGCAGGTCGCTACAGGAGCTGCAGAAACGGTCGTCAAGAGCTCAAGTTGCGTCAAAACATGAGCACAGACACAAAAGAAGTTCGCACCGCCGCCGCCCCTCCATCGAGATTTTACAACTTCACCTTCCCCTCGCAAGACGTGCCGCCTGAGCTTTCACCACATTGGACCAGACACTCTCCATTGAAAGGCTCCCCCTCGCCTGCAGCGTCACTGCGATTCAAGACACTACCGATGTCCTCCCCAGACAAGATGCCGCCGACTGCCGAGTCAGAGCAAGACCGCCGCGCCAGCCTGTCGCCAGACGAGGTGCAATCATCCACTCTACCAGAACGTGTGCCCGCTCGCGCCAGCAGCCCGCCACCAGACAAGATATCTTCGCCTGCCGAACCAGATCCAATTGCCATGCCACTGCCAGATTGCCATGGCAGCTCGTTGTCGCGACGTGACTCGACGGGCAGCAACAGAACACTAACTAGTGGATTAAGTCTCAGTGCCACAGCACCGTCGCGTAGCCAGCTTAGCCTCAGAGCGTCGCCACCATCGACTCGACTACTCGCAGGCACATATGCATCCTCCACTCGGCCTTCGCCGGCCACCACGAGGCGCGCTCCAATTCCCACCCGCCGGCCGTCCTCAACCTCGATTTCAAGACTCCCACGCCCCGACGTCAGTTATCCCATCACGACTATTCCGACCACCAGATGGGGCGCTCGTGTCAATAAGTCCATCTCCGACACCGGGGTGAGCAACCAGCTTCCGCGCCCGTCGCCTTCAGGTCCAGTATCAGCAAAGCCGCTTCCGCCGCGCCCGGTCGCTACTCTCGCGTCTACACCCAGTCCTTCAAAGGACGGCCGAACTCTGATCGATGCCAGTGAGCAGCCCTTGCAGATCATTACGGATGCCGATGGCGATGCTCACGATTGGCCAGCACTTACCCCACGGTCCTTCAGCGCACCACATCAGTTCGACGCAAACGCCAGGGTCACGCCAAGCTCTATTCCACGCATGGTGTCAATCAGTCACAGTCACCGCAGTGCACAACCCAGCTCTAGGACTTTGGTGGACCATGTCGTTGGCAGAACCTCTGCATTGACCGATCGCACTTCGCACTTGTCATTCGTTACTGCGGACGAGGCTATGGACATTGACGCTCGGAGTGGAACGGCATCATTCCTGGAGGACACTTCCCAGAAGTCTACCCGCGAAGATCCAGCACCACAGGGTATCTATCCTTCTCGCGATCAGTCTCTGGCAGCATCTCACAGCTTCGACGATCTCCGGTCATCGACTGAGAAACCCCTACCTCAACTTCCAACACTGCCCGATTTTGCCAACGAGATGTTGACCTCCGAGTACGAAGCACACAAGCGCAACACACCGCCGGCCAACTTTTCACGACCAATGTCCAAGTCTCCCAATCTCTTAGCTGAGTCGCCAAGTTTCGCCGCAAATGCTCGACAGCAGAAGACCGCATCGCGTATCCCAAGATTTGAATACAAGAGCAGACCAGTGCGTGTCAATTCGCAAGGCCTAGACGTCGCATCGGAACAGCCTACACAGAGTAGTCCATCACTGAGCGGTCTATACTCAACATCACCCAGTGCATTCGCCGTCACCAGCCGCGAGCTGCAGCATCATATCCAGCGCACAAACACCAACGGCAGCACTGCTAGCGAGGACTCTCCATCTCTGCCTCGACGCATTCGCAAATACCGCACTCGTGATCACAGCGGAAGTAGTACTCCCGCCTATACCACCGGTGCGAGTTCAGCAGATGAAGAGGACCTTGTCACGCCTGTCAGCTCACCGTCCCTGCCAAGATCAAGCAGTATGGCGAATCTCACGCCCGGTGAGGAGAATACCGATGATGATGAACCCTTCATGTCGTACTCACCAAACATACCACGAACCAAGCACTTGCCTCCTTCTACAAGCCGTCATACCGACCAACTTGCGACCATTCCATCTCTGCCGGACTTCAAGAACTGTTCTACCCACCTCTCACCAACGCCAAGGAAGTATATCGCAGATGCAAAGACTGAGATCGAAGAGGAACTGAACGTTGTTGATGACCAGAACGATGCTGTAATGAAGGAAGAGCAGACCGAACTCGACTGTGAGACTAAGGATCAACACACACACACGCTATCTCAACTGGAAGGCCATCGCAGACCTACACGCCAATTCACCAATGACAATCGTCTATTGCAAACTCTGACCCCTACTGTACATACACCCAGCTATGTCCGACCAAGCGACAGCTTTATCGCCGCGGCTACAGTAGCCCAAAAATACGTGGAGCAAGACTCCGTTGGCAGTGAGCAGATTGAGGCACGCCAGCAGAAAGTACAAGAGGAAGAAGCTCAAGCTGCATCGAAGAACGAGCCTGGATATGGAGACTACCCAGCCCCAAATATCCCGAGCAAATGGTCGGACAGTACGCCGTCAGGCATGGCAAGCTCCTCTGGAGACTCACCGAGGGAGCCGCAGACCTCGATTGGATTCCCATCAGCCGATCGCATCCCGAGTACCAGAGCTGCTCACCCTTCTGCCTCCGCCAGCCGCCACTCTTCGCCGACACTTGGCATCACCACGCCGTACCAGCCAGAGCCCGTGAGAAACGTGAAGCGTGCTCGAGAGGATATCGGCGGGCGTGGCGGCTTCGCGCGGATGACTGCAGCATCAGCTGCCAAAGCCTCGCCCTCGACGCGCACCCCACGGGCTCCGGGCAACCCCATGGGGCCACGCGCACGAAGCAAAAGCCGCACGGTGCTGGCCAAGGTGGCCGGCTTCTTCTCGCACAAGAAAGAGAAGAAGCCGCACCAGCTTCAAGTGGCCCCGGGCCCCCCATCGCCGCCAACTCTGCTCGAGGCCGAGCAGCCAGAGCCAGCCGCCGCTTCTCCGGCCAACGACACCACCTCCGCGCCACTAGATGGCGAGTCTGACGACGTGAAGACTCTGGCGGAGAAGCTGGAGGAGAAGGCTCGGCTGCAGAGCTCGCCAACGAGCAAGGCGAGGATGATGAACTTCGCTCACGTATGTGCCTATCTTTCTCCATTCATCTCCCTGTACCAAGCTAACCTGCATGTAGATCCTCAGAGAGGCGGTGGCGAACGCCAAAGAGGCAGAGAAATTTGCCTTGGCGGCAAAGCAGGCGGCCGAGCAGGCCGAAACGGCTCACGAGAAGACGAAGGTGGCAGCGGACATGCTGCAGAGGCTCGCCACCAGCCTCGTCCGCCTGTAGGCCTGCCTGCCTACCTGCCTCTTTGGCGCGCCCTGGGGGGCGCTGGGTAGTTTACGTAGTGATGAGAATGGAAAGGTTACGCTAACACACTTTGTCTCCCCGTTTGTGCTTCCGCCCGAATGATGTGTTGTGAGGCGTCGAGTAGTAAGATTGTGAGGTTCATGATTGATCTAATGCAGCAGAGCCAGCAGTTCACCTAGGCCGCTCTCTGTCTGATCGATCGCTTGCCTGCCAACGAAGGGTCAGAAGGCGGGAATCTAGGCTTTCGAATTCCGATGGGGATGTGATCCCGAGGCCAGTCTCTCCATCGAAACCGGGTTTCAATGCTAACAGATTTGCAGAAACTGGAGGTGTGGGTGTTCAAAGTGCTTCAGAAACATCACTGACATGTCCAGTATCCCCAATTCGCAGCAAGCTCTCAGAGCCAACGAATACGAAGAAGACGAGGAGTTCCAAGGATGTAGCCTCACAGAGAGGTTGTTCGATCTCCTCTTATCTCTGCTGGCATTGTAGTCTGCGTGCCAACGGATGATCGGATGGCGAGGAGCTGAGATCTTAAATGAAGACGGAAAGAAAATATTGAGTCCACCGTGTCTCCATTGAATGTACTCCGTCAGAGCCACCAGATGTTCAGATTCCAAAAACTTGGGCTTTCGAATTGATATCGAGCTCTTTTCTGCGAAGAATGGCATCACCTGGACCTAACTCAAAGACATGACAAGCTTCTTGCCGCTTTTCCGAGCATAGCAGAAAATTATATTCGATCTTGGAAACCTAGTAAACGATATCTATACAAGTCTATTTAACACAACCCTTACTGCAGCCTCCTTTACAGTTCAAAATGGCCCTATACCGGCCGATGCTATAATTCATATCTCCAAACGACAAGGCGCTACAGGACAGGCTACCTTCTTTCAGTTCTCACAGGACAAGGCAGCGAATGCAATCACCCTGCAGCACATGAGTGCAAACACTCTTTCGTCAACTCATATAGACAACCATACGTTGGGGCCTACTCGTCACCACCATGTGACTTCAACCGAGTTACCATGAACCTGACTGTGCAAGCAGCAGGCAGGCAATACGACCGCCTTGGACCGGCCTCTTTCGGCGAGCATTACCAATAGCTTCGTCGCACTATATTAGGTCAAGGGAGCGACCGCAATGACAAGGAGAACGCCGTGTCACGTTTGCTGGATCCGCCTGGATCGTTCATCTGCGGGAATAGGGTAGGTCCTTTATATATTACTTTGCTAGTCCTAAGCCCTACCCGGCGTAATTTTGCTTAGGCTAATAGGAGGAGTACTCGCACTTGCAGTGCTCGTTACCGTCTGGCCGGAGATTCCATGCAAAATGACGCTTTCGAAGTCAATGGACGATAGAACCAGCTCAGACATAAGGTGAGTCGAGATCGCAGAGGCGGCTCAAGCTGAATAGCAAAGCGAGCATATTCTGCCTGGTGAATTTGCGCCTCTTTCCTTCGCGCTCTTGGTATATCCACTCTGGCCACATCGCATATCCGGAGGCAACCAATTCGGAGACTCGACTCGATGAGAGGTAATCCAGCAGACTGAAGAATCTACAATGTGTTCAAGATCGATCCATACAGAGAGCACTTGTATACAAATCCTACTCCTCACATGCCGAAAGATCTATCATACATCACCAAGAAACCGTAGATCTTTTCCGAAAGTCGTAAACCCATATCTCGATTGCGAAACGAAGTTGAATACCAACAGAGCTCCACCCAATATTTTGAAACCTGAAGTACCCATAAAAGAGGTAGCACCAAGAGACCTCTACTCACGCGTCCAATGTACAAGATTTATTCCTCTTCCTCATGTACTACCTTGAGCCGTTCGTTCTGTTTTCGTATCAAAGATGACTGGCTCTTTTGTGATGAAAGCCAACGATCGAGAGCGGATGTTGTACTACGCAATAAAACAATGCAATTAGCACGCATGTTTCCATTGTACGACGTTGAACAGAGACGGCTGGGGTCAAGACGTAAAGTTGAAGTGTTGCTGAGAGCCTAGCAAGTGCTGGTGGGCGTGATAGCATGGACTGCGAAGTGAGACTTACCTTTGATCAGGCATCGCGCCTGCGACCACAGTCTCCAAGGGGTTATTCGGATTCGATCGCTGTGCTCGAGGCGGGATAGGAGGTGGCGGATCTGCATAGGCGGGAGCGGGAGGACGCGGCGGTAGTGATTTAGCGTGGCTGTACCCGTTCGTCTCGGCGGCGACGCTGTGATCGACGGGAAGCGCATCGTTGGTCGTACTCATGTGTTGGAACTTGCTGTTGAGCTTGCCGCAACTGCTCTGGCGGACGGGAAACTGGGGCGGATACTATAATGATAGAAGACATTAAATGTTAACCCTGGTATTCTTCACTGTATATTCAATATATGCTGCCGTTATCATCGCCGTAGAAATTCATGATGCTGTCGATGGTGTTTCTGGCGTTTCTGATGCGTACCTGAACCAGCGGACTTGCTTGCGCTTCTGCAAGCGTCACTTCTTCCCCGCTGTATGTCGAGATCCAATCGTCGTCTTCGTCGAACTCTGTCTCGCACATGCTGGGTATTCCGTGTTGTCGGGTAGAAGTGTTGCTGGATCGCTGTGCTGTTGTAGTTGTATTGGAAGATGATTGCGAGGTCGAGTGCGTTGAGGCTGCTGAGGCTTCTCGTGTGGGTATCTGGGGATTGAGATCTATCTGCGACTGCGTCGGCTGTGTCAGCGCCTGAAGGGGGTGTGAACCTGAGTTCTGAGGCTGGTGGTGGTGGTGGTCGTCTCTGTCGCCGTCCGATTCTGGGATCCCGGACATCGGTGGAAAGGCATATCTGGAGCGCAGAGAGGGCAAAGCAGTGACTTCTTCAGTAGGAATTTCAACAATTGGTTCAGGAGATGGATTAGGTGGGAATCCAGTGGAAGTGTTGGCTCGTGGCTCGGGCCCAGCTGATGAAGGTGGTCGGGGGAATGCGGAAACATCTATGCCGTGCTTCGCTAGGTCTTCTGGCGTGTACATTTCGGGGTTCTGAGCCATGTGATTGTTACCAATGTAGGTCCAAAATCGGTTTGTACGTGCTTTGATGCTTCCAGGGCCAGAGCTTTGATGTTGGGCGATGAGGTTCGCCAGTGACTGTTTCTTTTCAATGCTCGTGGCGTTGGAATCTCGAAGCGAGTCCTGCCACGACTCCATGCTATGCGTCGAGCGATTGGATGGCAGCACGTTAGCTCCATTCAAGGAAATGGAGTCGCCGTCAAGTTTTGGATTGCGAGAGGATGGTCGCCTCAGCAACTGGTCAGAGCTCGTGCGCACGGGACGTTTGGGTTTCACATTCTTCGGCTCTCCAAGTAGCACTCTGGGGAATCCACTGATCGCAAAGCCATCCGGCTCCAGACCATCATGCTTGGTCAAAAACAGTGTAATGGACGTCGCATTGTTCTCATTCTTCAGCGGAATTTGCACATTCGGAAGGCCGAAAACTGCCCTGGAGATCATGAGATCAGTGATGGCGTGGGATATTGGTATCCTAAATGCCGATTCGGCATTGTTCATGTCTGGCTTGACCAAGAAGTATGGCACAAAGTCATCAGTCCGTCGTTCTTCGATGATACGACCTAGACCCGTCAACTCTGCGCTGCCATCGTCGAAGCGGCAGGTGATCACCCCAGAGCAAACTTGCTCGCTTTTCTCTGCGGTCGCCTTTGATTGCAGCTCGAGGTAGAAGGAAGACGCAACCAGCCTGTGCGCAACGTTTCGAAGTGCAGCTTGTCTGTGGGCTGTCTGCAGGCGTTTACGCACATTGACTTGTAACGAAAGGAGATCGGATTTGCTGTCTGCCGAGGGTGGCTCGCGGTCCAGATCCGGGTTAAATCGAACAAATCTTCGCCCTTTGCCATCAGCTCTCTCGCGGACAACAAATTGTCGGAAATGCTGCCAGGCAAGTTCTGCTTCCAGCACATCATCTGTTCGCTTGGAACGCCATCTTCCGCTCGCCCTTGTCGTAGTCGGTGAAGCCGGCGTGTCTGTTTGCGCGGAAGTAGGATATGCAGCCTTCTGCCGATCGGAGAGCTTTTGCAAGATAGTGATTCTGTTTTGTCCAGTACCAAGTGAGAGAAAGACATCAGGTTCCAATTGATCAGGCCATATGAGCCTTCGTTCTCGGTCTGCAATGAATGCAGGATTTGGACTTCGCAAGCCTCCGTCCAGGTAGGTCTTGCCATGAAAGACGAAAGGCTTGAAAAATGCAGGGCTTGCGAGCGAAGCGGCAATAGCTTCATATGTTTTCAATTCCATGTCTGGATCATGCGGGCGCTCGAATGCATAGGCAGGTATCGGATCTTCAGGGCGACGGTAGCTAGCGATCACGATCGTTTCTTGGCCAGTAGCACTTGTCGACGTCAACGCAACGCGAGCGCCGTTCCTCGTATTGTCGTGCGCACCGAAAAGGTCATCATCCTCAGTGAAAGCTGTCTTTAGTGCGCCTAGCAGAGGCTTCGTTTTGTACTTTGGTGCACTCCCGAACATTTGCGCGATCTGGCTGATCACGGGCACACCTTTCAATCGCGGCGTGAAGGCATGATCGCACATCGCAGAGAACATGTCTGTGATAGAGTCGATCGTTCGGTCCTTGAGGGATAGTGCCGTGGCGATCAAGCCTCCGGTCCCAGTGCCAAGAATAAGATCAAAGAACACTTGCACCGGAAGATGGCCACCGAGTGCTTGTTCGATCGCCCGCAGTACTTCCAGTTGAACAATGCCTCGAATGCCTCCTCCATCAAGTGACAGGATGCGTACTCCTGCTCCCACTGGCTTAAAGCGAATGCTCGCTGGCTTGGCCCAATTGGTTGATTCTCTGTGCAGTGGACAGCAAGATACTTGTAGCATCGACTTGTTTGGCTTGCCATAAGCCTTGATGCATGCTGTGCACAGAACATGGCCACAGGGCAATGGATGCTCAGGTACATCCATTAGACAGCAAAAGCAAGTGGCGTGGCTGACCATAGATGATGCAGGTCCAACCGCCTCAAAGAATTGGTTAATGTATTCAATGTGCAAATCCAGAGCGATTCGCTCCTCAGGCACAGAAGGCTCGTCCCCCGCCGAGATGGTGTCCAGCTCGTATTGGAAGTCTCTCGCGATGCGCTGAATCGCGGCTGTGAGCTGTGATTTCCATTTTGGTAAGAATTCTGCGTCGAATGCAGCTTGGTAGTCGCCCGTTGCAATGATTCCCTGTTCGTCTTGGTGGCCCTTGACGTTGTGGCGTGCCTTCACGAGCATACATTGCCGTGTCCCGTCCGCGCTGATGTAAGAGCATGGATAGTGCATCTCTAAATATTCTCCCATTGCCCAGTCAAAGAACTGTTCATAATTCGAGAACAGCTCGTCGACTCTGCCTTTTCGAAAGCGAGCACAATCCAGTAGAACACACGAAGCAAGCATTACGCTCAACTTTTCGAACACCCACGCTATACGTCCGTGTTGGTGATTGGGCTGCTGCGCGCTAATTGTTGTGCACAGCTGAAGGATGTGCCCGCCAAAGTCATTTGGGATCGGATTTCGCAATAAAGAAATTCGCATGAAATTGAAAGGGATGTCCAAATGGCTTGTAAAATGATCGAAACCACTCTGCAGGTAGATGTTGAGCTCATCCGCATTGGTCAACATGCGCGCTCTTCGTTTGTTACGGAAAGACTCCTCGCAGTTGCTTTTGATGATGCCTTGCAACTTTCCGACTTGTTCGTGTATGGTCGTGTATCGTGGCTTTGCGGGGATGCGAATGACCTTGAAAGAGCTGTAGTAACGTAGTATCAGATCCTCGACATTATAGATATTCTTGCCCAGACCTCTCCAGTACGCAGCCAGCTCGCGGAACCTAGGAACGCCCTCGACTGGATCCAGTGCTGTCTTTACTGACAGAAGCAGACTCTGTGTGGCATAATCTACGCCCCATTCCTTGTCATCCACGCTGGGATCCGTGCCATTGATTGCGACAATGCAATGGGGAAGCGCAGGCTGACCGATCGACTTTTCGAGAGAGCTAGCACCCCAGTCCAGTAACTTCATCAACACCGATGATTGAAACGTTTTTGGATTGCGAAGCACGAACACCACACAATCCGAGAATGTGTAAAGCAAGCGGGGGTACAGCGCAGTCACAGCAAATTCTCGTTGTCGTGACTCCTCGTTGTTGGCCCATTCGATAGGTCTTGTGAGCACATGTGTAGATGGTGCTGCTTCAAACTGCGAGCTTTGCCGCTTTCTCGCACGAGCGCCAAGCGGCACCCGCTCACCACCTTCAAAACCTTCGCAGTCGGCGTACAAGATCGGAAGTTGCTCAGTGTGACTCGTGGGATCTGCATAGAGGTGCACATCACCGGAGGTTGGAAGGGCATCATTGACTACACTTCCAACCACTGGAGACGGAAACTGGGCCAGGTCCGCGTTATTCGCATTGCTGTGCGAATCGTGATTGATCAACATCTTGATCAGTGTGGACTTGCCTGCGTTAGTAACTCCAATGAAAGATACAATTTGCGGATAGCGATTCTCGGCATCCTGAATATTGACTGGCGATATGCTGGACATCAGAGTTGCGTATCGACCATAGTCTTCGAAGTTGGGCCGCCCGGTGGCGTCTTTCGAAACGCCAAACCATTTCGTTGCTTCGTCGTCTTCGTGGAGTCTCTGGATCATATCCGGGTTTCTGGTTGGGTTTAATATGCCTTTCAGCCGCTTCACCACGAACGGGCTCGTCTTCTCGTGCGGGACTCCATCTCGCCCTTTCTTCTTGGGCTTGTGAGGTCCTTGCAGCACCCAACATTCACTTTGCGCGGAATCAGTAAAGCACGTGGCGCAGATATTCTTTCTTTGCATACCTGCAGTAGGAACTGTCGCAATCTACACAATGCCATATTGGCGGCGTCGGACCTCGGCAGCGATCGTCTTCGCACTCCTCTGAAGGCTCATCGTCCTCCTCGTCACTGCAGGAGGATTCGCTGCTGACGTCCCGTGTTGTGTAGGCCGAATGCCTGACGTTCCTGGCCATTGTGGCGAGCCCGGCTCGAGGTCCTCAGGATTTCGTGATGAGGGGCTGCCGAACAACCATAGTCCTGAGTATATTGCGACCACACGGCTGTCGATGAGATCGCAGGTGGACAACGTGAAAGAGTGGCAGCAGCGGCGAGAATTGGACGCGTTCTGACACAAATCGTGCAGCAAGCTTCCGACTGCTGCATGTCAGGAGCGACAAAGTATCCTTAGTAGTTGGAAAAGCCAATACTGCTTGCAGACGCACGGGCCCGGCGTGCTTAGTTGCCAGTTCGAGAGCGCTCATCTGGGAGCAGCCGTTTCAGTCTTTCAGAGCGAATCGTGCAGGGAACCTCGATGGCTAGCGCCACAGCCTTACAGTGGGCCACGAGTAGCGGCGACCTCTTGGCTGGCCCTCGTTGCCGCCGTGGAGCAGCTGCGCGGCGAGCAGCATGGCCGGCCGGGTCTCAAATGCCTGTGACCAGCGGTGAAGGGGCCGAGAGCAGGTCGCTGGAGGTGCCGATCGGTGCGCTGCGCAACCCAGCTGCTGCACGAAACTGCTGCAATCAATCAATGCCTGGAGCCCTGGAGCCAAGCGAAGGCACGCGGTAAGGCGGAGACAAGGGAAGGCTATCGAATTTAGCGTGACCCCCGTGGGAGCTGTCCGAAGATGTGTGACGGGGGATGGTTGCGGATCACATGCTGGCGCGCCGTTGGGCATAATAGTTTCAGTAGTCTGCCCGCCGTCTCGACAGCTTCCCTCCACTGTGGCAGCGTACGAGCAAGCGAGCAGCTGGGCGACCGCCATGAAACCTCATCTGGTCGTCTTTAATCGAATGCACCGCGCCCCATCCCAGCGCGCTGGTCTTAGCCTTCCCTTCCATTTGGAAGCATTGGCAAAAGGAGGCAGGCGCGCAAGCACGGTCGGCTGGACATCAGTGGGATGAATCCTCATGTATGAGCTGGAGCATCACGCCTCCAATTCGTGGAACGCTAGTACCACATAAGGACGCACAGCATGAACAGCTGGTCTCAGCAGCACACTCGCATGCACAATGCGTGCCACCTGATAACAATGCGACAATGGACAGCCGCGATCCGAACGACATGTGCGAAGCCGCGACCAGCAGCATCCAATACAAATACTCGACAGTCAGATGGACAGATCAAAGGTCACGGACCGTGTCGCACAAGATGATCAGAGCAAGTGTGCAAATCACAAGAAAGAGCATGAGCCACGGCGTCCACAGAAGAAATGATGGAGCAATGCTTGAAAGAGGTTGATTTACGCTCGATGCCATCTAGGCATGCGAGCTTCTCGAAAACAACATGTGCGCGCCATGTTAACGACTCGTCGCAGCCGAGTAGCAGAAGGTATTGAGAAGCTCATGACTTCGACCTTTGAGGGCGAGCCGTCGCCTTCGGTCTTTCGTGCACCTTCAGAAGCATAGCACTCTCCAAACAATTGGTTGTCTATGGTCAGCTGTGCGATTGCCGAGGGCGAACCCCCCTTGAAGATGGTTGTGCGTGCGCACTCTGCACCTCCGGATTGACGACTCCTTGGTTTGTATAGGGTAGTTGGGGCCAGGCAAACTTGCCGCACTCTGTACATTTCGAAGTGGGAGCTGGTCCTTTAGAAACGTGATCCCGAAGGTGGTTCTGCTGGACTCGTATGGCGCATCCTCGGTACGTCCAGCGGTTTTCCGCAAATTTCAGCGCCACCGCCGTGCCGTGAAGAAGAGGCTGGAGCTATGCGCTCTGGCAGATCGCGTACAGTTGCGGACTCGAGATGTACTAGCGACTCGCGTTTTATGTTTCATATCCCAGGTTCGCACGCCTCCGCGCTGCAACGTCCTGCAGTCCTGCATATAGGTAATTTTTAACAAGCCTGCGTTCACTTTGACAGGTCGAGCGAGTGCAAACTAGCCCACAAGCGGTCGTGTTGGTGATAGTGTTTTGTTCATTGCTGCATGCGCACAGACACGCCTTCACGTGCGCGCTGGACCCCGCGATGCCGATCTCGCTGTTCACTGCCCGCCAACATTTCTTGAAACATGCGTCACTGCTTAGACATTGTCTTTGCAGACACCGCCGCATCCGATACTCGTCCCGATCCCAACACTCGGGTAAAACATAGCCCAGCACACCGCAATCCGCAGACATGCCGAAAGGCGAGAACAGCAAGAAGGCTGCGGGAAACGCAAAGAAGGCCGAAGCGGCAGCAGCCAAACAAGCTGTAGAGGATCAGAAGAAGGCAGCAGCGGAGAGCGAGAAATGGGGCAAAGGCGCCAAGGACAACAGTAAAGCGTGAGTGCACAGCGTAGATTGAGAGCAAGAAGATGCGTGTCTGACACGTTCTTCAGTGCCGCAGCAGCCGAGAAGCAAGCCGAAGCAGCACGGAAGAAGGCCGAGAAAGAAGCACTGCTCAAGGAAGAAGAGGCTTCGTTGCCCAGTAAAGGCGGCAAAGGCAAAGCCGCTCCGAAGAAGTCCAAAGGACTCGATCTTTCCGGCCTCGACGCACCGTCCTCGAAGAAGGAACTTGCAGCACTCAATGCTACGGGTATCGACAACGCCCTCGATGCGCTTTCTCTTACGACCGATAATAAGGAGAAGATCGATCGCCATCCTGAGCGTAGATTCAAAGCTGCTTATACACAATTCGAGGAGAGGAGATTGGAAGAGATGAAGGACGAGAAGGGGCTCAGACGACAACAGAAGATCGATCAGATTCGCAAGGAGTTTGAGAAGCACCCAGACAACCCGTTCAATCAAGTAGCGGCGTCGTACAACATGTCCAAGGAAGAGATCAACGAACTGAGGGAGAAGCAGAAGCTGGCAAAGGAGAATTTGCTTACTCAATCATGAAGGGCTGCAGAACTACGGGATCAGGAGGAAAGAGTCAATACAGCATGGAAGTCGAACGAGTCACTTACCTGCGAGGCCAAGCAGCTACACCAGGTCGGTTCGCGGTCTCTAAGTTACATGGATAGATGGCGTGGAACAGACCACATGTGAGTGAGAGAAAAGCATGACATCGAGAGATACATCTCACTGATAGCGTCTAGATTATCATGAGCATTCGAGCATATCGCTACCCACTGTGCTACAAGAAAGCAAGCTTTGCAAATAGCTGGAACCCATGGTAGCAGAGAATATATCAACCAGCTCCTCACCACAACTCATATCATCCTCAACCTTTGTCATGTCAGTTGTGACAGTTCAATGAGGCAGTGAAAGGTGACATCCGTATCTGGGTCAGGAGGAAAACGATAGGCTGTGTAACCCAGAAGATGTCGAGAAGGGTCATTTCGACGGAAGCGAAATCATATTCGTGGAGTTGCACGGAGCTTGGACTGGGCCGAGAGTTGCGTGTCTTCCTAACATACATTCTTGGTGCCCACTTGGTTGGCTTCTTGATACTCCAGCGCTGGCTGTGCTGGTGATCAATAAACGTGGTGACCGTTTACGTTCTGCCACGTGCCACGTACCAAATTCTCGGATTCGAGTCCAAATACTCCCCCAGCCAGATGTCTCTGACACGCCAACACAAGATTCTGCATTGGCAGCGAGATGGACCCCAGATGCAATCACACTCTTCAGCATTTGCCCCTAACATGGGTTTGGGTTGTGCTTCTCCATATGCTGGCAGCTCTCGACCCTGCTGAAAGCGCAAAATGCAGTCATTTTGAAATGAATCATATCCACGTAGATGTCGCGTCTAGCGGTGTAAGTGTCTCACCGACGTCTGCAACGGGAAGTCGATGAAGTCGGCAGAGCACAGAAGTGAGGAAGGCATATTCCTTGGCAGCCTTGAGCTCGGTCCAGGGCGTTGACCTGCTTCTTTCAGGCTGTAAGTTCCAAACCAACCACATCTGTGCTCTTCAAGCCAGCATATCCTGCACATCACAACGGCAATCACAAAAGCATGCTGCCAGCCATCGCGGGCCATCAGCTGTCAAGCGTCGATGACAGACCAGGCCCCTCCCGTCAACCGCTCTCCGTCGGCCAGCGCATCTTGCATGAACGGGCCCAATCGGCGAAAGCTCACCACACGCGCCGCTGCAACTACTCTCAGCCCAAGGTAAGCCGGCAAAGCAGTCCAGTAGAGCCGTCACAGAAGCGGAGCAAGAGCAAAAGCGACAACCAAAGGCTATGGGGACATGCGCAAGAGCTATACAGGTGCTAGCATCTGCATTAGTAGCCTCGTCATTGTGGCCCGACCACCTCTCTTCTTCTCTCTCTTCTGTCGTGACAACACTCACCATGTCTCTTGGACTTCACTCTCTTAGCATTCCCCTCTACACGGCAAGTACTGGTACCTCGCCCACCACAACCACTCGTTACTACAATCATGCCCTCATGATCTCGTAACACAGAGGAAGTGCAACTTCGGGTGTTATCTGCTTTTTCCGCTTTTCGTAGCACGGCAGGTTCACACAACAGCAACGACAAGCATACTCGGGACCCACTTGCTCGGAGCACAAGAGGACTGCGTCCATGGTGGGACTCATGGCCTCGCAGGTGCCGGAAGCTAATTGTGCAATATGCGGTGCTCCTCCATTTCCTGAATGTCCTCACGAAGGCGAGAGGCTCGAATTGGCACTGAATCAAGCATGGGAACGATGGGCTTGGACAGAGCAAATCAAGTGTGTAACCTCACGAACATCTGGAGCATTCTGGAAGAAAGTTACTAACAAAGCCTCAGAAAGTGGGTGCTCGACCACGCCCGTAACCAAATCATAACCACATTCAACGAAATGCGAGCCATGCGAGTAGAAGCACATCGAAACTACCTCCAAACTCTCCCCTTCTATACCCTCTACCATCGCTACAACGGCGCCCCACCTCTAGCACCCGCTCAGCTCCAACTCATCCACTCTCAAATCAACGCCGCGCATCACACACTACAACAAGGCGTCGATCAAGACTGGCGAACATCCTGCATGCAATATCCGCAAGTGTTGGACTACTACTTCAATTTGGTCAATGTGCGTTTACCGAACGACAACGACCCGATGATCGCAGATCCGAGATTCGGTGCGCCGAAAGATCCGCCGCGGAGGGTGAAAGAGAGGAGGGAGAGTGTGGAGTATCGCGAGGCGCCGGTGAAAGAGCATAGGAAGAAGGAGCGAAGGAGGAGTCGAACGGGGAATACGCCACCGCCTGTGCCGATGCCGGATCGTTATGATCGGTATCGATGAGGTGGATGAACTGCATGGGATCGCATTTCCGGATGAGCGTGGAGGCGTTTGAATGGATATATGGTTGAGTTGGGCATAGACAGCGTTATAGCTGGGGAGTTCAGAGAATTGAGCGTACAGCGAACATGTCTTTAATGTTCAGTCGTGGGGTATAGCTGGCGCAGTGGAGAGCTGCACATTTTTGTACATATTCAATGATCTCACTCGCATCTGCTACCAATACCCATCGCCGTATTCAGCGAGGTCCGCCATGAGTTGCCGCTCGAAGCTCACATCATACTCGTCCGACATATCATCGTCAAGCATTTCATCCAGATCAATCAACCTCACAAATTTGATCCCAGCAGGTTTGTCCTTGCAACCTGTACATCGCCGTCCATAGCATCTCCGACATTCAAAAACGCGCTGCAAGCGCTTCTTTCCGCAGACCTCACATTCACATTTCCTCCAACCCTCTAGCCTACGCCATTCTACATGCGAGCAAGTTCTGTAGTATCGCATACAAGCTCTCAGTAATCGATTCATGGAGGAGATTGTAAGTCACAAACGGTTCCTTCTGCATCGATTGCAGGCCTGGAGGCTACATTGGCGACATTCGAAAATGTATTCTCGTAGAACGTGGCGACATTCTTCGCATTGGTGGCGACCTTTGCGGTATTTCCAGTTATCGTGAGTGCAAGCGTGGTTGTTGCGTAAGTGCGCCATAGCTTCGGCGATGAGCCTCTCTCGATCGAGATCTTCTTGCATGGGTGATGGAGTTGCTGCTGGCGTGGGTACGTCTCCGGCAGCGGGTGGTGGAGCAGGTATGATAGGTGGTAGGACCTCTTCCGCTGTTTCGGGAGGAATTTCCTCTTGTGTTTGGTCTTGAAGCCACCAATCGTGCTCCCATTCTGAATGATCTGAGAAGTCGGATTGCCATTCAGACTCTGCTACTGCGCTGGGGATGCTTTGAGCTCTTTTACGGCGGCGCTGGCCAGGCGTCCCGGATATATTTGCGATCGCAGAGGAAGGTGGTGGAGGTTGTACAATCGGCTGTGTATGGGGAACCCTTTCTGGTCGGAAAAGTCTTCGATTTGGATTTCGATCGACGATAGTTGCCGCTCTGCTGTAAAGGTGGGCTTCGGTGAATGCTTCGCACGTGCATGTCTTCCATTTGAGCCCGCACACGTAGCAGAATTGGGCGCCACATCGGCATCTGCAAAGACATGTCAGCTTTCGGTAATGAACGTTACATGAATCGCGTACCCCATGTGGTTACAGCCCTGTGTAAGCTCAACCATGGACTTGCATTGGTAACATCGCTGCCATTGCCGACTTTCTGCTGTGTTGATCAGCTGGTTCAAGGCTTCGTCTTCAGGACAATCGCCGGAGTGCGATGGACTCTTGCAGATGCTGCAAGTGGTCTTCCTGCATTGTGGACAAGTCGCTACGTCTGAAATGATCGACTCTTGGGGCATAAATGTCGCACAAGCCGGATCGTGACAGTACGTGCGATTCTTGGTGGACATCTCATCATACTTTGCATCGAACTCTTTGGCCAGCTTCGAGGAGATGAAAAGACGAACTCAGTCGAGCGGGATCTCTTGCTTGTCGCATCGGGGCGGAAATAGCGACTCATCTTTCATAGCCATGCTGAACAGATTTTCCAGGCAAGCGCGGCAGTACTCGTGCCCGCAAGGAACCCGGGCCACCTCGAAGAAATCCTTCTCTTCCGCACATGCGATGCAAGCCCGTAATGGGCGTTTGCTGTTTGTCTTGCGACTGGCCGCCCAAGCCGAGGGCTCCGCCACGGTTCCATCAGAGTCATTGTCGGCCGCCGGGGCAGAGCTCGCTGATTTCTCAGGAGCTCGCATGTAGATAGCCGCGACTTTCTCTAACATCTCTGGATCCTCCCAAGGGTCCCTGTGGTCTTTCTTCTGCCTCTTTCGCTGATGCGCACGGTGTCCTTGCGCTGGTCCTGCTGCAGTCGAAGCGTTTCTCCCTTGACTCGCATCCAGTCTTAAAGCCATCTCGCGATCGCGTGCAGCTTGCTGCTCTTGCCTATAGGCCCGAGCAATGAGGTTGCCGTCTTGAAGAATTGCCATAGCAGCGCTTTGCGCCATGATGCGGTCCTTCAGAAAGGTGTCGCAGGTCTTCAGGTCTTCCATGTACATCTGCATCGCCAATTGAGCATCGCTTACGGTGCCCTCGCGCTGCTTGCCTTTCGCATTGGCTGCCATCTCTTCACCGTCCTCGAGCTGCATTTGCACGATAGCCTGCATCGTGAGGGGGTCCATGTCCACGAATGGACCTTCCCAAGCCATAGACGCCGCCATGGTCTGAACACAGTTGTTCTGTTCGTCTTCTGTAGCACTTGTCGCCGAATCTCCGATACATACTCGGTGTCGCTCCGAGCGCAACACAATGCTTCAAGGCGGGCCCAAACGTTGTTACTTTTGGCTTCGGAGCCCCTCAAGTTGGTCTCAGCACTGGCTCGAGCCCAGCCACATCGTTTGTGATCCTGATCCTGGGCACAGCTCTGCGACCATTGGCCTCTGGTGGAATTGAGTTCAAAGGTCTGTTCATTATACCTGTATTCCCTGTTGACAGTCAGTAATAAACAACTTGTCCTGCTTACCTCTATACCTGTCGCCTTTGCTGTCTGAGAATTGACTTGGAATTGAGTCGTTACGTGCGGGAAGACAGCGTGATGCGTTGGCGCGCACTATATGTACTTTCCCTGCATCTCCCTCAGATCTGGTGCTCCGGCCAAAAATGTCTGTCGTGATATCCAAGCATCCCTGTTTCAAAGCCTGAGGTGAGAAAGTCGGTGGCATGTTTTAGTCGCACCCACATCATCACCCCTTCGGTCTGAATGACTAGACTTCATTCAGCTGAGTGAAGCAATTTGATCGATAGCTGTGGGCAATTCGCTGCTTGTGCCACTCATCGTGAACCTCATCGACACAATCACTCAGCCTCAGCATCACCCATCTCGGCCTCCTTCTCAAGCTTCTCGAGCCTCTTCCAATTTCCTTCGTCAAAGATCGTTTCATCATCACCTGGAATAGGCGGCCGTCCATAACCAACCACCGGTCCAACCATTTCGATCCAGTCTTTACGCTTCTGCATGAGAGCTCGCACACCATCGCTGACGCCTCTACCAGCAGGCGCTGATGCAACACCTTTCTGCCCAGGTCTCTGCGCTGCACCTTTCTTTTGGTTGGGCTTCGCAAGTGACCGGTTGCGCTTGAGGTAGGCAGCATTGACTTGGTTGTCCAAGTCGTCTGCGATGTTGGCATATTCCTGCATTGCCATGCGTTCCTCAGTCAGCTCCAAGACCCGTGCTTTGCGAATATTATTGCGGCGGCTGATCTCTCGCAATTCGTGCTGAAGTGTCCGCAAACGTTGTGCCACCATATCGTCCCTATTCGAGTCATAGTCCGGAGTCTCATTCGGCGCAACGAATCCTATGAACTTTAGCTCCTGCAGAGCTCGGTGCTCGAAAGTCTCATAATCCAGCTGTGGTAAGTTGGCAGGCCTAGGAAACTCAGGAGGTAGATGTGTCACAGGCTTTTGGTCCTCATTAGTGCCATTGATAAGGGCCATAATTGCGTCGTCTTCCGCGTTTGTCATCGATGTGTCGCCATTGGCATCTTCGTTCTCCTCCTTCTTTGCTGTGTTCGGCTGTGGTCGAATGACTGAAAGAAGTCGACTCATGACCGGGCCCATGCTCACTGTATCTTGATCTGCAATATCATCCTCGAGCTCTTCCATGCTCCCTCTCGCCTCATTTGGGTTATTGCGCTCCTGCTTTGGAGGCTCGAGTCCAGTGAGGCCGTCTTCGGCAGCCCATATCTCCTTGTAACCCTTTGCACCTCTCTGTGGCATGATGTACGGTGTGACTCTATCGCCGCGCTCTTTCAGAAATGCCACATCCTCCTCCGTAAATGGCCGGATGTAGGGTTCGACGTATGTCTGGAAGGTTGAGAAGTTGACCTGGTTTGCGGGCTTCGCATTATTGTAAAAATCTGCATCAGGCGGATCTCCCGCAGTGAGCTCTCTCAGGTCGCTCTCGGGCCACTGTGCAACACTGAATATGTCGCGCTTATCTTCATATGTCATGTCATCGTTGAGCTCTGGAATGTGATACCGGACAGAGTCTGCGCCAATGGTGGGGTCCTTGCCGTAAATGCGTTCGTAGAGAGGCGCGGTAGGCGGAGGGTCATGGCGCGAAGATTCCGAGTCCGAGTCGTCCGGTGCAGTCTCCATAAGATCTGGAGGAACGGTACCAGGCTGGACTGGAGGCGAGGGCGGTGCGTCGGCGCCTGTTGGCACATTGCCTGTCAGAGGGATGTTCTGCTTCATGCCGACGTAAATTGCAAGCACGGTGCAACTGCAAATATTGTATGTTGAGGTGACAATTTATGTTGTGAAGTGGTGTGCCTTGCCGATGCATGATTTGCAAAGAGCACTGGTGCACATTCACGAGCAGTCGCGGCCACTAGCGCGATCGAAGTGAACAGAAATGTCGACTCACCTTGATGCACTCCCACTCCATCCTGCCGCGCCAGACCGTGTGCTCCAACATTTGGCAGGGCCTCCTTCCGCTCCTTCTCATCGGCATCGACATCCATCTCGTCCGCATGTCGCTTCTTACTTGTGGTCTTCTTGTCCTTGGCCGAGCGCTCTTCCTCGCGCTTCACTCTGGCTCTTTCCGCATCACGTGCAGCTTCCTGTTCCCGCTCTTCCTGCAAACGTTCCTTCCGCCTTTGCACCAGTTGCCGCATAGACCTATCACATACCTCACCGCGCTTGCTCATGAAGCGGTTCACGGTATCGCGAATGGTGTCATGCAGCATGCGCAGCTCACGCACAGTGGGCGGATCGCCCGGCCGCGCAGCTGAAGCATTACTGCGATCTATGAGGGTCTCTATGCTGGGGTCTGTCGAGATGAGGGCGGCGGTCGAGGTCTTGAGGTATGGGGTCATGGTCGCTGCAGGAGCATCTTTGGCAGAGGGCGTGGCGGTGGCAGGCGTGGTCGATGCCTCGGTCAGCGGCGTCGTCTGCCTCGAAGTGGAGCGGCGGTGGACATTCTTGCTCGTGGCACCCGCCTTGCCCTGTGTTCCCTTCTTGGAGGCGGGCATGCTGCCAGGGTTCTTGTCGTTGCGCACGAGTGAGCCTGGCTCGCGCGAGTGAGACTGTCCGACAGACCCGCGTGCGCTGCGTGACGTGTCGCGTGTAGGAAGCGCTTGGCTCAACGATCGTGCAACATCTGGCCAGGGAATCAAAGACGCCTGTTTATGATGGACACTTAGGATGGGCTTGACAAGGACGTGATGGTGGGTGGTATCGAGCACATGCTGTTCCGGGCCAAGTGCCAGCGAGCTCAGACCGTCTTCGGCTCCACCGTTCGGGACACAGGGACGAGAAAGATGTCCGCGCGATTCGGCAGTGTGCGGTCAGACCAAGATACAGCTGCGATCTGTGAAACACGACACGGGGGAAGAGACACGGCTCCATTGCACGGTTGTTGGGTATCATCATGGTCTCACGTACCCGGCGATGATTACAAAATGTCTGACTACGCGCTGCGCCCCTCGACAGCGCGGCCGAGAGTTTGGAATACTCAAATCGTGGAAGCAGAATGGACCGAGATGGCGCAGAGGCCAAGACTACCAAGACACTCGAAGAAGCTTGTGTGGGCGACTATGAGAGCCATCGACCACGCCCGTCCCCAGTTCTAGATCCCACTCCACCTCCTCTCCTCCCACCTGTCTCCGCGCTTCTTTACTGTTGTGCGCATCTTTTTGTTGGTGGCCCATCTTGCCCGCATCCAAACCCTCGCAGCACTCGTGGGGCTCTCGTGGCGCCATCGCCTCCGGACACTAACTAGTCGCAGACGGCGGCTCTTCCCAGCCGTCTTCGCCGGCCACGCTCCATCGCAGCAGCAGCAGACGGCGAGCAGTGCGGCCGCTGGCGTGCTGACGCCTCATTTCAGCATCAGAGCACCGTGACAATTGTACACTGCTCGCCACGCAGTCCCTGGCCGCGTCCTGGTAGCCCGAGGAACTAGAGATGCCCTGCCATTGATCATCCGACGCTGAAACTCGGCCTGGAGGCCACACCGCGCTTGCGCTGAGCATCACACGAATCCCGAGCGCCCACGGTGGGAGTGCAGTCTCCTGCAAACACGATGAGTAAGTCTTCCGACTTCCCCTTGCGCTGTGTCTCTGCAGCTTCGCATCCTCCACCACCACCACCCATCACCACCGCCATCGCCACCTCCCCTGCTGCTGCTCGTTCAGCACTCCAACCCTCTCTCGCCGCTGCCCGCACCACACCATGTCATGTCGAGCTTCTGGTTTGTTGACTGGCTCAATAAAGGTGCCCAATCCTTGCGGGTTATCACGCTTGTCGTGCCGGTAAGTATGCCCACCCGGCACTGCCATTTGCGGACAGCAGCCCACTGACCACTCGCGCCTGCTAGAACCCAGAATGGCGGTCGTCCGGCGACAATCAGGCCATGCAAATCAACGAGTCCATGAGCTTCCAGTTCCTCACCAGCTTCGACATCCGAACCTTATCCTCGAGAGGCGCCAATCGCGGCAACGATGTGACAGGCCTGCTCTACGTGCCTACCCTCGCCGAATCCGATCCATGCGTCAACACGAGTGCGCCATATGTACCCCAGAACGCCACCCGTCGTGCGCAGCTTCCCCCGGACGATTTCAATCTCATAGGGCTGGCGCCATGGGTGAGCAGTACTTGCGCGCTGCATTACATGGAGGCTGCAAGACAGGATCCTGTGCATAGCCTGGTGTTCTTCGTGCCGGACAACGGTACTGGCATTCCTCCAGACGTTCACGATAGACAATGGGACATTCCCAACGCCGGCAATTGGAAGGCGGAGAATGGATTTCCCATATATGCCATTAATGGCCAGAAGGGAGCACTGTTGATGAACGCCAGTTCATTGTACAGTGGCAATATGACAGATGTACCCTTCGGACATGACTTGACAGAATTCTACGATTCTCGGGACTATGTGAGGTTGTTTGTCGACATCGATACTGGTACGTTCAATATAACATCTGTGATTTTTGGAACACGACACTGACGAGCACAGGGAACGGCACTTCTCTGCCCTCTTTGTGGATCTTCCTTCTCATAGTTCTTGGCATTCTGCTGGCCATCATTGGACTGACCTCATTCGCAATGCACTGGCTCCAGCGACGAAGGCGACAAAACTTGCGTAGACGTGTCCAGCGTGGCGAGGTGGACCTCGAAGCTCTCGGGATTAAGCGCCTCACTGTGCCACAAGACCTGCTGACCGCCATGCCTCTGTATACATATGGTAAAACTGCAGACGGCGCTGTTTCCTCGGGTACTGATGCAGACACTGACCTGGAGAAATTACCAAGTGCCACACAAACGGAGCGCGTTCAAGCTGCAGCAGGAATACCTGCAAATAGGAACAGCAGCTATAACCCAACGGCTCTCGAACAGCCCACGTGCGCTATTTGTCTCGAGGATTATGTCCCTGCTACACACGAAGAAGAAGGCACTATGGTGCGAGAGCTTCCCTGCCACCACATTTTCCACCCTGAATGCGTCGATACATTCCTGCGCGATAGCAGCAGTCTTTGCCCTATGTGCAAGAAGTCTGCCTTACCTGCTGGATATTGTCCTCGCGTCATCACGAATGCTATGGTCCGAAGGGAGCGTATTTTGAGGAGAATGCGGGAACGATTGGCTGAAGACCCGGATGCTGTAGATGGCATATTCCCTCCGAGCTTCCACCAACGAATGAGATCTTTGCCAGTCATACGGCAATATCGAGCTCAGCGCGGAATGGATATCGCACCTCCCACGGCAAGTCAGCAAATGACTCAGCTCGATCCCGTGCCTCCCACCAACATGAGCGAAGTGCCGCTCGCTCCCGCTACAGGCGACGAAAGACCGCAAGTGCAACCTCCCGCCACGGCTGCCCATCGAAGCTGGGCCCGCCAGAGAGCGGAGGCAATGCTGGGTCGCCGTGCCCCAGACGACCCGGAAGCTGAGGAGGCGAGAGCAACGCCAGCTTGGCGAAAGGCCCTCAGAGGTCTATTCCCAAGGCATTAAGATGCCTTATTGTTTTGCTTGTTTACATTTTCCGGTGCGGCGCGAAGGTTCATTATGGGCCGTTGTCATTCTCTAAGTGATACCCAGGGGCGATGTTACATGTTTTGTACATATTTGGATTTGTTTATGCGCATTTACTGGGAACTGAGCGAGGCGTTGTAAAGGCGAAATCTAGGTGGCATCGAAAGGAAATGGCAGGATGAAAGGAAAACACAAATGTCGATAATGATGAGATGAATCTACAAGATGAGGGCTTAGATACTTGCATGGCTGTTGTCGAGCAGTCTGAGATTACATATGTAACGTTCCTGGCTGACAGCTTCGCAAAACGAGTATTCTTAGTTATGAAAATTGCAAAAATGTATGAATCTAAAAGCATGAGCCGAGTATGTTCTCTATTCTATCCAATTCCTTCTGTTCAGCTCGGATTCAGCCATTACGCTCCAGGTATGAAACCCGTGGAGACGCCTGAAAGGGAAACCAACGCCACAAAGAGATCAATCCGCTCACGACCCCAACATCCCCGTCCCAAAAACCTCCATCTTAATCCTCTCATCATCTACACCCAATTCCCTCAACCCCTTCCTCACATCCTCCATAAACGCCTCCGGTCCACAAACGAAGTATTTCGTCTTCTCATCATCCAGAAACAAATCCCCTCGTTGCGTATGAGCCAATTTAGGAATACTCATCCTTCCAACATGATTGTAATCTTGATCGACGGCATCCCTCGAGTTGAGATTCTTGACGTAGAATGTCTGTTTCAAATTAGGATGTTTTGCCGCGAGAGATTTGACATGTGAATAGAACGCCCGTGAGCTTGTGGTTCGAGAAGCGTGGAAAAAGGATATGGGGAAAGGTTGTTGAGATTCTTGTTTTTGAGAGGATTGTTGGGCGATGAGAGTGTTGAGGATTGAAATCATGGGTGTGATTCCTACGCCGGCGGAGAGGAGGACGATGGGGCTTTGATGAGAGGAAGTTTTGGAATCGTAGAAGAAGTCTCCAGCGGGGTGGGAGACTTTGAGTCTTAAGCCGATTTGTTTCTCATCGTGGAGAATGTTGGAGATCCAGCCTGGATGGTGGTGGGCTTTGGGGTCGTGAAGGTTGAGGCCGGATTCTCGTTTTACGGAGATGCGGTAGTATTCTGGATTTGGGGCGTCGGAGAGGGAGTATTGTCTGGATTGGAGGTATCCGAATTGTGGGACGTCGGTCATGACGGAAATATATTGTCCTGGTTTGTATGATGGTAGTCTTTGGCCATTGATGGGTTTGAGGTAGAAGGATGTGATTTCGTCGCTTTCTTTGATCTTGTCTGCGATGGTGAATTCGCGCCAGTCGGTCCAGCCTTCGGATTCTGCATACAGCTGGTTTTCGCGTCCGATCATGATGTTGGCGAGTTGCCAGTATGCAACACCCCAAGCCTCACGGATTTCAGGAGTGAACGCATCACCCAGCACAATCGCAAACGCGCGTAAAACACCTTCGCCTACGATCTCGTAGTGTTCTGGTTGAATATACAAGGATGCGTGCTTGTGGCAGATCTTCTCAACGGCTGGGCTGAGAACTCCGAGGTCGTCGATGTGGTTGGCGTAGGCATACAAAGATGCAGCAAGAGCTCCAGCTTGGTGACTGTTCACTTGATTCGTCTGGTTGAAAATGTTGTTCAGCTCTGGCCGTTCGCTAAGCATGTTTTTGTAGAAAAGTTTTGTGACATCCGTTCCATGCTGCTGGAGGACAGGCACAGTGGCCTTGATGATCTTGACCTGTTCCTCAGATAGTGGCATAATTGAGTCTCTGTATCGCAGTAAATTAGAGTTGGATTGGTGGCCATGATGCATTCACTGCTATCGCTTTTATAGAACACTAGCGTGAATGTGTATATTATGATGCATGCGAGAGGGCAGGGTATGTCCGCGGAGAAGTCTTTGTGCTGGGTCGTTTTAGCAACACGAAAATTGCCCATATGTCAGCAGCTCGCTCTGGTTATTCCAGAATTGTCACCAGAGCGCACGCGGTGATGGACTTCTCACCGAACATAGAGCGCCCTACGAGTTTGCTGTCGGGAGGAAGCGGGTACGCCTGTTCGTATTCCGCCGTCGAGCATTTCCACGGGTATCACGAGATGCAGTCTGGCGATAGTTGGTCCTCTGAGATGCAATGGGCTCAGGCGACCAGAACATATTGTGCGCTGTTTCTGTTAGAGTTGTGCACGTCGACTGGGCAAACGTGTGATGTCAGTTGAAGTACAGCACTTTGAGTTCGATGGCTTGAGCGGAGGCAGTTCCGCTTCTCGACTTTTCGCGTCTTCAAACCGCGTGTCAACCAACAACCATTGAATATCGGAAATGCCGCTCGACAGCTCGACGTACGGTCTCGCGCATCTGCGCGTCGACGGAAGACGATGGAACGAGCTGAGGCGCATCAGCGGTCAGATGTCGACACAAGCGGCCGCTGATGGCAGCAGCTATTTCGAGATGGGCAATACCAAGATCATCTGCACAGTCATCGGTCCCAGACAGCAGACGAGGTCTGGAGGACGCGATCAAAGTCGAGAGGCGAGCATCGAAGTGGAGATTGGTATCGCGGGCTTCAGTGGGATGGACAGAAAGAAGAGGTCGCGATCAGATAAGTGAGTTGGGAAATGGGCAGGTAAGTGTGGGAAGAAGGAGCTGATGCATGGCAGGCGTACACAGGAGATGCAGTACACAATCTCTTCCGCATTTGCAAGCACTGTTTTCACCTCGTTCTATCCGCAATCTACGATCAGCATTGTGCTTCATGTGCTGTCACAAGATGGCGCCTTGCTGGCGGCGTGTTTGAACGCAGCGACTCTGGCCCTCATCGATGCTGGCATTCCCATGAAAGACTATGTTGCTGCCTGTACAACCGGATCAACAGCCTCATACGCTGCGAACGACGACGAAGCTGATCCATTGCTGGACCTCAACGGACTTGAAGAGCAGGAGCTGCCATTCTTGACCGTCGGTACTAGCGGAGGCGAGGACAAGGTGAATGTACTGGTCATGGAGACAAAAATACAGATGGCTAGACTGGAGGCTATGCTCTCTGTTGGCTTGGACGGTTGCAAGCAGATGCGCCTGTTGTTGGACAAGATTGTTCGCGAGCACGGGCGCAAGCTGTTGAAGTCGAAGTGAAAACGCTACTAGTGCTGCGTTGGATGGACGATGCGAGGCGTTCTAGGCCAACGAGACCTAATTGATGTCGCGGGTCCGAATGTCGGAAATGTCATGCATAGCCATGCAGCAAAGCGTGTTTGATCCCGTCGCGACACCTTCCTTAGGGCTCGACGAGGCCCGAGCGGGCAAGGATTGAGACCTCACTACGTTGGACCTGCAAATGTTGGACTCAGCATCAAGTCCTCGAAACTTGAAAGACATGACCCAAGGAGAAGGCGCGAAACGCATTCATGCAATCTCCAACTTTGGCATAGCGCAACAGACATGTCACTGAGAATGATCATGTACTGCGAGCATACCCCTACGGCACTTGCGTCCCCAACCGGAGTTTGGCTATGAGATTTATGTCCTCGCCGGATTTTATGGACTCGCCGATGTTAGCTGCTGCACGAAGGGGGTCACCACACGCTAGTATGCCACAGATTGTTTCACGCTTGGGTATGCATGTTACGAGAAAGAAGAAAGGTTCCAAGCGGTAGGGTCGCATTCTTGCGCAGATCTATCGCCCTTTGACAGATTCAAGCAGATCGCTCCAAAGCGTATCCGCTGTTCCGGGCTCGATAACTTTGGTGAACGGCATCGCTTAGCGTGGCTCAAAGCAAAGAGCGAGTCGTTCGTGGGGTCGGTGTGGCTTTCGGATCTATATGATGCGATCTGATCTGGCATATCCAGCACGTACATCTTGTCTCCAAGCTAGGCCATACACAGCTCGCTTCTCAACAGGGAGTCAATGCCTTCATTCTTGATGATCGTGGGTGAAGATGTTCTGGATCAGCTATCATCATGGCTTTCCCAGACAGCTGACCAGGGCACAACCGAGTTACCCAGGTCTGAATGAATCTAGCCCTTCTGCGACTTAGCAATGGCCTAGTGAGGCTAACGTACTCGAAACGGACTTTCCTCCGAAGTCTTTGCTTGTCGTCACTTGTTTTGTCTTTTCCCTGCTGACATGCGTTGTGCAGCGGCACTGCCCACCATCCCCTGTTCGCGGAATTTGATCCAGAGGCTGGAGTTACAAGCATCGTCAAGAACGACTCGCAGCGCTATGAGCAAGGCGGGAGGACGCATCGCCCTCTCCATGATCATATTTGATCCTTCGGAGTCTGTCGAGCAGTAGGTTGCCGACTGTGGGTTGTGCAACGTACAGACGATGCGATCGCGCGTCTGATCGCTTTGCGTGCGTGCGTGTAGTGCGCAATATTTCGCCAAGGTGATGATGCGCAATGGACTCGTGCTGCATCTTCCAAGAGCGCGTAGGGCAACTTGGTAGGACGCGCCAAGCTCACGAGGATGATTTGCGCAGATTGACTTTGGAGGTTAGCAAAGCCCCGTCGAGATACAGAATACAACCACGAACTGCGTCGCAAGTGCCAATGCCGCGGAGTCCGCGCGAGACAGGTTGTGGTTTCCTACAGCATTCTTGGCGAACGTTAGTTTCATGCAATCCCTTCGTATCAGCACTATAGACAAGGTGCTGAGTCGCTACGTCCGTAGTTTGAGCAATGTCCACTGGCATCGAGTGCACGAGAGACGGCAGGAAAAGCTGCTAATGCGTGACTTGTGAAGCTGTGCCTTGCTCGTCCGTGAAGCTCTTCAGTCTCGTCTGTCAAACCAGCCGCGCGTCTGACTCGTTGCCGTGCACCAGATCCATCCGTCGTCACAGGCGGCCCGGTGTGATGAGAGCTACGACATGGGAGTGTATAGTGCAATTGCATGAGCAAGAGAACAGCAGCGCATCCGGAGTCGATAATGAAATGCGCACATGTGCCACATCCGATTATTGGCCGCCGCTGTGGGAGGTGACCATAGTCGTACACAAGTGCCACTGCAGATTTTGACAGCTGCGTGTGACAACGGGCCGATGCAAAGCAAGGTTGTCTCTCTGGTACCACGACTCACGGGATGCTCTGCAAGGCGCTCTGTACCCATGCAACATGCGCGTTGATGCACGCGATCGCGCGCACGACTCTCGTGTGAGGGAGACAACGACATGTGCTGAAGTCGCGACATTGCCATGCTGTAGTCTGCGAAGGATCGAATGGCAGCTCCTTCAGACGAGAAAGGTCCAGAAGCTCGGGTAGACGAATTCGTCTTCGAAGATGCGCTGCACCTGCTCCAAGATGAACTTCTCAATCTTGCCTACATTTTTCAGGACTTGCTTTCCACTTTCCGTCTCCCCCATTTCGCTTTCAATTCTGATGTCTTCGAGTAAAGTGCCTACCTTGCTCACCTTGGCAGCTTCTTCTGAAGTGGAGGGCTTTTCGTTGAGGGTATCAAGGGTCTGCTCTCCTCCTACAAGAGCCTCTGCATCTTCAGGGCTCAGAAAGCATAGGTGCGCTCGCTTCTTGATGTATGCCAGAATGCCGACGCCATTGAACGTTAGACCTGTAATCCTCAGTTTCAAGGGGATTCCGACGAAACTAGGCATCGGGTAGTCCAGGAAAACATCTGCCGTCAGAGACAACTTGATATCGCCAGCGTACGTCACATGGAAAACAACCTGGGTGTCTTCCGGGCTCATCTCTGGGTGATCATGTCGAAGAGGGAGCGGCGGTGCATCGGCGTCGTCGGATATGGCTGAGCCAGGCGCCGGCTCGCGGTATGCGTGGCCTTGCGAGGAAGTCGGAGTAGCCAAGGAGGGTGGCGAAGTTGAGCTGAACGAGTCCGCGTGGTGATGTTGGTATTGATGCTGATGAGGCCCCTGACTATTTGGGAAGCCGCCGCCAGCGACTGCAGCTAGGGGCGTCTGTGTCCCAGGCAGGCCGGCGGAGAGAGGTAAGTGGAAGTAGCCAAGATTCGAGGTCGCTCCAAGCACACCAGGAGTTGTTCCTCTCGCAAGCCCGGTTCTGCCCATGCGATCCAGCAGATCTATTTCGGACTGACGTCGCGTGCCATCTGCACCACGCGCGTGCCGCGTTGTTGCTTGGCGAGGATCAGTGAGAATACTGGCGTCCTGCTCGGCGGGCGCTTCTAGAACCGATGCATCGTCATCTGTCTCGTAGAAGTCGGGCAGTGGATCACCGATATCCTTGAGGACGATCTCGGGGGGTGTCTTGCCAAACTCGAACCCATGAACAGCGACCGAACGGATCAGTTTGGGAAGCGCTATGGACTGGAAGCGTTCGTGGATGAACTCTCGGATGGTTTCGGCCAGCGCTTCACCATCCGGTCCGCCAGTGAGAGCCTCCCAATTGATTTCAATTGACATCGGAAAGTGTTGGTGCGAGGGACCGGGGCAGAAGTGTGATGTGAGATAATGACGCTGATGTCGGCGTCATGTGCATCTTCTTGTTGTGGTGAGCGATACCGACGACTGTTCGTGAGGTCGGGAAGTGGCGGCTGTTGCAGGGAAGTCGTGCGCTCCATGACATCCGCTGTTCGCAGCATTTGCTCATCCTTTTCCATAGCAAGTCACAACACGCCCATCCCAGCCGTGTAGATCACAAGACACTGCGTTTATCATCGTCACACAAGCCACATTGGCGACGTATGTGTGCTGCGGAACTACCCAGCGATGGCCCGTAGCCCTGGACAAATCACTTATTGACTCGAGCCGCTACACCATGGATGAGACATGCAACAAACCCTGATGCTCAGAGCCCATGCCACGCAAGCCACGCCGAGGTGGTGATGACAAACGACGAGCCAGGCCGGGATCATTGCGTGCAGCGGTGTTGTGGATCATGCGGATCATCAACTGCGCCCTGCAGCTTACCTCGAGGCCTATGAATGAACATGTACGAGCTCCCGTATCCGTTGTGCTTTTTCTGGGCCCATGCAATGCAGTTGAGTGAATGGGAAAATATACGCCGGAGACCGAACGTGTCGCACTGTGCTTGTTTGCACCATGCGCGCGCTATTGCCGGCTTCGGTGGTCTGTCTGAGACCGACGCGACGCTTGAACGAATATACTGGATTCTATAGTTTTGGGGAATCATATGCAGACAACGATATATACGCAATCCTTGCTGCCTCTCAGCCGTTCACTCATCATGGTATATAGCAAAAAGGATATCTTGACAGAGGGAAGTCTTGCCTAGTCGTAGCACCCAGTCGTGAGACGCCATTATATCCTCAACCCAGCCAAAAAGCACCCAAACACCCCACGCCTCTAGCCACGAACTCCAAGACATCGACAATGCAGTGTGCTGTTGCCATCCAGTGTGAATATGGGAAAGTTGAACACTGTATCTGCCATGTCAACTTGTGCTGCGTGAGGACAGGGCGAGAAGAGGACGGACATACACTTGGTCATCCACCACCACATTTATGACACTTGGAGTGATGCACTACCGTCCTCGGCGTTGACACACCACAAGGACCTCGTCTTGAGGCGGCGCAGGGTATCCGCTCAACAACTTTGTGCTTGCAGACAGTGTATTCGTGTGTGACTTGAGTGCACATGGCGGCTGTTTCTGATGGAGAAGTGCTAGGCGGAAGAATTAGCTGTATGTCGATTGATAACAGTGCCGAGTCGACGTACTAATGTGCCCGGGCGTGAAGAGGGATATGAGTGATACCAAGCGTCATGCAGTAGGGTGAAGTCGCAGCTCGGGTTATGGATGTCGAGACGGGAAAGGCGCAAAGGGCAGCCGATGGGAGCGTGGTAATGATTTATACTGAGTCGGGTCGCAAACAAATTCCATCACGACAGGTTCTGTACGACGGAAAAAATGCTGGGTTTGAGGGATGGGGATGCTTTCATGGCCGACAGCCGCTGCTGTCCGTCTGGTATGCTGTGATGCAAGGAGCAGGTGTCAAAGATGCCACGCGATGGCAAGCATACCTTCTGCAAGTACCCATCTCTTGTGGCTACGCAACGACGTTGTCTTCTGCTCGCATTGACTGGCGTCCAAATTGCGAGGGGAAATGCTGGTCCCATCTGTAAGCTAAAGGCCCGGTTGTTTTGTGCCCACTGAGGTGCGCAGGGTATCCCTGAAGAGCTTATTCGGAGACGCCTCTGCAGTCCGGCCGGAGCCTTGACAAGACCAAGCCCCAGAGTGAGAGCAGGAGGACATCGAGACGGCCGAGTCGATGATGGAACGGCACGCGGCTGCGTCTTCCGCTGAGGCTGAGTCTGCCTCCACGCCCTCCGTTTCGCCCTCTGCGACGACGCCGTCGCCGTTGCCCACGCTATGTACGCACGGTATGCCCATGTTGGACCTGTTCTCGAGCCAAGGAAAATGCACAGTGTGTCCAAGCGCAAGCGCTCGCCTACCTGCATGGTGCGTCGGCATCGTTTTGCCTGTGGAAACAAACTCGTCGCGTTTCCCTCCGCCGCTGACTCTCGGCGCGCTGAAACTCGACGAGGCCGCGCTGGTCTTGGGCGATGTTTGGCCCTCGTACGGCTGCGAGGCGTCAGACGTGGCTCGTTTGCCCTGCGGAGGGAGTGGCAGTCTTTGCAGCCTGCCCGCGCCAAACACGGCAGCACACCGCAACATCGTCCCACGCGTGTCGCGCAGTCGGTAGTGACAGCCGTTGACAGCGCGGTCGCACCGCATCCCAGGCCCCACCGCAAGGTGAGAGCTGTCACGGTGAGGCGGGCCTGCGACCAACGTGCGAGTAGCGCTGCGAGCACAGCGCACTTGTTGTCCTGCAGGCATCCACAGCAATTGCACTCGCAGCACCCTCCATCCGGCTTCCGCGTCCTGTTGTTGGTCTTGTTGTGCGACGCAATGGACTACGCAAGAACCCAGGCCGCAGCAGCACTGCGCTCTCATCTCAGCATCGCCATGACGGTCAGCAGGATGGCATGCATGGCCGCTTTCGTGATGACAACCGGAATCGGCTGGAGAAGATCTGCCGATCCGGCCCACGCTAGACAGAGCATCCGTCTATACAGGAAGAGCGTCGCCGTCTGACAGGAATGAGGCTCAACTCTCCAGCCTCCTCGATTTGGTGGCCAAAACACCGAGCTTCGTTCGGCGACCTGTTGCAAAGTATGGACCATGCGAACGCCCGGCAGGAACGCAGCTGATATCGCGGCGAAAGCATCAAAGCGGCACTCTCGGCTGTTGGCAGCTCACCAGTGGCACGACCGCGGCGGGACCGCGGAACGGAGCGTCGAAGGGCAGCTGACAGCCGCCTCTTTCCTCAGCGTGCCTGCATCCAGCAGCAGCGGAATTCCGCACTCTGTCCCCCACGCCCGAGTCGCCATGAAGCTATCCAACACACTCTTGTGAAGTGCTTACGGCTGCGGTCAGCAGGAGGCACCTCCGCCATCGACACTGCCTCAGTTGATACCCTCGCACCTGCTGTACAAGAGCCCTCAAAATATTCGACAGCCGCGGCATGCTCGCCCACGTCATGCCGTCCATCACCACAAAGCTTCACCACGAGTCAGCATTTCGATCCAGAGCGCGAACAACAAGACCTGCCCGAATGGAGCTCACCCCGGGCCACGCTACCTCCTAGGTTCTCCGCAGAATGGACATACACCACAAAGGTGTGCCGAGGATAGCCAACCAGTTACGACCTTTGCCAGCCGACGATACACTTCACCTAAGCATTATTCCCGAAGCCTAACCAGATCTACCCGACCTGTTCTCGTGAAAAATGACCTGGACCTGCGGAAGGCTTCGTCAACGTGACACCTTGCATCGTGCAATGCGCTTGCGATCGCTCGTAATCACACTGATGTTGATCTATGTACAAAGTAGAAGGAGGTATAAAGGTAGGTGCCTGAGTCCAGACTCTTGCGATCATTCTTTCCTTACGAGCATCATCACACCGTGCAAAACAGCAGGATACACATCTCGCGACAATAAACGAATCAAGCGCATACAACAGACATCATGGCTTCTGAACGACGAGACTCCAACTTCCTCAGCCTTGCTCCAATGAGCTACTCCAACTGGGTCGCGCCAGCTGCATCGCCGCCAACACCATCAAGCGCCAAAGAAGACGACGCCAGAGCCCCATCTCCTACAGATGCTATCGAAGCAGTCAAGAAGACTCAACGCTCCGCAAGCGAGTCGAGCACTACCAGCGGGTTCCTACGACTAGGCCACGTGGACAAGGAAGAATAAATCTTAACACTACGAAAATAAGTATCGTAGCTTGAATATGTCTACACTCACGACACGACCTCTGGCGGCGTAACGGATGTTTTGCGGATCAAGGGACAAATGCTCACGAGACCAACGACCAAACGACCAATGACATTACCGACGGACCTGCGCCCGAACTGTATTTCCTAAAACAGTGCGATGCGATTCGAAATTGGAAGCGACGTGTGGCGCAAAGGGCACGGGGATAGGACAAATGAACGGCAGCGCGCTAGCAAATGCACAAAGTTGTCTGTACCATGGGATAGCCGACCCGGATTCGGCAATTACATACTTCACTTCAACTGCTGTATGAGAAAAGGTTTCATGACCAATTGGATTCGTGCGCGTCACATTCCTTCATCCCACTCCCATCATTCAATGCGCATGTGAATCGCTCCAGTGTCACTTCGTTTGATCAGTTACACCGTCCGCAAGGTATCGGACTCAGACAACGTGGGAGGAACAACTCTGGAGGCATGAGCCAACCTTTCAACGAACAGGAACGTCTCATACTCTCGATCATAGCTGCTTTGCAGCAACTTCATTAACGTGCTAGAACTACTATCCTCCTCTAGTAAGCCACCATCGGTGGGTATCCTGCCAGCTCCCGGTCAAAGTTCTTGTGCTGGCTGATGGCGTAGAAGTAGGCGTCGACAAAGTCAGCGGCACCCTTCGCCATCGAGATCGTCTCCTTGAAGCTGTTTGGCTGCACCTTGGCAGCAGTTACGACACCATAGCTGTCGGTAACCGCATCGCTAGTAGAGAATTCAACACCAGGCAGCTCGCAAGCATCGCGAACGAAGTCAACTGCTTCGCCAACAGCGCCGATAGCTTTGAGATGAGCAAACGCTTCACGGACCCAGTGGAGAGCACGACCATTCTTGCGGAGGGTGGCGACGGAATCCGCACCGCCGGGAACGAAGACACTGTCGAACATGGTCGACCGCATGCCCTCAAGGTGGTGGTCGGGCTGCACACCCTTGCTGTCATCCTTGCTCTCGCCGGCAGCGTAGATTGCTGAACGTCGTGGGCCAATGGTGAACGGAAGCGCCTTGGCTGCCTTCACTGCCGCAACGATGCCGTTGTACGCAGTCTTGTCAAAGCCATCGGCGATGATGATGGCGATGCGACGCGACTCAATCGTAGGCGTCTTGCCAGGGAATTCTGTCTGGCTAATGTGGATAGTCTTCTTGCCGTGGTTCTCGCGACCTGCCTTTTGTGGTACCGTGCCTCCTACAAGTGCAGCAACGTTTTGTGCCAGCGTGAGGTCAATGTCTGCTAGACGTTGTGACATGCGCTCGTAGACAATTGGATCCTCGCAGTGGTCTAGCTCAAAGCCAAGGGAAGCTTCAAGATGGACCTGTTCTGGCTTCGACAGCGAGTTGTAGAAGAGCTGTGCTTGTTTGAAATGCTCCTGGAACTTCTTGGACCGCAGACGAGCCTTGATACCTTCAACCTTAGCAGGGTAGTCGATGTAGGGAGCAGGCTGTTCGTCCTTCGCAGCAGGTGGCACGGCTTCATATCTGTTTGGCCAGTAATTTACGGTGCCCTTGGTGATGGTGTGTCGCATTGCACCATCCCTGTTGTTGTTCATGACTGGACAACCCGAGATGGGTCTGTTGATTGGCAGCTCCTGGAAGTTGATGCCGAGTCTGCTCAGCTGAGTGTCCTGGTACGAGAAGTTGCGGCCCTGGAGCAGAGGGTCGTCTGAGAAGCCAATTCCTGGCACTACATGCCCCGTGCAGAAAGCCACCTGCTCAGTCTGGGTGAAGTATTCATCTGGGTTGCGGTTGAGCTCAAGCTCGCCGACGTACTCGACAGGCACCTGATCTTCGGGCCAGATCTTTGTGGCGTCGAGGATGTCAAAGTCAAATTTGTCCTCTTCGCCTTCGGGGATGACTTGGACACCAAAGTCCCACTTGGGATATGCACCATTCTCGATTGCCTCCCACAGGTCTTTGCGGTGAAAGTCTGGGTCCTGGCCCGCCAGCTTCAATGCCTCGTCCCACACAAAGCTGTGAACACCGAGATGTGGAGTCCAGTGGAACTTGACGAAAAATCGCTCTCCTTTCGCGTTGTCAAGAGTGTAGGTGTTGACTCCGAAACCCTGCATCATACGGTATGATCGTGGGATAGAACGATCGGACTGTGTCCACATGAACATGTGCGTGGCCTCGGTGTGCATGAATTGGAAGTCCCAGAAGTTGTTGTGGGCGGATTGCGCCTGAGGCACTTCGTTGTGAGGCTCTGGCTTGCCTGCATGGATCGCATCGGGAAACTTCACCGCGTCTGCACGTCGTCAGTCAATGCGTCAAGGTTGGCTGAATGGAGGCATGTCTCACCTTGAATGAAGAAGACGGGGATGTTGTTGCCTACGACATCCCAATTTCCCTCTGGTGTGTAGTGCTTGATGGCAAAGCCACGTACATCACGAACAGTGTCTGCAGATCCTCGGCTTCCCAATACAGTCGAGAAGCGCAGGAAGGTGGGCGTGGTGCGAGATGTGTCTGTGAGGACCTTGGCTGAAGTGTACTTTTCCAAGCTCTTGTGCATCTTAAAGGTACCGAAGGCTCCTGCTCCACGGGCGTGCACAACGCGTTCAGGAATACGCTCGTGGTCGAAACGGTTGATTTTCTCTCTGGCCGCGTGGTCCTCCATCAGCATAGGACCAGTCTTGTTCTCCGAATGGACTTTGAGCCAGTCATCTGCCATTGATTAGCGGGGCGATCATCAGTCGATAGAAGGCTTGATCACGTACCAGTGGTGTGCTGGCGAACGCCATAGTCTGTGGTGATGCGGTTCTGTTCGTCAAACACATTCTTCGTGTTCTTCTCGAGGTCTGCGACCTTGGCGTTGGAGGCGCCATTGACGGTCTGCTGGAGCTTCTCCAGGCCGGCTGTCACCGTCTGCTTTGCGGTCGACATATTTGCTACGATGTGAGTGGTGGCGAAGATGGGGTGAGAAGAGAGTGGTGAGTGTGGGTGATTGCCCAGACGTTGATATACCTACCTGCCTTTCGGACTTGTCATCTATGACAGCAGGAGCGAGCTGCTCGAGCTGCCGCCACTGCCCGACGCGCTGATTGCGATGTATGCAAGCGTGACGCTCGGCAGTAACAAAGACGCTGCTGTCCTTGTTCGGCGTGGAGCACACACTGACGTATCGAAGGCGACAAAAAGCTGTGCGAAGCGCAGATGCACTTTGCGCCCCAATCAGCGGCGCGGTGATTAGCAGGCCCTCACGTCACATCGACGACAGCCGTTTCGTCTTTCGGTAACCACCAGCGAGCACGACCGTGTGCGCAATTATGGAGTCGCTTCGTCCATTCTCTTTGTAGCTCCAAACGTTTCTCCGCGCTCTCAGCCGGTACATTTTGCATACGATGATCGCTGCAACGGCTTCAGGAAACCGAGTAAAGTGCGCGGGACTGGTCTGATAGATTGTGACAGCGTCGCGTCGCGTCGAGACTCAGTGCCGTGCCGCCCATTGTCCGGACGATAGACGTTGGCGAGTTTGAACCGATAGGTGATGTTAACGAAGCGGTACAGTACACGTGTGCGTGGAGAGATCGTGCACGCGACTGTGGTCTTTTCCAAAGTCAAAATTCAAATCTAGCCGTTCCAAGCCTAGTTAGCGGCCTTTGAAGGCCGGAGCCATCACCGCTTCGCTCTCGCTTGTCGTGCGCTTCCTTCTCAATGACCACCGTGGAGCAGTCGACTATTGGCTGTCGAGGAGCGCGACGAGACCTTGCAAGTTGTCTCTGCGCCGAAAGAACTCTACGATCGCTCAGGCGACTTCAGCAACGCATACAGCATCAACCCCGCAACGTAGGTCGACGATTACGTCTGGCGAGGCAGCCTTGACCTTCACCTCTCCTACAATCATTTCCATTTCATCAACTGCTCCTCCTCTCCGCACTACAAATGGGGCTCAGAATGGACGATCTACACGCGCCCACAGTGGGCTCTGGTCCAACGTCGCAAGCAGCTTCGAGTTCGCAAGGCTCGAAGAAGTCCTTCCAGGAGCTCATCACACAAAAGCAGAATCTCGAGGCTGAATTGTCGGCTCTGGGCTCAGTCCTCGACTCTGTGAGTAAATTAGTCCGCAACCGGACTGCCGAAGCTAACAAGAAGCTAGCACGGCGTGAATATGACGACTCCGCTTACCACGCCCGATGGCTTTCCACGATCGGACATCGATGTTGCGCAGATTCGAACGACAAGAGCTAGGATCATACGGCTGAAGAATGACCACAAGACTGTGATGAAGAGCCTAGAGGAGGCCGTGCATGAGCAGTTCGCAGCAGGGAAGACGCCGGAGGAGATACCAGCACAAGCTTCTGGCAGCGCAACGACTAGGGCAGCGCCAGTCGTGGAGCCTCCCTTTGCCCGAGTCAACGCAGTAGTGCCTTCAAGTCCAGCAGAACAAGCTGGCATGAAAGTCGGCGACAAAGTGACCAAATTTGGGTGGGCGACCTGGACGAACCATGAGCGGCTGGCAAAGGTCGCGGAGATCGTGCAACAGAATGAGAACGTACGTTGAATATGCACGCGGGCTTAGCGATGTAAGCTGACATGACATAGCGCACAATTCTGGTCAAGGTCTTGAGAGAGGGTGAAGGGGCAATATCGCAGAGCCATGAAATGCAGCTCACGCCACGTCGAGACTGGGGAGGGCGAGGTCTGCTCGGCTGCCACCTCGTACCATTGTGAACAGAGATCTCGTGGAGACTGGATGTCGAGAGCGCAGATACCTCCAGGCATTCTTGCCGGAGGCAAGTCACTGCGAAGCGCATGGATGGGCCCTCACGCAGCTGCGCCGCCGACAGACAGTGCTGTGACATAGTGCATGGCAGCAATAAAAGGCGTCTTGCAGGTGCGCAGCATGTTCAGCAGGTTCAGCAGTTATCGCTCAAAGGCATTTTCTGGAGCTCCATCACCATTGATTGAAGGTCACATGAGACGCGCTCTTTTCGCGATTGAAAGCGTGGTCACGGTCGCGTCGCGTCGCGTAGAAATTGCCAGGTGGACGTGATGTCGATTTTGACTTCTCGCGTGAAGTGCTTGCCGAGGTCAACCCCAACACACATCTCACAGTTGCGCACACGAAGCAGGCCGAAAACAAACATCCACACGCGCTTGAACGTGCAAGCACGCGACACTGGCCCATTTCTGCGGCATTTCCATGCAGGTCGCACAGCTCGAGGCCCGTTTCAGCTGTCCTCCTGCAGCAGAGACTTTGCGCCTGGCTGCTCGTCAAAGCTACCCATTGGTCGAAGCTACCATGAAACGCATGCTGCATCGGCCGCTGCACGCGGGCCCAGCCTCGTTGCCGACCTCCGCCATACATCACGTCCGGTCCGCTCGACTTTCGCGATATGGTCGTGTCTTTGTGTGTTGAGGATCACCCTGCGCTGCATGATGCTCCAGCGCTTTCAGTCGGCCTCGACCAACAGCGCTGTTATTGTGACTCACAGCTCATGCATCCGGCCAGCAGCACAGAGCACAGCATGCGAGTGCCGTGGAGTGGCAGGGACGGTGAAAACCTAGCCATCGCGATGCCTCCGACGTTCAAGATCCTCCTTTGCATTCGTCCATCGGTACCTTTCTAGTCGCAAACGAAATCGCAGCCTGATTTGGAGTCGAAAGCGGCCCCATGATCTTCTTCGTTCACGATGGATTGCAAGCAGGACAAACGCAGAGCGTGTGCCCTGGCTAGCAAGCCCTCGACCGCATTTTCGACCGTCTCTTCCGCTGCATCTGCCACGTCAGCTGGAACATCGCGCAGTGGAGGTAGCAGGCTCTTGTTTGGAGAGATTGATACTAGCAGTGATAGGTGTACGTATGCTCACCACCCATTGCTCATGTCTGGGAGCCTAACGCAGGTACTTGGCAGCTATCGAGAGCTATGCATCGGTCTGCAGCTTTGTTCTGTGCGACAGCAGCACGTTCCTCAAGTTTTGGCTGGAAGACAAATGTCGTGAGAGACTTCTCTCCTTCATGTCAAACCGTGATCTGGCAAGTCTGCGACTGGCCTGTCATGACTTCAGCGTACGAGCAGCGCCGGCGCTGTTCTCCGATCTTCAAATTACTTTCAAGACAAATACATTCACCAAGCCTTCGAAGCTGGCCGCATTGGACCGGCTCGGATTCTTCGTCAAAGAGCTCCAGTTTAATATGCCGCATACAGTGGATACCTTTCTCCCGCCCTTGGTGGACCCAGACTCCGGGGCTGAGCTCAGCTTCACATACACGCCACAGATTCAGGCCGAGGGAAGCAGGGCCCCCAGATATGGAGACGCAGGCACCACCGAGATCCTTACTCGACAGTACCCCGCCCTCTTTCATGCTGCTACAAATGTTGCGGCGTTCATTCGCGCCCTCTCTGCGTTCGTCAACCTTGAGCATCTAGGAATCAGCTGTCCTGGCTATGATGCTTCCCAGAGGTACCGAAAGAGTGTCGTCGACTATGCCCTGATATCGTTGCGAATTGCCATTGAGAAGAATTCGCTCAACGCCTTGGACTCGCTCTCCATAAGTCCAATTCATCCTGGTGGTCTCTTATCACTTTCTCCATTGCTGGGGATGGGTGCATCGCCGCGATCGGCAAGTCGATGGGCGCGCATTCGCAAATTGAGCATAGATGCGGTGCATTTATCGCACGCCGGTGGCTGCTACGAGCCGGACCAGCTCAAGCTGCTCCAGACATACCTCCGCAATTACCAAAGTCGGCTGGAGACGTTTCGATTCCGATGGATCGGCCAGAGAGGGCACTTGCCTGTTCATCGACCATATGCACCGGAGTTATCCCCACATGAGCGACATCCAGCAATGTTGAGTCAAGCGAATCCGTCAAAGCGTTTACGACCGTTACGATTCATGAACCTGCAAATCATAGAAATGGAGAACATCTCGGCAGCTGCTAGCGATATTAGTGATTTCCTTGCCAGTCACAAGGCGACAGTCAAAGAGCTTCGCTTTGAGGGCATTGACCTCACGCAGGGGACATGGGATGACGCGCTCGCGCCCATGACCAAACGCTCGCGACGTGTGCCCAGGAACGAGGTCGCCGATATTCCAATCATGCTATCGCCAAGCGCAGGTGCAACAACGTTCGGCGGCCAAGCAGCCAATGTTGAGGTCGAGCATCGGGATGATGGGGGCTACAAGAGTATTCGCATGTCGAAATGGCTCCTCTCCAAAAGGAAGACGGCAAATGTGCCGAAGAAATTGAGGGACGGGTTACTTGGTTGCGAGGAGCAGCTAAAGAAGGTCTTGCGAGGAAGCGCCTTCCCGTGGGGATGACTTTACGAGACACGATGATGAACACGACGATATGCCTTGATGACAAAGTCATTTGCTGCTCATGTTGTAGATACCCAGCAGATAACGACTACTGTATACCGTAGTTTTGCCCAGCCTTTACCCTAGTCTCGAGCAATGCGAAAGTAATCAGCGACGACAGGGTTCCAGCGCACAGACAGGAATGACGCCGCCAACTCAGCAGCTTTCCGCATTGAGGTGAATGTCATGGGCCTTATAGGAGTAATCCCCGACCACGAGGACAGTGACAAGACGATATACGAGCTGGGCGATGGTGGCGTTCGATGGCTTCGATGTCGCAGCTCATTGTGCAACTTGCTGACTGTTCGCAGTGTATTTCAACAACATGATGCATACAGAGGACAGAGCACGCAACAACAGCCTCGAGGAGCGTGATAATGAGCAGTGGAGCACCATCTCAGCAAGTGCAATTGCCCACCGGCTCCCCAGCAGTATCTAATGCGCTCCGCTTCCAGCAGTCTGTGCCAAGTGCACGCCTCTCACAGAAGTCGATCTGGGACGCGGCCGAAATTAATAGATCTACCCCCGTGGTGGACCCGAACACCGACGACGTCACCTCTTGAAGTCGCGTAAGACCTGCGGCCTGCACTCACCTGTGGTATACGACATGCGGTAGCAGCAAAGGTTGCGAAAGATATTCGCAAAGGCGTGAAAACGAACTGTCAGACAGGAATGTGCATCTTGGGTATCTCCTGAAGCCTCAGCTCCGTACCAGGAAGCATGCATCACGTTCATCGACGACTTCTTGCCTAAAGCGCTTGCTTAAGACCCCTGCTGCCACGACATACCATGTCTAGCAGTGCGACTAGCTCACCCACAACTGACAGTGCACCACGGCGAAGACCCAACACTTCCACCATACGAACACCACGCCCCTTATCCAAGCAGAAAAGCGCAACGAATGAAGTGAAACATTCCGCGAAAACGTCTGCGCTCAATGGCTAGCGACCCTCGGAGGAATCTTACTGGTGCCGAAAGAGAGCACGCCGCCTATAAGCCCACCCTCGATGTCGATCAGCAGCAGACCGTGTGCCAACGACGCCGACATGTGGTGTCGCGTCCATTAGGGCGATCCTAATGGCTTCATTCCCGGGCAGGTCATCAAACCCCTCTCGCTTGAAGGACTTGCAAGCGCAGTGAGCGGCGAAGCAGGAGGCCAAGCGCAAATACAAGAATCGTAGTACATCCTTTCCTCTCTTCCTCTTCTTCTTCATTCATTCTCTACGAACCGAAACGACAGCAGCCGTTCTTGCTTTCACACGCTCTTTTACCCGCGCCTCACCCCAGTCACTCTTTCGAGTAAAGCCCGCAAGCCAAACCAACCAAAACCAAACACAAACGAAAGCAAGAATGCGTTTCTCAACCTTTGCTGTCGGCGCGTTCGCCGCGTCTGTCTTCGCTGCTCCAGCTCCTATTGAGGAGAAGCGCCAACTCGGCAGCGTCGTCGGCCTCCTTAACCCTCTCCTCGGCCAAGTGACCGCCATCACCGGCGCCATCAACGCCACCGCCAACGTCGCCGTCCTCGGTGTCAACGCCACCGTCGCTGTCAACCTCACCGAGGTGACCGACACCATCGTCAAGGAGGTTGACGGTCTCGTCCAGCTCGTCGACACCGTCCTCGAGACCACTGAGGGTCTTACCAACCTCACCAACGTCGGTGGTGTCCTCCAAATCGTCAACGGCCTTCTCTCTGGTATCCCTGTCGTCTCTACGGTCACTGGTGTCGCTCGCACTCTCCCAATCGTCGGCAACGTCCTCCCTGCTAAGCGCCAAATCGACATCTCTGTCAACGCTGACCTCGATGGTGTCGCTGACCTCGTCTCTTCTCTCGTTGCTGAGATCACTGCCACCATTGAGAACGCCACCAAGGTTGTCCCAGGTCGTAAGTCATAAGCATACCCCGTTCAACTGCATTAACATATACTAACCTCCATCCGCAGTCGACCTGAGCGTCTCCCTCAACGGCCTCACCACCTCCCTCAACAACCTTCTCGATGCTGTCGAGGACCTCGTCAACGGTGTCCTCGGTGTTGTCAGCAGCATCCTTAAGGCCCTCCCAATCACCAACATCCTCAACCTCAAGATCGAGATCTAAGCTGCTCTCCGCAACTCTTGTTTCATCCTCAGCGTCTCTTAATTACACAAAGACGAAAGGGCAGGACAACAGCGATGCAGGACTTTGTCGCATGCTAGAAGCATGACTTTCATCAGCCCCTTTCGTTTAGAGAGAGCATGGCGTGCTTGATGCATGGCAAAGAACAAACACAGGATCTAGGGAGATACGGCCAACAATGATGGGATGTCCTTTTGCATAGCCGGTTGGCCCATGGTACAATCGGCCCCAACCAGCAAAGCTACAGTTCTGTTGTACATATAATCGCGAGCACAGTAATGTCGTTTTAGCCGGGTTTTTCATAGAACAGCCTTTTTCGTGTTCGTAAATCCGGAACAGAGAGCATTACGATAATGATTGTTTACCTGATTTTGGACTCCTCATTCACAAAATGTTGGAAAGTGCTATCATTGGAAACTTTTGTGAGTGCGCCTTTTGCGGCTTGTTCGCGACCGGCTTCATTGGTGAGACAGCCTGTTTTGCCCGCAGTCAGCTTATCCCGGAGAGCATTCCGGATTTTGCAACATCGCCGATATTCCCTACAACAACAGTATTTTGAGGACATGTTTGTTCTTGATAGCATGATCGCTGAGGAATATTGAGCTGCGCTCCTATATCAGTATCTGACACGAATTGGACCACGCCCATGTTGTGTTTCTTCGTGCCTCTCAGGCCTGTTACGTTGTGGCCTGGTCTGATGACATCCGTCAGCTTTTCCGCTGTTGTTGGCTTAGCCTTACGCGAAGCGCCACAGCACTTCCATTCCAGCGCGGGATGTTGCTCGCGACTTGGTGCAAGAGTGCAGGCACTGACAAAGCAAGCAATATGCCACGCTCCTGCCTCTATTGCGCCTCTAACCCTGCATTGGCTCTTCGGCAACGTAATGCAGATATGCTCCGAGCAACTTGATGCCCTCAATGTAGTTTCGACGATCGAGCTTCTCGTTGATGGAATGCGCGGCATCGGTGGAGCTGCCCATGGGTAGGAGCAGCACGTTCTTCCCGGTGGCCTGCTCGAATGTCAAGGTGACGGGGATGCTGCCACCTTCTCGCGTGAGGTCAGGCTTGGTGTGCCACACGTCTTCAACAGCCTTGGCAGCAGCAGTAAAGTTCCAGTGTTTAGGCGATGCGACCCACCACTTGCCAGCATGCTGCAGGTAGCAGTTGATCTTGTTCTTGGAGTTCAGGGACTTGAAGACCTTGTCCACGTGGGCATAGACAAGCTTGTCGACGTCCTCTGGCTCCATGTTCGGTACGGTGCGGATGGAGAACTTTCCTGTCACCTTGGCGGGGATAACAGTCTTCGCGCCAGGAGCTGAGAAGGCGCCCTCGACACCATGCAGCGAAAGGGAGGGATATCTCCATCGCCCCATCAATGTTCGCTCCTTATCAGGGAAGATGCCAGTCTTGCTTCCTAGCGATTCGTACAGGTTGTCCATGGTAAATGCGATGTTTGTGTACAGGCTCTCTTCCTCTTTTGTGAGCGGAGCGACAAGCTCCTTGATACCCTCGATCTGAATGTTACCATCCGTGTCCACGAGACTACCCATGACGCGCACCAGGTCGGTCATGGGTTCTTGTGCTGTCCCTCCAAACACTCCAGAGTGAAGATCCTGACCAGGCCCGCTGATTTCGATGGAGTAGTAGCTGCAGCCTCGCAGGCCATAGGTCAAGCAAGGCTTCTCGGTGCCCAACCAGTAGTTATCCGAGATGCAGACAGCGTCGGCGTCCTCGAAGAACTTGCCGGGCTTGCACTCGGCGATGATGAAATCGTCCAGACCTTCTGACCCATACTCTTCCATGCCTTCGAAACACATGAGCAGGTTGACAGGGAATTCGATCCCGGCCTTCTTATGTGACTCGATGACATTCAACCAGCCCAAGACTGGTCCCTTGTCGTCTGTGCTGCCACGACCATACATTCTGCCCTTGTCATCGACGCTGAGCTCGAAGGGCTCCGTGGCCCACCCGTCAGACAAGTTCGCCGGCTGCACATCGTAGTGTCCGTAGACGAGGATGGTCCTTTTGCTGGGATCCTTCTGCGCTGGGTAGCGGCCGATGATGGCTGGCGGGAGCGCCAGGTGCTCCTTGTGTGGCTGTGGTCCCAGTTCACGAGCTTCCATGTGTGCTCCAAGCCCTTCCAACTGCTCCTTGAGCCAGTGGCCCATCTTGATGACATCGGGTCGGCGTTCTTCTTCGGCGGAGATAGACGGGATGGCAACGGCCTTGCGAAGCCGATCGATGAAGGGCTCTGCCAGCGAGTCCACCGTTTGGTAGAAGTTCTGCAGCTGCGGCGCCATGTTGGGTGACGGTGTTAGGCGGTAGATGTACGGCCACTCGGCGGTGGTGTGTTTATATCGTCGTGCGAGATGGCGAGGTGTATTCCAAAGGCTTCGTGCAGATGAAGACCAAACGGGTCGCAGAGCAGCAGCGAACATGAGAGAATTGACCACGCGCGCTTGCCTGGTGGGGGTTGAAAGACAGCATGCCACCTTCCTCTTCGCGTGCGAATCCCTGCAGCCGCCGAAAGCTTGACTTCAGCCGCGCCTGCCCGACGCTTTGAGCACGCGTCTTGCTCCCGATTGGACAACCATTTCGAGATAGCGAAAAGGGGAAACATTTCGACTTCATCAGCTTCATCGAACAGGGTTGCGAGCGAGCGAAAAGACGATGGCGCGGTGATGCCACTCCTGAACCCTTTCTTCCGCCTTCCGGGACGCCTCTGGCCGAGGAGGAGAGCGCGTCGAACGCGAATGGCCACCCAAACCATCATCATTATCGTCGTCCTCTTGGTCGTGGTCCCGCTGTATACCATCTACAAGCCGCGTAGAGCTGTGATTCAATACTTTCAGAATCGTTTCCCAGAAGTCCTATTCCAGGTCGAGACAGATAAGAAGATTATAGCTCTCACCATAGATGATGCCCCAAGCCCATATACCAGCGAGATACTCGACATCCTCAAAACAAATGACGCATCGGCCACCTTCTTTATCATTGGAGGTCAAGTCGCTGGAAATGAGCAACTCCTGGCCGAGATGGTAGCTGCAGGAAACGAGCTTGGCAACCACGCCATGCACGACGAGCCTAGTATCCAGCTGCCGAGCCACGTCCTAGAGGACGAAATTCACCAGGTCGATGGCTACATCAATGCAGCATACCAGACTGCTGGCAAAGATAGACCCGAGTTGCAGCTTTTCCGGCCTGGCTCTGGCTTCTTCAGTCGGCGAATTCTGGATGTCGCCACTATGGCAGGCTACAAGACCATTCTGGGCAGCATCTATCCACATGATCCGTTCATCAGCTTTTGGAGGCTGAACGCCTGGCATATCCTGAGCATGATGCGACCAGGCGCTGTGATTATCTGTCACGACAGAAGATCTTGGACAGTGCCGATGCTGAGAAAGGTACTGCCGGCGATGAAGCGAAAAGGCTATCAGATCGTCTCCGTCTCTCAATTCTTATCTTTGACGAAAGATGGATGAAGATTGATGATGCAGGCGTGGCAATCTATTCTTAGTCACCGACTACCGGCCCATATCAGGTTGTCCGGTGCTATCTGTCACTGCGCCATCGACGACCAATTCCTGCCCAGTAACGTAATCTGCTTCGTCAGAGCAGAGATATAACGCCGCATTGGCAATATCCCAAACAGTGCCCATCTTGCCTGTTGGCGACTGCTTGTCTCGCACTTTCCGATACCCTTCTTGATCGCCTCCGGCATACTTGTCAGCTAGCACAGCCACGAGGGGACTGTTGATCAGACCAGGAACGACGGTGTTGAGCCGCACTTTACCCCCGGTCCGCTGAGCATATATCACAGCCGTGGTTTTGGTGAATTGAATAATGGCTGCCTTTGTTGCCGCATATGCCACTTGAGGCTTGCCAATATATCGAAGCCCAGCAATCGAAGACACGTTCAATACGACTCCTCCTGTCTCCTGCTTCTCCATGATCGGTAACACAAGATGGCACATCAAGTATACAGACTTCAGGTTCACGTCTGTCTGCGCATCCCAGACCGCTTCAGAAAGCTCTGCTGGCCCACCTGGTTCGGACTTGCCCACATTATTGACGAGGACATCGATTCGGCCGTATTTCCGTATGCATGCTTGTACGAAGGCTTCACAGGCCGACTTTTTGGTTACATCCTGAATTCCGGAGTCAGGATCACTTCTCAATGCAAGGATACTTCTAGGAGTGTACTGTGGACTCTTGAAAAACATCTACGGCCTGGCCACTCTGCTCTCTCGCTGGATGGTTCTTCACTTCGTCCTCGGCGTTGATCTTGTCCCGAGCTTTGTTCGCTGCGTCGAGATTGACATCGCATCCAAAGATGGTGGCGCCTTGGCGTGCCATGACAGCCGCCCTGATTCTTGTGAGCTCCATTCAATGCACAGTGCAGGGAAATATGCAGTGTCATTACATTGCTGTCCCGTTGCCATATCCCTCACCCACTGCGCCAATGCCCGTGAGAATGACGACTTTCCCGCTGTAATCGAAAATGGGCATCTTGAAATTTTCTGTCTAACAACGAGTATGAATGAGTGCACAGGCAGATACAGAGCTCATTCCTAATGTACAAGTCGATTAACATTTCTACCAATGGACACATGACGTGGGATCGGCTACTCGGGCGCTGTGCATAGAGCGACATTGGCACGTCTTGGAGGGCACGCTGCTACCAGATACCAACGATATGGGTCACCAAATCGTCCATCAAGCATTTATAATCGAACATACTTTTGAAGTCACTGAACTCATCGAAAAAGCATCAACTTTTCCTTTCAGACATTTTGACGTCCAGATTGCATGCCTTGAAACCTCCACCCCAGCCAGCTTCGCCAACTTTCACAGGCTCCATCTGCTACCTCGTTAGCATATATGCCAATATCTGCACGGAAAGAAAGGGATAGAGCAATAACTCACCTCGAAACTCCTCACCAAAGTCGCAACCAACTTCTTCATTTCAATCCTCGCCAAATGTTGTCCAATACACATTCTTCTGCCCCAGCTGAATCCCATACTAGCTCGATCATAGTCTCTTCGCGTTTTTTCGTCTATATCCAACCACCTCTCAGGTCTGAAAATTTCAGCATCGGCGCCAAAAACTGCTTTAGAGCGTGTAACGTCCCAATCGGAGACTGCAACATCGGTACCGGCTGGGATGAAAGTATCGCAAATCGTGACGCCGCCCAGGGGAGAGGACGTGATGGTCCTCTCGTTGATGTTGGGATTGACGGTGAAGCGTCTGGAGAGAAGTACAGGTTAGTTTTTGATTACAGTTTCGCGAATGGTAAACATATACATACAGTGTCTCTCGAAGTAGAGCATCCAAGTAAGGCAGTCTCTCGACGTCAGCGAATTGTACTGGAACGAAGGGGTCCAAACCAGCTGCCAGAATTTCTTGCTCTAACCTCCGGAAGATTGGCAGGTTGCTTAGCGCATAGGATAATGCCAGCGAAGTCGTGAGAGCTACCGTGTCCGAGCCAGCATGGATCGTCGAAATCGTCAATGCGACTACGTCGTGAGGTCTGATCACATCTGGAGCTTCCTGACTAGCAGCAAGATATCGATCAAGGAGATCTCTTCCTGTAGCATTCTTATCTGCCGCTTTACGTTGCTGAATCCGAGTGATGGCCATTTGCGCCAGGGAGGTGGAGGTCTTTTGGAATTTTTGCATCAGCCAGTTCTTGTAGATCAGGGCTTCGAGGTTTGGCGCCAGAGCCCAGTGTCTCCAGTGAGCGAAGCGCTTTTGGCTGCTGGCGAAGACATCGTCGAGATCAGTGCCGGCTTTGAGAAAACCACGTGTTTCGCTGAAGGCGAGGGTGGTGAGAGTGTCGAAAGACCAGAGACTGAGCCACCGGTTTAAGGAGATAGTGGTACCCGATCTCGAGCGGAGTTGGTCGAGCAGGATGCTGATCGTTTCGTCTATTTGGTCTTCTTGCTTCAGCCATGTGCTCGCTGAGAAGCCGGCCGAGATGTGCCTTTTTATTCCAGTAACCCGCTTCTCGTCCCTCGTTGTGACGAGTGTTGCTAGTTCTTGACCATTGGCAAGTACCGTCATCGGACTATATGAGTCTGCCTGTTACGACCCGATGAGCCTGCGGTCGTCCGGGAGATGTCACACTTAGTCGCTGTCTTACCTTCGGATAGACGTATGAAGTGCCATAGATGTCGGCGATGGCATCAGGGCTAGCAAACGAAACCCGGTTCGGCCCAGTACGGACGACAGGACCGTATTTGCTATGAAGTTCCGCGACGACGTCCATGTAGTACTCGCCTCGGAACACGCGCCATGCTGCCCATAAATCTGTGATTGAAGCTAGCCGTGGTCCTGGTATATGTCGCAAAGCGTGATAGCGACTGAAAAGGGCGATGCCAATAGCCACGAGGAGGCCGAGCCCAGCTATCGTGGGAAGAGGGGGAAGAGTGCTCATAGTCACAACTTGCAGCGTCAATGGTCGTTGAGGCTCGTCAATGCGTAGCGGTCGAAGAAAGTATTGTGCCCGCCTGATGATAATATATCACTCGTAGCCATGATGTCTCGCTGCCGATCCGCATCCTTCCACATGGCCGCCGCACCGCCAGACCCGGTCAGCTCGATGATCCTGCTGCAGTCCGGTAACCTTACACGTAGTTCTACGCCTTCGAGGTTAGTTCGACCTCGGCTTGCAAAGTCCATTGGACATGAATACTAGCGGCAAGCGCATCCTTGTCTACAATTCTGATGCCGAGCGCAGTGCAGGTAGGGCTTGAGCTATAGCCAGATGTGAAGAATCCGCACATACGTCCGGAGATATGTATAGAAGTTTCGTTCTACTACTGGGACTCGCTTGACGATCAGCAGTACGCCTTACCTGGTCGTGCAAAGTCTATTAGCCGTGAACAGCAGCAAGCGCATCCTTCTCTGCACTTCAGTTGCCGAGCTGAGGGCAAAGACGTAGGCTGGTGCCAGATAAGTTTGCGGGTATGTATACGGTATTTGTTGTTTTGGAACATGATGTATCGCAAGATCTAAGTAGATGTTGTATTCTAGAGTGTGAAGTCGTGATTCTCCAATTTGCTGACGCGTGCCTCAACTGCCGCGCGTGACCCCACTTCTTCGTCGTCTGCGATTCTCGGCGGAGGGCTGGACGTTGGCAAGAGTCATCGTTGTGAGCAGTTACTACAGTTTCGAAGCATATCGTTTGCACGGCCATCATCGACACAATCATCCAAAATGATAACAGGTCTTGCCCACGTCAACCTGTTGGTTCCAGCCGACACGCTGCATCACGCCGAGGAGTTCTATGGCACAACGCTTGGGCTAACCCCAAGACCTGTGCCACAGCTGCAAAAGGGATCGCTGGCTTGGTATGAATACAAGAAGAGAGCAAATACGTGTCATTCTCGCTAATTGCATGTTCCAGGTTTGATATCGGTTCTTCAGGTCAACAAGTCCATATCGCTCTCGATAAAAACAATTCCAATTCCACCAAGTCTTCGCGCCACCCATGCTTCAAGATCGAATCTCCAGACGCCTTGCTTGAATTACGGCAACGGATCTGGGAGCACCATGAAAGAGGAGGCGATTCTGCCCCTCAGGAAGCCGACCGACCGGGGAAGGTAAATAGCGGGTCTCAGGGTGCCGAATACCCTTCGCGATTCTTTGCGCGTGACTATGCGGGTAATAGATTGGAGTTCAGTCTGTAGGTAGCAAATCGGGCCAATGTGCTGTCTCTCGCGTCATGTCGATTTCGTATAGCTCAATCTATTCCCTACAGCCCGATCGCGTCCACTTTGTTGTTCACGCCTGCCGTGCTGCCGGAAGCTTCCATGTAATTCAGTACTTGTTGATTGTCCAGATACTCGCGTAGAAGGAGGATCTGCTTTCCGGCCGTTATCGTGAATGCCATGACGACGGAATTCGTGTAGACTTTGCCGTCCTGGTTCGACGACACAACCTCTAGTTCGGCCATGACCTGCACGCCCTCGGCGATGATATTGAATGCTTTGAGCGAGTACTGCGAAAACTGGCCGATCATCTGCGTGGCCAGGGGTATGCGCTTGTGAGCGGGCAGGAAGCCTCCCCAGGACACATTGTCCTGGCCCATCACCCACCAGCCGGCATTGTCGGCAAACATCGAAGGCAGCGCATCGAAGTTCTGGCTGTCGAGGGCGTTGATGAAGTTTTGCGCCACAGCCTTGCTCTGTCGCGACACACTATCCATGCTGACCACGAATCCCTCGGAGCAGTAAAGTTCGCTGGAAGGCAGCCGTCAACGAACTCAGGCAGAAACCGCGGTGGCGTGGGCTGGAGCGCAGTCCGATCGGGTTCGCGGGTCCGTGGAAAACTGATGAGACCCTTTCTGGACAACAAGGAACTACAGAACTGCTGGGAACTGGAGCGGCGTGACTTTTTCTGTTGCGACTTTGGCTTGGCTACTGCCCTTTCCAAGACATTCTGTCTGGGCAACCCGTCTTAGCAGTCCGAAAACAACAACAGACAGCTGACAGCTCGCGGCCAAGTGGGCGGTCTGCGCAAAATGGGCGACCGCAAGGGCGCGTACGGCGGCGCGTCGAATGGCCCGAGCGACACCTCCTTCCGCCGCACCTGGGACCGCAGTGAGTATGAAGCCAAAGCGCGCGACCGCGACGCCAAGGTCAAGGAGGAGGGCAAGGCGCGGTATGAAGCTGCGCTAGAAGGCAAGAAATACCACCGTCGCGCCTCGACGCCCACCGACACGAAAGAGACCGAGGCGCGTCAGCAGCGCTTGAACGTCGCTGAGCAGGTTGGTAAGACTACTCTCGTCGCTGCAGGCGCAGGACAGGGCAAGCGTGGCAAAGGAGCCGGATTCTACTGCGATGCTTGCGACTTGACATTCAAGGACAATCTGCAGTGGGTGGAGCATTTGAACAGTAAGCAGCATTTGATCGCAACTGGAGAGACCGGAGAGGTCAAGAGGGCCACGTTGGAAGACGTGGAGGAAAGATTTGAGTACCTGAAGAGGAAGATGGAAGAGGAGAAAGTGCACGATCAAACCGATTTGCAGACGAGGATCAAGACCACGGCCGAGCAATTGGAGAAAGAGCGAGAAGAGAAGAGGCGCAAGAGGAATGAGAAGCGGCGCAAGACGAAGGACGGCAAAGGTCACGAAGAGATACGGGTGGAGAACGATGGGATCATCTGTTGAACGGACGAATGCCTTAGCATGCCTTGCCCAGGGCTATGGAACGAGGTCTAACGACCACCTCCTTGGTGCTGTGACCCCCTGCCTGACGCATGGCCAATCGTTCTATATCGACACGAACAACTGCGGCAGGTGACTCGATCGAATCTCTCGTTACTGGCTCCTCTTGAGGGCGGGACGGGCATCCCCATTCCTGGTATATGAGGTGCACTGGGAAAATCTCATATCACGCCAAAAACACGTGTAAAACGTGCGCGACAATTGAACATCCCGAGTCGTCAGGCCTAAACAGTTTGTCGTCGAACAACGTCGCAGATCAAGGTGCGAACAGCAGAAACTGAGATCATGGACCGCAACCAGCGGAACTCATACAGTGGCATCTGCTCTCAAACCTGGTCGTGGGGACTCCTGGGCAGCACAGTCCATCTGGAATTAGTCGACCTCGACTCGACTCTGCGGAGAGATGGTTTCTCCGCCTGTCCACCTGGTCACGGCCAACATTGTTGCCCAGGAATACATCTGAGCAATGAATGCTTCCCTGACTTGGCTATGTCGCGTGTCTGTCACGAGACACGCGACATAATCGCGTGATTGCTTGGATGAGCACAAGCGAATATGCCCGCCAGCCCGGCTAGGTGGACGCGATGAGGGGTAAGCTTATGAGGAGTCAACATTACCGAGTAGTTCCTTGTGTAGTCTTACATTAGTCGCAGGCCATAGGCCAGATGGCCACGTGCTACAACAAGCTACTCTATCAAGTAGCCGCCACAAGATACAGTGAATAAGATTCCTTCTCCTTCCCTCAGCCAACATTCCGGCTGTGTACAGTGGGCTTTGAGCAGCTCAATCGCGACCGATGGCATCCATGAACACAAGCACCAAGGGTTTCCTGGCCCTTCCACCAGAGATTCGCGACCTCGTCTACCAATACGCAACTGAAGAAACCTTGCCGTGGCCAGAGAGCTTCACAGAAAAACACAGCGACATTCCGAAGCCATGCCATCTCGCCTCACTTCAACAACTATCAGATCCTGACCCAGCAGACCCCCTCCTCGTCAACTATCCCTCAAACCCTCCACGTCCCACCTGGCTCTCCCTCCTTCGATGCTGCAGGACAACTCACTCTGACATGAAACATCTATTCCCTCTCACAGACCCAACCTCTCCAATCTCTCCCAAATGCAATCCCGATCATGCCACAGCCCGCCTTCTCCTCACCCTGACTTCCACGACCTCAACGATAACCTGGCTCAGTCTTCGTTGCCATCCCGTCCACCTCGAAACTTTGCACATCAAACTCCATCTCTCCGATCTCTGGGCCGCGGATCTGACATCCGGACATCCACAAACCGAGAACAGAATCGTTCACGCTCTATTCCTCCTTCTACGACAATTCTTCACATTCGGCCCTCATCTATCTCGGGAAACAGCAATATCTACACCGATACGATTGAAGACCGTGGTCCTATCTCTCGAAGCAGGACCTCCAAGCGAGGAACCGTGCAGAAATACAGATCGGCTACTACAGAGATATCTCTTCAGCGAAGGTCACGCGAACCAGCAAATGGCGACGATCGCTGGCGTGTTGGTGATTTGGCTGCAACGATTTGCGAGCAGTGGATTACTGTGTGGCTATGTGGAGGAGTTGCATCTGGATTGTACGAAATTAGTAGAAGAGCATGGCGATGATGCGAAGTTTCCGATTTTGGAACCTAGGCCGGGCTGGACCATGTGTAAGGATATTTTTGCAAAGTTGGGGTATGAATGGACTATGAATTTGTAGGAGGTGAAAGTATTGAGTTCGTAGATTTCGGAATCTTCTCAAATACATCTGATTAGAGATCTTCCTCGTCGTCGTCTTCCACCGTGGGCTTTGGGACTGTGGTGCGTCCTGGTCGAATGCTTGGAGCCGCAGCTGTGTAGCGTACTGGGCTGGGAATTACTACCGGCGGAATGGGAGCGGACACAATCTGCGTCTCGAGTTTCGTATTTCCAGCCCGCAGTCGTTCCAGATCTGCATATTGCAGACAGAGCTCTTGCTGCATATCTCTTCGCTGGCGTTCAATATACTCGGAGTCGCGAAGCAGCTGTTCATCAGGGTCGAGCTGAGTGTAGTCTACGTGTCCAATATGTCAGTTCCACTTCCAAGGCGTCTTCGCGAACAAGTCGGCTTTGCCTTACCTTTATGTCTCCATGCAAATCGCTCTTCCTGCCCTGCGACTACATGACGACCCGCCGCCTCGAAACGCTCCAGATTCTGCCATCGCGATTCAAGCGGATTCTCCCAGTCACCATCCAATTCTACTACTCTCGTCCAGCCTTCTTTTGGGTCTACGTAGGTCCACTCTTCCGTTTCTCTTCGTGGCAGTGGACAGCTTCCAGAGACCAGCGGCGCCTCGCTAACTTCCGTGTCTTCTGGCACTTCCTCGATAACCGGGCTTAACTCTGTGGTACCACTGGCCTTGGTTGTTTGACTTTGCAGCTTCGTTGGAATGCGCACACTATTCAGAGGCTTTGACACAGAATGCTTGATTTGCGTCATGGTTGGTGGCAGGACAAATCGAACATGCATCCCACGCTCAGCGACCCTTTTTCCGTGTGCTGCAGGTCGCTCTCTCGAATCTTGTGGCCGTCTCTGTTCACTGTCCCGCATATCACTTCTTCCTCTGGCTTGTTGGCGCAGCATCTCCGCCACAGTCTGTTTGTTGGCTTCGGAATTCCTCCCCTGCCGGGAAGGCCAACTCGTCGCATCTGGGAATTGTACGCGCAGAATCTCATCTCTTAACTCTATGTAGTGCGCTGCAGCGCGTGCTCTGTCCAGCCAAGCTAAGTCGCTGACGTCCTCCTTTATCAATCTTTCGAGTTCCGCCAGAGCTTCAGGGTAGAGCTCGAAAATTTGCGTAAATGCTTCGACCTGCGTCCGACAACAGTGCTTGATTTCCTTATAGTATACACTCTGCTTATGCTGTGGTTTCACATCCCCCGATCGCAATAATGGCTTGAAATTGACAAAAGAAGCCTCGGGGTTGTTCTTGGAACGATGCAATCGTGGAGGGGAGCATTGCTTGTAGCCTGGACGAATGTATTTGCGGAATCCGTATTCTTGATGCGTTTGTCTGAAGTCTATGTGTATGTTGGGCCCAACGTTATCAATGTCTTCTGCGGCCAGTGGCGTGCCCATTTGGCCAATAAAAATGCTTGTGCTGTTCTGAGCGGGCACGCAAAATCGAGTGGTTTTCGAAGATCGTCCACGGTTTCACCCTGGAAGCTATGATGAGTGACCATGGCAAAATTAGCTCGGCTACTTCTTTGTTCAAATTGCCGGAACAGGAAGCGCAGTGCCTCTGCGTGTCTGCGATCACGAAGCACAATGGCCTTCAACGCGAACAAAGAATGCCGGACTAGCTGTTTCTTTGAGTGAAGGGTGCCCTAGGGCAAAATCCTGGAGCATTGCCGATGTGGCGCTGTATCCCATTGTCACCGTCGATATCAATATTCCAGTGAGCGTGGCTTGGTGCCTATCCACTCAATACAGTCCATGCCTCTCAGTATTCATCTTCCCAAAGTACCCTGGTGGCCAGTATTCGAATACCTTCACAGACCTCGCTCATGTCGCACTGGAAGTCTTCTCGTTTGATTCTCTACCCTGACCATCGCCATTTGCGCTCGATGAAGTCACTCCGTTACTTGCGACTGGTGGTCCTGGCGTGGCCGGAGTCGCTGGCGTAACAGGAGTAAGCTGAGGTGCAGGCGTGTCGGTAGGTGCCGAGCCACCTATATTGGCCTGCTGCTGACCCTCTGCTTGGAGATGCGCTGCGGCTTGAGCCTGGTTCTGGTTCGGCACCGGAACGCCCGCAGAATTGACATTAAGTGGCATATTCTCCATCGCACGAGCTTCTTGTTCTGCCACCTGGTAGTAGCGATTGAACTGCTCCGGTGTCCAGCCCTTTTCCATAGCCGCAGCATATATCTTGTCCTTCTGATTGATCATCGATCGCATGTAATCGACTGTGGCAGCGAGCACGATCGCTTCGGAACGCGCCTGGCCTTGCATGCCTGGCACGATAGTGGACAGCCTGTCGAAGCCATTGCGGATCGCCTCTCGACGCTTCTTCTCCGACTCTATATGGTTGCGCTTCTTCTGCTCTTCTGTCAATCGTGACTTGGCGGAGTTGATAGGACTCGAGGGCGTCTCGCTGGGGTTCATGGTAGAGGACGTCGCGTGGGTAGCGTGAGAGTCGCGGCTATAGCGCGTTCGTCAGGCTGAAATTGGACGAATAGGTTTGACAAGCGATGAAGCTTGCGATCAGGCCAGGAGGGAAACCGTGAGAGTTGTGCTGAGTTCGTTGCGTTGTCGCAGATCAGTGGCAGTGGAAGATGGTCAGGTGGCTTCGCGATTGCTTGAACAATTGTTAACGAGGGCTTGCATTGCTGTTGAGGTGAATGAGCGACGTTTCTAGGCCTAGTCATGGGTACACCGAATGGGCGAGCGAGTGCGTGAAAGTGGAAGAGAGGTGCATGCGCCTGGCATGTGACAGTCACAAGCTTGCCAAGTCGCGCTAGTACTGTTTGGTGTCGTCACCCATGCATGTTATCCTTGTCCTGCATACATACATGTATGCTAGCATTATGTTTCTTGTGCTCACATTCGATCATCACTTCACCAAATCCTACAGCACAGGTTCAAAAGTGAAGCCGATAAATAAACTACATACTACAAGACTAGATGACGATTGACACAGCGTTCCAACTCGGGCTCAGCACATTATACTGAATGGAATCTGAGTCCCAGGTATCTTCTCCAAATTTCCTGAACTCCTCTTCGCTATCCGCCAACGCCTTGTAGAACTTCGCAGCGGCTTGTTTGATCTCTTGCTCTCCAGGTCCAGTCTTGGCTTTGTAAAGGTGATACTTGCTCGCCGCGTAGATGATCAAGGACTCCTTGTCCCCCGGCTTCGCAGACAGCAAATATGGAATGTGCGAGGCGAGAAGCCATTCTCGGGGCCGATTCATTGGCAATGCAATAACAAGATCTTGCTCTTTGTAGCTGTCCAGCTCTTGGCGAGATTCCGCGATTGGACGATACAAGCAAGGAGGCTTGTTGACCACGAATGATTGATAATAGTTCTGAAGGTAGTTGACTGCTGTGTGTTGTGGTGAAGCCAAATGAATGCACATGGTAACAGCATCAACCAATTCCGCAAAGTTTGTGATTGTTGGGAAGCTGGGAAGATCAGCCCCGCCGTCTTTCGGTGCTGGTGGGCTTTGCATGTATTTGCACCAGTTCTTGATGTGTTGATCTGCCTGTACGGCCTTATCTTTGTCTTGACCGTCTTTGCCGTAGTGGATAGCGAGCATCTCGGTCACAAAGGAATGAATCTTGAACCACATCGAGTAGATGCATCGAGCGTACGCATAGTTGAGGTACTTGGGATCGTCGCGCTTCTCTGTTGGAAACCCACGGCGCTTCAGATCTAGAGGAACGTAGCGACCCTTGAAGTCGAAGTTCTTGTATTCGTGCATGATGAATGTCTTGGCTTGGTCGGCTGTGACACCGATGAGGTCCACAATCACGTTTGGCACTAGACTTGCTCGAGCACCAGCATTGATCGACAATGTCTTCTGCCAGTGTGGATACAGGAGTTGAAACACCGGATGATGGTCTTCGAATGCTTGCTGAGCTCCAACAATGGTAGCCTCTTCGATGAAATGAGTATTGACAAGATGCACGACCACCTCGTGACGCATCCAGTCTGAGGTCTGTACACAGGTCTTCGCATATCGCCACGGCCAGTCCTCCTTTTGCTTGGATTGAGGAAGCTCTTTGTTGTAGATTGTGACCGACTTATCGGCGCTGCCGCGCCAGTCACAAACGATGGCAAGCGGGTGGAGTACTCCATTTTCCGGCAGGTGGCACAGGCAAACAGCTGCGACTCCATATCGGTGGCTGATTTTGGTCTTCGTGCCCAGCCCAGATTTGTAAGTCTCTTGGAACTCGCACTTCATCTCGTCAGTGTCTTTGAGCCCACAAGCTTTCCTGAAGTAGCTGTAATCTTGCATGTAGAGTGATTCTCGATCCTTGCTTGCCAGATCTTGAATCTTCTTTTTCATCTTCTGATCCTCTGGCGCATTTGTAGCGTCGTCGATAAAGTGCTTTATCCAGAAGTCGGAAGCAGGCTCGATCGTGGTAGGATTAGGCCCGGTGAAGAATTGCTGAGCAAACCTCCGGTCACTCCACCAATCCGGGATGTCTCCAATGTTTGGCAAGTTGAAGATATCATTTCGCTGAAAGAAGCTGCCACTTTTGGCACGCTGCTTCTTGTTGTATTCTTCCACATCGGCAAGAGTCTGGCCTTCATCGGGGCGTCCCATGTCGCCAAGCGCTAGCTCAGCAACAAGTTGCCCTGCACCAGCAGCAGCTTTACCAAGGAACGTCTTGGGAACGAGCTGTGGCAAAAGTGCAGTCAATTGTGCCAGGCGCATTTTCTATCACCATGTTAGTCTCGGGACCTGGTCCTGATGCCTGCGTACTCACATTGAAGAGGTCTCCTTGTGTCAGGGTTGATTTCTGCATCGGTGCTGCTTTGTCCTCGGCAAATGACTTGTTGGCAGCAAGGTTGAGATGTGGTGGGTACCCATCCGTAGCCGGATCGGTGAAAGAGAAGATTCTTCGCTTCTGTTCGAGGCTCAGAGGAGAAGGAATTGAGGGCTCGAAATTCGCCGTGTCCATGAACGACTCGTAAGATTTCTCAATCAATTGGTACACCTTGGTCAGGGCGAGCTGTGTTCCTCTGTAAGTGCCCTCTGAAATGGCCTCCGGTGCATTGTCTTGAGCTTTTTGGAACAGTGCTTCTGGGTTTTGGTGTGCTGCGGCTTTTTCTTCTTCAGTGAGATGTTCAAACTTCATAGGTAGCTTGTTGAGGTTGGCGAGTTCTGTGACGAACACTCCCGTGTCCCAGAACGGGATTGGGACTTTCTCCACTTCCAGTGGCCATTCTCGCTCCTTCGTCTGTGTGACTTGGAGCGTAGCACCAACTACCACTCCAGGAGTCAAAGCAATAGGCTGGGCTGTGGCGGCCATGATGCTACTTGGCGCGAGACCAATGAAGTGCTAGATTGAGTAGAATTCGCCCAAATTCGGCGTATGAAAAGAGTATGGTCAATGCCTCCAGGGCGGGGAGTGCACACCAGATAAATACTACCTTTGGCAGACACTGAGTCCCGCTGTCTCGCGTGGAGCTCCATGTGTACAGCATTCCAGACTCATCCATGCCATGCTCCAGCTAGCCACAGTGCGCGCCATCACGCCCGTGAGGCAGCCACAGAGCAGAGCTATGCCGTATCAGCTCCCCGAAGTATCAAGCTCATACGCGGCAGGTTGCTCTTCACGCCGCCAGCGAGGAGCGTTTGCTGCCGTCGCATTTTCGCATCCAGTCTTGCGGACGAGGCAAGATATGCGGGACCTCGTCGAGGTGTTGGTCTTGCGGAGTAGATGAAGAGTGATGTTGATTCCTCGAGCTGGTGTTCGCTCCCAGCAAAAGTGGGGCCATCGCGGGAGCTCCGACGGGTTAGCGCAGCCCTGTGTCCTGCACGTGGAAGCCTCGTTGCTGTCAACACCAATACTGCTCGTCACATTGGTCATGCCACGATTGCATGGAGCTGAACGGAGGCTGCAGATGTTGCTACAGCTTCGTGTGCAGCGGTGAGGCTTCACCGACTGGACGCCGTGCGTCCACATGGCCCCGACTTGGCAGACAAGAACAGCTTCCAATGCACAGTCATCACGCCGGATGCAGTTGTATCAAGGCCATACCCCTGTCCTGGGTCGGAGAAGCAACTTGCAGAAACGATGCTGTTGGGCGGTAGATGACAGGGCTGCTAGAGGAGAGCTGAAAGGACCGAGATGCGGGAAGGTCATGTATCAAACTCGAAATTTCGCATAATAATGGGTATCTCTCGCCAAATCTAACATGCTGAACGCTAACAATGCCAACCATAAAAATTACAATCATCCAATACAGTATGTGCTCTTGCTTCGGAGCCACATACCGTATCTCCACAAAAGTACAGGCGCAACAAGTCCCAAAGTCATGCTGATGAAGGCCAAAGTACTGTTCGTCCAACCAACTCCAAGGACTTGGTACATGCGAGGCGCAAAGAGCGGGAAGCTGAAACCAGCCATGGTCCGTACGAAAGCTGCTGCACCAGTCGCTGAAGCCGCGTAGGTGGTGTATGTGTCCACCACGTAGCCTTGAGCGCAGTTGAAACAGACAATTAGACCGATTGAGAAGATACAGGTGCCCAAGTTCGGAACGAACCAGTGCACTTTATAGTGCGCGCTCCAGCCATAAATGAAGAGGCCTGGGAAGGCATGTTAGGGCATGTTGGGAGATTCAGAATATGGATAACTTACCAATAGGGATGAGCATCGAGAAGGGCAGAACAAGTGGCAGTCGGTACTCTGGCAGGCCCTTGGTAGGGTCGACAAGGGACTTGTTGGTTCCTCGGCGCCTCAGTGTGCTCATACGCTGAGGCAAAGGCTTTCTCGGAATGGAGTGTCGCGGGTTCGCGGGATCAGTGGGTGATCCGTTCGGTTGTGGCAACAGACTGCCCTTCTCTTGCTTCGAATTGCCATTCCGAAAGAGCTTCCAGGACTGCCACGTATTTCGCAGCGACGATGGGTCGACTTCGTGGACTTTGCACCAGGTGTAGATCTTATCTTGCATCCTGCCAGAAATTTGAAGACCGATGATGAAACCTACGCCCAGTGAGAGGTAGTTCAGCGATGCTCGGCCGACATCTTGGTTGTAGGAACCCTCAAAGACCATTGGGAACGTGGCGAATACGAGGTACATGAGACCGTACTGGTAACCTCGGAACAATGCCATTGCCTGGAGTGCTGGCTGTGTGGTCAACATGATCCAAGGACGAACGCAGCTCTTCATGAGCTTCTTCTTCATGGTATGCTCGGGCCCCTGCCATTTTGTATGAAGATCTTGGTTGCCAGTAGCTGCCTTCAGCTTCTTGACTTTGTTGGCGAGGATCGTAGGATGATGCGTCTCTCTGAGCAGGATAACACAAGCGATCTGAACCGCCGCATCGAATATGCTTGTGGTCCAGAACACCCAGCGCCAGCTAATGTATTGTGTCATGTAACCACCCATAATTGGTGCTACTGCAGGAGAGAGGAAAGGCATCAAGCTGTAGATCGCTGTTGCCAGACCTCGCTCTCCAGCTTTGAAGCAGTCGCTCAGGATTCCGCCACCAACCTGTATCTTGTCAGCAGAGCTCACCTCGCATGAAGCGTAATGGACTCACTGCTTGGGGCGCACTTCCACCAATACCTGCAAGGAATCGAAAAGCCATCATCTGCTCCTTGGTCTTCGCAAATCCACAAACCGTGTTGAAGAGCAAGAAGATCATGTTCGCGCCTTGAATGACACGAACTCGACCGAAGACCTCAGAAAGAGGTCCCCACAGAAACGGTCCGATCGCGAACGCAAGCAAGAAGATGGACATGATGAGAAACTCTTCCACGCTTGAAGTCAAATCGAACTCGTCTTTGAGCGTGTCCAAGGCTGGTGCGACCATGGTTGATGCCATGGGTGCAATGAAGGCGTACATGGCAATGAGGACTGTCGATGTCCATCTTCGATATGCTGGCCAGTTGCTAGGATCTTGTTAGCCTTTCGTTCTCTGAAGCTTAACATATAAGTAAGATCTTACTGAGGGTTCGCTGGGTCGTCCTTATCCCATGTCACGAGGTTAGGATCTTCTGGAACACTGTCCAGCTTCTCCATAGTTGGCGCGCGGCTTGGGAATGCTCGGCTCGGAACTGGGCGTCTTGATATTGGCACACGAGGTGGGATTGGTACTGCTTCTTCCATCTGCTGTTCCCAGTTCGAGCTGTAAGGGTTGTACGAGTTGTAACCCGCATGGAAAAGGGTGAGAGACGAGCCATCGTCAGTTTCGTCGTCACTGTAGTACGACTCGACGGTGCTGTTGCGGATAATGTCGTCGGCATCAATTTCCTCAGGGAAGAACATCTCTGGTAAGTATTCTTCGAATTGGTCGTAGTTCTCGCTGGAGTGGCCCGAAGCGTCTTCTGCAAGAGAAGGAGACCGGGACCTCTCTTCCTCCTCCTCATGCAAAGGCACGTGGATGCCTCGGGCATCGTCTTGGTGAGCCATGTCAACGATGAAACAGGCACAAATGCAGCTAAAGCGAATGTATGGAAGTTGGTGTTGGGGGCCTTGCACAATTGCCAGGCACAATCAAGTAGATATGAGCTGTTAGTTGCGAAACCACCCAACGCAGCGGAGGGTGGTACAGGGAGCCGCAGCAGTGATGCCAATGTAGGCAGTGCCTCGTGTGAGCACTGACACTATTACAGTCGGTTTCCGGATTCCATCTTCCTCTAACCACGAACCTTTCGGCTCCGAGCCGACGTCAGTATGCATCTACTGCGCCCAAAACTAAACCTTGATGTACAATTTTGGGCTACTGAGGCACTCTGCAGGCTCAACCGGGAATCTCAAGGAAGTCTCCAGTTGTGCCCTGAGCCAAGAGTTGCCATGCCAGATCCCGCTTTGATATTTGGAGTGTGGCGCAAAGTGATCGACAGCAGAGAATCTTCCAAGCCCTGCACGAGCGGTCCTTGTCCCACGTCTTGTGGTCTTGGACGTGGCCAGCAAAATGATTCCAAGTTCAGAAGCTGGCCTTGGGACATCGCTTGTAGGGCACAAGAGGTTGTGCAAGCACGATCAACGTGCTGCGAGACGAGACCATCTAAAACAGTCATTTGCCCTGCAAATAGCACGTTAAAAGCTGCCAGACGCGCAGCGTAAGATGCACATATGTGAATTATGTCGGCAATGCATCTTGTGCATCTGGATGCTCACCGCTGCGTCCCTGACCAGCTGAACGGAGTGAACAGCGAGGTGCGTGTGCGTGCGCGTAGGTGGCTGAGCGCCTCCAGTGACTATGGCGCCTTTCCTAATCCGGAAGATATAGCCAAGTGCTAAGAGAAACCAAGACACCTCACCTCTTCCAAGCACAGCAAGTTCATTACAAACTTTTCTGCGACAGCGTCAACTGGTCCATTCAGTGACCTGCACAATGTTCTGGCGGTCGCCAATTCGTCAGATCCTGACGGATGTCCGAGGCGTGTTGTCAGATCATACTTCCATTCTACACGTGGTGGCTCGCGCGTGTCGATCTTTCTCGAGCATTTGGGCTTCGAGGCGTAGCGCCCAAGTGCAACTCTCTTGTTCTTTCCGTTGTCGGCCGGCTTCTAAAGCGTCACCCAGCATCTCTTGAGACACTTCAGGGCGCCACAGGGGTTGCACAAGACATGCCAACTCCTTGACGACTTCACTCAGCCTGCCTGGAATTGTCATACCGTGCCTCATGCTCACCATACACACCGATCGGTTCTCGCTTCTTTTCTTGGGTGACCCACAACTGCATCTTCGTTTACGGCTTGTCATTTGGTATCCTGAATATAGTGTTCGATTAGGGAAACTTACAAGCCACCACAAGCTGTCGCGTTGTCGTGTGCTTGCTTTCCTGTTCCGCTCGGACTGGCGGGCGAAGCAAGATAGTGCATTCTGAGACGAATTCTAGCTTGACTCACGTGAGCCGGTCTGCTGCACGGAGAGCTATTCTGAAGTGATGTCAGCTTGTAGCGCCTCATTTGTACCATTCACCAGCATATGGGCTGCTATTTGCAGATCCAGGATCTGCATCATAGCCAGAAAGAAAGTGGGATTACCAATGGCTTCGGCGTGTGAGTGCTGCGTCACTCGGGTCTTCGTCTTCAAATTGGCGACCATGCGCAAAGAGGCAGGCTCCTAAGGCTGTGCAAATATCTGCTTCGTGATCCTATTGTTGTATCGTGAGAGTTGTGAATACATAAGACAGGCGATTTACCTCTTCAACATGATCATCACACGACAGCTCGACAACCAACCTTCGCTTCCAACAACATTCGTTGACGCTTTCACTGTCGCTTACAGCAACGCAAAGTCGAACTGTCGAACTCAGTATCAGCAACCACAACAACAATCTTCAACCTCATCCTCAGCAAAAATGGGCGCCCAAAGCATTCCAGCTGTCTCTGAGCGTGTTATGCTCGGCAACCAGATCGCGGAGAATGGCCCTCGCATCCTCATTTGTCCCAGCGGCTTCAAGGAGAGCCTTGGTCCAAACGAGGTAGCGGACTGCATCGAAGCTGGCGTGCTCCGAGCTGTTCCCACCGCGAAGATCATGAAAGCTCCCATGGTCGATGGCGGTGAGGGCTTCACCGAAGCCCTTGTGGCAACCACTGGAGGTCAGCGCCGATTCTTGGAAGTCACAGGACCAGTGCGTGAGACCGTACCATCCCACTACGGCTTTCTCGGAAACACACCCACCCCAACAGCAGTTGTCGAAATGGCAGCCGCTGCTGGGCTGAGCATTGTGCCACGCGACCAGCGCAACCCCCTTTACACCACGACATTTGGTGTGGGACAGCTCATCAAGGCAGCCCTCGATGACGGCGCCATGAACATCCTGCTGGGATGCGGAGACTCCGGTACATGTGACGGCGGCATCGGAATGGCACAAGCACTGGGAGCCCGTTTCTTCACCACCAAGGGGACAGAAATCCCACCTGCTCAGGGCGGCGCATCGTTGACTGACCTGGCAGCCGTCGATTTGACAGGCCTTCACCCGAGACTTCAGGAATGCAGCATTGATGTGGCATGCAACTGGCACAACGTCCTCTGCGGACCGAAAGGTGTCGCACGAGTGTTTGGGCCGCAGAAGGGAGCCACTCCAACCGAGGTCGAGCTTCTTGACATGGCCATGATCCGGGTGGGCACGGTCGTGAGCGACGCAATCGGCAGGGACATCAGCTACGCTCCTGGAAGCGGCGCCTCCGGAGGAATGGGCGCTGGTCTGCAGCTCATTGGTGCCCAGCTGCACCCACGATTTGACATTATTACCAAGTTTTTGAACATCAACAGTCTTGTCAAGGACTGTGATGTTGTCATCACTGCCGAGGGCGGCATCGACGAGCAGACGCCACGGGGCAAGATTCCCGCAGAAGTAGCTCGCATTGCCAAGTCCCGAGGAGTACCAGTCATCGCACTCGCTGGCACTGTTGGCAAGGGCGCTAGCTGCAACTACGAGGCTGGTATCGATGCGTATGCCAGTATCCTGCAAGCCCCTGTCACCCTCCAGGTGGCCATTGAGGAGGCCGAAAGGCTGCTCACTGACGCTGCGGAGAGTGTCACACGCATGGTGATGGTCGGTTGGAGTTTGAAGCGTTTCAGAGCCCCGTCCCCTCTTCCACCAACGGGAGCTGCTATGGCGTTCAAGAGGAGCAGAACGTTTTGTTATTAAATTATACCCATGAATCTGTTTTTGGGGAGGAGTCATGATGATAGCCAGTAGCGATTATTTCCAGTACGAGGAGACGAATGATGAGGTTTATGATTGAAGTTCCTCGGTTCGTTCATTTGCCTTGCTTCTCGTGGTGATAGCACTTTCCGCTACCGACGTCTCGCCCCCGAAATAGCAAGGGGTCGCGTGTCCGCCCGCAGTGCTGTGGGATTCCGGTCAAGCTTGTCTCGCGGGAGGTCTCGTCTTCCTGCTTCCGGCAAATTTTCAAGGTTTCCACGGCCATATCTAATGACGGAATGGCCTGTGGCGGAGTTGTGTTGCATAAATTAAGGTCTTGTCATGGTCATGTTGAAGGGAGCGATCGCTCAGGGTGGGAGTCGTTGCCCGGCTGGTCCAGAAGGCCTCTGCAGTCGCTCTTGCTTTCCAGGGAGACGTGATCGAAAAAACCATGGCCGCTTCCATTGATGTTGGCATCCTCTGCTGCACTTGCCCATCATGCCCCTGCCAGAAACTTGACATCTCAGGCAGAATTTTCCCTCGTTGTTCATCCAGGCGTTCCTGCACCTCGCGCCAGTTGCTTCAGCTTCAGCATCCCTTCAGCTGCTTGTGCAAGCGAGCTGAGTGTCAGTTCTTGATCGTAGCTGCTGCCTACGGTGTCCACGTGTTCGATGCTGGGCAAAACACAGCCTCGTGGGCGACGTGTATCCTTGTGTAACGTCAAAAACAGCTGCGTGAATGAAACGAAACGTACCTGAGCTAGCGTCCGTCTAGCCGCATCCAATCACGTAGCTTATCGCCGCACCCTTGTTACCATCAAAACACTGGAACGGCGCGTCTTCCACAGAAATGCGGTCTTCTCGTAGCTGTACCACCTGCAGATCCAATAAAACACCTGCAGAATGCATCGTGTGTCAGACTCTCGACAATATTCCTGTAGCACAGCAGTAGCTGTTCCTGCTGATGCAGCCACCACAGCACTCAGCTCATGCTTCGTCACATCTCCACCCAGATGCAGCCATTCTTTAGCTGCACCACTTTCACGAACGACTCATCGAGCAGAAGGCAATTCACATCGCCTACACGAGCATGCCAAGTTTGTCAGCATAAGCTGTGTAACAGTTGTAACGCAAATAGTTACTGGCGTGTAGCTGGCCCTTGTATTCTTCATTAAATTCTCTTAGTTTTGACCGAAGGAGAATTGTGGTGTGCCACATTGGACGTAGATTGTTGAAGGCCGGTTTTTACATTTCCGTAATTGGGCAACTTAGAATTACCGTCCATTCACAGCTCAGGCACACATCACCTGGCGTCCTGTTCACTTTTCTTTCCTGTCTTCTCACCATCTTCCGCTTCTTCCTTCAGAAGCTCCTCTCTCTTTTTCGCAGCTGGGCTTTGATCCTCTTTCTCATTGTCCGCCTCCTTCGCCTCTGGCTTTGGAGCAGCAGCCTTCTTTGCCTTTCCTTTTGATCGCTTCTCGCCAACGTATTTAATGCTTCTCGTCAAGCCAGAAGTGAATACGCCTTTCACTGACTGCATGGCCGCTGGCCAGGCTACAGTTTTGCGAACACAAGTTGACATGACTTCAGGGAGATCTGGCTGCTCTGCTATTCTCTTCTCGAAGTCACCACCTTCGCGCCGCTTCACTCCAGAAGGATCTTCATCCTGTTGCGATTTCAGGATGTCCCCGAAAGCACTCCCAGGAATCTGGAATTTTTTCATGTATTGGTAGTAGAGCTTTTTGCGGAACTCTGCAGGCAGGCGGCGGACCATGTTGCCACGTTTTTGTGGATCCATATCTTGTGCCAATGTCAAACCATCTTCGCCACCAAGAACATCCTTCAACTCGGTGATGGTACCGGTGTGGCGGATGGCGTCTTCTTTCTCCCAGCCGTACTCCCTTGGTGTTCGAGAATCTGTGAAGTTGACATTGGGGAGGTTATCAATCAATGGAACATACAGCTGTCGAAATCCAGGAAGCTGAGCTCCTACGATGTTCGAGACCTTGTTCGGCGCTTCCGAAGCGATCATTGAATGCATACGCGGGTCCCCAAGGTAGGACAAACTCGTGATGCGTTCGTACAGCTGCTTTTCAGTGAAGGTCTCCGGAAGCATGAGCAATGCTGTTCGTAATGCTGAGATGAGGTTGACCTGATTTGACAACCGAATTCTGGGGTCGTCGCGAAGAATCTTCACGGGCTTCTGTAGTCGCCCTGCAAGATAGAGTGTATTCCAATCCGTAAGGTCCCTGGCCAGCGTATCAAGATGAATCACGCCATACTTGATCATGATGCCGTTGACGGTAATGTATGGATTGTAGTAGAGCCCAGCTCCCCATCCATCTTGCATCCAAGACACCAGCGCTGAGCTATACGGCATATGCTTTAGGCCAGAGTAGTGATGTGGGTTTTGCTGCAAGTTCAGGCTGTGCCAGTGCTGAGTGTGGCTCACACCAAAAATAAAATCGATAATCTTCGCACCCCCTTTCTGCCAGTCCTCGACAGCCTTAGGTGGGTTGGGATGTGGACTGAGGGATTCGCTGCCTGTGCTCGAGCCTGAGGCTTTCTGTCCAAAAACACCAGAGCCGTACGCAAATGCGTATCGTATAGGAGCCCGGAATTGCCATAGCACTTGCCGTAACGATTCCTTGAAGTCCTCATTGATCTTGATGTGTTGATTGTAGCCGAAGAATCGATGCGGCAAGTCTGAGAAATTGCTGATGTTGTAATCGGCATTCTCTTCCCAGCCCGGAGGCAGGCTTTGCATGGGACTGTCCTTTGCAGTACTGTCTGCTCCGGTCGCCTCGCTCACGCTGCTCTTTTTCTCACTCAGCTGAGCGGACTTCTGCTGGCGCACAGCCCTCCCCACGCCAGCGCCGTCATTTGAAGTCGTCTCATCTGCTGAAGTCTTGGATTGCTGTGCATTCTGCTGGTCCCGCAGGCGTTGCGCAAGTGAGAATGATCGCGTTTGGTGTGCCAGGTACGAAGGTCGAGACTGCCATGCGGCATTGGCGAGGAAGAAACTATTCGCGCCGAGCAAGGAATGGAAGACTGGCGACGCCTATTACACCCATCAACATATGATCAATGCCTCCTCGTTGCGTGATGCAAAGACGTACAGCCAACTTTTGGGTGAGCATTATGCTTGAGAGTGATCTTGAATGGGGAGAGAACGGGGCTAGCTATGCAACACAGATGAGGGATCCATAGTCGCGTCGTGTGCTTGGTCTATAGCATGGTGTGGGCAATGTGTTCAATGACTTGTAGGGAAAGTGAGAATGGTGAGGAGCGAGGTGGAATGGATGGAGGCTTCTGGGGCTCAGCGGCCGTCGCAAGCTGCGACTTGCGTCTTTCCCGTTCTCGTTCTCGAAGCCCGCCCGCTCTGACGTTGTGCCTGACGCTACGGGGCCGAGCCTGCACGTGCCGCTCGCTTAATCCACGCTGCTGTCGATCCGAGTAAACAACGCGAATAACACCAACGACTCGCCCGCAAATGCCCACTTGAACGCGCCAACAGCCACAACATCGTCGCAACATGGCCATGGCGCCGGTCTCCAGCGATACGAGCTCGTTTGTCGGGCGATTGGCGACATTCGAGCAGCCACAACAACTCACGAAGCGACGCGCCAGCTGCAACACCACCAAGAGGAAAGCCGGAAATACCGTCGAGTGGCCGCATGCGCATCCTTCCAAGGAGGCGGTATGTGTGAAAGACATTATATGACACGTGGAAGCGAGACTGACGTACGCGATAGCTTGCCCGCGCGGGTTTCTTCTACCGGCCAGCTTCCGATTCGGACGACAATGTCCAGTGCTTCCATTGCAGTGTCAAGCTTGATGGCTGGGAAGAGACGGACGACCCAATATCGGAGCACTTGGCGCATTCCAACTACTGCGCATGGGCGACAGCCATCAGCGTGACGCGAGACGAAGATTCGACACAAACCGCAGAAACGCGAGACCCGATGGGCGAGGAGTTATACACAGCGCGAAAGCAGACATTCACGACTGGAGAAGGCTGGCCTCATGAGTCGAAAAAAGGATGGAAGTGCAAAGTCGCGAAGCTCGTCGAAGCAGGATGGTGTTGGGACCCGAGCCCGGACGGTGATGAGCCAGATGGAGTTACTTGCTTCTACTGCAATTTGAGCCTTGATGGCTGGGAGCCCAAAGACGATCCTTTTGTGGAACACAAACGACGAGAGCCCCAGTGTCCATTCTTCGCACTAGTCGAACATTATCATGGCACCGCAGAGCCCATGAAGAAGACCAAGGCCAAGGGCAAGAGCCGAGGCAGCACTGCGAGCAAAGCAAGCAGAGTCAGCACACAGAGCGCGATGACTGCAGCGAGTGATGCGCAAAGTTTGAGAGATAGCCTGGGCGACATTCCGCCGAACAGCAGTCTGGCCCAAGTTGATGATAGTATCATGACGGCAGGCACGACCGCTTCAACAGCAACAACCACCAAAGGGAAGAAGAAGACCACAAAAGCTAAAGCGCCAGCTAAGGGCGGCAGGGGTAAGAAGAAGGCTGCAAAAGAGGAAGAGGCTGTTGAATTGCACGATCTGGACTTGGAGCAGGGACAATTGCCGGCCGAAGAATTGGCAACCTCACAGCCGACGACCAAGCCCAGAGGAACAGGACGCGCATCAAAACAAACAGTAGTTGATTCTTCAGTGATTGAGGTGAGCAGTCTCGATGCTGTGCCGACCAAGAAAGCGACACGCGCCAAGAAGCCAAAGGTGCAACCACAGGCTGAGCCAGCTGTGGAACAGGAGCCGGATGAGGTACCACAGACGCCAGATGCAGACGCCATCGAAAAAGCACGCTTGCGCGAAGTCTCTGCACAACTTCAAGAAGAGCTGGACCAGTCTGTCGATAACTTCGGCGAGGACCTCGACCAGTCTACGCCGATTGTGCCAGAGCACCCAAAACCGAAGCGCGGCACTAAGCGAATGTCAGACGGCATGCGAAAACAGCAAGACTCTAGCAGCTTACTTGACATGGACCCGCCCTCAAAGCCTGAACCTGAGCCGAAAGCTAAGCGTGGCCGAAAAGCGAAGCAGGCCTCTACAGCGTCGACAGAGGCGACGGTCGAGACAGGCACAGACGCAACAGATGTGCTCGTTACTGAGGATCGAATAGAGCTCGATCTTCCTGCAGCGAGTCAAGATGCAGAAGCTGATGACGAGAACTCACAACCGATCAAGAAGAAGGCAACGGCGAAGAAGAGCAAAGCGAAGCCGAAAGGCAAGAAAGGCTCTTCTGTGCGGTCTTCGAAGACATCGGCTGTGACTTCCGGGCCAGAGAATACTGAGCTCGAAGCAGAACCAGAAGAAGATCTCGCTCGCGACGAATTGGAGATTGAGCAAGAACTCGAGCGCATAGCGACTGAGCAAGCCTCTCAAGGAGCTCTCGCTATACAAGCGGAACAAGAATTGGTCAACGAGTACGAGCCGTCACCATCACAAGGGCGGCGCAGCAAAGACAACGCAGAAATGCAGCAGCTTCGAGATGAAGTCGCTGCGGAAGCGGAGAAGGCGTTCTCACCAGACCGCGTGTCTTTACTGCGACAGTCGTCGCGGATGCCGGGTGGTTTTACACCGTCTCCTAGCGGAAGTGACAAGGAAAATGTGCCATCTTCTGTGGCGCAGCCTTTGACTGCACAAAAGGCTCCTCAGCTGTTCCTTTCACCCTCAAAAACAACGAGAATACCTTTGGCGCCTGGCACACCGAATCGATCGCCATTGAAGACGAAGAATGTGTCGCCATCCAAGCAGGTCTCTGGACTCCAGTCCTCTGTTCCTTGGACAGCTGTCGATCTGGATATGGTGTTTTTGCCTAGTCCGCAACCCAGTCCCGGGCGAGTTGGAGAGCAGCTTGTTGCCGCTGCCGGAGCATTGACAAGCCCGGAAAAGAAGATGAGCGTAGAAGAATGGGTTCGATATCGCGCCCAACAGGGCGAAGTCGAGTTGAAGAGGAAATGTGAGCGAATGGTCGAGACATTTGAAAAGCAAGGCATGAGAGCCATGGAGAGCTTGCAGGGCATCAATATTGTTGGATAGACGTCCATTGTTGGTCCACTTGTGCATTGCGAGGGCGTTTTGGTGGCAACGCAAGTGGCTGTATATGCATTTTGATCGTTTAGCGGTGATGATATGACAGTACCGCCAGCATTGTAAATGCATGACTGCGGGCTACTATATGAATGGGATTGAACTTCGAACTCCTTCACAATTTTGCTCTTGATCGCTGATACGGTTATCTATTGGCGACGATGCTGACCATGAGACCACCAAGAAACTAGCTCATGACCACACGCACAAGGCCAAAATTCGATATTCGATATTCTGAGTTTGAGATGTGATGGTGGAATGGTATTATTGAAGTGGTGGTTTATGCCAAGACGTACCGGGCGTTCGAGACATGGGGTCCCACTGATAAAGGCACGGACGCGGACACGTTGCGCGCGGTAGCTGGGATTCGGAGCTGCAGAGTGCATAGACATTGGCATGTTGGGAAACAGGTGGGCGATGTGCATTGGGGAGCTCCTTCTAGGCTGTAAGTATTTATATAAAGTACGTGATGGTCGGCTGTGCCTTTGATGTTTCACTGCTTCAACAATTTCATCGGGCTCGGAAGCATGGCGTAGGATGTTTTCGAGAACTTTTCTGTTGTTTTTATATCTGTACCTCTATCGTTACATTCATATGTCCACTGCTGGACGAACAGAGCAATCGTAGTAGTATGCATATCGAAGCCCAGCCACCATGCATGCCCGTTACCCTTGTTGTCCCCACGCCTCGCTTTTCCGTTTCGAAAACAACTCGTCATCGTTTCTGTGCCGCGTCGCCGATATCCATTTCCATAGGGAATCACGAGAAGCATCTCATATTGACAGCTTGTAATTCATGTCCCATCTAGATCAAATGCTTGCTCCTGAAGTAGGCCCTCAAGTATACAATCTGCCACACTCCCAACGCAACCAACATGCCCATCGTTCCAATCGCAAACCACTTCACGCGCTCATTCGTACTCTCATTTGTATCTCTCAGCTTCATCTCTCTCCCACGCAGGTAGTCCAGCTCGTCCACGATCTCTTTCGCGACCTCGCTGATGCGGCGAAGCTCGGCTTCGACGGGCTTCAGCTTCTCGCCGGCTTGGATCGCAGACCAGTCCTTGGCATCGGCGCCTATGTCGATGTCGAGTTCTACATGTCGCGAGGGAGAAGAGTAAGTGCCGTGGCCGGTGAGGATGTTCTCGAAGCAGACGTCAAAGGCGCTGTCGGCGTGTGATGTGAAAGCGTAGCGGGCCTCGCCGGCGACGTCGCGAGGGCGGGCGTAGTCGTTTCCTACAGCGTCTTTGATCTGGAAGATGGAGTCAGTGGGTCTGTTTCCTGGTGTTGCTGAGCTGAGGGCTTCTTGTTGCGGCGCAGACGTACATGCATGTTCAATGTCTGGCCATCGCCCTTGCTGCCGCTGATTGTCGCCGTCACGACAACCAACTGGTCCTTGGCGACAAAGTTGCGTATACAGCGCTCTTTGGATGCCGATTCGTGGCCGGGGTGTGCTTGGATGTCGAACTTGAGCGCGGAAACGAGGGGAAGGAGAAATGCGATGAGCAGCTTGAATGCCAGCATGGCGGCCATATTGGCGGTGGTAACGTTGTCTGTGCGGAAGAGAAGTTACTACATGAAGTGAAGACTGTGCTCCTGAAGAGGCCAGATGCTGAGACGTGGAAGTCGCGAATCGGACCCCTGTCGAAATCCGACGAGGGTCTCCGATCCCTGCCCAGACTTCCTCCTCCCACTCACAACTCTTCCTCAGCTGTCCCACTTCTCTGCATCACCGCGTTACCTCCACACTCTACCCTGGCGACGATGTCCATACCACGATATCAGCCGCCATCTCGAAACAAGTCCTGATGGTTGCACGACGTCGTTGAGGCGACACGCGCTGGTGGCCTGAATCCAATGGATGCGATCCTTAACGGCGCTCTGCGTGTTTCCAGCCGCACGCCTCCAGCAAAGGCGGCGACGTATTCAGAACTGCACAGTAACGAGCTATCTGATGTTTACACGTTTGTGCTTCACGATGCCGTCGTGACGACAAAGCACCAAGCATCTCCGCTTGAAGCAGTGCTCACTGCGTGGCAGTAGGAATGCGCTTGTCGGCAGCTCCGACGGTTACGCTTCGAGGGTCATACAGCGGAGCTCATATGGCTCTGCTTACTCTGTGTTACCTTCCGGCAGTCTTGTGCGCACACTTGCCCTATATCGGACAACGTGTTGGCGGCTATCGCTCGCTGCAGGATCGCTGACGTTAGGGCAAGCTAGTGGATTCAGGCTCATACTCAACTTGGATCTCAAGTGATATAATCAAGTATCAAGTCTGCAGTGCTTCAGCTCACTTGTCGAACATCTCGCATCTTCCCAGTCGCCATGGAATCGCCTATATTCAACGTGCCAGTGACTCTGAGCATTGTCGACCTCTGCACGATCTGCTTCGCAATTCCCGCTCTCTTGGCTCTCTGTCTACTGGGCAACGTGAGTACGATCATCGTCATCGAATTTTCGACTCGTGGCCTTCGTGATCGTTCAAACATGTGTGATAGCTGTGGAATGGGCTGCAGATGCTGCTTGATCGCAGGGACTGAAGACATACGCTAATCATCTGCCAACCATTGTTAGGCACTCTACAATTCGATCCTTTCACCACTTCACAACATCCCAGGGCCGAAGATATGGTCAATCTCTACCCTCCCGATGCATATAACTAATCTGCGAGGGATTCTACCTCGTGTGCAGCGCAAGTTGTTCGACCAATATGGCCCTGTCGTTCGCGTAGGTCCGCGCGATCTTCTATTCAACTCGGCGCAAGCGATGCGCGACATCCATGGCACACGCAAAGGCAGGGTCCAAGCGATGGCGAAGGATGAACGATTGTATCAAAAGTATGGCACTGAAGAAGACCACATTCTGTCAACTCTCTCCCAAGATGTCCATGCTAGACAACGCAAGATGCTGAGCGCGGCTTTCAGCGAGCGGAGTGTCCGCGACCTCGAGCCTATGATAATATCTCATACAGACAAGCTCGTGGATGGCATTCGCAAACTCGGTGTTTGCGGACAGCAAAAGGTCAACATGATGATGTGGCTCAACTACATCACTTTCGACATCACTGGCTATCTGGTCTTTGGTGAGAGCTTTGGCTGTCTTGACAATGGTCAACTTCACCCTTGGGTAGCTTTCGTTCTGGACGCGGCAAAAGCTCAAGTTTTCATGAGCGCACTCCAGCAGATACCTGGCGCAAATATGCTCATCCCACATCTGATTCCAAAAAAGGTTATGGACAACTTAGAGCAGCATCGGGCTTTGACCGAGCAGAGACTCAATCAGCGACTGGAGGAAGGACCTGCCGCAAGCAAAGTTGACCTTGTCGGTTTGCTACTGAGGGACGGTCTGAGCCAGAGCGGCGGTGGGATCAGATCGGGAGAAGACCACATAAGCAAAGGAGAACTGCTTGCAAATACAGCAGTGTAAGCTTTCGCGCCACATGTAACCCATTCCAGATCCTGATCCCCTAACCCGATCACAGTCTCATCAACGCCGGCGCCGAAACCTCCGCCACAACCCTCTCTGGTGCCATCTTCTTCCTCTCCACCTGCTCGCCAGCCCGCATCTCCCGCCTTGCCACAGAAATTCGCACAGCTTTCCCCACGGTCTCATCGATCAACGCCCTTCAAGCCTCCCATTTGCCGTACCTCAACGCCGTGCTTCAGGAAACTCTCCGCTACTACCCTCCCGCAGCCGATCGTGCTCCACGCAGAACACCACCAGAAGGTATGACCATCGACGGACACTTCATCGCGGGTAATACCTACGTCGGTGTTCCACATTTCGCTGCGTACCACAGCGCTTCAAACTTCCATCGACCAGATGAGTGGATTCCTGAGCGTTGGCTAGATGACGAATGCGCGGAGTATGGTTGTGAAAATGACCAGAGGGACGTGATGCAGGCATTTAGTCTGGGAACGTATGGCTGTTTGGGAATCAATTTGGCTTGGGCGGAGTTGCGGATCATTCTGTGCAGATTGGTGTGGGAGTTTGAGTTTGAGTTGTGTCCTGGGCAGGAGAAGTGGATGGATGAGCAGAAGGCGTACATTCTGTGGGATAAGCCGGGCTTGTGGGTGGATCTGAAAGAGAGGAACGGATGAGAGAAGGCAACGAGAATGTATGGACTTTCGGTCATGTCGGATGCTTGCATTCTAGAGTGAGCGCCTGGTAGTAGGCCGCATTGCTTTCTCGATACGCGCACTTAAGCTCGCTCTCGTAACAAACAAATCGTCCCCAATCCTTTACCTTCAAAGACTCAAGCCAAGCGCTGACATATTTTTCAGCTTTTCATCCCTTTCCGACAAACTTCAATGTCTCAAGCCTGCTGAAAGTCCGCTTGCATGGCGCATCGCCCAACAAAAGCCAAGGTCAAAGCGTACTCGAGCGAAGTACAAATCGAAGCATTCACAATTTTATGCCACCGCTCAAATCGTCCGCTGACAAGTCCTCCAACCTGCAATATCTCCCATCCAGCATCGCCGGCTCATGTGTCAGCTTCAGTCTCTCTCAACACGAACGTGTCCGTGGTAAAGCCGAACCACTTCGTGAGGCGCCTCGCCATAGCATACAGCATGATAGGATGCAACACCGGATCTGGATGAGGACGATGGAAGCAGATAGATCCTCCAAGACTGCTGCTGCGAAAACTTACTGCAGAGCCAGCAGCTTCTTCCGCGGTGAAGCCTGCGTCTTTCATCGCCTGGACAAATGCTTGCCAACGAATGGTACCGCCTTGGTTGGACTCCGTATCAGCGCGGTACATCTTTTGAAAGACGACTAGGTTCTCCCTCTTCATGCGTATAGAGATCGGTGCGTGCGGTGTCAGCGGTCCATCGCTATTGAGTCTTGCGCTGTCGTCAGGGCTGTACTCAAGATGTATGGTTCCCATTGCACGGGCGAGTTCGCCAGCAGTCTGCACCGGCTTCGCCTTCAGCTTCGCTTTCTTCTCCGACTTCAGCTTCTTCTCATGGCCGGCACCATCCGAGCCCCACTGGATCTGCGGGATGTAGCCTGTGAGAGCCCTGGCGTTCTCCTCGGCGACAAGTGATTGTCTATCAGACTCCAACTCACATGCCTCTCGCTCCGCTTCGAGTTGTGCGAGATGTGCCGGGTCATTTGCGAACTCAGTCATACTTGTCATGAAGTACGTGCCGCATGGTGAGCTTCTCCCTGCTTCTTGTGCTTTGCCATACTCCGCGAAGATACCTTGCCACAGCTTTCCCAGGCGCGAGCGCGTCAAAGTCGCCTTAGCAAGCCAGGCTAGGTCTTTGCGGCCCTTCGGCCAAGGCGCGTCCATCAGTGATTGAGCCAGAGCGCCGATGCGCTGTTGCCATCCCGACGCAAATTGGAGCCAGGAGTGGCGGCATTTGGGGTCGCCGAGAATGCAGCAACTCTCCCCAGACTTCACCCAAGGAAACTCAATGGTAGGATCCAGAATCTGTTGTATCCAAGCGATGTGAGTGTAGATTTCATCCATGATCATCGCGTCATTGATGTACTCCCGTGTCAGCTGGTCCATGATTCTATCTGTAGCTTCTTCCCTCTCAATGGCCACGAACAGTGATGCGTGTCCAGCCGGATGCCTTCCTTTTCGACCCGCACTCTGACGAATGCCTGCAATTTGCCACTTCAAGCGATCAATGGGGTTGTCTGGGTCGAGTACTTCATTTACATCTGACGTGTTCATATGGTCACCGGAATGGGATGGCGGTACCTGGCGAGGTCCAAGATTTGTGAAGTGCCTGAGCTCCTCAAAGTCTTCACTAGACCGTTCTCTCCAATGTTCGATACTGGCTTCCAATGCATATATGTGCATGGCCACCTCGGGCGGCGTGGTTGTGCCTGGAGTATAGACCTCATTGGAATGCATCATGGCTTTCTTGAGCTCGCTGCAACGGGACGATATGGTGTGCCACATCTCAAAGCGAGTCAGTAGTTCCGTCACTAAGAAGCCGCCGACGTCCTCGTACTGCTTCGCATGCCTGGATCCTGGGGCTGCATTGCTGAGCGCTACCCTCCTCATCTTGATGACTTCCTGTGCGTATGCTGGATCTGTCTGTAGCAGCATCAGCTCATCTTTGACCATTTCAAGGCGTTCCGTGGACTTTTGGTAAAGGTGTTCAGCCGAATACGCAACCGGAGCAGTAAAGGGTTGGTGGATGTATTAGTTCCACGAAATTTCATGGCCGGCAGAGTGAAGATCTTTCGTCGCGAACGATGACCACTGGACCGAGCCGGACGGTGCAAAACCTTCCGTCAGGTTCTTTAGAATATTTTCGAGCACGCAAAGAAGTTCATGCTGTCCTTGAAAGATCATGAGCGCCCTGGGAAGGCCGACAATGATGTTCTTGTGTATTGCGTTCGAGTCGTGATCTGTGAGCTGTCCGTATGGTGATGTATCGCTGCAGGCTCCGCCAGTCAGGCGCAACAGGACCTCGCTGGCCTCTCCGCCGGAAACATGCACTTCGTGGGCACCTTTCTGCCTCAGCTCGACATCCAGTTCGTGGAAAGGCTCATCGTAGCCGACTTTTGCCAAGCCACAGGTGTATAGTGGCACCGGCATGGCTAAGGCGGTTTCGGCGTGGTGGCTTGAGATGTTGTGTCGAGTTGGTGCAGCAAAGACTGCTGGGACTTTTGAAAGTGAGGGGGCTGAGGGCCCGTGCTGTTATTGTCCTCTCGCCGTTGAAGTCACACCTATGCACGCGAACACTGAGCATCTTGTATTGGAGCGCTAACTTTGCTATGCTCCGCACGTACGACCTGGCATAGCAAGCGCGAACAAGCGAAGCTCTTTCTTGTCCATAACACTGTCGACTGGACGAGTGCTCACCGTGATGACGCGGAAGATGGCAATCAGCTCTCGTCAGGACACGGAGCGGCGCGAAGCAGCAGGTCGAGAAGAGACGCTGACATAGGCACCATCAAGTCTCCAGCAGCGACAGCGTAACCGCATGTGCCATCTGGCACTTTTTCGGTCGTCTCCATGCTTCTCCCGTTGGATGCGGGATCAACACTGTCAAGTTGTGGACCCAGCGACTTCGTGCGCTGAGCTCTTGCGAATGTTTGTTGTGGTCTGCAGGTCGGCGTTTGGTCGGGAAGTGAAGTCTGAAGCGACAAGCGTGACCGGATTCATCCTTGGCAAACGCGAGATTGACGCGTCTCACCAACACCCCAATGTTCCTCATCTTGTTCTGTACCGCGAAACTGTGTGCCACCATCCATCATTATGTCGTTCGTAGAGCTCCCGACAGAGCTCATTGAAATGATTTGCGTACGCTGCAGCCTGGACGAGATCAAGGCGCTCAGGCTCACTTGCCACTCTTTGCGAAATGTCGCAGATGACTACTTGTTCCCAGAGATCGTGACTGTCATGACAATCGACAGCATGAAAGCAGCCTGGCAGATCGCTCAACATCCCAAATTCTGTAAACAGCCAAGGCTCCTTTATTTTCAAGGCGATACGTCGGAGCCGCTGAAGTTTGAAGAATGGAGGGCGAAGTTGGAATCACAGATCGAGGTCGACGCACACATCACAAAGGCCGACAGGAAGCACCTCCAAGAGCTTGGCGAAATCTCCATGCGACGGGGCCGGGAACGCCAGATCGATCCAAATCTCGAGGCGCGTGAGAAGGCTCTGATACAATTGATCAGAGCCAATGCGGATGCACAGCCCAAGCCAAGCTACTCGGCCGCTCAGCTGCAGAATCATTTCGAGTACTACAGCGAACTAGCCTATGAAGGCGTACAAATTGTTGAAGACGGGGTGATTCAACGGTGCATGCAAGAAGTCTTCGAGAAGTGCAGCAACATTCGTGCCTTCGACTTCACTACAGCCAACGCACTGCGTGTCCACACCCACAGAGAGAACAAGCAGTTTCGAAAAGGGCTTATTACCCCGTTCGGAGACTACGATCGGTGTGGAGAAGGACTGGAGGCGATGGGCGAAATAGTACTCGCAGCTGAGAAGGCCGGCTACTCGCCACAGACTCTGAGGCTGGGCTCCGTGTCCTTTCACATAGCCCGTCATCTTGAGTTCTCCAAAGCGATGTCGCGTTTCATGGCCAATGTAGAGACTCTACACTGGATTGTGTCCACGCCGTATCTGGAAGACGACGATCTAGGGGTTGATTCAGAAGAGTTCGCCGAGATCATGCTGGGCTTCTCGGAGGGGTATTTCATCATGCTCATGGAAAGCGCAGGTAACCTCCGCTCCCTGGAAATTGACATGCCGTGTCCCAACCCTGGCGAAGACAAGATTGAGCTGTCAGATGTGGTCGGCTCCATAGTCTGGGCGAACTTGCGAAACTTCGCTATTACAACGGTTTATGCAAATCCCTCGGACTTGGTCGACTTTCTACTGCGACACGCGGGAACCCTGGAGCGCCTGGAGCTGAACGAAGTCACACTTGAAGGAGAGTGGCCCGAGTGCTTCTCTAGACTCGCTGGCAAGCTTCCACGCCTGAAGGAAGTGCAACTACGAGGTGTCTTCTCAGTTGGTCATGGCGCGTTCTTCTGTTTCTTCGGCGATCTCTACACATCTCGCGGCAACGAATACTCGCAAAGCGTGGCAAGATACATCATCGAAGGCGGTGAAGAGTTTTCCATGCCGCCTGGCAACAATAGAGAAGAGGCCATGATCCCGGATAGTGAGAGTGACGATGATGAAGAGCCAGACTGGGATGACGAGAATTTCTTATTTGCCGAGGAGGACGATGACCTTCTTGGTATTGATGTTTAGCATTGAAGAATCATCGTTCCGATGCCGCACATCTACATTACTACGGTACAGACTAACTCGAGTCGGGGGCTCTCAACGGACGCTTATCTGGATTTTCAGATTTCAGGCAGAATGCACCGACCTTCACTTCTACACTGTGAGCATACTTCCCGGCGTTGCTCCAGTTCTCGCCGTCAAATCTGGCCATAGCAGGGCATAAGCCAATAGGACGCCCGGAGTAGCGAATGCGCAGGTACCAGCTTGCCATAGAAGGCACGATCTGCGATTGCCAAAAGCTTCGGCGGCAAGCTGTGCCTTACTAGATGCAGTAGAAGCATGGCTCACTGTCGACGCACTCCTTGGTCGTATAAACGTCTTGGCACTCGCTGAGAAAACCAAGCTAAGAGGTGGCAGCTTCCTTTTACGAGCTTAGCACCAAGGCTTGTGCGGCTGCCCTGCATGGCCATTGAACCCTCACGTAGCTGTCAACACTCTCCAGCTCGCCGAGCGCAGATGAAGCGGCGGCACTATACCGATGGACTCTTGGCAAGCAATGAAACGTTACAATGGCAGCCAACAGAATGCTCAACGTGGTTCTCATAGGACCGGCAACCTGAGCGGCCTACATGTTCCCCACCGACGACTGTCTAGACCAGCTATCTTTCCGGCACAGAGCGAACGAAAGTCTCTAGGACCGAGCTACCCACGTGCGTAGGCGAAGAATGCATATATGATTGCGGAATAGCAATTGTCAAGATTTCTATATACGGGCTTCCAGCAATGTATAAAGCTTCACTCGATTCCCAGATCCAAAGCGCATCATCATCATCGGTCTGGAACTTCGAACGACTCAAACATGAAGACAACCCTCCTCATCGCAGCTCTGTCTGCCTCTCTCACCGCAGCTCGCTCCACAGTCCGCCATTTCTACACCTCCGATTTCAATGGCGAGTACGCACGCCAGGTCGGCTTCCGCGGCGATCCAGTCCTCTGGGGCTACGGCCTGAGAGACAATCTTCCAGGCACAACAGCACTGTACACTTGCCTCACCTTCTCTCCCTCCACCACTCCAACTAATGCTCATTTCCAGTTACCGCTGCCGCCACGTCCAACAAAACCAATATCTCATGACCACACATCCCGCCTGCGAGAACGCGCCAGGTTTCCAACTCGAAGGCAATACAATGTACATTTACACTTCCCGAGTCCCAGGCACGCAACCACTCGATCGCTACGTGAACTCGGAAGTCGATCACATGATTGTTCGACGAGATTGGTATCCTTCACATCCTGCTGGGTATAGCTGTGATGCCTTGTATGGTAATTATGTGAGTGAGGGAACCTTGGGATATCTGAGGACTGATGGCGGAGATGGGACTTTGCCGCTTTATGGGTTTACGCAAGGGAGGCATTCCGAGAATGATGGGTGTCGATCTGGGAGGGAGTAGCGAATTGCCAGAGATTTGTTGAGGGTAGCAGTAGGAAGTGAAATGCAGATGATTGGTTGCTTAATAACTTCCTGGGCCTCAAATTACTTTGGCCGAGAGCAAAAATACTATGTACATGAATCCTTCAAGCTGAAAAGCGGAAATCTGCAAAGACTTGCTTGTCGCTGAAATTTCTCTATGCTCTGTCATTTCTCTTCATCTTGCTTCGATGTATCAAGATATTACCCCTGCTCTCTGCAAGCTCTCCACGTCCCCTCCAGCCTCAATGACAGCCTGCATAGCTGCCTGACTCAATTTCCGTCTCTTGTCGGCAGCTTCCTTCTCCCTCCTCGCTTTCGTCTTCGAGCTACCCGAGGGTGCGACACCACTTAGAATCTTGCCCGCATCGCCAGGTGTGAAGTTGACGAAACCACCGCCTTTGTCGCCTCCGTGATGACGAGGTGTCGTGCTCGCAGATTTCGTTCTGCGGTGTTGTGATCTGCGACGAGAGGCAGATGTTTGCCGTGATCGGGACTCTGTGCCTGGGCGCGTGGGTGATGGCGAGCGGTCGTGTGAGTTGCGGCCCCTTTGACGTTGCGGCGTAAGTGGAAAGTCGAGATTCGCGGGCTTTGAGGCGGCGTGAAGACCGTTCGGTGGCCGGAAGTTTGTGCTTGGGAGGCCGTTTGGTAGCGAGGGAACATAGTACGGAGTGCTAGATGGCGGCATAGAAGAGATGTGCAGCACGTTGCCAGGAACAGTGGTGTAGTTCCCATTTGAGTCGCAACTGATGCCGAGCCCAAGGTTCTGATTCTGAGCATGGGCGTTGATACGAAGACTGTGCTCAAGGGTATTCTCAAGGCCAATGAATGGGTCCTGAGGGTCAACTGCCGATGCCGTCGCCTGAAACGTCGAGGCGAACGGGTCGACGTGTGGTGCACTTGTGGTGCTCCATGGGTCGTCGAGTTTCGGGGAGCTGTCAAAGCCAAAATCGAATTCCTGGATCTTGTTTGCAGCAAGTGGCCAGGTTCTGTCAGGATACAGAGGTGCGGTGTCGTTCAAAGGTACTGTCTGTGTCGTGTATGGATTTCCAGGCAGAGGCGGTGCTACGTCGAAGTACGACGGAGCAGTATGACTTCCTGGACTTAGAAGTGGCGATGCGAGAGGTGTGTGAATGCGGGTAGCCTGATTGAACGTGCTCGCCAATGGCGATATCTGTTCATCACTCCCCTCAATGGCAGAGAATGTTGGTGAACCGAATGCAGCGAAGGAGTGCTGTGCAGATCTGGCCGAGAGCGGCGGAGACTCTGGAAATGTGTTTATGTTGTTGTCCACGCGCAGCTCAAACTTTTTGGGACTTTGAAGTATTCGCTCCGCCCATACGTCCTTGAAGCCCGCTCGATACCTGGAAGGATTCATCATCTTAGACGGAGAACCATTTCGCTGGCGGATGGTGGCATTTGGGTTGATAGCAGCAGTGGCTGCAGGCTTCATCACCCCAACAGGCCGGCCACGTGACACAGCCCGAAGATTTGATACACTACGCTGTTGTGTGGGTGTCTTGTTTCCGTTTGCAGCGTTACCAGTAGTACGGGACTTTGATCGCTGCGCAGAGTATGATTGGCCAGTGGGTGAAGCTGGTATAGCTGGAGGCGAAGGGAAGCCACCCAAGCTTAGGAAATCGGGATGTGACTTCGCTGCTCGGAGCTTTTGTCGCCTCTCGCACTCTGCTGCATTTTGCTCTAGTGCTCGTAGCTTTTTGTGCCAGAAGTCCGATGGCGCCTTGGCCTTTGGCTGGCACGCCGCAGGTGCTGTCGACTCTTCTGGGTCCCAAGGAGGGATTGGCGAGGTCGCCTCTGTTTGATTGCTTTGTTCGCTCGATCCGGAAAAATCAAAGAGCTGGCAGGAGTCATCAGAACTGCTACGTTCTCGTTGAGTTTCTCCAAAGCCAAAAGGATCGTCGCCTAGATATTCCTCAAGGACATTGTCGCGGATGCTGTCCCAGTCAAATTCTTTGTTGACAGGCCGCATGTGGTTCAAGCTCTTGCGGCTCGTAACAGCCATGGCGGGCGGCGGCTGTTCCAGACACTTCCAGAAGTCGGCAGGTTCTCAGCTGTCAGCAACAGCGCGCAGAACTTCGCTGATTTGAATTTCGCGATATGCGTCGGCCGTGGTATCTTACTGAATCAAAGAAGCTTCCGCAAAGGGTAATCAGATGATGCGATGCTAGGACATAGCTATTCTTCCCAGCCTCCACGCATTCCACGCGGTAGACCCAGAGACAACGTCGATTGGCCGTTGCACATGGCGACGTAGCTTCACGGCACATGAGGTGACGTTGCTCACGAGAATGGCTTTGTATAAGCGCGCATTCCATTACTGCCGCTCAGTTGGTAAGGAATGCATGATGGGCGGCGCTCCCGCTGTGACGTGCGATCCCACGATCTCTGTGTTTCAGACTTGTACTGTAGCATGGCCAGTCATAAAACTCTCATCTGTTCGCATTTTCAAGCTGGCATCTTGTCGCTCGATCTGTGTTCTAGTCCATGTGTAGAGAAGGGTCGCGAAAAGTTACTGGGGCTGCTCTCAACAGGCGAACGGGCTGAAGGTAGTTCTGCTTGCTCGCCAGGTCGTTGTGTGATTAAACCTGGCTGGCTTCTGCGCTGAGGCGCATCCAGACGTGGCACATCCACGTTGGTCACCGCTCGAGGTTGCACTGATTCTGACTGAATGGAGCCAGGTGACGAATTCGAAAGCAAAGGGGCAGACGTGGCTTGCGGTATGCGTAATCCCGGGTAGAATGAACAGCCCTCATCGTGGAGGCCACCAGTACACATGCACTTGCCAGAAGCTGGAGAGCCGTGCAGCTCTGAAAGACAGCGCTCCAGGGGCGCAGTCGCAGGAACAACGGATGCAGAATAAGGTGATGCGGAAGCAGGTAAGGGAATCGCATAGTATGGTATCGACGATGGTAGCTGAGTACCGTGGTGCTGGAGGTCTCCAGGATGGAAGAACGAACATGAAGGGAGGTGGGTCGTTCCTCGACACGTGCATGAGAAGTCAATCTCACGGCTCCGATTTGATCTGTGCGAGTCAGCAGGCGCCGAAGGGTGGCCATAGTACGCGCGCCTAACCAGATTGTCGTCGCTCTGAGGACGTTCCGCAGCGTGAGACTCAATCCCAAGTGCCGACTTCAGCTTTTCTTGTAACTCCGCAGCCATTGATATTATCTTGTCATGCACTTCTCGATGGCTGTTCTGCAGGTTGCGCTTCACGAATGCGCCCATCAGCATGTTGCATTTCAATTCAATCTCTTCTTTGATGTACAGGCCTTCCTTGGGCTTGTCTACTCCCAGTTCGGAGGGCTCTCGAGACTCGCCTGGCTCGTTCCCGCCTATACTCCATCGGCTCTTGATATCCACTCCTGCCGGCGCAAACACGTGGGTCTGTATCCCATTGCTCAAATTGTAGAAGCACGCCTTGTACGAAACTTCGCCCTTTGCTATGCCGCCCGGCAAGTAATTGATCACGTCCGTGATTGAGTACCAGGTCGCCAGCTCCGCTTCGTCTTTTGTCGCGGCCGGCGGCGCGTCGCAGAGCTCGTGTCGTACTATCAGCGGATTTAGCTGCATCATGGCGACATGGTCGTGGAGTCGGGCCACCGCAGCCTCGCGCGATATGCCAGCGGGAACGGGCGTGATGTGGACGATATGTGAGCGCCCCATGGCGTGAACCTGCTGTTATCGTCACGCAGAGGAGGAGTTGTGCAAGAAGCAAGAAAGATGCTAAGGATACGCGAGAGGTGGGTGTAGCCACATCGCCAAAGCTGCATGCGCTTACCGTTGCTGATCGGCGAGGCTGAGCCAGAGCTGGAGGCGCCACAGAATGGGTTCCTGTCCAGACTTCGCCGTCGTGCGCTGCGATTGGCCTCCAAAGGAGAATTGGGCGTCTTCTCGCACGACCAATGTCATTGTATTGTAAACCTGGTCGTGCATTTATCCTTGCCTGACGACTCAAGCCAAGACGACAGCACGCACGAGCCACCGGCAGGCTAGGTTTGGCGCTACAAAAAGCTTGTCCACAGCAATAAACATGGCGATTGCAGCTGCGTGAACAACACATGTACCATCGCGCATATTGCAGTCTCATTGGGACTCGGAGACCGCTGTGCTGCATGATAGAGCCTCTTCACAGTCTCTTGGCACTGCTGTAGGACCTTCGGTAGGCAGACAAGCTTTTGGGATTCCAACGCGCGAACGACACAGAGTGACGGCATCATCAACAAAACTCTACGCTCCAACCACTGACGCTCCTTCGAATTGACAACCATCATTTCTCTTCATCTGGAACTTCTCAAAGCCTCCGCAACCTACCAGAGAGACAGCATCAACACGTGCCAGCTTCGCACCATTCCACGCTGAGCCAGCACTATCCGATATTGTACAGAGGACGACAGTTACCTGCTATATATGCCAGCATGGTTTGGGACCAGTGCGTGCAACCCTCAACTCATCGCCAGAAACCGTATTAGAGATGATGCAGGGCACTGACAACTCACCTTTCGTTCTCAGAATCGAGGCAACGCCTCCGCACCTCACCTATCTGCTGCTCTCGACCTTCCTGATAAGCTATGTGCTCTTCACAAATTTCTTGCGCAACCGACGTGAATATTAACAGAATCCGGGTTTACAACGCAAGTGACTGACGATTCCGAATCTAGTACATTTGTCGGAACCACCGATAGCCTTGCTCGTCGGGATCTTGTTGGGCCCACAAGTCCTGCGCTGGCTCACGCCCAATTTCTGCGATGGAAAAGGATGTGGCAGTGAAGGCAGAGGCGGATGGGGCTGGGTAAGATCATCGCAAAGGTGAAGCATGTTCAGAGCATTGACTTTATTGCAGGGAGATGGCACCGTGCAAGAGTTGACTAGAGTCATTGTCGGCATCCAAGTCTTCGCAGTGGGTACGTGGAAGAACATCCAATAGCTCTTCTGATAGCAGATCTAACAAACTGCAGGTGTCGAACTGCCAAAAAGGTACGCTCGCAGACACTGGAAATCGGTCGCTATGCTTCTCGGACCCGTAATGACTTTTGGCTGGGTCGTGTGCGCCGTATTCGCAAAGTACATTTTCGAAACCAGCTGGTCGACTGCTCTCATCATCTCGGCGTGCCTCACACCAACGGATCCGGTCCTCGCAGCGAGTATCTTGTCTAACTCACAATTCTCTACCCGGGTTCCGAAGAGACTAAAGGACATGCTGAGCGCTGAATCTGGTTGCAATGACGGCGTGTCCTTCCCGTTCCTCTACATTGGCCTGTTCCTCTTGACACAGCACACCATCGGCGATGCTTTTAAGGACTGGTTCCTTATCACAATCCTTTGGCAGTGCGCGTTCGGAGTCTTCATCGGCCTTGTCATCGGCACCACCTTCAACTGGGTCTTGCGATTCAGTCACTCTCGTGGCTACATCGATAATGCCGGATTCACAGTGTTCTACTTGCTGCTAGCCATATTCTGCGTGGGCGTCGGATCGACTTTGGATTCAGATGACTTCTTGGTCGCTTTCGGTGGTGGCTATGGATTCGCTCGAGATGGCTGGTTCGCAAAGAAGACGAAGGAAGCACACCTGCCGAACATCATCGATCTACTCCTCAACTCCTCGATGTTTGTCTACGTGGGCACCATCCTGCCGTTTGAGTCGTACAGTAACACATACCTGACGCCTTGGATCACTGTACCCCGGCTGCTCGGATTCTTGGCTCTAGTTTTGCTATTCCGCAGAATCCCAATCGTGTTGGCCACATACAAATTTATTCCGGACATCAGAACATTTCGAGAAGCAATATTCTGCGGACACTTCGGCCCAATGGGTCTTGGTGCTCTGTTCCTCGCAATTGAGGGCAGAGCAGTGTTGGAGACAGGGAGCTCTACACCCGATGATCATCCTCCGGAATACTCGCCGCCGTTGACGGATCGCCAGAAAGGCATAGAGACCATTTTTCCGGTAGTGTCTTTCATTGTGCTCGGAAGCACTCTAGTGCATGGCTTGAGCGTGCTCGCTTTGAGTCTGGCCTCTCATCTTGTAAGGCATGAGAAACACCGAGCGCAGATCCCAGCAGCCGAGACAGATCCGTTGACGGGAATGGAGCATGAGGATGGTGACGGCGGTAGCGCAACAGACACAGAAGACGAGCACGGCCAGCCTTGAACTCTAGACTAGCTGCCTTTTGTAGCTTCGTAATAGAGCTTCGTTCGCCCTTCCAGCTGATGCTGCAGCTTTTGCTTGGTCTCGGCTACTAGCTCATTGGAGTAGAACGCTACACCTAGCTCTTGGCTCGTGTACCACGAAGCACGATCCATGTTGCCGCTGCCGAACACGATTGCTTCGTTGTCAACAATCGTCAGCTTGAGATGCGATTGAACCGGCTCGCCAACCGTGGCTGTAGTTCTCGATCGTGGCACGTAATAAGAGATGCGCAAAGACCCAGCAGCTGCAGCGCCTGCCTCTACATCTCGAGGAGCCTGTACCATGGTCTGATGACTCTTCACCAGCTTGCCCATGCATCTGCTCGTTGTAGTGCCTGCTGTGACCAGCTGCTCCAGTATCATGAGCTTCTCACTCGTGACAATCGTGACGTCCACGCCTCGCCTCACTGCGTCGAGGAGGTGCTTCAGGACAGGTGGGCACGTCACATTTGGACTCTGCACATATATGCTCTTCTTCGCCCCAGCGAACAACTCCAGCAACTCCACGTTCAGTGGCGTCCTTGGGGGATCAGCACACTTCTGCCAGGGAAAGAATCGAAACCTCGGATTACGGTGATGTGGCGAAGGCAAGAACTTATACTTGACATTTTCCAGCCCCAGAGAGTTCGTCGTGGGCCTTGAATCGTGCCCTGATTCTCCAGTCTGCAGCGAAGACTCCAGTCCTTCAAGTCTTCCCCTCCATTTCAGCTCCCAGAATTTCAAAAAGTCCCTCACGAGTTCGCTTCCGTCCAGCCTCACGCATCCCTCAAACCACTCCTCCCACGAGACATTACAGCTTGGCAAGAACACCTCCTTCCGGTCTACTACCACAAATTTCGGGTGCCAAACACTGAAAGGCAAGAAGAAGATACTCGTGACTTCCAGATCGAGCCCCTCCAAGTCTTCAGCAGCAGGAAGTCCTAGTTTCTTACTCCATTCCGAAGGAGAGTAAATACGTCCAGAAGGTGAGGATGTATGGAAGAGTTTTTGCAATAATGATGAAGAGGAGAAGCCGATCCGGACTTTAATTCTCCTGACGGATGAATTCGGTGGACTCCGGGCGAGAGCTTTGGCACTCAACTTGAGGAGCGTGTCATTGAGCGCGTCACGCGTTGGACTTGCAGCCCAGAAACAGGTTGTGAGGATGACTTCTTCTTCGGCAGATTCGATGGCGGGGAGAATTGAGGACTTGAATATTTGGTATCCGGTTCCAAAGGTCAATGAGCGGATATTGGCCGTTTCGGACATTGGAATGTCCTGCGAGGTTTGTCGATAAGCTGTATAGGGCAGTTGGAAGTGGAGACGTCTTCAGGAACGTGACCAATTGCTGCGCTGCGCGTCAATTTCTTGGCCGAAGTTCTGCCTCAGTCACACAGGGTCGACGTTTCTTTCTTCATTGTTGTTTGATCTCTCCTTCAATTCGACAAAACGCACAGCACATCTTTTGTGCATCCCGAGCCATGCCATCTCGAGAAGAAGAGAACGAGGCTTTGGCGCGTGCAGAATACTGGGATGCAAGATACGCCAAATCCGATGGCAAGAATGCCACGCATGAATGGTTTCGATCCTACAGTGATCTCCAGCCCTTTCTAGAGAAGCACCTCTTTGAGCCCTTTCCGCCGTCGCAAGATCCGAAGATCTTGCATCTTGGAGCAGGAGATAGCGTGAGTATCGCTAGAGAGATATGTCTCTTTTCTGTCATCTGATTTATATCTTTGGAAAGACCGTGCCGCGAGAACTGCTGGATCAAGGATACAAGAACCAAATCTGCGTGGACTTCTCTCCGGTCGTAGTCAAGCTCATGACTGCACAACCTCTTGAGGGAACGACCTGGTTGTGCGAAGATGTTCGAGACATGCCTGTCATCGCGAGCCAATCCATCGAGGTAGCGTTCGACAAAGGTACGCTGGACGCAATGATTCACGGAAGCCCATGGGATCCGCCCGACGACGTCAAAGAGAACAGCGGTCGATACATGAAAGAGGTATGCTCTCGCATCCTGCATTTGTCTCAGTACTGACGGCGCTAAGGTTGCTCGCGCTCTCAAACCCAATGGCGTCTTCCTCTACATAACCTATCGACAGCCTCATTTTGTGAAGCCATTGCTGAATCAGGACACCCTGTGGGACATGCATACGGAAGTGCTCAAGCCGAGCGAGAACTCTTTCGAGTACTATGCTTTCGTGCTCAGAAAGGCACAGTCTGCGTAGACCCGTGCCTCGAGTAGGTGAAAATAGGACACCCGCCTCTCGAAACGACTCCCTTCGCGATCATATCGGACTCGAACATGCATGTGCTACATTGACAAGAATTCCCATCAACGTCTCTTCGAATGATGCGATACCTCGACTTGGCCGAGTATTCCGGACGCAACGACCAGGACGAGCCGTGTGGCGCAGTCACTGCCTGCCTGTACTTGTCTTCTTGACTGAGTACGTCCGACTATCATTACCGTGGAGCCATTCCCGGCTCAAAGTTCCTGGGCATAGCCTGACAGGCACGTGTCTTCTAGAGCTTTCCGCGTTCGAGCACGGATCAGAGATGGATCTCCACCCTGGCAATCCCCTCATGAACATTACAACGCGTCCAACGCGGTACTTAAGAAGGGACTACCTGCTCGAGCTCTTCTTTGTTATCGTACTACCCAATACTCGGCTTGGCGCTGTTCGATTGACTGCACGTCGAAAAGGTCAGTATGTCGCACACTCGTAATCCTTTGCTGCTAGCACCAAGCTATCTGATATTTGCCCACACGATCGTGATTGATCGTGGTGTACATTCCGGCTATTCGCATGTACCAATCGGTGCTAGCTCCTCCATGCTGAGAACCACACAGCCATCATGTTTCGATCAGTACTCGGAGATGTGACCTCTCAAGTCGCTAATGTTCAGCCACCTCGAACTCAAGAAATTGTACCTGCAACGAACACAGCCCAGATCGAAGTGGCTCGAGCATCTTTTGCCAAATCAAACTATCAAGTTGACCTCAACGACATTAGCAAGCCATCCACCATGATGGGTACGAAGCGCAAAGCGCTAGACACTCCCTTGTCGAATCTAGATGACTTCGATGTGGACAACATGGCGGTTGACAAATCATGTAACCAAGTCCGCGGAATGATAAGGAGATTCTTGGACTCCGGAGAAATGAAGAAGGGGGAATTTGCAGATGCCATCCGCGTAGCTCCGAACAGCCTGAACAGATTCCTGACTCAGAATGGCAGCATGGCCGGAGAGGCAAATTCTACCTATGGCAATGCCTGGAGATTCTTCAAAAGGCGAGAACTCGCTGGCATCAAAACAACTAAGAAGGCGAAGACTTCTCCCTCAGTCTCTACTGCTGGAGCTGGAGGCAACAACCCATCGCAAACACACGCCGACATCAGCACGATTCGCCTTCCTGGCGAGGAGAGCAGATCTGTCCCTATCTTCGACACTTGCGATGAGATTCGCAAGAAAATCAATGCGTATCTGGTGAATCCTGGTGTCACTCAAGCGTCTTTCTGCCGCGAGCTGGTAGCACAGCTACCTGCCGGGACTCATATTCAAAGCAAGCAGCTGACCGACTTTCGATCCAAACGAGGTCCGAGGCATGGCAACACATCTTGCGTCTTTTATGCTGCTTATGTTTTCTTCGAAAAGCTCAGGCTGGCTGAAGGAAAGCCAAAATCGAAGCATCGACTGGAGATGGAGGATTATTGGGCACCACAAGGTGGTTTTGATATCGTGCATGGTCATAATACACAGTAAGTCTACAAATCGTGATGCTTTGGAGCGTGTGGCTAATCACATTGAGCAGCTATAACTATATGAATCACGAGAGACCGTATGAAGATAAGCTGGGACGGGTCTTGTTTGGTTGAAGCGGGGTTTCATTCATGAGCTGCGCTCTTCGCGTCCAATGTTATGCTGTGTACGATACTGTAATATGAAGTCTTTGAATGTACTCAATGCTCTGCATTCTGCCCCTCTCGCTGCTGCCTGCTGGAGGAACAGTCGGCACCTCTTCTGTAACATAGAAGGAGGCATTGCAACCGGCTGCCAGCCTTATCCACTCTGCCCATCGGCAGACCGGCACACCACTACTTCGGCTTCGCGACGTCCTCTGGCACAAGGATCACGACCTCCGTGAACTTGTGGCCAGCATACGCATAGCCCAGGAATTCCAGCCACGGAACCTCCTCCTTCGACTCCGCCTTCTCGCCCAACGCAGCTTTCTCCTCCTTGTTGTACAAGTCGGATTTGTAGATCTCGATGGTCGTCTTGCCTGGTTCGATGGCCTTGCGGCACACGCGGATGTCTGGGTCTAGCATGGGAGTTAGTGCTCAGTCAAGAACTGTTACAAATCATGAACTCACTTTTCGAGAGCATGATCACCAACTCGATCTCTTCGACTGCAGCATGTCCGTGTGGGGTCATCCTCTCTTTTCCCGTTTGCTCGTAGTATTTGCCGGTCTTGTGCTCGAGTAGGAGCAGCAAGCCTTCCGTGAGGTCTGCCATCTGTTTCTGAATGCTTAGTGATGTTCGAGATGCGAGCACTTTCCAGCAATACGTACCTTGTTCAGTACCTCTGCGATCGGGTCAAGTTCTAATACTGCTCGAGTAGCAGACCAGGAGGAGGTGAAGTGTTTGGAATTCGATTTGGGATCACTGTTGCTGAATGCTCGGAGCGGATGTTCTTGCGCTGAGAGTGCAAAGCGAAAGAAGACAGGCTGTTGACAATCAAAAGAGCATTTATGACTCACAGAGGTAGTGAATAATAGGTGAGTAGCGAGTGAATAAGAAGCTAGGTCAGCCCCTTGAAGTTGCTTTCATTCACTAGATGGCGGATCAGATGTCCGTGTACTTAATCTGGACATGAATACTCACTTCTGATGCTGGCTTCTGAGCTTTCCAGCAGTAGAGCTACATGCCTCGGGAAACCCTTGATGTGGCGAGAATACAACGCATGGTCTTGGGCAGGAGCACACTGCAACTGCATGGTTTTGCTCAACTTTCAAGCTGCACGGCCGGAATTATGATATAAAATGTCCATTCCTTCCAGATCTCTTATTAGATACCTCATAGTTTTGCGAACACGGGCTTCCTTTTGTTTTTCCCCAAACCAGCCAGGAGAGCGTCGCTGACATCCTTTGTCTGAAGCATGGCGGCGTTCCAAACAGCAATGTAGTCGAGACCTGCAGACATTGTTAGACACAATCAAGAAAAGCACGAACTCAGGCCACTTACCATCTTCAACAGAATGATCTCTCGAGTAGTTGATCACAGCCTTGGTCCCTTGCACAGCAATTGGGCTCTTCTCAGCAATCAATTTCGCCAGCTCTAATCCTCTGTCCAATGCGGCCTTCTTGTTGTCATACACTCCACTGACAAATCCCATCCTCAACGCCTCCTCGGCGCTGAAATCTCTTGCAGTCAAACAAATATCCTTAATCCAGCTCATCGGCACCAGGGTATGAGGTAATCGAGTCAGAGTGCCAACATCTGCAGCAAGACCGATCGCAACCTCTCTCACAGAGAACGTTGTATCGTTCGAACATATTCTTACGTCGCAACATGTGCTAATATCAATAGCGGCGCCATAGGAAATGCCATGCATGACACAAATAACAGGCTTCTCACACTTTTCGATCTCGCTGACAGGTTCTTGGATTTCCTTGATATGCCGACGGAGGTCCCATGCTTTCCGGGCAGTATCTCGTTCTTCTCCAGCTCCTGAGCCTTTGATGAGAGGTCCATCGGCGGCGGCTGTGACGTCTAATCCAGCTGTGAAGGCTCGGTCTCCCACGGCTGTAAGAACAATAGCTCGGACGTCTGGATCGTGAGAGAGTTTCTTGAAGATGTTGCCTAGGTCTGTGAACATTTGGCTGGTGAAGGAGTTGAGCTTTTTGGGCCGGTCGATTTCGACGACTGCGACATTTTCGATGGGTTGCGTTACGTTGAAGAACTCGCAGCTGTAGTCTTGTGGTGCCATGATGAATTGATCTGTGATTTGTGCGCTTCGTATCGTTTCCTATTCCTTCTCTTTCAACTACCTCAGAAGGTACTGTGAACTCGAATACTTATGTGCTGAGTCGTCAAGGCGTGAAGTCGAGATCCGGCAGCCGAGGTCTCGGGCAGGGTCACCAGCTGAAAATTGCTGCCTGAGGCACATAAGTGCATATCAAAGGCTCCTGCTGCGGCATGAGAGACGCAGCAAGGAGCCGTGATTGCCGCAAGGAAGAGAACTTGAGAGGCAATGATTGATGTTTGGACTCGATTTGAGATATATGTACATCACATGGTATTCGGAGTTATCTTTCCTGCGCTTGATACCTGTTGGCGCGGAGTCAGTCACTCTATTCACTCTCGCTCAATTCATTCTCAAAGGCCTGCAATCAACGGAGCGCCGACTATAGCCAACATGGGCGCGTAGCCCCAATGGTTCATTTCTCCAGCTCCGACGATCGAGTAGCAGACCCAGCCGTCTACGGCGGCGACACTGCTTGCTGCCAACATGATCCAGCCTAGGGCTTTTGGGCTTCCATAGTATGCTGGTGCCAACATTGCGAATCCCATGAAGCAATCTCGATAGCCATATGCCATGAGCATGGCGTCGGCGAACATTCTCTGATCTGGCAAGTCCGAGTAGGAGAGCTCGAAGAAGGACAGAGCTAGGACTGGGTTGACCAAACAGTTGATTCCGAAGCCGATGAAGATTGCGCCAAAAGCTCCGCAGACATAGCGAATCCAGTTCGATTGTGAGATAGACATTGCTGTTGTGTTGTCTTGAGATAGTTCTGCGGTTGCGCTTGCTTTTGAACCCTTGTTCCTGTCCTGTTGTGATTGGAAGTTGCTGCACTCGCTTGGGTCGGATTGGTGTGGCTTGAATCTGCTGGAACGAAGTCGATCGTAGTGATGCGGCTGTGTGTAAGGATGCTATCAGAATTGTCGATGCAGACTTACAGGAAGCTCATATACTCGGTCCCGGAGATTGGGTAGAGCTGAGTTTGGGTGTTTCCGCATCCTGAAGATGCGCACGGGAATTTCTAGCACCGACAGGATCCTGTGCCTGACTTAGCGTCGATAGCTGCCTATTCGACCATGTTGTCGCTCACCGGCCGCATTGCTGCTCAAGCCGACCTGGAATGTGATCGCTGTTTGTGTGGGGAAGCAGAACGTCACTTCCACAGAGAGACTGTGAAATTGCAAGTGAGGCGGTCGGCGGAAGTTCGGCACGTCAATCAACAACGAAACATCCAGCGCGTCGCGACCACTCCACCACGCATTCACGACCGCGCTATATGATACGAACTCGCCGGTAGTACGCTGCCCGACGGCAACAGCAAGACTTCGCGACTATGGGCGACCTGCACAACACGCCCATCGTCATCGACAATGGCAGCGGCACCATTCGAGCCGGATATGCTGGCGAGGACAAACCACGCAGCTACTTTCCGTCCTTCGTCGGCCGCCCGAAACATCTACGGGTACTTGCAGGAGGATTAGAAGGTGATGTCTTCATAGGAAAGCGCGCGGAAGAGTTGCGAGGACTACTCAAGCTCCGCTACCCCTTGGAACATGGCATAGTCACCGACTGGGACGACATGGAGAAGATCTGGCACCACATCTACACAGATGAGCTGAAAACGCTGAGTGAAGAGGTATGTCGAGGCTGAGGTCAGTCGACGAAGGTGGCAGCGTTCGGCATTGTTGGACTAACATACGCACAGCACCCCATTCTGCTCACCGAAGCACCTCTCAACCCACGTGCCAATCGGGATATGGCCGCGCAAATCCTGTTCGAGACCTTCAACGTGCCTGCTCTGTACACGTCAATACAGGCTGTGCTTTCGCTATATGCTTCTGGACGAACAACAGGTATTGTGCTGGATGCTGGTGACGGAGTGTCGCACGCCGTGCCAGTCTACGAAGGCTTCGCGATCCCAAACAGCATACGGCGGATAGACGTGGCTGGACGAGATGTCACGGAAGAGCTGCAGCGACTATTGAGGAAGGGAGGCAACGTATTCCACACCAGTGCCGAGAAAGAGATCGTCAAGCAGATCAAAGAGAAGGTGTCATATGTTGCTCTGGACCCCAAGAAAGAGGAAAAGGAATGGCTGAATGCCAGCAACCGCGGCGGGGAGAGCAAGACCATCGAGTATACGCTACCTGATGGCAAGAAGTTGAAGATCGGCTCAGAGAGATTCCGAGCAACAGAGATTCTCTTCGAGCCGGAATTGATCGGACTCGAATGGCCCGGTCTGCATCAAATTGTCGTGGATTCGATCAATCGCACTGACATGGACCTGCGCAAGGCGCTATTCGGCAACATTGTGCTTTCCGGCGGTTCGACAATGATCAAAGGATTCGGTGATAGGCTGCTCCACGAAGTCCAGCGCCTGGCAGTCAAGGACATGCGCATCAAGATATTTGCGCCTCCCGAGAGACTGTGGAGCACGTGGATCGGAGGCAGTATCCTGGCTGGCTTGAGCACATTCAGGAAGATGTATGTGACGATTGATGATTGGCATGAGAGTAAGTCACGATCCCCATACCCTCGATCGTCATCGGGTGTATTAGCTAATGCGTACCAGACCCGGACATTATCCACCAGAAGTTTGCTTGAGCATGCGTAAGATACCCCAGCGGCTACTTTCAATGATTCCATTCGAACGCGGCTCCGCACGGTTCATGCTCTCCACGACCCCCAACGACATCGACGGCCTCTACACCACCTGCAGCCAAGCACGACGACCCCATGAGTTGCTGACAGCTCGATCCGAACCTCCTCGTAACACCGCTGCTACCCCTTCGTGTCGTCCTCTGATTAGTTCAACGTCCGCATCAGCGGGCTTCGAGGCACAAACGTGCTTCCGGTGGTGGATGAGGATGTAGCATCGTGGAGACGGCGTCATGCTACTAGAGCTGCAAAACAGCGGAGCAGCAGATCAACTTTTACTTAACCATCACGTACTAGCGTCGCGGTCTAGTCTCAGGTACGGCAAGGCTGCACATGGAGAGCACCGTCTCCGCTCACCGCACAACGCTAGACCTTGGCTTGCGGGGAAGCGACGAGCCACTGAGCACCATAAACGTGGCTGCTGTGGTGCCGGTGACCGACCTGAGAAGACAGGAGATTTGAAGAGTGATGAAAGTAACAGTCCAAAGTAGCACGACAGAGCAGATAGGCGTGCCATGCAATGCCCGTATCGATGGTCGCGTCCACGAGAGCCACATTGGACACCCGAGACCAAAACTTGATCAGAACAATTTGTCGTGACTTGCTGAGCACAATGCTACAGTGCCAAAAGCATTCTTCATTTGGCCATTGACCCCCCGCTCGCACATTGTCCGGACACGAGCCAATCGCGAAACGCTGCGGAAGTCTAGGCCAGTGAATTAGGATGTCCTTGCTGGACTGACTGCTTTGTGATGGATCTGCTGACTACATTTACCGGCGCTAAAATGGCGACAATGGGCGCCAGATGCGTTTGTGCGTGCCTCAGAATACTCGTGACAACGTAGTGCGTCGGTGGGTGCATGTGGATAGAGACATCTCGATGGCTATGTAAAAACGTTCGGGCTTCGGAATTTGGCCCGCCCACCTGGCTCTGTGATGGAATATGCGGAGGATCGAGCTGCACTGCCAGATCATTGCTGTTCGGGCTTCTCTCCTTGATCGCAAAGCAGAAGGTGGTCCGCATGCGGCGTCTGTTCCTGCAGCAGTCAGACGGCGTTCCAGATGGTTCTGAGAGGGAATGATGCTCCTCCCAGTCCGAGATGGCGATGCGCGACACGTGGGCGGGCGCTGCCAAGCAGTCGGAGCAAGCGAGCACCTGGATCACGCGGAGAGAGAGCGTGCTCGCTCCTCAGCATGATGCACCATCAAAGTGTCGTCACGCCAGTACAAAAGAGGAAACATCGTGAGTTCTGAGGGGGTAATAGAAACTCTGGCAGCGGTTTCTGTTACCCCCAGGAAACTAGGCGGGACGTTGCCGAGCGAATTAAGACGGCGCTTGCGTGCACACATGACTTGGGAGCCGTGGCGGAGGCGTGACCTGTGACTTGCAATTCCGGACATCGCCAGTCACAATGATGAGCGAAAGCAGGCCCAGGATGATGCTATCGTCGCCAAAACACCTGGACATGCCATCATGGACGTGTGGGCATGGCGCAGTGACGCTGCGAAGGCGAATCATGGGCGCAAAATTTTTCGCAGACGACGCCATTCACGCGCCCAGACGCCCCCGGAGCCTCTTCACACGGATTTGCCGCTAGTCGCTTAGCTGCGGTACGTGAGAGACACCTCAGCCAGCGCTCAGAGATTTTTGCCTCTAGCAGTTAACTGCAAAGCGCGTTCCCAGCCAAGGAACCCAGCTGGCCGCGTGATGGATCTGCCTTGATCACTGGCGACCGTGGGCCCCGTCAATGCGGAGGACCAAGAGACGCAGTGACAAAGGTATATTATTCCTGCCCAGGTAGGTGCTCGCATTCCTTCCTCACTTCACATATACAACAACACGCCACCACTGCTACGGACCTGCTATCAACCCACCTGTCTCGTGTCGCTACTGCACACCACACTCTACACGTTCTCACATACAACGCCACATCACAACACACTCGAAATGTCTTCACGATACTCCGTCTGTGAACCACACCCGTCCGTTCCCCGATCGGGAGGCTACATCATGGGCGGACGTGGCGGCGCTGGCAACTACCACCGCTACAAGGCTGAGGATCTCACTTCTGGCCACAACGCCACTGGCCCAGCGTCGCGCATTTCTCTCACTCGTCCTTTCAAGCGCACAATGACCACCGGCCGCGGAGGCATGGGCAACACCATCACCGAAACTGAAGAGAACATCTTCCAATTCGACGAGGAGATGCTCAAGGCTCGCGAGACTGCCGCCACTCCAGTCTATCGCATCGGCCGTGGAGGCGCAGGCAACACCGTTCAAGACGACCGCGTCTCATCTTCATCCCTCCGCAAGAACTCGACCAGCTCTTCGGCAAGCGATTCCTCCGACCGACCTGCCAACACCCGACGCGAGTCCGGCATGTTCTCCTCCATCTTCAGCCGACGCTCATCGTAGGCCAAGCACGCTCCGTTTTAGGACGCTGCAATGTCTCACAGCCGCCTCGATCGATCAGCAAGTGCTGCTGATCGTTCGGTGATTTCCTCTTCTTGGCTGTGCAGACCGATCTCTCTTACGACCTTTTTACGAACGACAACTACCTTTTTTAAGCGAGCTGGTTCTTGATTCTCGCATCATTTCGCATGATCAAAAAGCGACGGCGCTGGCGGCGACTGATTCTCCTTTCATGGAGAGAGCTTTGACTCTCACCAACTTTCTACCCGGTCGGGCACATTTTCAAACCCCCTTTGGCTATGCATAGCTGCCCGACAACCCCCTCGAAATCGGCAGCAAACAACCATAAAAGCATCACGGCGTTCTTGTATTTGGAGGAAACCTTGCCTGGCATGGCATTGGGAAACCACGAAAAAGTTTTGTTGATATTGGGTTGATTTTCCTGTCTGCTTTGTACTTTACTATCTCATGTGTGACAACCGGCGAGAATGATACCCTGTTGTGTGTTTCTCTTTCTCGTGGCCGAGGGCGCCTGCTACGGCACAAATCGAAGGAAGAAGAAGTTATTTTGGTGGAGGTGGAGAATGGAAGGAATGTTGTATTACGTACAAACATTGAATCGAAAGATCGATCCTGAACACTTTTACTTTCCAGCTTTCCAGCTGTCCTGTCCTTCCCGTTCTGTTCTTGCTCCGTTTGGCATGATCCCTCAACTGCATAAAATTGACTCAACTTTACTCCTCGAAGCCAATGCCTGCATCACGTCGCACATCACCCCTCACCTGCATTATTACTATGCATCCTCCCCTCATCATGAAGTCGTTGACTAAGACATCCACATTCCAGATCCATCCCGTCTCTCAACACCCTGTCTTCCGTCCTCTCTTCTGCCGTCCATTTATCCTCCGCAGGATCCAAATCTCCAATCATATATCCCGCAAGACGCCATTGCGCGATCTCGAACGAGACTCGAATAGAACAAATCCCATCATCTTCAATGGATTCTTTATCTTCTGCTAGAACCAGAAGTACCGTCTCATCTCGTAATGACCTCTCGTCCATGATTACGAAGGAAGTGTAATCTATATCTGATTCTGTTTCCTGACGTAATTTGAAAAGTAGTCGTTGGCATTCTGCTGGGGTTTTGTTTTTGAAGGGTGAGTCTGGAGAGGTTATTGTTCGGTTTTGTTCGTCTTCCATGTCGCCGATTTCGGTTTCGGTGGTGTAGGTTTCTGTTATGCTGTCAATGAGTACGAAATGACAGAGGAGTTGGTTGTGGTAGTCTTGGTTTGAGGTGATGAAGTGGTCTATGACCTGTTGTTTGTGAGTTGTATTTCGAGATGGAGTGGGTGAGGGAGGGAATGAGTTTTTACTGAGGAAGGTATGTCTGCTGCGCAGCAGATTGGGCAGAGGCGCCCTGGTTCCGTATCATTGCTGGCGTGCTCATTCGAAGAAGCCATTTTTGAGTCGCAATTGCAATGGCAATGGAATCGCGATAGTCGTGAACTACATTGACTTTGTATAAGCTGCTCCTAGGACGCTCTTGGCAGTTTCGTTGCCTGATTTCGCCACTGCCATCGCTCTTGGCCATACGCTGCCTGACAGTTCACGGGAGTATTTGTCTAGCTTGGACCTACGCTCCAACCATGTCGCTCTTGATAGCCACGATATGAAATGACATCGCGCTTGTCCTGGCCTCGTGGCGGAAAGCAAAATAGAACCGTGCCGCAAATTATGCGCTTTCAAAACTGCGTGCCTTGCTAGAGGAAATACAGCATCTCTTTGCTCCTTGTACCTCTACGTTCCGCATCGATTTGTAGGCACTCCAACTTTCCAAGAGACACAGGTCAAGAATCAAGGTCGTGAGAAACATGCAAATCTCATTCTCTCCGGGACTCCATCTTGCTGCCCAGAGGTAGGCCGGCCTCGGATCCTCATTCTTGTTCCCGACAGAATCTGAGGCAAGTCGGAGAATTCACCTTTGCATGTAAGGACGTGGTTTCTGCTGGTGGGGCTCAAGCGTCGTCTACTGAACTCGACTTCGTCCAGACCACCGTGGCACGCGCGGACGACTTCATTTCCGGGCCCGGAACTTGTTTGTCGCTGTCGCTGCAGCATTGGCATGATGGTTTGAATTCGGCACAGTTCTGTGGTTGGTCCACAATTCAATTCTGCATTTTCTCTGGACGCCAGTCGTCATGGAGCAATATATGCACTCCACATTGATGTGGGCGCATTGCAGGCAGGCAGCAGGAAAGTGCGCTCGCATTCGCTCTGTCCAATGGCTGCAACGCGCCAGCCAATCGTAAAAGAGAAAAGTGCTTTCGTATTGCGTATTCGCCGTATTCTCGATTGAGGTGAGTTCGATGCGACCGACTCGCTTGGCTCATGCACTGAAGGCCAAAGGCCTCGTCAGCAAACAGACGCACCAGGGGGGAACCACGCAGGCACAGCACAATAATCAATAGGAGAGCATGTGAGGGAGAAAGTGGTTTGATGATCCTCGGCATCGGCCCGTCAAACAGGGCTGAAGAGAGGCGCGCTCGCGCACATGGTGCAGCGACATCATCGTCAGCAGGCAGGAAATAGAACACGTTCGCCTTTCTGCACCTGCTCAGCACATCCGCGCCATATTCTCATCCTCGCTTCCAGTAGTGACGCTATCAGCTTAGCAAACCGGTTTCTTTATTTCCAGCCCGTTCCTGCTACGCACGAAGTCATCGCCGAACGGGGGTGAAGCTGTCGCCGACCACCGAGAACGCCAGCTAGCCATCCCAGCCAGCTTTACGGGCCACAGCTTTGTTGACATCTGATCCGCCGCATGCCGAATATTATGGGCGCACAACGAGCCAGAGTCATATGAATAGTCAGCAGTGTACACGCCCTGCAATCTCTTCCATGTGCACCGGATTATGGCTGGAATAGAGCAGATCATTGTGCACTCCAAGGTACGGTAGCAGCAACAGAGTTCGGCATGCTCGACGTGAGCTGACGTTCGTTTCTGCCTTAGAGCTACGTCGTACGCTGGATTCAGGTACCGGAGCAACATTCGATCTCGTGGTCCATACAACCCAACAAAAAGAGCATCAACTTCGGCATCTTCAAGCACCCAGGCACACGAAATGGCAGCCTACCGAGCGAGGAGATCGTCGAGAACAATGCGAAGGACATCCCAACTACACCCGCCCTCGATGGAGTAGAGAGGCCGAAGCAGGTGCCGCGCCGCCCTTCAGTCACAGAGGGCAAGGGGGACGTGGTGGAAAAGCTGCACAATGTGGGAATCAAGTCTGTGGCATGGGCTGGAAGATGTGAGGCGGACAAAGTAGCCATGGGCCGCTACGACGTGCCAGGCGGAGAAGGAGGAGCATATGGCCTGGTTTTCGACAACACTTTCTCGAAACAGACATCGAAGCAGGTCACGCTCGTGCTCATGACCCATCCTACCAACTCGCCGCCGAAGTCAGGACACCACCTCCACTATTCGCAGGCGTTTTCAAGCAACAGCGGTAATACCGTCAGTGGCAAGAGCAGCAGTCCTTCACTAAGACCCGCGAACGATTCGAGCGACTCTCTGGCATCAAATCTGCATCGTGCAGTGTTGGAAGATCCGAGACCACATTCGAAAGGCGGAGTAGAGACAAAGGGCATCGAGGGAACCACATTCTACACCGGCACACTTTACAAGAAGAGGCGAAAGAAGGGTCAGGGATATGCCAAGCGATTCTTCTCGCTGGACTTCACAAGCTCGACGCTTTCATACTATAGAAATCGGCATTCTTCTGCGCTGCGTGGTGCGGTGCCTCTCTCACTGTGCGCAGTCGGCGTGGATGAGAACACAAAGGAGTTCTCAGTCGACTCTGGTGCAGAAGTATGGCATCTCAAGGCGCTGAACAAAAAGGACTACGAGGGTTGGAGGGATGCCTTGGATCGAGCATCGCGTACAGCAGTGACGACTCCAGGTCCAGGGACGCCATTGAAGAACTTCAAAGACCTCCCGATGCCAAGGAGTCCCAATCCTGAAGAGGAACGCGAGTGGGCACGCGTGGAGCAATTGGTTAGCAAGGTGTCTGGTACACGCGATGCCGTCAGAGGTTTGGCGAAGGACACCGATCCGAAATACACATCTGGATCCGGAGGTAATGGCCTTGGATTGACCACATCTGCCAGTAGTAGCAACAACGGCAGTCCTTTGTCATACGACTCGGCCAACCAATACTTCCCTGAGGTTGACGAGAAGAGAGACAGCAAGCGGCCATTCTGGAAGCGACAATCAAGCGTAGAGCGCAACTCAACTGCTCTGTTCCGCAGAAGCGTATCCGCGCAGCTGGCGGTACCATCGCCCAGCACAGCAGGAGCCAGCTCCCCTCAGCCAGGTGGCTTGAGTGTACGAAAGCGTCCGAGTGGACAGAATCTCGAAGCCTCGAATCAAATGGCAGATGCTGATGTCCACGAACGTTGCATAGCGCTTCTTCAGGATCTGAACAAAGTCGTGTCAGAGTTCTCCGACTTGATCGCGCAAAGCAAGACGCGAAGGCAGCCGCCAGTGCCAACAGCAAACTCAAGACTGTCACTGGATTCGATCGATGATCAAGAGTTCTTTGACGCGACCGATGGAGGCGAGAACCCGTCACAGCTGCTTAACATACGGCGTTCCAGCGATCTCACTAAACAGAACGAGGAAGAGGATCTTTTCGATGATCGTTCCGAGGCAGATTCTGACACTAGTAGTGATGCTGGTGAACGACCTGCGGGATCGGTACTTTTTTCCGCGGCAGGAAAGAGCGCAGAGTCAGCATTGTATCCGAAAGTACCGGACAAGCTGCCACCGTTGCCGTTACCGCGGGTCAAGCGACGAACCACTGTTACTGGACCGAAGCAGCCCCCTCCGAGCATCATTGGATTCTTGAGGAAGAATGCAGGCAAGGATCTCAGTCAAGTCGCTATGCCCGTCACAGCCAATGAGCCGACTTCTCTGCTTCAGCGTTTGGCCGAGAGTGTTGAATATTCTCAGCTGCTCGATGCAGCAGCAGGAGCCAGCACGCCCACGGAGCGCTTGATGTACGTTTCGGCATTCGCGGTATCATTCTTCTCCTACAATCGTGTAAAAGAGCGGGCACTACGCAAGCCGTTCAACCCCATGCTTGGAGAAACATTCGAACTTGTACGAGAAGACTTGGGTTTCCGCTTCGTTGCCGAGAAAGTCAGCCATCATCCTGTTCGCATGGCGTGCCAGGCCGAAAGCCTCGCGAATGGAGGCTGGTGCTACGCACAGTCGCCAAAGCCGGAGCAGAAATTCTGGGGCAAGTCAGTCGAACTCAACAACGATGGCAGAGCACGAGTGGTGCTGCATGCTTCCGGCGAGAGGTTCTCGTGGAATCAAGCAACGTGCTTCTTGCGCAACGTTATCGCCGGCGAGAAGTATGTCGAGCCAGTGCAAACGATGACTATCCAAAGCGAGACCAATGGTATGCGTGCTGTGGTGTCCTTCAAGGCAGGCGGCATGTTTTCCGGACGCAGCGAGGATGTCACCGTTCAGATTTTCGAAGGCGAAACCCCAACCGGCGTGGAGCTTGTAGGAAAGTGGACCGACAGCCTGAAGCGAACAGACACAGACGAGACGATCTTCAAAGTCGGCTCTTTGGTGCCTAACGCAGCCAAGGTCTATGGATACACCAGCTTCGCAGCAGCTCTCAACGAGATTACCGAAGTCGAGGCCAATCACTTGCCGCCGACCGATTCTCGTCTTCGACCAGATCAGCAGGCACTGGAAGCTGGAGACGTGGACAAGGCCGAAGGATTGAAGGCACGTCTGGAAGAGAGGCAACGCGCTCGGAGGAAGGTTTTGGAAAGTCATGGACAGACATGGAAGCCACAATTCTTCGAGAAAGTCGCCAATGTCGACGGCGACGAGGAAGTGTGGATGTTGAAACAAACTGGAGGATATTGGGATAAGCGGGCTGCTGGTGATTGGAGTGGCGTACAGGAGGTGTTTGAGACGTGAGCCGGGTGCCGCGTTGACCTTTTTGGAGGAGATACCCGACTATGTGTGTACGATATATGTGGTACTACGAGAGCGCAGACATGGTTACTGTGTTCGATAGCATGAGCGAGAAAGTGATTCGATGGATTACCGACACTCTGCCTATATTGTGCTTCGTCCAATCTGAGTGGCTTGAACAAGTTCGTGCTGTGCTTGCTACCCTCATAGCATCGGAATAACGTGCCATCTCGCGTTGTCTGTGTGCATTGTGCAATGTGTGGTTGGCGACGCAATTGCCCAAGTCAAAAGCCAGACGAGTGGAGCACCGAGCCATTGGCCGTCATTGTGGCTTGAAGCTTGAGGCGCTGCTCCACTTCTCCTTCTCTTCATCAGCATATCAGTATTCCATTTCCACTCTCACTTGATATAAGTCGAATAACGTCCCGGATTGGAATGCTGTCACCGCGTAGAGGCCTCCGTCGGCTGGTCATCTTCGGATCGCTCATCTTCCTCGGGCCAACCATTTTCGCCAAAGTCTACTCATCGTGGAGCGAAATCTCCATCAGCAACGCCAAACGCAAACTGGAATTCGAACGGCTGGAACTTGAGCGGAAACGTCTTCAGGCTCCCGACGCACCCGACAGCGTGCCGAAGGAACGCAGGTGAATAGGTGCAGGTGAAGTCGCAGTCAGCTGTTGCCTGCTGCCTGGGTGCCTGAAAGTGAACCACAGCGCCACACAGCGCCCGCGAACTTTCGCCGACCCTACTTATCGATACCAACTCGTCACTCTCGCTGCCACTTGCCGCTAGCCACTTAGTCACGCGATTCGCTCTCCGCCTGTACAACAACCTCCGCCCTTACCTTCCCTCACCATCACCACCGACGCGACCTGCGACACACCTGCGGCCACTCGCCGACGGTCGCCAAAATGCTGAAAATATGGAGCATGAAGCAGCAGCAGCAGAAGAGCGAGGCTGCTGCTGGCGGGGCGAAGAAGAAGAAGGTGACAGCAGCGCAACTGCGCGTACAGAAAGGTCAGTCATACCATACCTCTCCACAGCGACGGCAACGACGTGCGTACTGACTCACATTTCCAGATCTGTCGGAACTTTCCCTCGGCTCCACGATGAAGACGCATTTCCCGAACCCTGACGACATCCTCAACTTCACACTCACACTCACACCCGACGAAGGCCTGTACAAAGGCGGTGTTTTCAACTTCTCCTTCGCAATCAGCCAGAATTTCCCACACGAGCCACCGAAAGTCAAATGCAAAGAGAAGATCTACCATCCGAACATCGATCTTGAGGGCAACGTCTGCCTGAACATCCTCCGAGAAGACTGGAAACCAGTTCTCAATCTGAACGCGGTCATAGTGGGGCTACAGTTCTTGTTCTTGGAGCCGAACGCCAGTGACCCGCTGAACAAGGACGCCGCGAACGACCTCATGAGCGACCGGGACCGATTCAAGAGGAATGTCAGGAGTGCGATGGCGGGAGGAAGTGTGAAGGGCGAGGCGTTCGATCGGGTCATGAAGTGAGAGACAAGACGTACACATCGGACCTGCATATTCAAGCAGCTTCACAAGCATCAAGAGTATCGGACGGGAGAAGGCCGGACTGGCACGGTGAGGGCGGGGAGCCCAAGGAGCGGCACAGGCAGTATTACTGGCCGAGCAGAAGGAGAGAAACTTCACCAGGTCGACGTACAGTGCATTTTCCAGCGTCAAAGATTTGCTTCAGTCTGACCGAGATACCATAGGAGTAGTCGGGTGCGGGACAGGGTACATCATACATAGAGGACCTGCATGAGGCACCGAGATACACCTAGTCGTTACATTGTTTTTGTCGCTGGTATTGATCATCGACTTGTCGACATTCGGAATTTAGATGATTCTGTATTAAGTTCACAGCGTGACCCTCAACGAAGCAAAGCCAGTCAAGTGGGCGCAGCACATTCATATCAAATAGCAGGCCTCTTGATCTCGGGATTCATGTGCTTGCACGCTACGTTACTTTTGGCATATCGCTAATACTCCCAGCATTCTTATTACTTTCGCATTGCGCAGACTTTGCTAGACTCAACCAACAATAACCCGTCATTCCTCCCTTACAAGTCCTTAAAGGCCCTCAAAGAATACAAATGCTTATCCGTCGTCTCCAGCACCTCCAACTTAGCACCCACAGCAACTTTGCCCTCATTCTTCGGAATACACATCATACCAAAGCAAGGCTTATACTTCGCCGGCCCACCCTCATCCACTCTTCGAAATTTCATCAGCGTATCCCACGGCTGCTTGGGATTCTTCTCTGCCGTATCGGGATTCACATTGGGAACCTGACATCTCGCGCATCGCGCCACGACGTCGAGATCGAGTTTATAGAGTGCTTCTTCGTGAGGAAGAGAAGTGGAAATTCGGATCCGTTTCCAGGTATCTTCTTCCCAAGGGTGGTCATCACGGCCGCGAATGATGATGTTGGGCCGGAAACGTTCGATTGTGAGAGTTTCTGGGGAACCTTGGGGGATATTGAGACGTTTGTTGAGGTCTTTGATGGAGGCTTCGCTGGCGATCTGGAGGGACATGACGTCTGCGAAGTGATGCGGGACATCTTTGCCGTAGAGTTCTGGTTTGCCGTTTATGGCCACGAGGCGGTGCGTGGGACCTTTGTAGACGAGACAGACGGGTTTGTCGAAGAATTTGGAGAAGAGGGAGTTGATTTCTTCACTGTAGATGTAGCCGTCTGTGTTTTGTTCCCAGATTTCGACGGTTTCGAGGGTGGTGTTGGAGTCTAGCCAGGATTGGGTTGGGAAGGCGGGAATGGTGACTCGGCCTTCGGTGTTGTGGATGCTGATGTCGAGCATTTGTTGGCCTTGGAATTCGCCTTCGCCGTCGCTGATTGCGGTGTCGATGAGGGTCATGGAAGGGTCGCCGCGGATTGTGAGGAATTTTCGGGTGGCCTTGTCGATGAACATCCAGTTACGGTCCAGCGTGAGGCCAGATTTTCGCAAACGTGTTGAGTCAACCTCGAAGCCGCGGCACGACTTGATGGGGTAGACACGAAGCGACGTGATAGTTGTGGGTGGCGGAATTGGTGGTCTATTCGGATCTGCTTTTGCATCGCCTCCAGCGCCAATGCCATAATGCCCGTCTCTGTTAGTCACGTCGGAGCCAATGGAGTTGGCGTATACGACGACTGTAATGATGCCGACCACACAGGCAATGAGCAGGTAGCCGGAAAGACCCCAGTCCAGGTCTTGGTAGTTCATGAATTTAGGATGGTTATACCATGCTTTCGCTGCCCGTGGCATCCCCAGAATGGACTTGACGACATAGACTACCTTATCCATGGTGATGTCCTTAATTTGTGATCTTGTTTCTTCCTCGTCGAGCGGCCTTCGAGTCGAGATATACCAGCGTTAAAGTGGATCCACAGCCCCAAGACAGCTTTCCTGATCCGGTACCTGCTAGCGAGCAGCGAGATGACAGAGACTTGTCGACTTCAGGGCGTCAGCTACTGCGAGCCAATTCAGCGACGGTGCTATACTCCAACGAAAAATCCTGCTGCAAAAGGCAGATTTTCCAGCAGGTGGCAGGGCGGAGTAGATGTCTGGATGTCATTGCAAGCGGAGAAAGCATTGGAGTCTGGAGTGCCAAGGCCGCCTGAAATGCCGTCATCCCTGGCAACAGATCTCCTCAAATCTTTTGATCGCCGTGTTGCCGCTCATCCTGTACGCTCTCATCGCTTGGAATGAAAACAAACTGAGAGTCAAGGCAGTGAGTCTACAAAGAGCATATGCAGCCTTCATGTCCACGGGCAAGTCCGCCCCCACGGCTTTTCATCGGCCGACAATGACCTCAACGGAAAGTATTCTACTGACGATCTACCACTTCATATCTCTTCGGCTACATTTCACATAACAATATACTTAACTTGAACGTAACTCAGCAGAATGCCTGACAAAGACGCTTCCACACCAAGGGTCTTCCTGATCCGCCATGGACAAACAGAATGGAGCATGTCTGGGCAACACACAGGCAAAACAGACATCCCGATGACAGCAGAAGGTGAAGATCAAGTCCGAGGAACAGGGCGCATTGTCTACGGCGAAGGCAAACTGCTCGATCCCAAGAAAATCGCCAAAGTCCTCGTTTCGCCACGGACGAGAGCGATCAAGACGTACGAATTGCTTTCTGGACAAACTGAAGGTTACGAAATTCGAGAAGAGATTGCGGAGTGGGATTATGGGTAAGTCCCTATTGAACCACACCCGTTTTCTTGAGATGTAAAGCAAGGTTAACACGTATATCCCACCAAGTGACTACGAAGGCCTCACGCCCTCTCAAATCCGCACAAACCGCAAGTCCGAAGGCCTAGACATTGATCGATCGTGGGACATCTGGCGCGATGGCTGCGTAAACGGCGAATCACCCGAACAAGTTACAGCTCGATTAGATGCTGTCATTGCCGAGATCAAAGCCTTGCAAGCTCCGCATATGAAGGATGCGGAGCCGAAAGACGTCGTAATCGTCGCCCATGGGCATACGACTAGAGCGTTCGCGAGAAGGTGGTTGGGGTATGAGTTGTCGTTTCCGTTGAGTTTGATGATGGAGCCTGGTGGGGTGGGAGTGCTGAGCTATCAACATCATAATGTAGATGAGCCGGCGTTGTTGTTGGGAATTGGGTTTCCTTTACAGCAGTAGGAATCTCGGCAGGGACTGACAGCGAGGCTAAGTGCAGGAAAAAGATGTCGATCAGATCTTCAGCAATGTGGATATTTAACGCATATTTCTGGTTTCGAGCGCTGTCGACAACATTTAGCTTGACAATGAGAAACTACTCCCACTATCACTATATAAGCCACCCTACCTCTCTCATCCTATACAGCGGGAAGCCAACATATTTTCCTTCACTCCGCCGCCCTATACCCCACCCCCCAAGGAATCCTACTCCTCAACAACAGACTACTCGTTACAACACTCAAACTACTCCCCGCCATCGCCAGAGCCGCCCACGCAGGATCCAATCTCACATGGTCACCACTACTCGTTCTCACCGGATACAACACTCCCGCAGCAACTGGCAAAGCGATTAAATTATACACTGCCGCCCAGCAGAAATTCATTATGACTCTTCGAAACACAGCCCTGCTTAGACTCACGAGCGTCAACACCGCTCGAAGATCCGATTGCATGAGGATGAAAGAGGCAGACTGAATAGCAACGTCTGAGCCTGAAGCAACAGCGATACCAACGTCTGCTGCTGAAAGAGCGGGAGCGTCGTTGATGCCGTCGCCGACCATGGCGATAGTGACTTGGTTGTGTTTCTTTCCGAGGATCCGTTGAAGACCTCTTCTGTATTTGGGTCGCAGGGCACGTTGCAAATATTTGATCTTATCTGCCTTTTCGGTGGGAAGTACGCCTGCGATGATGTTGCTTGGAGAGATGCCGACTTTTTGGCCGATGGTTGCGGCGGTACTGGGGTTGTCGCCGGATAGCATCCAGACGTCGATTCCTTTGGTTTGTAGGGATTTGATGACTTGTGCTGCTTCGGGGCGTGGAGGATCGGATGCGGCGAAGATGCCTGCTAGATTCCATTGTTTTGTTGCTGGACGGCATGCGAAGAGGAGGATCGAGTTTCCTTGGGATTTCCAGGAGTGAAGAGTCGTTGAGATGGTGGATGTTATTGGTACGGAGTGGTCTTCGAGGAACACTTCATTGCCCACCAGAATCTCCATGGGAGCGTCTTCGTCACGAGCGGCTCTCATGAGGCCCTTGAGTCCACGACCGCCTACTTCTTCAATCTCGAGGGCTTCCACTGCGACCGCTTGATTTGAGTTTACGAACTCAACAGCAGCTCTCGCCAAAGGATGAGAGCTGTTCTCCTCCATACATCCAAGCATGCCAAGTACAGTAGCCCGATCCAGACCACAAGCATCTTCAAATACCTCACACTCCACAATCTTCGGCTCGATACCAAGCGTCAATGTTCCAGTCTTATCAAAGACAACAACATCCAGATTACTAGCCTCCTGAAATGCTTCACCTCCGCCTTTGACAAGGATCCCGTGCTTTGCCGCCAATCCACCGCCAACGAAGAGTGCTGTTGGCGCTGCTAAACCAAGGCCACATGGACAAGCGATGATGAACACGGCGATTGCGAATTGGAGGGACCAGAAGGGCCAGCCGCCGATATCAACGTCGAGATAATCGTCAGGTAGTGCTCCAGAGAGTCCCAATGTCAGCCAGATGACCCAAGTTAGGATTGCGATTGCGGTGATCACAGGAACAAAATATGCGGTGAGAAGATCTGCCACTCGCTCCACCGGTGCTCGTTTTCCTTGTCCTTCGCGAACGACTTGGATCAGAGAATCGAGAATGGACGAGCCGATGGGGTTAGTGACTTTGATGGCCAATGGTGAACCCTTGTTGATTGTTCCAGAGAAGATGATATCCCCTTGCTGTTTCTTAACCAAACGAGACTCACCCGTGAGACTCGACTCATCCATTCCCGCCAATTCGTTCAACAACGCTCCATCACAGGGAGGGCTTGCGCCATTTGGTATTCGAATCACATCTCCTGTGTCGATGAAGTCTACATCCACGGTTTCCGTCGTAGGTACATCGTCTTTGTCATCTTGAACCACGAGACTAGCCGTCGTAGGCCTCAAGTTTCCCAGAGCAGAGACTGCATCGCCTGCTTTGGCTTTCATAGTCGCTTCAGCAAGTCTACCGAGTAAGAGGAAAAATGTCAGAAATACAACCGAGTCGAAATACGATTGTCTGGAAGCGCCCTCTAAACTCGGCACATCCCTCACAGCGCTGACGATCAATTGTCCCACGGAGGCAAAATACGCGATCGTCGTCCCCAAACTAATCAGCATATTCATATTGCCAAAACGATAAAATCTTCTTCCGATAGGTACAGGACTTCCAGGTCTCCAAAGTGCCCAGAGATCTTTGAGCGTCTTTTCGTGAAAGTAATCTGCGGCGAAGAAGTAGACTGGATGGAGTTGCCATGATGAAGGTAGTCCATTCTGCTCGAGATACGCCATGTAAATTTCGCATGAGATATTTATAGCCGGAATATTGCTTCGGTACGAAGTTCATATACACGACTCCAATAACGAGGCTTGGGATTGCGATAATACCAGCCAGTATGGCACGCATTGTGATAGCGCGACGATCTCGGCGTAGCATTTGTCGTGAACGTTCCTCGATTGTTATTGGTTTGTGGATTGAGACCACGAAAGAGCGATCCAGAGCATTGAGTTCGCGTATGATTCGGCGAATTGAGAGACGTGGAACGTCCGGGATGTATGAGATCGTAATGAAAGGTTCCTCGAGCGTGGGTGGCTTCTTGATATCGACTCCCAGTCCTGACATTGTCTGGAGGACACGCTCCGGACATTGTGGACAGTGCATGCCGTAGACCTCCAGGTTGACCGTTCGAACCGTGGCACTCTCGCTGTCTGATGCAACAGCCTTGACCGTCCTTTGCTCAATAGCTTTCAACTCAACAAGCTGAACATCATACCCAGCATCCTCCAAAGCGCCAAGAAGTTCTTTCGTCGTCGTCTCTGCCTCATTTGATCTGAACGAGACCGTCGCACTGCGACTGACAAGAGATACATCAGCTCTCCGCACAGCCGGAATAGCCTGTAGCGCATTTGTGACAGTGCTAACACAAGCACTACAAGTCATGCCATCAATCGAGATCAGAGCCGAGAAGTCTTTTGGAGCATCTTCCGAGCCGCTCACAACGACAGACAACGAGCTGTTCTTCCATTTCACCGATCCTTGATGTGCTGCGCACATCTGGCAATTGGCGAGATGCATTAGGCGCGTGTTGTCGTGCACTTCTTCCTTTCGTTCTGGGTCCCATTGTTGAACGGCTTGTGCTAGTGAAATGCCCAGCTGTGATGGCTTGTGAATGTGCTCATTCGAAGCAGAATCGAGAATGATACCGAAAACATCGTAGCCATTGGACCGGAGTAAATCGCGGATCGTTGTGACCAAGATCTGGCAGCTATGATCGACAGTGACGATGTGGTTTACGATGGAGATACACCTGATCACTGGCGCTGGCTTCAATCCGTCCATCAAAGATGTGATGTGAGTTATGCAGGTCGGGCAATGCAGATTCGGGATTATGAATGAGGTTTCCAGAATTTGGTCTTCCTGCGTTGCAGATGCCGTTGCCATGTTGTGTGGAGGTAAGGACAACCGCCACGGCGCTGTCTGTATACCTCAGCATCCATTATTGACATTTTCAAGAAGGGAAAGACAGCGCCACGTGTTGTAGAATAAAGGTCCCTGTCACCGCTAGGAGCACGAGTCCCCCGGCCGAAAGTCTACAGGGCGATTACGCGTCCTCGGGCATTTGAGATGCCTATATTTCCGACTGTTTAGCGACTAAAGTATAGCTTTCTGCAAATCATTGCGCCCAGCTCCTGCAATGAAGGAATGTCCTGGTTCAATCCTGTCCAGCTCTGCCAATTCGACAACTCCATCCAGAATGCCGCATTCCAAGATTTCCGCTAAAGATGCTTTTTGCCAATCTGTGGAAGAACGCTGCATTGGGTCACGGCCCACTAGTACATTATATCTCCGACAAAGTAAACGCCATTCATATGCTTCGTGAGAAGTAAATGCTTTCAAACAATAATTGCGAAGGAGTTGCATGATCATAGCCAGATAGCCATCGCCAAAGAGCTGATCACCAGCAAAATAACAGCGAGTGTGGCAGAGGCTGAGTGTAAAGCTCCACTCTGGTCATCAGCGCTCGAAGCCTCTGTGGGTGAGCTGCTCGATCCAGAAGCCCTGGCTGTCGTGGACGCACCGTTGCTTGACTCAGTACTCGTCGTGGTGGCAGCAGCTGCTGTAGCGGGAAACAGAGTCTCGAAAATGGTTGTGATAGCCCTTCCATTCGCTCCGACCTCAACAACCTCCAATATTGTGGCGTAAGGTGACAGACTGACAATGTACGTCTGTCCTTTGACTGTCACCGTCTCTACCTCTCCTTGAGTCAGCGTTCGGCCATCGATGTTGTACGTTGCGCCATTGTTGATAGCCGTGAAAGTCTCGCCTCCAATCGTGAGTACTGGCGCTCGAGTCGGACGAACGCCATACGCATCGTCAATGACTGAAGTGCTCGTGACACCATTGGACCCGAGAACAATGGCAGTTCCAGCAGGAAGTAAGGAGATTGTTTCCTTGCCATTCGAGCGCTCTATTGTGATCACACCTCCGGGTTTCAGTGTCTGGTCGTCTATGAGATATGTTGCGCCAGATCCGACATTGTACTCGATTGCGGAGTATGTCTCATCGTCGATGGTCAAGACTGGAGCTCCTCCAGGTGCTGCTCCGACCATACCAACATACGACGTGTAGGACTGCCCATTAGCTGTCCGCACAATTTGATTGGCTGCGGAGTTCAGTGATATCACTTCTGTTCCGTATGGTCTCTCGAGTGTGATGAAGCCACCAGGCGACAGCGTCTGACCAGAAACGATATACGATGTTCCGGCATTCGGGGCGACGATCCTCCCATTGAGAAATAACGCCGGCGGCGCTGTTATGGTGATAAAATCCGCTTCACTCGGCTGGCCTGTAGCAATGGGACGCGCAATCCCGTTTATGATAACACTTGCGCCTGTCGTGGGAAGTGATATCGTCGTACCCGATACCACGACCTCCCCTCCGGGAGTCAGGAAGGTGGAGTCGATGTCATACGTTGAACCTAAATTTGGTCTGTATACAATGCCTCCAATGGTCAGGAGAGGTGCAGGCGTGATGACCGGTGGCGAAAGCTGCTGCGATGTGCCGTCGATTATGAGTGCCGTCGCACTTGTTCCCAGACTGATTGTGGTTCCGGCTGCAACGACTTGACCTCCAGGGGTGAGGATCGTCCCATCGATATTGAACTGGGTAGCAGCATTGGCTGTGAATCGATCGGTGCCGACCTGGATCACAGGAATGTTCGCGGCAGCGCCGACATTGCCTTGAGGCGCCATGTTGACAGTAGATCCACCGATCGTGATCTCAGTAGCGTCCTCATTCAAGGAGATGGCAGAGCCGCCGACAGTGACTGACGCACCTCCTGCTGACAGTGTCTGTCCAGCCACAATAAAACCAGCCGCCACTCTTGTGGCACCAAGGACTGTATCGCCGAGGGTCAGCATTGGAGCATTCGCAGCGCCGTCCAGACCGGAGACACCTCCAACATTCACCACATTGCCTCCTACAGCTAGGGCTGTAGCACCTGGACTCAATGATACCGCGTGATCAGCTACGGTTATAGGTGCGCCGCCCGCGACCACTGTTTGATCCTCAATCACAAGTCCTTCGCCTACTCTTGTAGCAGAGAAGACAGAAGTACCGATGATCAATGGCCGGACGAGCTCATTATTTGATAGTCCAGACCCTTGAGAGCCCAAATCCAGCGGTAAAGCCAAAGGTAAATCATCGCTGTCGCCAGGAAGTGGAGTTAAGCCGAGACCGGCAGCAATAGCGCTCGCCGGACTATTCGCAGAGAACGTTGCCTGCGCTTGGTTCAGCACCTCGAGTGCGTTGGTGGGCTGCGCAGCACCTTGTATGATGGATACGATTCGGCCGACATTGGCATCTCCACCTTGAATTGGGCTTGCGCCTGGTAGCCTGGTCGCGGTTACCACTCGCCCACTAAATTGAGCCGTGACCACGTTTTGAGTATTAGTGGGATTGAGTGGCACTGCGAGCGTAACAGCACTGTTCTCAAGATGAGCAACAAAAGGCACCGAGATCAAGAGCCTGCTATCATTATCATCATCGGTATCTTCGCCATCCTCGGTGACGATATTGGAGTCGACGCCCGCCCCACCTGTGTTTTGAGGGGTAGTCGCTTTCTTAGTTGTCTTGCTGGGCACGTCGAGGCTCTCAGCTGACCTCTCAACGTGTGCTGTGATCGGTACGAATGTCGAACCTGGCTCTGTGGGAGTCGTGGCTTCGAAAGAAAGACCAGGTGGTAAAGTAGCCGTGGGTGTTTCCAGCTTTGGCGATGGTGATACAAAGCCCAGAGGAATGGCGGCAGCAGCAGCGACGACCTTTTCAACCACAACAACGACCGTTGGTTCAGCCTCGAGATCTCCCAATGCCACATTCCTGGGAAGCTCCACGTCCGCACTGCTAAGAACTCGAAGCAGAGCGGCATTGAATCGGCCCAGTTTCCCGACTGCAAGTGATTCGTTCACGGTTGTTTCTTCTTGGTACTCGAAACTTGCGGGTTCGGGCAGGTCGTATACTTGTGCAGATTCCAAGCAACCCTGGCTGCCATTCCAATGTCGATATGGCTGCTTGCTCACAATTTCATATTGGGAGAAATGCACGACCGAAGTCCCAGCATGATACGTACTTGTCCCAGCAGCATTCGCCACCGTGATCGCGGCTGGTGTTGGTGCGATGACCACATCCGGTATTTCGCCATTCGAGGTAGTCGCATTTGGCTGTATGTAAGCAGTCTGCTCAACAACACTCGTGGACTTTGCTGCCGGCGTTGGTGTTTCTGAGCAGTAGTACTCCACTCCGGATTGGCTAATATCTGCAGCGAAAGATGTGGTGGATGAGCATTCTGGATTGGCGATGGCCGAAGTGATGTCCAGCGTGCCTGTCGCAGGTAACAGAGTCCAGCCAGTCGATGTATCGTTCTCGTTGAACTCGATCAAAAACGTGGAGTCGACTTGCGTGTAAGTCTGTGCGTACCAATAGTCTAGTGATGCGTTTTTGATGTTGAGCGTTGCGCCGGAACAGATGGTCGGCCGCGGCGGGTTGAAGGTGTGCACTGCAGTGAGGTTTCCAGTGAACGGCCCGTGTCCAGAAGGTACTATTGCCAGGGACGAAGGAAACAGCCTCGAACTAATGTTCGAAAGAGAAAGTCTGCTGCTACTGCTGCTGTTTGCAATCCGTGGCAGTGAGCGCGATGTTGTCGTGTTGCCTGTCAGAATCCAGCCACTGTTTTCTGCAGCTCTTGAGCTGGATACGATTGCGTCTGTCGGTGCAACGGTTGTGATATTTGGTGAGCCTGGTATTCGACCAGTGCCATTGCTACCGGTCTGGCGCGCCTCGGTCTCGTGGAGCAGGCTTGTCGTAGGCACTTGTGCGGTACTGGATGCCGGGGACAGAACTGATTGTTGTGTGGATGGGCTGCTGCTATTGCGAGCCTGTGTTCCTGTGTCCGAATATGTTGGCACAAGTTCACTCTGGGCTGCGGTGCTCGACTGCGTTTGCGGAGTGGCATCAGATGCCGTCGATGTCGCTGCATGGCTGCTTTCTAGTGCACCAGCTACAGCGGTCGACGTCTCCTGTAGCGTCTCGGCCTTGCTGGATGTGAGAGCGGTAGTTCCTGTGCCAAGAGGGAATGGAGGCTTGTTGATGTCGGCTCGACGTTCGTATGCTTTGGGAACTCGGTATGGCCCATGGAATGGTCTAGGATCGCCTACTGCGGCGCTCGTCCCTACCAAAGCGAACAGTAAGGTTGCCGCGCGCGGCACCATTGTAGAGTTCCGTATACAGGAGTGGACTATTGCTGTATCATGTATTGATGCTTCGCGGCATGGTTCAAAAGCTAGCGACGCAGCGATCGACAGCAACTGCGGCTAGGTTACTGAATCCACAGCTGCGTTAGGACAGAATGAAGCGAGAGCGCGAAGATAGGATAGTTGCTAGTCAGTTGTCGTCTTGTCGAACGCAAAGGAAGAGCTGAAGGTTGCGGCGCGCTGCTTGATCTACGCCATCGTTCCAGATCCATGATGACTAGCAGGCATTGTGCAGCATTCTCGCGTCTGCTAAGCACCGCTTGGTTGTTGCTACAATGTGGCTGTTGGCGCAGATTATTCCGAGCGGAGAAGCCGATGTTCTGATAAGACCGTTACCTCTCTGTTCGTGCTGCCCTTGCGTAGACACGGCTTCATTGGGATTTTTTGCGCGTGCTGCATGAAGGTGTGAGTGCTTTGTACTCCCTCGCAGGTCGAGAAAGGCAATTGAAAAGGTCTACAATTGGAAACGCGGGCCGGTCGTACTGCATTAGCGCTCTCTTTCTTGATTCTGCACACATGCTCACGAGTCTTGCACAGCAAGGGTCTGCCAAAGCGACGGTAGCGAAGTTTGTGGTCAGGAAATCCTCGGGCTCTGTAAGCACCTGCAGCTCTTCAGTCAAATCGTGGAAGGAGAATCGAGGATGTAGGCGACAGGTGCGTCGTCGGCAGGCAGGGCCGGCGAAGGAGTGTGTGCTGGCGGGAGTCCTGGCGCTGGAGCTGGGCTGGGCGGCGTTGGCGAGAAGACATCCTTCGGTTGCCCGCAAGCCGGCGTGGCTGGTTCGTCTGGCGAGGAAGTCGATGTCGCCGCGAACGCATGCCAGAAACGTGTGTCGCGGTGCCGAACGATGTCAGCACGCAAGGTTCTCGCGTCGCTTCAGTGCTCGAAGGAATCCCTCGCGTTTCGCGTAGTGGATGTTACGGCAGCACGATGCATTGCATAGCAGCGTAGCGTTCGTCTACCATGGACAGCTCAGTGGAAGCCACGCGTAGCCTTCACGATCGCTCTCTTGCCACGCCGCGAGACGTGTCCGTCCGCCTATCGCTACGCGCGCCGCATATCATCGTAGAGTGCACCGAGAGTGCGCGCTGCAGCTGTTGCTCGCGTCGGAGGATCGCCCTTGGCGTCCCGCTGGGCCAAGCAAAGTCGTTGGGCGGCACCTTGGGACTGCCGCGAGACGATCGGGTTGCGGCGAGGGCTGAGCCATCCGTATTCGACGGCCGTCCCTTGGGCGATGCTGCTGCTGTCGTTGTTGTCATCCGTCGTTGGTATGCAGACGCAGCAGACGCACACGCAGCGTGGATGAGCAACTTGGAAGCGCTTGACGGATGCCTGGAGTCAGAGTGAGAGAAGACGACCTGCCGACTGACTTCCGATGCCGCTGCGGCCATGGGCTGCTTCCTCAGGAACCTGCTGCTCCTGCCTCACGCGCTCCGGGCCATTGCCTTTGCACGCGCGACTGCCGCGCACCTCCACGAACGCGCCGACGAGGAAGTCGCATCGACGCCGGCGCCCATCGCCTTCACGCCCGACCAGAACTGGGATGGCATCGACGGCGAGTGGTCGTCCTTCACCCTCCGCGTCGGCACGCCGCAGCAGTTTGTGCGCACGCTGGTGTCGACGGCCTCGTACCAGACGTGGGTAGTGCTGCCGCAGGGCTGCGAGGCGGCCGCAGACTACGAAGCGTGCGCCGAGTCGCGAGGCTGGATCTTCCAGAGCAACGAGTCGTCGACGTGGGAGGAGAAGGGCATCTACGACCTGTGGATCCAGAAGAACCTGGGCTATGGCGGCAACGCCATCTACGGCTACGACACCGTCGGTCTGGGAGGACAGGGCGAGGGCGGGCCGACGCTGCTCAACACGACAGTGGGAGGCTTTGCGGTCGAGGACTTCTATCTCGGCGTGTTTGGCGTGAATCCCAAGCCCACCAACTTCACCTCCTTCGACAATGGCTCGCCCAGCTACATGACCCTGCTGAAGGAGCAGAAGCACATTCCCAGCCTGTCGTTTGGCTACACCGCCGGGGCGAGATACCGCTTCACTGGTGTTCTGGCCTCGCTCACCCTTGGCGGCTACGACACATCCCGGTTCGTGGAGAACGATCTCGTCTTCACCTTCGCTGCCGACAACGAACGCGACCTTCTGGTGGCCATCACTTCGATCGCGACCCCCTCAGATACGGAATCCTCACCCATCGCGACGGAGCTTCTCCCCAGTCCGGTGTATGCGTACATTGACAGCACCGTGCCCGAGATATGGCTGCCCGTCGAAGCGTGCCAGGCCTTTGAGCTCGAGTTCGGCATCGTCTACGACAACACTACCAACCTCTACCTGGTGAATGAGACGCTTCACGATGCCTTGCTGGAGCGGAACGCGACTGTGACCTTTACACTGGCACAAAATCCTTTCACCGAACCCACCGTCAAGATCACCCTTCCATATGCATCTTTCGACCTCACTGCGAAGCCACCTTACAAGGGCCTGGTCAACAACACGCGCTACTTCCCACTGCAGCGCGCTCAGAATGACACCCAATACACTCTGGGCCGCGCCTTCCTGCAGGAGGCCTATCTTGCTGTAGACTGGGAGTCGGCGACGTTCAATGTCTCGCAAGTGCTGTGGAGTCAGTCTCCACAGCAGCACCTGGTGCCGATCATTCCAAGTATCAAGTCGGATAGACTCCCATCGGGCGGTGATGATGGGGCGTCATCCAGCTTGTCCACTGGCGCTATTGCTGGCGTTTCTGTAGGCGCCGTGGCAGCAGTTGCCTTGGTCGGAGTCCTGTTGCTGTTCTGGGTCCGGCGAAGGAGACGCACGGCGGCAGCCAGAGAGGCGGCAAATGAGAAACTCGATTCCGATTCCAACAGTGGTACTCAAGTTGAGGTTACGAGGAGCGGGAGTGAATATCGGAAGGCAGAGCTAGACGGAACGTCCGCGTCAGCTTACAGCGACAACAAGCGCTTGCTATCCTCACAAGGTGCAGCGCCTCGGACACCAACGTCTGTGCATCCATCCAGTCCTGGATACGTGATGAGCGTTGCGGGACTCTCTACTCCCACCACTCCTGGTTTTGGGTATGGCACTTACTCAAGTTCACAGAGTGGCGCTCTCTTCTCGCCAATATCAGAGACGGTCAGCGAAGCAGACAGCCGAGAGCGCCATGTCTACGAAATGCCCGGCGATATGCCCGCGATACGAGAGAAGGACGGGAAAGCCTTAAGCGAGAAGGAGGCTCTGCAGTATCGTGAGCAGGTCTACAATGGCATTGTATCGACCACACCCACAACGCCAGAGGGCCCTCGAGAAGGGCAACGGGAGCCACGACGAATCAACCCGGAGGACGTAGTAAAAACAGGAGAAAGTGCTGAAGCCCGTGACGAGACCAAACACAAACGCTTCTCCTTCGAAGGTGTCACAAGCGAACGAGAACTCTACGACTAATATGAACAACAACTGCTTGACTTTTTGATAATGACATAGCAAGGCGCCCGGAGTTACACGAGATACCATGGGCAAACAGTACATAACGCTACAAAGTTTATAAGCTTGAGCAACAACGCCAAGCAATGTCAACGACAGTGTATACAGAACAGAATTTCCAGCACGTCAGTCCAACATCTACTTGCGCTTTCGGGTAAGCAAGACTACACGACAGATCAGTGGAAACGATGACAGCAGAAGCACGCGACAAATGGTGAGCAATGACTTTCGGTACCTGCATGACGATTCATCGACCATCGCCCTCACGAAGACCATCACCATGACATCATGTATCAATGAGCTTCATCATTAACCCACCACAGAGACCTTCAAGCACCACTTTTCTTCAACAGCCATTGCAAAGCAATATATACTCTCTTGACCATCCTCGGCCTATCTACACTCTTCCCAAACTTTCACATCACCAACCGCCAAAATAGCTCCGTTCTTCGGCTCGCATACCAGAAAACTCAGCCGTACTTCCAATCCGGTCCATCAATCCCCCGAGACTACCAATACTACCACAATGTCTCAAGACCCATTGGAAATCGCAAAGCAAGCTGAGCGTGATCTCAACTCGCAGGAGGCGAAGGGTAACACGAAGAATGCTAGTGATTCAGGTATGCTTCACGCACCAAAGTCCCACTGCCCGTTACGCTTTCCAGACCATTCTAATGCAGTGAGGAATGACAGTCAACGACTCCGGCGTAAACGAAAACGTAGAAACCAAATTCCCCGGCGCAACCGTCAAAATCGGTGGTCAAGGTGCAGGAGACAACCGCGAGATTCCTCTTGATGAGGGCGGAAGTATTAATAAGGAGACCGGCCAGTGAGTCAAAACTAGCTTGCCCTCCTTCCCTTCCATCAACCCTATCTTGTCATAGAGAAGAGGGTTAGGTTTCCCGCTGTGCTAACATAAATGTGTAATCTCACAGACCAACCAAAGCCAAAGACTTCGAAGGCCCCGGCGGACCGGAAGATAAAGCGGCAATTGACGCAGCGAACCGAGGCGGAGATAATGATATTCGGGAGAATGTGAGGCAGGGTGGGGAGACGAAGAGGCCTTGAGGGGATCTGTGATCTCAAGAAGAAAAAAGAAAGAGATGGCATTGGGATACATCGAGATGAGGAACGACTCTCTTGTGAGAGACTTATGTCTCAACGTGATCATGGCTTGAATAAGAAATTCGAATGAAAAATGGCACACATGACACACACATCACCAATCTTGTTCAGTCTTGCGAAGAATGATGAATGTCTTCTGTTCACATGAGGCAGCGGAGACATTTTGACGGCAGTTGCTCTAATCATGATTGATTGGTGATACAACACTCATCCCATCTACGTTCCTTCTCAATGCCATAATGCATCAACCTTTCGTATCGCAATGCAAATGCACATACAAAAAGCCATCTTTCCATGCCATACCCAACCCAACGCCAGCGTCACATGCAAACCAATTGCCAAGTGCTCTACCCATGTTATACAAAACAATTCAAGATTCGTTCATCCCATCATGCATCAATCAATAATAACTGTTGCGATCCCGATGACTTCTCACAGGCACAAACGCCGTCCCCGAAGTCCTCGTCCGACTCCCCCCAATATCGATGCTAGAGATTTCTCTTGAAAGCGCATCTTCGGTATATACTCCCCCAGGGGAGTGTGACAGCGGAACTTTGGGAGGAATGGAAGGAGGGCCATACGCTGCAGGACTACCCTCACGGTATGATCGAGAGAATTGCTGTTGCTGTTGCTCATAAGGATCAGGAACAGAAGAGTAATTGTCGTGATGTCTCGGCAGGTCCATTGGCGGCTCAGAAGCATATCGTGGAGCCTGTGGCTGAGCCTTCTTCAGTACACCGCGGATCTTGTTGCTCGATGTGGCTGGTCTTGCTTGTTGCTCTGGAATATTGGTCCCAGGCTTCATGCGGACATTGATGACAGTATCCTTGGAGAGACTGCGAGGTCCAAATTCTTTCTCTCGGCCGAGCCCGTAAGTCTTCGTGGGTGTTTTCTTGACAGGCTCAGGTGCCCAAGAATCGACAGGAAGATGATCGGAGGGATCAATCTCCTGACCATGCCAACCCACGATAGGTCCGTTACGTGATGCCGGATCATTTGCCGGAGCAGCGGGATTGTGTGCCCCAAAGTCATCCGGTGAGAAAGGCGCTGGTGAGGAGGCACCGCCTGATATCGATGGCCGAGGTGAGACCGACTTTCGTGGCAACGTCGCAGCCTTGACCTTCGCAGCAGAGGTTGACAGTGGGCTTGCATCTGACGACTCAAACGCCCGCACAGGGAACTGTAAGCTATACGGACTTCGTGATGACGAAGCTGGCTTCGAAGGCGGAGGCGCGGGAGATATCGCTCGAGGCTTGATCATCGGAACTGAGCCATCTTGACCCTGGTCGTAGTGGTTGTACGAGATTTGGTGCTCAGGCGTTCCATATGGATTGGGACTTCGTGCTCTCGACACCTCTTGAGACAAAGGATGAGGCTGTCGGGAGGGAGTTCCATAAGGTTCCGCGATGCTGTTGCGCCCGGGTACTTGTCTGCCGTACGGAGATGTTCTAGCGTAGGGTGAGGGACTCTGCTGACCGACGGGTGACGACAAATTTGGTGTCGAATGATGACTGCTTTGGTATGGGGAATATCCTCCGTATTCGTCAAAAGACTCGCCTCTTCGTGGTCGGCTCTGGCTTGGAGGCGTTTGCTGAGGGCCATAATCACGCTCAATGCTTTGCAGAGGTGAGGCGTTGGGCACATAATGCTGTCGTGAAGTAGGTGGCGTAGCGCCATAGCGAGCCACGGGAGAAGAGTTGTGATGTGACTCGTACTGGGGCACCACGGGTGCACTGTGACTGTGCATAGGCGGAGGTGGTGGCGGTGAAGACTCCACATCTTCCTCGACGTATGCCTGCCTTTCAGCATTCGCTCCATTGAATTCTTCCTGCCACCCAGGAGGCACATCGTGTCTTCGCTGGCGAGCAACTGCAACCTGCTGATACTGATAGTCGACATCAGGAATCGGCTCAGGATAATCGGTTCGAAGCTGATAGCTGTCGCCATATGCCTGCGGATCCATCTGATGTGTGACTGGTACTGCCGGCGCAGAGTGCGAATGTGGGATACCAGCGTGGCTCAGCGGCCGAGGCATTGCCTGCGGTTGATGTTGTGGCCATTGCTGTTGTTCGTAGCGAGCCTGAGGAGGCATTGAGCCACGCTGACGTCCGCTTGGACCCAATTGTGGTAAGAAGTCAGGCTGCGCTGGCCCTGCTGCGTACGGATCGTACACCTCGGGCTCCGGGTTCCGCTCATATTCCTCGTAATGCTGGTTCGCTGGAGGCTCTGGTTGAGACTGAGGTGCGGGCGGAGTACTTTGCGAAAGCGCCTGCAACCCCTTCTGCCCAAACAACGTCGACTCTGATTGCGGATAGTTGAATGTTTTCGTCGATGAAGGAGCCGAGGCCATTCGTCCAGCAACCTGGAAATCTCGAGGACCATGCTTCGCTCGGCCTGGCAGAGGCCGGTCCGGTATTACCACATCAGTCGTGGCTGGCGCATTTGGATTGCTGGGCAGAGGTCTCCTCTTGACCTTAGGATTCAGTGTCCCATACTGTTGTCTCAGCTCGTCTGCCATGGAGATGGTCTCTTGCTTCGGCTCGGCTTTTTCTCGTGAATCGTAGTATGTAAGCTCCAAGCGCAGTTCGCCAGCATATTTGCCTTTGCATGTCAGACCTTGCCAGAGATCGCCTTTCCCACCTCCTGGTGTGATGATGTGATCCAATTCAACCCATGCTTCTCCGATCAAGTCGGTTTTCTTATCTTCGTTGAACACGGAGATTTTGAGCTTGTAGTAATCCGGCGAGTCGTGAACAGTAAACCGCAGCTCCTGGTCCCTACATTGTCGTTCTGTCAGCCTTGCTCGAGTCCACGCTCCCGACGTGATCAACCTACCATCGCGGCGTCTGCCCTCCTCTCTTATCCACTTCCGTCTTTCGTGCTTCTTTCCCCAATCTTGCAGCGCAGTATGGATTCTGCTTTCCCATCGTCTTTCTGTTCGGCAGGTTCTTGCCTCGATCCACCACGAGCACCAGCGTTCCAATCTCCGGTCCATCGACCGTCATGTCGGCGAAGATGCCCGCTGCGTGGGGGCCATTGGAGGCCATTCTCGTGCTCATATCGACCGCCACCGTGTACAAATGAATGTCACAGCTTGCACGAGCAATGTGTGTAGTGTCGAGTGTGTGCGAACGAACGTGTTGCTGGCAAGGCTGTGTTTTGTTGACTGACGCAACGGTGGCTTGGAGACGGCAACTCTAATCCGAGCACATTGCTGACAGCAGTGAACGGTAATCGGTGTGATCTGGAACGAGCGACGTTGGACAGCACGCGAGGAGGACTGCTGTCTCACAGAGCACAATCGGACATGAGATGCAGAGCGGGTATGCGCAAGGAGAGGAGGAAAGAGTGGTAAGGTCGAGATAGCTGCAGCAATGTGGCTGTCAAACACGCCCGCGGTGGCTGGTACGACGCGCCGGGGCCTTCTCCACCCCTGCAGTCCCGCACAACGCGCCCAACCGCATGTCCTTCATCTGTCATTCGCCTGTGGCACGCTGTTGCGACACATGTCTTGCCGATGGAGGTTGAAATGTTCTCCGAATCTCCGCAGAAGGTGTACACACCTTCTAGAGCATCATCGATGTCTCGGGCCAGCCGCTAGCATCTATTTGCAACGAGGCTTGGCATTGTTTACGCAACGCAATGCGCAGTAAACTCGGCTCCTGAATCTGCCTGCCTGGAAATCCTTGCGAGGAGCTTGCTTCCCCGTCTGCGAATTGAGATCATGATATCCTGGCTCGAGCATGAATGCCTGCTCACCTGCTCGTACAATGGCTCAGCCTCACGCCAACGTCTTCCAATCCACACCTACAATCCAGCTGCGTTCATCCAGCTCCACCTCCCAACAAGGCGCTCGGATACCGACGATGCTGTCCGGAGACACATTTCGCGAATTCCGTTTCCCATCCATGATCAGTAATATTCGAGCTTCACTCTCATCTTGATGTACTCCTTCAACCAAAATCGGCCCATGCCCAGCAACCGACGCGACCTTGACACGATGCACATAATTCTCGCCTTGAAGGTATCCTTGACCTCGCCTACTGTGTGCTGCAGCTTGACCAGCTTCAATGACCCACTGCTGCAACGTGGCCGCCATGCCACCCGGCACGAACTTCTCGCCGCGTCGATGCGGGGAGAAAGCTTCAGGAACTGGCTCGAAGTTCTCGGGCGGAGCGAGAGAGGATCGCAGAAAAGCAGGTCTTCGAGCAGTAGTGCTGTCGTCAGCACTCGAGCTAGCAATGCTTGATGCGCGAGAGAACTGTTGAGGCCCGGCACGCAGAGCCGACGCCGGCGTGGTCGGATGCTTGAACATCGTAGATCTGGCCGGGGTATCTAAGGCAGCCTGGAAACTGGCGGACAAGTCGTCTATTCTGCGACGCTTCGGGGAGTGAGGCAGATCCTGCGTCCATTGTCGCTGCTCGTGGCCTCCTTCCGTGGTTGGCACTGCGGCTTCCTCCTCACGGTCTAGCATGCCATCGTCACCAGCATGACCTTGCGAAGCTGGATCCACAACCTCGTCTGCAGCTTTTGCAGGAGTCCTCAGCGCCTGGGCAAAGTCTTGCTGAACTGACGGCTCATTACTGGCAGCATGGAACGATGATACTGGCCGTCCAGAGCTGAAGCGAGGAGTCGGCGCGAACTGACTTGAGCCTGGCTTGTGTATGAGTGTAGGGCCATCGAAACCATCTCCTCTGTTCTTCGGTACATGCTTTGCATTAAATTGGCTGGCTCTTGGTGCTGGCTTGTGTGACGGTATATCGAACCCATCGCCTCGTGAGCTTCCTAGACTTGAGGTCTTCTTGTCTTCCTTGGCGGGCGATTTGTGCCTGCGGCCAGGAAGAAACCGATGCGGCGACGGTGTCTGTATCCAACATCAGTAGGCGTTCACAAAGTGTTGATCGATGACCTTACCGTTGGCGGCATTGTATCAGCCGTAATCGTGCAACGCTATATCGCTGTAGTAGACGTGATATCGCATGATGATTGTAACTCAGGACAAAGTCGTGAATGTTCTTCTCGAACAGCAAGAACGAAGTGCTTTCTCACCATATAAGGAAGTGGCGGCGTGAAAGAAGTGGAAGCTGAAATTCGTGTCATTTTCGCGTTCCGTGACGCGCGAAAAAGGCGGGGACTTCTTCACCCCGCCACATGAACACCATATCAAATACAAAGCATCCAAGTTCTCCCTACAAATACCTCATAGTCGCATCATTACCCCAATCTCCCCTCAGCGTCGTAAAATCACTGATCTCGCCCAAGTCCGGAATCCTCCCAAGCAAGAACTCGACATGCCTGTACGCAGCCGCCGGGGCATACTGAGGCACCATATGGCCGCTGAGGTCGATCGTCGCAAACGTCAACCCACGCTCCGTATACCATGATCCATAGTAGCCAGCGCCGGCCAAAGTACTCAAGCTCGCCTTCGGATGATACGGCACAAAGAATTTATTCCATTCCTCAGGCGCCTTGGAAAAACCTTGCGCACCGTTCCAAGTCATATTCTGCATGGCGATGATGCTGCCATTCTTGAGCACGACAAAGTCAAGCTCAGCATGAGCGACGATGGTCCTCTGATTCTTCTCGATGACGCGCGGGAGAACACTCTGTGCCGAAGGAAGGCTGTTGTCTGGTCTCAAGACATCGTCTACGCATTCGGCCCATTCGCGATCGGGTGCATTGATCGCCTTCTTCACGTCTTCGCGATTGAAGTAGATGTCCGCGCCTTCGGGAACGTAGTCGAGGGTACCTGGAAATCCAAGGACATCCCATAGAAGTGGGCAAGTGGTGGCGACGTGGTAAAGGTCCCAGCATGGATTGACCAACAGGGCTGCGTCTATCACGTCCCCGGCCAGACGGCAGCTGACATTCTTCTGATCTCGATGTGGAGGTGTGGGCAGCGGACCTTTTGGTGGAAACACGTATGCTTCCTCGATGAACCTCTGGTATCCGCAGGACTCGTGTCGTCTGTGAAGATCCTCCATGAAGCTCTCATTCAAGTTGAAAAGCCCGCTCCATTGGTCCACGAACGGCACGGCGAGGATGTCTCCATGGACCACGTTATCAGTCAGGACGGGGTCATAGATCATGATCCCTTCGACATCGTAGTATTCCTTGTCCGTCTCGTTGTGCATGGCATCAGCGATGTAGGGCACATAGTAGCCTGCGTAGCTCTCCCCTGTGATGAAGACTTTGCGGTTCTTCAAGCCAAACGTGTCGACAAAGTTCTTCCAGAAACCCAAGCTAAACCATTGTCAGCATCACCATACACTCACGAAACAAATGGCTTCATCTTCGCCAAGAAAACACTAACAATTGCTTCGCAACCTCAATCTGATCTCTCGCAGGCGGCGTCCCACCTTGCATGCTGAACCCAGTCCCAGCAGGCTGCTCAACCCAAACCACATTCGTCAAATTGACCCAGGTCCACGGATTCTTCACCGGCTTGAAAGTTCCAAATTGCCATAAAAATGGGCCATTCTCTTGAAGCAATCCTTCCAACGAAGAGCAGCCCGGACCTCCGTTTAACCAAATCAGGATCTCGTCTCCAGCGTCCGGATTCGAAGAAGGGAAGAACCAGAAGTATAGTTCGCTGACGTCTTGCTCCGGACCGATTGGCAGCAGACCGGCGTAGGACTCGCCAATGTCAAAGTCGACTTCTGGGATGGCAGTGCCGTTTACGATGAATTTCTTGACTGCCTCGGTCTGCTCGATGATCGGGGTTCCAGATGAAGAAGAGTTCCCGTAGTCTGGAGGGTCGGAATTGGGCGCTTGCCGTGGCAAGTGATGCGATACCTCGTTCCTATTCCATTTCGTCGGATCTCTTCTCGCGAGAGCCACAGCCAGAAGTGTGGCCAGAGCCGCCCAAGGCAACTTCATTTTGTGGACAAGGTAGAGTGATGAAATGATTCGAAGAAGAAGTTGGAGAAACGCGATCGCTGTACCAAGCACCTACGCGTGGGACTGGGAAGGCATAAACGGAGGCTGCTGTGACCCAAGCAGTGACTGCCGTACCTGAGCATGAGCGCAAATCGAACTTGCTTCTTCAGTTGCAACCGCCTGCTGCAACTGAGCCTCGGAGCACGGCATTTGCTGTGCAAATTTGTAGTTCCTCAGTTCTAGAGCACTTTCATGGACACTCGCCCTTGCAGCAACGCAGTGGACTGGGCACAGGAGACAACTGTACTGGTATGCGGTTACCTCCGAGCACGGGGCCGCAACTTCTTCGTGTACTCTACGTGAACCGCAAGCGTTCTGTTCTCTCCACATCTCGTCCTAATTGCAGCTCTGTTATCATCGTTGAGGGCGTCAAAACATCGACGGAGACAAACTTGGTGGAGAACATGCCGTGATGGGCCTATCGAGTTCGGTATCAACGTCTTGTCAACCTATGGGTCGAGCAGCAGTGTGCAGGGAACACTGTGGCAATGTGCGAGGACAGGTCGACGTCGTGGCATTGGAAGTTGTGCGAAGGATACTTCGCCTGCAACCCGAGACTGTCACCAGGGACGAAGGGCTGTGCACCCAAGCTGTCATGACTGTCACAACATGCACTTCTTACAAGATCTGAGACGAGAAATGTACAACAAGTCGTATGAGAATTCGTTACTGTCCTATTAGAGTACAAGCACGTAGTAGCACGTCGGAGCAAGAGTACTGTGTCCAACCCCAGCACCGTTGCGCCACCTTCGCCATGTCCGTTTCCGTCCCAAACCTAAACCCATGAAACAATTTGCGTGTCAATTTCTGCTTAAAAGGGGAGCGCCAGGAGGCTTTTGCTCGTCTTCGCTTCTTGTGTGATTCGTAATGTGTCAGTCTGCGTGCAGGGGAGCGATGTCCACCTAGCGGGAAGCAACAGTCTCATGATCAGAAGCATCGAGAATGTCGTACTCCTCGTCGGTCAAGAAGCCATCATCTTCGCTGTCCTCGTCGTTGGCGCTCAGAACCTCCAACTCATCGTCAATGTCGACGAAGTCGTCTCCGGCAAAGGAAGGCGAAGTGACAACAGGAGCTGCAGTCGAGGCTTGAGCTGGAGTAGCAGAACGCTCTACCTCGCCGTCTTCGTTCTCAACGTATGCCGCCTTGCCCTTGTGCGAGCTGCTCGTGGCCGACTCGTAGGTGCTGCTAGCTGGGCTCTCCTTGTCAAGCTTGGGGAAGACCATCTGGCTGCGCTCAAGCTCGGCCTGAACCTCAGCCTCCGCCTGCTCGGCGATATCCTGGACAAGCTGCTTGACCTTGGCAGTCTGCTCCTCGGCCTTCTTCTCGGCGGCCGCGGCTTCGAATCTCGCGTGCTCGGCTTGCAGTCTCTCACGCTCGTCACGGGTCTTCTGAATGTTCGCCTTGATGTGAGCTACGCGCTGTCGCAGAGCATCCTTGCCCATTTGCGGGTTGCTTTGACCAACCCAGCCTGGCATATCCTCACGCTTGAAGCCTTGAGACACGAGCTGCTCACGCTGGGCATTGAGTGCGGCTAGCATCTGCTCGCGACGCTGCTTCTGCTGCTCGCGCATAACGGCGAGACGGGCAGAGAGGTTCATACCGTCCATGCTGTTGTACGCGGGTGGCTGCTCTGACGGCATTGGTGGGTGTCCACGCAGTGACAGTGGCACAGTAGCGCGAGTACCACTCTGACCACGAATGGGCATGCGTGGAACCATTGGCGCCACTGGTACAGCAGGCACCACCTTCTGCTCGGCCTTCTTGACCTCAATGTCGCACCACAGACGGTTACCGAAGGGAGTGCCATCGGCAGCCTTGACACGCCAGTAGCTGATGCTCTTGCCTTCACGGACAGGAGCCTTCATGACTACCTTGAAGGCGACCTCCTCTCCGACGCCGACCTCGCGGCCAACGACGTTGCTCTCAGTGGCCTCGTTGATAGCGGCAACAGAAGCTGGATGGCTGTTGTCGACGTTGAGCATGTTGTCGCCACCCACGTAGCGTACGCTGCATCCACTTGGCCAAGCGAAAGGACCAGGGTTCCTCAAGGTCCAAACTTGTGTGAAGCGAGTCTCAGGCTCAACCACTGTGCCGTCGGCGATGGTGTCGCGCACAAAGCGTGCGTCTAGCAGAGACGATGGCAGGAGCGACTTGGGCTGAACGAGCGGAGCTACAGGAGCCTCATACTTCTTAACGGGGATAATGATTGGCTCTGCCTCCTTCTTGACCTCAGTAGGCTTGATTTCAGCAACAGTCTGAACTGGAGATGGTGCAGTGACTGGAGCGTTGAGTGATGTAGCACCGCGGTCTCCCATGACGCGAACGTGACCGCGTTGGTTCTCATTCTCGGTAGAGACACTGACGTGGCGGACGGGAGTCTTGAGCTTGATGAGTGGGTGAGTGCGGTTGTGGTGATTTCCGGGGAGAGCTTCGCAAGAGGCACAGAAATCCGTGTCGTGGCAGATGGTGCACTTGTAGCGGACACCGATGATGAAGGATGGCTCTTGCTTCTTGCTGCACAGAGGTCCATCGCAGTAGATGCCGAAGTGGCGCACCACATTTGGGCTCTGGTCAGCAATGGGCTGGTACAGCGCCGCAAAGCGATGCGATGGGTGATTGAGCGATGCATTGCCAACGCAATCATTGCAGTAGTCCCAGTCGGGGCAGTTTAGGCACTTGTGGCGGACACCGTAGATAGTCTTGTCGCAGCCATCGCAGATAGCGTTGTGGCGAACGTTGCGGCCTGGGGCCAACTTGGTCTGAGATGCCAGGGGCAGCATAGTCTCACCGGTCGAAGCTTCGAAGGCGTGAGCTGGGTGATGACCGTGCTTGTCGGCGACGTGGCACTGGATGCAAAGATCAAAGTCCTCACACGCAACGCAAGTAACGAATTCGCGTTCCGGAAGCACGATCACGCAATTGTTGCAAGTGCGTGTTGGCATACGAGTCTCCACCGTAACCGCCTTGACATCATCTGTGAACGTGCCTGGCATTTCCTTCTTCTGCTCGACCACGACCTCCGGGGCAGCGTTCGATTCTTGAGATGAAAGGCGTGTAGTGGTGCTGTTGACGTATGCGCCATTCTTGGAGAAGCGCTTGATCAGCCAGTGACCCTCGCCTGGGCAAGCATTGCCGCTGTCTACGCAGCCTTGACATAGGTCATAGTCGCCATCGTCACAGATACTGCAGTGGTAGTGAACATCGGGGGTAGCAACACCACAGATGTTGCAATAGACCGAGTAGTCGTCGCGGTGGGGTCGCTTGGCCGAGTCGACTGATTCGCGTGGACGAAGAGGCAGCTTTTGAGACATAGCTGGAGCTGCCAAATGGTTCAGGAAAGCGGACTGGTCGAGGAATGGTCGTGGCACTGGAGCTTCGTTGCCAACGAGCGTCTGTTGGCTGTTCAAGGCATCGCGGAATTGGAAGATACCGCTGCCAATGGACCGCTGATCCAGAGACACGGACTCGCGTGGCTGTGGAGCCTGGTTTGGCTGTGAGCGGATGCTGCGGAGCACCTGTGCCGGTTGCATTGAGCTACGCACAATGACTGGATCCATCTGCTTCGGAGCCACCTTGACTTCAACTGCTTCCTTTTCTTGTGGAGTCTCGAGAGGGCTCACGGTGGCCTTCAGGCGCAGCTTCCCCTTGGCCTTGGCTGCACGGATCAGTGTCTTGAAGACTTGAGGATTGCTCTGGTCGAGGGTGATGTAGCCGCCGGCGGAGTCGGAGAAGCGCTCGAGCACGACGTGCTGCTCAGGCTTGATGTCGAGCACATGGCGAAGCTGTAGCACGGTGGAGTCAGCACATTGTTCGGATTTCGATGGCCAGGTCGCCGTTGTTCAGCTGTGGGCTGAGGCCGCCCGGGTGTCGCACGGGGTGGGGGAGCGAGAGCATACCTTGTCCGGCAGCACGGAGGCGCCCAGATCACGCAGCGGCAGCTTCAGCTTCTTGAGCTGCTCGTTGACGCTGATCTTGATAGTGATGAGCGTGTCCTGCGACACGGCGCTGCTGTTGTGTGTTGATGCCATGTTGGCGGCGCGGATGTAGGTTGTGGGTGTGTCGAGGTCGGAGCGTGCGGATGATGGGAGCTGTGTTTGGAAGGGCGGTGATGACGTTTGCTGGCGGGCGCCGGCCGAGCGTCGACTCGAAGCGGCGAGAAGCAGCTGGAGGAAGGCGAGAGGCAGGCGGGAGGGAGGGAGAACCTGCTCCGCTCGGTGTTTGCAGGTGGGCGAGGTGTTGTTGGAGCAGTGCTGGCGGAGGTGGTGAAGAGGAGAGAGGCAAGACGAGGCGTGCAGGCAGCCAGAGCTGATGCGTGAATCCGGGGCGGAAAGTGGAGTCGATCACGAGTTGCGAGCTTGACCGGTTGTGGCACAAAGCTAGCGAGCACTGTCTCGACGGTTGTATAAGCACGCCTCGAAGCAACGAGAAGAAGGCAAAAGAATGTCGTGTGCACCGAGAGCTGATTCACCAACTACTTGTGTTTGCATGTGCGAGTTCGTCCTTGCCATTCACTCCGCCATGTCCGGTAAACACGCTAAGCATAGCTGCGTGCGATAAGCCGATAACAGTGCGGAAAAAGTAACGGCATGGGCGATCATCATCGCGTTTCACTCTCAGATCCCCTCTACAGTCTTACACTCCATCAACGCAAGATACTGCTTGCTATTGAAATGCCAGTGACGACTTGATGAAACAGGCTTGCAGACCTCCACTGCGATACATGCCCTATTAGCAAAAAGCCCATCATTCCTTCCAATCGCCACATACGTTCGTGTTCGAGCTTGCTCGATCTTGTCCACTTGGACATGTTCCATCATGTACGAGAGCCACAGCACAGTACCAGTGAGCAAACACCAAGCCTTGGAGTCTTGCTGTAGGACAACGACAAAGTTCCTTGGCAAGTCGATCATCAGCCTTTCCATAATCAGAGGAGTTGCGGCACAGTCGTGCAACCGTGAGACAAAGTTTCGTTGCCTGGACTTGTCTTCATATTCTATTATCTACCACATCCCCAGCTAACTTTCGCGAACACAGAACAACGATGGAAGAAGAGAATGATGAAGGATACGTCACATTCGTGGAAGGCGAGGACGACGAAGCCGACGACGACCAAGAATACGAAGAATACAGCAACTACTCCCGAGAAGACACAGTCGAGGCATTTAGAGACTACTACAATTTCTTAACGACAATGTATATGGACCAAGCCCGAATCATAGAACCACCGGAAGATGGCTGGCCAGAAATAACCCCCGCAACAATAACAACAAATCTAGGCAAAACAGAAGAAGTGTGTGCTCTGCTCCGCGAACTACCCTACATCGAAATGGACCACTACGACGAAATCGACAGCACACCAGCCTGCGTCTTCGCAGATTGGAATTGGATCGCCTCTCGTATGAACGACGGCTACAAAGCCAGTTCAGTCAAATCAATGACCGAAGACAACCCCGATGAAGTCCCACCACACGTTATCAGTCTCGTCCATAATACTCCAGACGACCCAACAATCTATCTCGACACAGCCGAAGGATATATTTACTGGCTTTTTTGTCCGGATACAATTTGGAACGATCCGAATCTACTCCATGAGCGGGCTGTCGTTGATGAGAGAGATTATCCAGAGAACGAACGCGAATGGCGAGGTGCGTCGTTTGCATGGTGGATACCGCATTTCTTCGAAGTTTTGAAGGATCAGTTCTTGCGCCTGAAATGGTTTCCATGTGACGACAAACGACTTTGGGACTCAACTATTCCTGGCTCGGAAGACCTGCATGTCCGGTTGCGGCGCGTGTTTTACGAGCATGGTTGGCCTGATTTGGAGCGATATAGAAAGAAGGAGTGCTTGGAAGCCGTGGAGCGCGAGATAGCGGCTTGGTATGAGCGGAAGCGACAGTTGAAGGAGTCAGCCTCTACAGAACAGCAGACAGAGTCAGTAACTACTGTTTAACAAGATAAGATAGATGAAGTGTTAGACGTTCACGAGATAAAGTAGAACAGTAACAGTACGAGAAGTCGTAAACGTCTGCAATCGCCAATACCAAGCTATAAGCAAGCTATATCAATGACCATCTCTCATTTCCGCACCACAGTTCCGTCCACGCTACATTCATAGCAGTCACTCATGTATCCTTCCGATCGACAATCGCAGCGAAATAAAACATGAAAAGCTTTCCATTTCGCAGACAAGAGCTTGATATCTCCAACTAGACTACCAAAAAACCATCCATCGTTTTCCTTATTTCAACGCCGGCCATACCGACACACAAAACGCCATGCTTGCTAGTTTCCCAAACAGCGCCTGATAGGCCGACAAAACACAGAATATCAATAAGAAAAGGGACCAAAACAGAGTGTTCTCAATCAGGAGGTCATCAAGGCTGCAGCCGATCCATCGCTGTGAACAGTCTTTCCTACGCAAGTCGCCTCACTATTGCTGAGCTTGAGGTGGATAGTAGTTCGGCATAGGCATTTGAGGAGGGTAGTAATATGTCGACTCGGGCGCAGGAGTAGGAGGTGGCAGGCCCGGCATTGCGTACGATGGGACAAAGCTTTCCGCAGGTTGGTAGCTCTCGCCTTGAGTTTGGCTAGGTGCCTCAGACGCTGGCATATAGAATACCATACCATTGCTCTCGTGAGCCACCATTCCAGATGATTGTTGTTCGCTCGCCGGTAGCTGCGCGGGTTGCTGCTGAGGTGTGGATTGCTCGGGCGGATGCGGTGGGGCCGAAGGAGGCGACATCGCGTAATTTTGTTGCGGCGGCATGTACATTGGCATAGAGTTGAATCCATTGGGCCCAGGTGGGTAGTAATAGCCTTGTTGTTGAGGAGGATATGGTGCATAGTACGGTGCCGGCGCATAGGGCATCATGGGTTGAAAAGGAGGAGCATGCATAGCTTGTTCCGGAATGCCAGAAAGTGGAGTGCGCGAGTGCTGCGGCGGATAGGAGAATTGCTGTCGCGGCGAAAAGTAGGGCGGGGGCAATGGCGGCGGCTCATGCATGTGCGCAGGCAGCTGATTGGCAAAAGGCTGCTGCTCTGATGGGCCATTAGCTTGTGAGAGCATGGCAGGCGATTCGATTCCAGTGACTGAAATGGCCTTTTGTGGTCTAGGTTGGTGCACCGTCGTCGTAGGAGTTCCTTGGAATTGTGGCTGAGCTGGCGGAGGAAACGTATGCATGTGGACGCCAGTAGGGGTGTGGTGACCGGAAAGAGGACCCATTGGCGTGCTTGCAGCCGAGAAGTGTGACTGCGAGCCATGGGGAAGTCTGACCACCGGTCGAGTCGGTGGCATGCCCACATACGAGCCCACAGGAGAGAAAGCATTCTCTCGCGCAACACTGGCAAAGGAAGACCGTCGACTGGGGGCAATACTACCAGCATAGACGCTTCCACCGTACATGCTGGTCCTCCTGCTGGAGTAGCCAACGCCACCAATACTGCGCTGGTATCTGTCCCCACCATAGCCACGTTGGTTCGGTCTCATTTGACGTGGTATGAAAATGAACGACCGCTCCGATGATGGGAAGATGTAGCGCTGCACGTGCTCCGGTATCGAGATGCGCACGGGTTTATCACGGCGAAGTGGTGGTCGATGATCCGGTAGGCGTGTATAATGCTTCCATGGCACCTCGGAAAAGGTGATTGGGGCTTTCATATTTGGGAGGTACACACGAATCTGAACTTTGCCAACCAAGGTAGTGCTTGAGAACGAGATTTTGGCATGTGGCCCTTTGTGGCTGCTTTGATATGTGCCAGCTTTCGGGAAAATGCGCGCGGACTCTGCTTGATCACTCGAGATTTCGCTTTGCTTCGTCATGTTTGGCTCTTCGTTGATAGTATCGTGCAGATCGTGCTTCCATGGGCCTTCGGCCACCTTCTCTTGCTGGATTGCGTTGTTGGCTGGCGGAAAAGGTCCTGGTGCGTTGCTTGAGCCTCTTCCACGGCCTCTACCTGCCCACGCCCCTCGAAATGGCAGGTTGCTTTGCCCAAAACTGGCTCTCGTGTCGTGCATGAAGAAGTTGCCGCGATTCGGTATGAATGATGGGTCCGCGTCACGTCTTTTCTTGTACTCCTCATGCTCTCTTCTTTGCCGATTAGCTGGCGAATCTGTTCTCCTGTCCGTGGATACAATGACTGGCGTCGAAACCGCGTTGTCCGTACTGACATTTCCGTTGCGACCAGCGCTCTCAAAGTCCACGACCTCTTGACCAGTCTGACCACCAACTTCCGGCCCGTTCAGCATTGCTTCCGTATCTGCTGCCGGCTTGAACGCAGGCTGTGCTTGAGGCTGCGAATCGTCCACAGCAGAGCCCGTCTCTTTGCTCTGTTTCTTTGCAGGCCGCTTCCTTGCCTTTTTCTCCGCTGCTGCCTTGACAACCTCGCCTTGCGCCGGGTCCGCCCCTCCCTCCACCGCGCTCGATTGCGCCATGCTGCTCGCGTCCGCCTCGTCGTCGTCCAGGTCGGTCAACACCGAGCCCTCGCTTTGCGAGTCCTCCACCATGACTGGCCCCTCATCGTCCTCGCCCTCTTCGTCCCCGCGTCTCCGCCGACTCACAAGCGATTTGAGAGAACGTCCAGCGGCCATGCTGCAAGCTAGCCACGACTCCGGCAGCGTAAGGAGCGGCTAAGGTGAGGTCGCAACAGGTCTCTGCGGGACGGCGCAAGCGTTTGAAGGTATCTGGGTGACGATCCAGAGCAAAACCGCAACGGCGGTTGACTAGGTGGAAGTCGGAAAGCGCGCAGTGATGAGAAGCCGCGAGCAGGTCATCTCATCCGCATGCGCACCTGCCGCCAAACACGTCGCTAGGATGTGAGGTAGTGATAAGTGAACGCTCCTAAGAGGAAACGATGAGCAGGCAGACGAGCAACCGGGCAAAGTCGAGATGCTGGATGCTGGATTTGCCAAGAAGCGACGGACTGCGCTCCTAGCGATCGGCAAGTAAGCTGATGGTGGCTTGCAGTCTTGACGAAGATCAAAGTACATGTCGATACAACCCAATTTACCCGTGAGCTCACGTGTCAACGATGAGCATGTGTAGTGAATTGAGCAGGCAGGCCGAACATATGCGTGGCTGCGCTTTTCATCTGTCTATATTACGAACTCTCACGACCTAATTTGCTTAGCTCTTGCAAGAAACTGCTGGCATTGACCAGTTCGGTGCTGCCATAGACCACCTTCTTCCTGCTCACAGCACCTGCGGTGCCAACAGATCGTTTCGCCCAGTCTTGCAAGTTGCCGTACTCGTCCATGCTACCACCGCCCACTGTGAATACGATAGCCTCGCTGAACCCTTGCCTTCGCTGGCCGAAAGAAGGATCGATGCCGCGCTTTTCCTGAGTTCCAGCGCGGGCGTCCTTCGCACTGGGTGGCATTGTTCCACGGGCATTCGCAGAACGTGGATCAAAGTACAGGAAGCCTTCCGTCTTCTGAAGGGCGCTCGTCGATGCGTTCTGTGGGTCCATGAGGGATTCCGTGATCTTTGTGAGCGTGAGATCCTTGTTTGCTGGTAAGAAGTTCTTGACTCCAGAAATGAGATTGTCGAAGTTGGCTCCAAGACCTGCGTCTTTGAAACGATCCGTGAGGCGCGACGATATCGAGCTGAAGCCGCGGAAGAGGTCGGCGGATGCTGAAGATTGTTGTGTTGGTTGCGTTGGTGCTGATGAGATCATGGTCATTCTTGTTATCTCACGGACACGCCTGATGTATGTCAATGGTAGTGTGTCCACCCCTGTTTTCTTTAAGCTCGCCTCAAACTGCTCCATGTCCGCGCGTGATAGCTCAATTTCGGTGCTCAGGAACCATATAATGAAAAGACGGAGCTTATCAGCAGGATCTTTCCCTTTATCAGGATCATTCAGCAGCTCGAGCATTTGTGCCTTGGTTTGCTTCTTGATGTCCTCTTCCAGCTGGTAGTAGTTGTCGAGCTGTCTGTCCTTGATGCCTTGAAGTAGCGCTGTGGCGATATTCATGTGCATGTCCAGTGTCGTTTTCCGCTCGCGGAGCTCGGGAAGTAGTGTGATTGCCGCTTTGAGATGCTGCGCAGAAGCGCTTGTATCGTTCTGGAGATCTTCGATCGAGCTGGCGCCGGTCTTCTTTGTTATCTCAGTCGAGTCTTCTTTATACCGCGTGAGCTCCGCATCGATATCTTCCGCCACTTGTGGGAATGGTGCGCCCGAGTTCTTGTTCCAGAAGAAGTCATTGGCGGTCAAGTCATAAGACTTCTTGGTGCTGCCACCAGCCGGATTGCTTTCGTCGGCCGGAACCTCAACGGTGATTCGATTGAGGTGCATGTTGAGTACGTCGTGTATCAGTGACTGGTATGTCCAGGAGTGCGAGAGCATGGGCACGAGGTCCACGTTCCGATCGACGATGATGAGGACCGGGCGGGACGAGGTGGCACTCGCAGCGGCTGCTTTGCCTGAAAACAGATTGTCTTTGGCGTTCAAAATGTGATCTCTGAGCTTGCGATCCAGCTTCGCGGCGATCATTTCTGCGGCTCCAGCCTTGGGACATCGTATTATGGGTATCGTTCCTGCAGATGTCAGCTTCGCATGCTTCGCTTGTATTTGCACCTCTTACCCATCGTCACCGCAACGCTGAAGAGACCACTGACGATGCGATCGACATTGTTGTCAATATCCTCATCGCTTGTTTGAGCACTGTTCATTGTCCAATACGTCTCTTTGCCCATGCCGAGGCTGAAAAGGTTCGGCTCGCTGACGATGAAGTTCAAGTATTGATCATAGACCTGACTGATGCATTCCGCCGTCCCTGCCTCAGCTGTCTGTGTGGCGAAATCCTCGAGCAGAGGCCGTGGTATCGACGAAAGGAAGTTGATGTAGGCGGGCGAATAGAGTCCCTTCTGGAGATCTTGCGTGATGCGTTGAATGTTCTCTGCCGTGGGCTGTACGAGGTAGAGCACCGGCACATCTGGGATCGGATGTCGTTGGCCATTGATGTTCCTGACATGCAACTGTCAGCTATTGCTGCTGGACTCTCAGCACTCGTTGCGACACGCCATGCACTGCGCTGTCGACATACAGATGTATTGTTACTCCCCAGCTCCTGAGATCGGGAACCCGCAACACACTGCTGATCACATCTCTTCCCAGCGTGTCAAATACCAGCACCTTCCATATAGGCTCGCCATCTGCGTTCAGGATAGGTGTTGACTTTGGGAGCAATCCGTTGGACGCGGCGCCGTCGAGCGTGGAGTCGGAGGATTCGGTGGTGTGATTGAGGTTCAGAATGCGCTCGATCGAGGCTGCACGTCGTCAGGAATGTCGTCTATGAGTGCTGCGACGAAGGGTGCATACGGACCTACTTGGCGATCTCGAAGCGATTGCTGCGTGGACATGTTGGCAAGTGGCTGTTCGACACAGCCCCGTCCGGTTTCAGCGCATGGAGGTGATATGCTTTACTGCAGAGACACGCACAGGATGACTGCGAAAGGGTTGTCTGGAGCAGGAGTGTACAGGTGGTATCAAGGTGAATGCGTGCAACTTTCCTGGCTCCTCGGTGGATGCGGCGCGCGCCCACAAAGCATGTGAGGCGCTGGTCGCTGGTGGCCGGACGAGTGGTCGGGCCGGCTCAGGGAAAGTGGTGCGTGACCAGAATTACGCAAGCACGCACGGGCGCCGTGGTTTTGAATGCCGCCTTTCCTCGTCCGCTTCTTTCTCTCTCCACCAACAACAACCACCACCTCTTGCAAACAACAACAACAGCACCACCTCCACCACCTCCACCACCACCACAGCACCCGTCCGCTCCTTAGTATCCTTTCTGCACCCTCCTGTTGAGTACGTGATGCGAGCTTGACAAGGCACATAATCCGGCGTGTTCTCGTGGTTTGCGTGTCGGGCGGCAGAGCGTGTCTGCGTTCTGAGCAAATTGCGACGTCCGCGCAGTGAGGCGCTGGTCTGTCGCTTTCTGACTGCAATTTGCACTTCTCGCCGCGCTCGTCACGGCTGGAGTATTCTAAGCACTCTCTGCACCAAATATCTTGTGGCCGGCGCCGACATTTTAAGTCGCGCCGTGCATCCTCATCCTCACGCCCTCCGCCCACCTTTGCGTGGGCAGCCAGGGGTCGTCGCGGCTGAGTCTGCGCCTGTCACATCCACAGACATATCATCACCACAGACGCTACAGAGACAAAGAGACACGCACGCGGACACTCCGTTCCGCGCCCAGCTGCGCGCGGTGCGCGTGTCAGGACAGCAGCACATGGTCCGCGGCGTGCCAGCGAGACATCTCGGCCAGCAATAGTCAGGCCCAACTCGGATCTTGCAAGTGTCTCTGAGCCCAAAAAGGAAGGCTCCACTTTTTCGCTTTCTGGTCCGTGCACCCTCACACTCTCTTGAAGATGGATTCCCGCATGCCGAACAGCAATGATGGATATGCCAACAACGCTCTGTTCGCCGATAGTCAACAGCAGTACAATTCATATGACATCTTCCAGAGTGGCAACGAGTTTTCCAATCCCAACAACGATGCTAGCTGGGGCCTAAACGCCAGCAACTTCAATTCCGTCGATCAATCACGTGCGCAGCACCCGCCCGCAGTGCCAAGCTGGCAGCAGCAGAACAATCCTCTCGCTGCTCAGTCTGCCTACGATGGGACCTCCTCGCCATACGGAAGATCGATAAACCAGAGCCCTGGAGCCTTCACACAGTCCAATTTCGGCAACATCGGAGCTCAACAGGCCTACCCATATCGACAACAACAGTTCGCTGCTCCACATCTCAACCAAGGAAATGATGGCCAGGCCTTCCACAATGGCTTCGTTTCTTCAGGACAAGCCGCCAACACGATTGCTCCTCATGCTCTCAACCACCACCAGCAGCGACCGAATGAAGGCAACTACATGCCTTCAGCTGCTCACGCCGCATACCAGAACAGAATGCCCCTTGTTCAGCAACCAGCTCGCCGAATTGATCACAAAGTGCTTGCTAGTGCGATACCGAAGAGTGCTCCGGCTGGCATGTTCTCGATCATCAACTTCGACGAGCTGTCTCGTGCGACCAACTCCGAGCGAATGAGCAATGGCGCATTTGTTAGCATCGGAAAAGAACCTATTGAATGGGACGTCACACGCAGTGCCATCCCTGCATACGTACATCGACGCTCACGGAATGAGCTACGCAAACTCGCGGCAAACAACCCTGCTGCACTTGCTAAGATTGGCAAGAAGTCCAAGACTGTTACCGCATCTCGGAGTTCCGGAGAGCAGATCAAGTACGAGCAATCTTCAAGTGACGACTCATCTTCGTCCGACGACGGGTCCGACTACTCCGATGAAGATGACGATGTCGATTCACCATTGCCGGCGAAGCGGCCCGACTCCCCCAGAGGCGGCGTAGAGTACGATGTCATCAAGGCCCTTTGGCGCAACAAGCGCAAATCAGTCGATGGTGCCACGATAAGAAAGTGCATGGCCGAATTCTGGGAAATCATCAAAACCATACGGGACCGATGGAAGACCGACACGGCTGCTCTTACCGAGGCGGAGAAGCAGGAGAAGACCGGCGAGCTCCCGTTGCTCAAGAGTCGAGTCAAGGACCAGCGCGACATGGCGGAGACAGCCTTCCGGGCTGCATTCAAATATGGACACCGCGCCATTATCGAACTGTGAGTACTTCCATTTCCTTGCTTGTGTTTTTGTTCTTTGAGCGGCGGCGGAAGCATTAGCGGCGAGAGTGCATTTATGACAATGCATCGTGGAAAGGTTGCGTGGCAACTTTGTATGACGGGAGTGCAAGTTTCGCGTCGTGAATTCTCCATCAACGTGACAGTGTTTCAAGCGTGCGCGCCTGAAGTCGATATATATAAGCTGGCATGATGTGCAGTGCATGCCGTTCTATCTCCTGCAGATCGGAGACAGCTTGCCTCGTGCGAAATGATGGCGATACAATCCATGCCCGTAACAATGTTTTGACAAGGGCTTGGGTGACCATGTTACGAGGGGTTCGGGTTTGCACATCACCATAAGAGTATTGACTGACTATCAACGCACATAGACTTGCCGAAGGACTCCCACTCGTCTACATTTTCTATCAGTTCTTACGCGACCGAGTCGTTGCTGAAGATCAAAATGGACCACTATCTCGCGCCATTCTGGAGCTCATGGCTGCATGCTCCACCCTCACCCGAGAGAAGCTGGAGAAAACCAATCTCGAAAAGGTGCTGCCGCGAGTACAGAAGAAAGGAGATGCCAAGACACAATTCTTTGCGAAAAAGATTCTCGCGAATGCAGAGATTGCTTCCAAAGAGGCCGCGGCCAACAAGAAGAATGAGAAGCCCGCTGGCGATCGTACTTCAACCACAAAAGCCGACAGCCCGCCGAAGAAGTCGACGGTAGAGCCGGTGGCTGGTGTCAAACGCTCGGCGGCCGCGGCTTCGAATACTGATGGAGGAGCCGCGAAGAAGGTCGCAACTGGTGCAGCAAAGACCAATGGCGCAGCTACCACCGCACGAATCACTGGTAATGGTGTTGTCAAGAAGACGGAAGCCGGCAAAGCCACGACGGCAACGACGGCTCCTACGAAGAAAGCTGTCGTTGCAAAGCCCTCTACCTTCTTCTCAAGCCTGCAGTCGGCCAAGAAGCCTGGCACCTCGAATGCAGAGAGGAATGCGAAGACTACAGGAGCCAAACCACCTGGGGCAAACGCCGCTGCTCCGACACCGAAGCCAGCATTTTCTTTCGCAGAGACCATGGCCAATCTGGCCAAGCCAAAGAAGGAAGAGGTTAAACCTGTAAAGCAAGCCACCCCGCAGCGACCAGAAGAGACACCAGAAGAGCGCGCCAAGCGTTTGCGCAAGGAACAGCGGCGGAAGCTGCATGTTTCCTTCAAGACTGGAGAAGATCTCGTGCAGATACGTTACTTCACTCATGATCCTGCCGAGGAAATTGATCACAACTCGAGCCAGATGCGTGACATGTCTGATGTCGCAGGAGAGGGCAGAATGCTCAAGCAGAAGCACCAACTTATGGATCTTGACGAAGACGAGGACGAGGCTGAGGAGAGTACCAATCTCATCGAATTCCGAGCCCCATCCCAAGTGGACTTCACCGTGATCGAAAAGCGAGAGCGCGATCGGGCGTACGCTCCTTATGCCGGAGGCGCCCTGCAGCCGCAATCGACCGAACGTGCCAAGCGCGAGCAGTATGAGAATAACAACCTCTTGCAGTTCTACAGCGACCGCAGCGAGATCCCACCCAACCCCAAGGAGCCCGAGAACCCGTACAACGGAGACCAAGGCGAGCCGATTAGGGCGTTTGGTGCGCTTGACGACAAGTGGATGGCTCGTGCGCGTGAGATCGCATCGCGACGTGGTCAGCAGCCATTTTTCCAGCAAACCGCGTATGGGCAACCTCCACAACCACCCGCAGGCTTCGGACTTCCAAACTTCATGGGTGGCCAGCCGCAACAGCAGCAGCCTACTGCTGCCGCGCCCATCGATGTTGGTGCTATTCTTGCTTCCCTAGGCCAACTCGCTCCACAGCCGACGAGTTATCAGCAACCACAATCTGGAATGCCGGCTTTTGCTCCACCGTTCATGGGCGCAAATGGCTTCCAACCTCCCCCTCCACCACCTCCGCCGCAGCCTGCTGCTCCACCGGGACAGATCGATCTTGCTGCTATCTTGGCGCAGATCCAGCAGCCACAGCAGCAGCAGAACTTTGCTGCTCAGCCGGCAAATCCACAGGCGACGAACCCCAACTACAAGACCAAGGTCTGTCGCTTCTACAAGGAGGGCAAATGTCAGAAGGGGGACGCATGCAGTTACATTCATGACTAAGCTATGTGCAGTCATGGGATTGCGACTTCTTCTTTTTGCAAGATGATGAGATTAGCGTAGGCGCATGGATGGGCAATGATTCACAGCAACATTTCCTGACTTCAGGGAGATACTCTCCAAGCGCTCGGCTTAGACTGGTGCCTTGAGTGCACCAGAAGGCTGATCGCGACACGCATTGCGCGTGGCATGTAAATATGGACAGCTGCTGACATAGCTGTAGCTTAAATAGCAATGAATTCGAAACAGTCGAGTTCAGCTTTAGCACTTTCCTTCCCTTCCACTGTCTCTTACCCAGCACGTCGGCCGTACCTACTTTGCACTCCACACATTTGAAGAAGTTGCTGTCTTCGCACTTGCAAAGCCGAGCAATCACTTATCAACCCGTGGACAGGACAAACGCATTGCAGATACTTATATTTCGACAACCTAAGAGCCTCGCGCGATGACGATTGAAGATATCAAAACCGTCTATCAGCAGAAGCACAACCTACCCTCAACCTACCAAAATCTCCATCCGCATCCACATCCCACGGCCCAACGAAACGTCACGCAAGCAGTATCGCACGCGACAGCGCCACTGCAAGGCCTTCGCAAAGTCCAATTAGTCCGCAATCCTCGATTCAAACCCAAAGGCCTCGGTGACTTAGCCAGTCTATGCCGCAAGTACGAGATCACGCCGACTTTACCTACTCCTTTTACCATCATCCATGCAGTCGTCGATGGCCTCGAGACAGCCAGTCAGACGCTCGTCGATGCTTTGACGCCAAGAAAAGACGATGGCAACAAGACAACGGCAACCACCAGTCACCCACGCGTCGTGACTCGAATGGTCAAGAAGCCGGACTCCACGGGCAAAACAGGTCATCTCGACGCTGAGAATGTACAGAACGATTCGGAGTACCTTGCACCTGTAAGCATTGGCACTCCAGCCCAGTGTCTCAATCTCAATTTTGACACTGGATCTTCCGACCTCTGGGTCTGGTCGACTTTACTACCTGACAATGTGAAGACAAAAGGTCAGCAGACAGGACATGCAATTTTCGATCCCTCGAAGAGTAGTTCGTAGAAAGACGCGGGTGGCATGTCGTGGCAGATTCAGTATGGAGATGGGTCGACGGCGAATGGTGCTGTGGGGACGGACAATGTGTCGATTGGAGGATTATGTGTGACGGGACAGCATGTTGAGTTGGCGAAGAATTTGGCGCAGAGCTTTGAGCAGAGTGAAGGGGATGGGTTGTTGGGACTTGCTTTCGTGAGTCTTCCTCATCGATCACGGAGAAGCTGGGATTAATACGAGCACAGGGAACGATAAATACTGTCAAGCCGCAACCAGTGCACACTCCGGTCGAGAACATGATCATGCAAGCCGATATTCCCAAAGACAGCGAGCTCTTCACCTGCTATTTGACCAGCACTAAAGATAGCGAGCCGGATTGCTACACTTTTGGCTACATCGACAACGATCTTGTAAAGGGACGGCCGATCTACTACACACCAATCGACAACTCGCATGGCTTCTGGAATGTCAAGTCAACCTCAGTGGTCATCAACGGAAGCAGCATACCTCTTGCAGGCAACACAGCCATCATGGACACCGGTACAACGTTGAGGTAGGGGAGTGATCTCCTGACAGAATTAGAATCCAAGCTGACATACCCGAGCCTCATCGACGACTCCACCTGCAAGAACATCTACGCCGCAGTGCCTGGTTCCCGCTACGACAATGACCAAGGCGGTTTCATCTTTCCAAAAGATGCCAAACTTCCCGATCTCAGCTTCGCAATTGGCGATCAGCAGTTCTCGGTGCATAAGTCGGACTTGGCCTACGCAGAACTTGGTGGCGGAATGGTATACGGTGGGATACAGTCGCGCGGAAACATGAACTTTTCGATTTATGGTGGTACGCACTTGAAGGGCATGTATGCCATTTTTGACCAGGGCAAGAAGCAGTTTGGGTTCGTACAGCGTTGATTGAGGACATTGTACATAAGCGTGGAGCAGGTGTAGAGTAAATTAGGGCCCATAGTGGCGAAGGAATATTGTTTGAACTATGACCAGCCAGATAATGAGGGCGGTCTTTCGCCAATGTCCCATGAGCTAGGCTCAGGTCCCACGTTGAAGACTAGATTGCCGCCTTGACTGAGCTCTTCGTGACTCAACCAGCTGCGAGTGTGATTCTTTCCGTTGAAAGTGATCGATTGAGGATAAAAGTTCGTATCAGAAAGGCCTGGCGCTGTGATATTCAGCGTTGTCTCGCGTTTCGTGCCCGTGAAGAGTTTGATCCGAAGTGATGAAAATCGAGGAGCGCCGATTAGGTATACGGGCTGTGCTGCAACGGGGAACTAGTTATCAAGATTAGCGCGAACGTGCTTGGAAGTTGAGGAATTATGCTCACCAATCCAATCAAATCGAAAATCAACCAACTCGGCAGCGCTCCTCCGTCGATATTTCCTGGATATCCATTCCTTTCATCCGAATAGTACTGATCTACGATCTCTCTTGTCCTGTGCACAGTCTTCCATTGATATCCAGAGACATAATTATACAGATATGGTGTCAAAAACGAAGGTTCATTTCCAGGATTGAAAAGCGCTGTTCCTGCGTCGTTATTCGCTCCTACAGAAGAGCCTAGTCCGGGGATGAAACTTGCATCAAGACGCTGGATGAACTTTTGTTCACCGCCCATGAGTTTTATTATGGTTGACATGTCGTGGGGAGCGGCGCCGAAGGCTGTTTCCCAGGGTTTGGCTTCGTAGATGTCGTCGGCCCAGCCGCAGCTGCCGCAGTTGAGAGGGTCGTAGGCTGTGAAATTCCAGGTTCCGTCGCTGTTGCGGGGAGCTGGGAAGCCGGTGAAAGTGGTGTTGGTGGTGGAGTTTGAGATGGAGGGGATGTAGAGGGTGGTGTTGGCGGATTGGGACCATTGATTTTGCCACCAGGAGGATTTGTTGAGGAAGTCGGAGGTTTGGGTTGTGGAGTTGGATAGGGTTTTGGACATGCTGTAGATGGAGAAGTCGTTTTGGGAGTATTCGACTCCGCGGGAAATGCTGCGGGTGTGGTTTCGGGTGATGAAGCCGAGGGAGAGGTAGTCGTCGAGAGCGCCGCGACCTTCTTTTGTTGCGCCGTCGAAGGTTGCGGTGTCTACGTTGTGCACTGGCTCTGCGAGAGCGTCGTTCAGAACTGCTCGATAAGCCTCATGCCAGTCGATGTCGTCAGCTAGCTCGCCACCGTTTTTGACATAAGCGTCAGCCAGCACCATGTCCGCATGAGTACCGCCTTGCACTCGCCCGTTCCAGTTGGCAATGCGACCAGCTGGGAGCCATCCCTCAACCGTGAAAACAGAGATCAGACCCTTGATAACACGAGAGTAGGTCTCAGTGTAGAGTAAGTGGTATAGTGGCGTGAGACTTCGGTACGTATCCCAGAGAGTGTAGTGGTCGTCGAAATATGGAATGCCATCGTATCCAGCGGGACTTTCGCCAGTCTTGTCAGTGGGCATCAGGCCAGTCTGGTACAGTGCAGTGTACAGCATCCGTTTGAGCGTAGTGTTGCTACTGCTAGTAGAGCCATCATCTACAACTTCAATCGTGCTTAGGATCTTCTTCTCCCATTCCTCTCGAGATATCTCGACAACGTCAGTAAAGCTCAGATTCGCAGGAAGTTCGTTTGCAGAGTTGACACAGGCCTGTTCGTGGCTAATATAGGAGATGCCGATTCTGGCCAGGATTTCTCTACCTGCGGATGCATTATTGGCCGCAGGCGTCCAGCTGAAGAGCGCGCCAATTCCCATGCCATTGCCAGCAAATGCCTCAAACTCGGTGAAAGACCTTGGAATCGGGCGATTCTTGAACGCAGGTGGCTCTGACGGACTATACGGCCAATTTATGGTTCCAGCGCCTGGCACACGATCTCTGCTGTTTTGCGTCACGTATGCATCGCTGGGCACCAGATTTATCGCACTGAAGTTTCCGCAGAAGTAAAGTGTATGTGATTGAGGTTGGCTCCAACCTCCAGTATAAGTCGCGGATCCGGAGTACGATGGCTGCCCATTCTTGCCTGTGCGAGTGTGCAGCGTGCCGTGAGTGTACCTCTGCGAGTAGGCTTGCGTTCCATAGCCTGGGAGAACGTGTGTCAAATCAACGAGGACATGTGCATCTTCTGTTGTCGCTGTTTTTCCAATTTCGGGAGTAGATCCAGATATGCTAGCATTGCTGGCGATCGATGCTGGAAAGGTGTACTTGATGAGACCAGCCCGGCGTGAACTTGCAATGTCTACTTCGATTCCATTGAGCAAAACTGTTTTGAAATGACCGACGGTGGCTGTCTCGTCCCCTAAGCTTCTGTTTTGCCAATACGTGGTATTGTCTGCCAAATTGATGTCGCTCAAGTCTCCGTACAATGGCATCTGCGAAATCAGCCCATAAGTGGGGACGCCTCCAGTACCCGAAACATGTGTCATAGATATTCCAGTCACGTTGCCGAGTGGAGAGTATCCTGCGTTGCAATCTACGGCCGTACCGTTTGGAACGCCCAAGTACGACGTATCGATGCCAGGCTTCGCGAGGCCCCATGGGAGTGTAGCTCCTGGGAATGAGTTGCCGCCTGCGATTGCAGAGCCTGGAGTCGAGCCAGCGGTTCCAATGAGAGGATCAACATAGTCTGTCAGGCGTGCGGACATGTTCTGCTGATTTTGCGCGACTGTGCATGTCGTCAGTAGACACAAGGCCGCGGACCGCTGGCAATGGTGCCGCATCTTGGGCCACTGATCGAGAATCTAACAAAATCTGACGAGAAAGAAACAACGAGAGTGGGGAAGACACTACTTTGATATAGTCGGCCACAACGCGGCTGCATCCGTGATTATAAACTTTGGTCGATTGAGCCGGTCTCGGCTGAACTTCGCCCATACCTACCCCACGGGCAATGCACTGGCCTGTATCGCGTGAAGTTCTCCGTATTGTTGTGCGAGGACGCTTGCAGTATTTGGTCCTGAGCAGCGGCGTGGATATTGTGCGGCCGAGTGAGGTGTATTGAAGCTTCTCCTTGCCTGAGGCCGACATCTTGAGCATGGTCTCATCCCTCGCCCGATGCTCACGATGCTCATGATGGCCAGGTTCATATACATATATTGGAATAGTGTCTGTCGATAGTTAGTAGTATGTTGCAGAAGCACTGCATGCGTCGGAAGGACAGGGCGCAAGATACGTTCCCATCGCGGCGGCCACGAACTGGTCTGTCCCATATTCTGTCCTCAAGTATTGAGTTGTCAGTCACCCCCAGGGGCTCAAAAGAGGCTTTTTTTTTCTTGGGAGCCACCACCTTTAATTGTCTCCGATACCGAGAAGCAGCGACCAAAACCGAGACCCTTAGCTGCCGTGCTTGCAGAGTCGCTACTTCGTCCTTCCCCCTCGCTCTTGTATCGACTGTCCGAGCACTCCGGCTACTCAACACTCCAAGCCCGTAGTCTACCTGCAGAGTGCTTCATTGCAATTAGCATCAATAATCCATCCATATCATGTCGAACGCAGAGGACCTTAACGTGCGATCGGATTCGAAATGCGCCGATAACTTTGAACGCACCAACGCCGCGCCCTCAGCCGTCGGCTATCTTGACAGCCCGGCACCACGCCGTGCTACTTTCGCATCAGTTCAGAAAAAAGAGCAAGCTTCATACAGCCGTGATAGCTGGGGATTGCCCCAGGCAAGGCACTATGATTCGTTACAACTTCTAGATCATCGGGAACCAATACCTATGCTTGCAGACCACACCCCGGGGGATCATGGAAACTTCTGTGGCGGCTGGTGGCCACAAGAGCGAGCGGAAAATCGTTCCCTGCCGCATCTCCACGGTTATGCATGTCATGCCTGCCGGGCATTCTTGGAGTCTCGAGGGCCAGAAGTCGAGTCGAAAACGGAGAGAAAAGCTTGCGACGATGTTGATTCAAGCGAAAGGAGCTCCGACACGGATGGCGCGCTGGCCGCTGTGGCTGTGGATGTCGAGCCTGAAGGGGAGCGGGAAGAGGATGAGATCTGCGAACCAGTGCCTTGCCAAGTGCGATTTCCGGTCGAGAGATACACGGGTCATCGCAATGCTTACCTTCACATGACTGCGTGCGAGGCGTGCAAGCCGCAATATCGAGCTATGGGCTTCGACTGCTGATGGATTCACGAAAAGCGTCGTGTTGCACGGCGGCTGAGCTCCGTGCAGGTCTGTCACCAGGACAAGTCTCGGGACCGGACAGCTGCTGCCATCATAGGTCTGGAAATCATCGCGTTGCGTGCGCGGCAATCAGTCGTCGGTCGAGCTCGTGCAAAAATGCGCCGGAACATTGCATATGGAAGAGGGCGACTGAGGTGTTTATTATTGTGAAGTCGGCATTCGGCAGCCATACGCGACGCGACTACGATCATGCAGGGTTCACCTGGGCCAAGCCACTTGCGACGTCAGCCTCAAGCCGTTCGCGGGTCCGCAGGCCTTCAACTTCTCGGGTTCCTGAGAGCCGTCACTTCGTACCTACCACCTCCTTGCAACTCGCTCGCAAGGTGTCCGCTTACTGCTGCGCGTGCGCCGTCGCTGAACCACCTCAAACAAACAGCTACAATGGGCGGCATGGAGGAAATGCAAACCGCGATGGTCAATCGCTCCATCAGGACCATCAAAGCAGTGCGTAGCGAACGTCCTGGCCCATACGATTGATACTGACGATGAGAAGGAACTCGAATACCTATGCGATGCTTCGATCATCTCCCCACAGACACTGAACGACCTTCTTCAAAAAATCCCCTCACAGACAGCTCTACACGCTCCCATATCGGTCGGTGCGCTGCCATCAGCAGTTGAGGCGGCTAGGGCACAGCAAGTTCCTCCTACAGAACCTATGGCCAACCTGAATGTGAACGGAAACGGCGCGCACGACGAAAAGAGTGGCTTCTACCAGCCCACACCTTCACCACAACCCCCGCCATACCAACAACAGAGTGTACCTCCACCTCCGCCAGCAGCGAACTTCCCGCCTCTTGCACAAGCTACTGCGTTATATGTCTACAAGTCAGAGGATGCTGGCGACTTGGCCCTGCAGCCGAACGACCACGTAAGTGTTATTCTAGGAATGCGGCTCACTGCTGCAGCTACATAGCGGCCCATGCTAATATTTGATTGCGAAACAGATTACAGTAACTGAATACATGAACGCCGAATGGTGGAAGGGACGGAACACGCGAACTGGGCAGGAAGGTATCTTCCCGCGCAGCTACGTTCAAGTCGTCGACGACAAGGGCGCGCCACCTGGAGGACCTCCGGCTCCCAACTATGGCAACAACTACGGCAACATGCCTCTTGAAACGAGTCAAATGGGCAACGGCGAGGGCAAGGTGCCGGGCAAAGGACAGGAAATGGGCAAGAAGTTTGGAAAGAAGCTGGGCAATGCGGCCATTTTCGGAGCCGGTGCCACGATTGGTGGCAACATTGTCAATTCCATCTTTTAAGGGACGTTGGGCCATATCATATTTGTGCGCGCATTTCAGGCTTTCGGAAACCAGCATGCATTGAAAATGACGAGCTGGCGCCAGTGGGCGCAGGGCTACAGTCTGCATTTAGATCATACCGACAGGCTTTCACTCTGCAGATAGGGGTCGTGATGAATCTCAGTTAGTCGGCGCAGGAAGTGCTATACTATGCATCCAGATGTCGTTCTTCAAGCGTACACTTCCAGCTGATCGTCTCGTGTATCATCAATTGAGCAAACCATGTGAACAAAGCACGGGCCACACAAAGTTTTGGCGGCGCAGGCTTTCGCCGACGTAACAAGCTCACGGCTCGCGCGTTTCTGCCACTTGCATTGCCGTTTGGCCCTTTCCACCTCCACACCCACTCCTGCCGTGCTGCAACACTCTTCTGCACGCGCAAACACGCGCACAACCATCACCAAATCGATCCAAATCATCAAACACGTCCAGACACGTTCGTACCTGACGCGCAGACGTGTCGAGCACGCGCGGAAAGTGTTTCGAGACTAGGGATTCCGCCGTCCCAGGCGCAAACAGTCGCGTTGCGACTGCAAACACGACAACCACACATCAGCTCTGCTGCCCAACATGGCGAGCTCACAGGCACTTGGTGTCGGCGACGGCAGCATGCCCGACGCCATGATGCTCGACACGCCCGACTACACTGATTCCGAGTCGAACCCCACAGGCACCGCCAACAGTGTCGCTGGTGATGCTCCCAAGGACGGACGCTCGAAGCGATGGGAGGGCAATTCGTTAAGGAAGAGCATGCTTGGAAAGAAGCATGACCGGCTAGGCGATAGCAAGGAGGACGACTCGATCAAGCGATTTCGATACCTGCTTGGCCTAACGGATCTATTTCGCCATTTCATCGATACGAACCCAAACCCCAAGATCCGCGAGATCATGCAGGAAATAGACCGCCAGGATCAGGAAGAGGCTACTCGCGCGCAGGCTGGGAACAAGCGCAAGGGCGGTGCCGGCGGCGATAGGCGGCGGCGGACGGAAAAGGAAGAAGACGCCGAGTTGCTGCGACAAGGCAAGCAAGAGGGCAAGACCGAACACACCATATTTCGTGAAAGCCCGCAATACATCCAGGGTGGTGAAATGCGAGACTATCAGGTGGCTGGTCTGAATTGGTTGATCAGCTTGCACGAGAACGGTATCTCGGGTATCCTCGCAGACGAGATGGGTCTGGGCAAGACGTTGCAGACTATCTCGTTTATCGGCTACCTGCGATTTCTGCAAGGCATCACGGGGCCTCACCTCGTCGCCGTGCCCAAATCGACATTGGACAACTGGAAGCGAGAATTTGCAAAGTGGATCCCGGAGATCAACGTGCTTGTCTTGCAAGGAGCCAAAGACGAACGTCAGGAACTCATTCAAGACCGACTGGTCGATGAGAAATTCGACGTCTGCATTACGTCCTACGAAATGATCCTTCGTGAAAAGAGCCACTTGAAGAAGTTTGCATGGGAGTACATCATTATTGATGAAGCTCACCGAATCAAGAACGAGGAATCCTCCCTCGCACAAATCATTCGAATCTTCAACTCAAGAAACCGACTGCTGATCACCGGAACACCACTTCAGAACAACCTGCACGAATTGTGGGCACTCCTCAACTTCCTGCTACCAGATGTGTTCGGAGACGCCGAAGCTTTTGACTCGTGGTTCAACAATCAAGATGCCGATCAAGACACTGTCGTGCAGCAATTACATCGTGTCCTGCGTCCCTTCTTGCTTCGCCGAGTCAAGTCTGACGTCGAGAAGAGCCTGCTACCAAAGAAGGAAGTCAACCTATATGTCGGAATGAGCGAGATGCAGATCAAGTGGTACAAGAGCATTCTGGAGAAGGATATCGATGCTGTCAACGGTGCTGCAGGCAAGAAGGAGAGCAAGACTCGTCTGCTCAACATTGTCATGCAGTTGCGCAAGTGCTGTAACCACCCTTATCTCTTCGATGGCGCCGAACCTGGTCCCCCATACACAACTGACGAGCATCTGGTCAACAATGCAGCGAAGATGGTCATGCTTGACAAGCTGCTCAAGCGAATGCAAGCTCAGGGCAGTCGTGTCTTGATCTTTTCTCAGATGTCGCGTGTTCTTGATATTCTCGAGGATTACTCTGTCATGCGCGGCTACAAATACTGTCGTATTGATGGCTCGACTGCCCACGAGGACCGTATTGCGGCGATCGACGACTACAACAAGGAAGGCTCTGAAAAGTTCCTGTTCTTGTTAACAACTCGTGCTGGTGGTTTGGGCATCAACTTGACGACAGCCGACATTGTTGTGCTTTTCGATTCGGACTGGAACCCACAGGCCGATTTGCAGGCCATGGATCGTGCTCATCGTATCGGTCAGAAGAAGCAGGTCCATGTGTTCCGCTTTATTACCGAGAATGCCATCGAAGAGAAGGTCCTGGAGCGTGCAGCTCAGAAGCTTCGTCTCGATCAGCTCGTTATCCAGCAAGGACGTGCACAGCAGCAGGCCAAGACTGCTGCATCTAAGGATGAGCTTTTGGGCATGATTCAGCACGGAGCAGAGACGATTTTCGAGTCGAAGGACGGATATGGAGCCTTTGGCAAAGGTGGTGAAGCAGATGATGACCTTGATGCGATCCTACGCCATGGCGAAGAGCGCACGAAAGAAATGGCTTCCAAATACGAAAAGCTTGGTCTGGACGACCTGCAAAAATTCAATACAGAAGCAGGCGCGGCTTATGAATGGAACGGCGAAAGCTTCATCAACAAGAAGAAGGAGATTGGGCTCAACTGGATCAACCCATCGAAGCGTGAGCGCAAAGAGCAGTCCTACTCCATGGACAAGTACTACCGCAATGCTCTGATGACAGGCGGACCTCGACCCGATCCAAAGCCCAAAGTTCCCAGGGCACCCAAGCAACAATCTTTGCACGATTATCAGTTCTTCTCGCCGCGCCTTGGCGACCTGCAGGAGAAAGAGACCGCCTGGTTTCGAAAGGAGAACAATATCAAGGCGCCTCTTGCCGATGGAGAGGAAGACACTCTGGACCAGCGTATGCAGGACCAAGAACTGGAGCAAAAGAATATCGACGATGCTGAGCCTTTGACCGAAGAAGAGGTTGCCGAGAAGGAGCAGCTTGCGTCCGAGGGCTTCGGTGACTGGAACAAGCGTGACTTCCAGCAATTCATCAATGGTAGCGCCAAGTATGGTCGCAATGACTATGAAGGCATTGCACTTGAAGTGGACTCCAAGAACCCTAAGGAAGTGAAAGAGTACGCCAAGGTCTTCTGGAAACGCTACAAGGAAATTCATAATTGGGAGAAGCACGTCTCGGCCATCAAGGAAGGTGAGCAACGCGCTGCCAGAGTCATTGAACAGCGCGAAATGCTCAAGAAGAAACTCGCCATGTACCGCGTGCCTTTGCAACAACTGAAGCTTAACTACACTGTCAGCACGACGAACAAGAAGGTGTACACCGAAGAGGAAGATCGATTCTTGCTGGTCATGCTAAACAAGTACGGAATCGATACGGAGGGACTGTATGAGAAGATCCGCGACGAAATTCGCGAGTCCCCACTGTTTCGCTTTGACTGGTTCTTCCTCTCAAGGACTCCGCAAGAAATTGGCCGTCGTTGCGCAACGCTCATCACGACTGTCACGCGTGAGATGGAAGGTGGCAACAACAAGGAGAACAAGCGAGCCGTTGAGGAAGAAGATGATGAGGAGGAAGAGGCTCCGGCCAAGAAGAAGGGTCGTACTTCGACTGGTGGTGCCAAGGTGAGTTCTAGAATGCGGCCGTGATGAGAGTCAAACGTGGATGCTAATTTTCATGAACAGAACAAAGCTGTCAACGGAGTCAAGGGCACTCCCAACGGCACCTCGCGCGCTGGCAGCGTCGATACCACCGGCTCTGGCAGCGTTCCTGCGAAAGGCAGAGGCAGACCAAAGAAGAAATAGATGCTTTGCTTCTCGGGTCGCAAATGATTTGAGGCATGACGGGCTTTGATCGAGCGGTGTTCTGGCGTTGTTGGCGTACACACTGAGACGTATGCTCTGGTGAAAGGCAAAGTGGTTTGGTTTCAGTAATGCCATACCCTGAAGATTCAGCACGGAGCTGCTGTGCTTGCAAGAGTGAAAGAAAGGAACGATGAAGAGCATTGCGGCATAATGTTCTATGATCGAGTACAGCTTCACAGGTTTGCAATAGTACTTCTGCTGAACTCAGAAGCAGCAGATCAATTGAGCATTGTTCTTCGTTCAATTCTCCGATTGTCTTATCAAGCTGAGTGATGGCCATCTTTGATCGATGATCGATCTCCAAAGACCTTTGCCTGGACGTGTAAACAGCAAGTCGCTTCAAAGCTCTCCACCGAATATCATTTCCTGAGAATGCATGGCTTTTTGACGTAGAGGTCTCGCGTTCATCAACAATCCAATTCTCAGCACAAACGCACTGACCAAGCGAGGTCATGCACAGACCAGACCAGCCCATGCACAGACCAACACAGTACAATCGAGCTGGACGAGGTGTACTACTGCTCGAGGGCAGTTCCCAATCCCTCTTCCGTAACACATGACATCGCTCGTTCTCTTTGTCCCATCTCGCTAGATGGATCCTGTTTCGGAAGTAACCAGCTACGACGAATCGACAAAGGGAGCTGGTGGCGATTTTGATTTCAGATTCTCATCTCTTTCTTTGTCCGGCCGACAGGAGGGCAACATTGCCTTTGGTTAGGCCGGTTTGGGACAGGCGCGAAGACCGCGCACATAGAGTGGATGTTAGAATGGGAGTTAGAATGAGAAGCAGGGAGAAAAAACTTTGGGGAATGAGCCTGCCAGAGGCTTCACTTGTTGATAGTATTATGTAGTTATGCTTTGTGGAAACGCAAAAGTTGCTTCAGATAATCACCTATTCCTTCGTCGTGAGCCCGCATCCAAGTCGCGCTTCAGATGTCTCCGTATGGATAGTACATTGGATCATTTTGGATGTCTTTGCCGTTCATCTCTTCGATGGGAACCGGTGCGAATCGATAGCCATATTTGGCGGTGCATCGAGCTTCGCATTGGAAGACGATGAAGAGACCCCATCCTGGGTGCTCCACATCCCGTAGCAGATATAGTTCGGTGACAGGAGCATCGACTGGTACGGGTTCAAAGTGCTCATTCACGATCGTTCCGCGGGTGCCGCACTTCGCGCAGTAAGGGACTTTGCGGCCGAAAACTGCTGCCATAGTCATCGGATCACGATACACTATGGCACCCAGGACAAGGAGCCTTTTGATCTGGTTCATACGTTCTTGCGTGACGACGCCGGCCTCCATGATTGCGAGTTCGTTGAGGGTGATATAATTGTTCCAGATACCAGAATGTCGATATCCCAGACGAGAGTTGGAGATCTTATTGAGAATCCGTCTCTCCATCTCTTTGAGCTGTGCCCAGGTGTTCTCCTGTATGACAGGATCATTCCCGTTGCCACCTTCCTTTGTGATCCACCGGGAAAGTCTCGCGGCTACCGTGGATGCTCGTCGACCCCCAAGCGTCATGCTGTAAGAAGGATACGTGGTAGGACCATTCCAGGTATGCCTATAATAGTCCTCGAAGGCGGGAAGAGTTGGTGTCCTCATCTCCACGTCATAATCCTGGACCATTCGCGAGCGCGGGGAGCGAGGGAAGATCTTTCGCTCTTCAGCTTCGATGTACCGTTGAAGCTGCTCTATTCTTCGATCGGCCTGGTATATCTGTGCCTCGGTCATCTGACTCTTCTGAAAGTCCACATCATGGGAGTGTCTCTCAAGCTTCAATCGCTCCTGCTGGGTTTTGTGCAGCTTTTCATATTTCTCGAAGCGGAATCTGGATCGCCCGTCCACCTTCATACCGTCAATAGTTGCAAATACGTTTCGTGCAGGCGTGGCAGGGGACTTGAGATCCTTGTTGTGTCTCACAGGACAGTTATCTCGCCCGTGTCCAAGAAAGAGGCATTTGGAACATCGTTTGCCGGCGGGGTTTCGACACTCATCGTGACTGTGGCCCTTTTCGCGACAGCGAGCGCACCTGAGCAGCGATTCGCTGTAACGCTTGAAGCTGAGCGCGTCCCTGCAAGAACTTGTTGCGTGGTCGGTCGTATTGCAGTGGGCACAATAGGAATGTGTGGGAGAGGTCATCGACACATCACCAGATCGTTTCTTGTAGCAATCATCGCTTGAGTGGCCCTTTTTATTACAGTGGTCACACACTCCATCTCGCTTATTGCCGTTGCGCATTTTGCAATCTTTAGTCTCGTGCGTCCCGCGCGACTTGCAGTTCTCGTTCTTGCACTTGAAGTTTGCGGGATTATTGAAACATTTGTCTCGCGTGTGGCCAGTCTTGTCGCAGAGAGAACAACGTTGGTCTCTGTTTTGGGAAGTATTCCTTGGCGTGTTGTTCCTCGAGCCATTCTGCCTTGATCCACTGTTCCTTCGACCCTGGTTGCGGTCGTTCCTTGGATTGTTAGTCACGGGGCGGGGCATTGCGACAGTGAAGCTGGTGGGAATGGATAGTAGCGCGGTGTGAGATTGAAACTATGGAGGTACTGCCAGCAGATACCCAAGTATGGGCCTTGGAGGAAACTGAGATTGGGAAAAGGTGCGTGGTATGTTGCAGAAAGAAAGGAGAGCATCGGGAGTAGGCTCGAAGGGGTGTATAAGAGATCGACGGGAGGTGCTATAGATAGTCTTTGATTTCATTGTGCTGGAGGCATAACAAAGCGGACTGGTCCAGGCGCTGTACGACGGCGCCATCATGGCTCGCCTTGAAAATGCTTGACTTGAGGCTCGAAAAGGAAGAGAACAATGCTCGCCTGGATTGACCGAAGGTCCCCGAATCAAAGGAAGCAATTCGCCGTCGAATCGATTCGTTCGTGACAAAGAAGTACTGCACTCTTTGGACCTGTTACTCAACAGTGGGTCACGTGAAGGACTTTCGCCTGTTGCGGCGTCGGTGTGAGGGTGTCGGGCGGCGCGGCGGGAGTTGTTGTTCTTTGGAGGTTAGGAGGGAAGAGACAGAGCCAAAATGAGGGTGCAGCGGAGCTCGGCTTGAACTTTCGCCGATCGGCCGACAATTTTTCGGTCTGATCGTCTCCACTCAAAAAGTGGTCGACTGCTCTGCGTACTGGGCGCATCCCAGCGATTCTCTCAATGTCCGATCGTCTTTTCTCTTGGACGCCCGAATCAAACGACGACGACTATATCCGCGAATCGACCAGGCGCAAGCGAAAGCACTCCCACAAACCCGGCAACCCAGCCTTGATGTCTGGTGGCTTGCCATCGCCCGCCATGGAGCGCGAGGACCCCATCGAAAATGGCGCAAAATCGGCCAAGAAGTCTAAGAAGGAGCACAAGAAGAGGAAGCATGAGAGTGACGGGGCTGTCAACGGCGATGCAGTGAGGGAGAAGAAGCGCAAGGTGACACCGCCCGTCGATGCCGACGACGATTCTGCTCCAGAGGAGCAGCCCAGCAAGAAAAAGTCGAAGCAGGAGCGCAAAGAGGAGAAGAGACGACTGAAAGCGCTGGCAAAAGCTGAGCAAGCGCCTGTTGAGGAAGCACACGCGGAAGAGGTTGAGGCAGAAGAGCAGGTCAACCAGGAATTGAAGGATGCTGCAGCAGAGGCTGGTGCTGCTGATGTCGAGAACGAAGACGATTTCGCCGCATTTGGATCAGATGACGAGCAGCAACCGCAAACGAACGGCCATGATGCAGACTCTGAGGTGGAAGAAGAGGACGAGGATCAAGAAGCAGCCGATCTACCTTCAGCAGTCGGTGTATCGCTACCCAGTACAAGCGAAGAGCCGAAGAAGTTCTCCGAGGTCAATCTGAGTGAGAAGACCATGCGCGCTATCAATGACATGAAATTCGAGAACATGACAGAAATTCAGAGAAGGGCGATGGGCCCGCTATTGGCAGGCAAGGACGTGCTAGGTGCCGCAAAGACTGGATCTGGAAAGACACTGGCATTCCTTGTACCTTGCGTAGAGTTGCTGCATGGTCTTCGATTCAAGCCGCGAAACGGAACTGGTGTGATTGTGGTCTCACCAACTCGAGAGCTGGCGCTCCAAATTTTTGGTGTCGCGCGAGAACTCATGGAGCACCACTCACAGACTTTTGGCATTGTCATTGGTGGTGCGAACCGAAGGGCAGAGGCGGAGAAGCTGGCCAAGGGTGTGAATCTGCTCATTGCCACGCCGGGACGCTTGCTCGATCATCTGCAGAACACTCCAGGGTTTGTGTTCAAGAATGTCAAGGCACTTGTCATTGACGAAGCCGATCGAATTCTGGAAGTGGGTTTCGAGGACGAGATGCGACAGATTGTCAAGATTTTACCAAAGGACGATCGTCAAACCATGCTCTTTTCCGCTACGCAGACGACAAAGGTTGCGGATCTTGCGAGAGTCTCACTTCGAGAGCGACCTCTATACATCAACGTGGACGACAAGGAAGAGCACAGCACAGTCGCCGGGTTGGAGCAAGGGTACGTGATCTGCGACTCCGATATGCGGTTCCGCCTACTCTTTACCTTCCTCAAGAAGCATCCCCAGAAGAAGATCATTGTCTTCTTCAGCAGCTGTAACTGCGTCAAGTACTACTCAGAACTTCTCAACTACATCGATCTGCCGGTCCTCGATTTGCATGGCAAGCAAAAGCAACAGAAACGGACGAACACATTTTTCGAATTCTGTAACGCCAAGTCTGGAACCCTCATCTGCACAGATGTAGCAGCAAGAGGTCTTGATATCCCTGCTGTAGATTGGATTGTGCAGTTCGATCCTCCGGATGACCCTCGCGATTACATTCATCGCGTCGGCAGAACAGCGCGAGGTGCAAATGCGAAGGGAAAGAGTTTGATGTTCTTGCAGCCGAGTGAAGTTGGTTTCTTGTCGCACCTGAAGGAGGCAAAGGTGCCTCTTGTCGAGTTCGAGATCCCACCAAAGAAGATTCTTGATATCCAGTCACAGTTGGAGATGCTCATTGGCAAGAACTACTATTTGAACAAGGTGAGTACTTTGGAAGGAAGACTGAGCATAGCGATTACTAACAATTTTCACAGTCTGCCAAAGATGGCTATAGATCTTATCTTCAGGCCTATGCTTCCCACTCGCTTCGTACAGTGTTCGACATCCACAAGCTTGACCTCAAGAAAGTGGCCAAGGGTTTCGGATTCTCAGTGCCTCCCAAGGTCGACATCAATCTTGGAGCCAGCATGAAGAAGCCTGATCAGGCGAGGAGGAATTACGGAAGCCAGCCTGCACAGAAGAGGAAGTTCCAAGGAGGCAAGCCTGTGAGGCGGTGATCAGGTCTGGAATGAGGTGATGTACAAAAGCCATATTGGTTTGTTTCAAAAGGGAGTCCATAGCGAGGCGTTGTGTAATGAAGGCTACTTTTGTGTAGGACTGAGCCGTGCCTGTAGGAAGACTCAAGAGAGCGGGTAAATTTGACTCGGGACACTTTCTTCTTCAACCTCTTCATACCTCATCGCCGCCTGTTGCCGTTGCACGACACAAGCACATTGTCTCTGACCGAACAGCTCGACTACTTCAGTGCAATACTGACATCCGGCGCCCCGCCACGCTAGTGTCACATACGAGATACAAAGCACCATGCCATCAAAGGGGTTGTGGTCCAATGGTAAGATCTTCCTGGCCTTTTGAACTGGGAGACCAGTTGCCGGAGGGATGCCAGTTCGATTCTGGCCTGCTCCAATGATACCGTCTTTTTGCCTTTTGCCATATCCTTGATCGGTCGAGCGCAGCGTCACTGCAACCATCCTCAGGCTTGTCGCTCACAATACCAATCCTCACTTGAGGAGCATAATATGCTACGTTCAAGACGTCCCGTTGTCACTGGGGGCTGTGGTCCAATGGTAAGATACGTCAAGCATTTTCAGTGGGAAGCCCGCTTTGCTCGATGGGATGTCGGTTCAAGTCCGGCCAGCTCCAGCGCTATTCTTTTGCTTTCTTGCTAGCTAGCGAAATTTGTTTTGCCATGTTGGTGCTTCTGATGCGGGAGAGGACCGTGTAGCAGATCTGGTCACTGCAGATGTAACGGACTTCGACCAAGACACAAACTGGACCTTCCACTGCTAGCATAATATACTGGATGCAAACAATCTTGCCATCAAAGGGGCTGTGGTCTAACGGTAAGACACTCCCTTTCGGCCTATTGCCTGGACTGTCCAGGTGCCGGGGGGAGGGATGCCGGTTCGATTCGGGCCTGCTCCAACAATCTTTTTGCCAATGCACTGGAACTTTTGCCAATTGATCCTTTGCGACGGCGAGCTGCAGTGACCACGCATCGATTTCCCAGTTGGAGGTTATGGATTTCTGGCCTCCAGACCTTGTCGATCGATGCTAATCACGCACAACTTTAGCTCCTCCAATCCAGATCCATGGCAGCAAATGCAACTTCCGCATGCATTACTGATATGTTGAGCAGTATCAGATGAAGACATCCGACGGATATGTCTTGAGTTTGTGGCTGATGTCTCAGGAGTAGCAAACGCTGCATTTTGCAATCTCAGAACTTCCTGATGGTGCGGCAGACATTTCCCTCCTTCTCCAAAGCTGAGCAGCATGACAGTCCTACTCTTATTCATCTTGATCGGCGGGTCGACTGCTTGTAGCCTGGCATACAACTATTTTGCTAGACTTCATCTCAACACGAAATATAGGTCGAAAGTCGTAGCCACTCACGCCTTTGCTATCGAAGGACTCCAAATCTTCCTGGCACTGGTCGCGATTATCAGCAGCTGGAATTCATTTCAATCGCCATCTCTCATTCACGATCGACATGGCTCGGAGATCAAGCTACACCTTGCGAATTGGCTGACCGCGGCCGCAATACTGGGCACACATTTGCTTGGGATCTTAGTGATCGACGCAATTGATAATCTCGTTCAGGTCGGAACATGTGGTCATCCATTCCAGCCGCAATTGTTCCTGCTCACACGAAGTGTGTTGCTCCCGCAAACCATCAGAAGACGACCCCTGGTCACGATCAAGACATCAAAGGAAGTTGTTCAAGAGGCTCGAGGAAGAAGTCGAACCACGAAGACTCTCACCTCTTCCGTAACGCCCAGACGTGCTTGCAGCCAGCCAGCAACACCACTCAGATTGCGAAATATGGGAATTGAACTTCCTTCGGAGACTCGCAATGCGCTGGCTCGAGCCAATCCGTTCGGAAAGCGTCGTGACATGGTCAGGTTCCGAGCCAGGACGATCAGCACGCCGACTCATGCTCCAAAGCCGGGCAACATGACTTGCGATGGGTCGCCCTTGAGAATCAAAACTCTTCGACTTTCGACTAAAGCAAACGCCATTGTCCAGCCGTCCGGCGACGAGGCTAAGCCTGCTGAAACGACAAAATTGAAGTCAGAGCTTCATACCCCAGAACACAATACTGGCGAGACTCCAAGCCTTGGAAGCGAGGACACCATCTCCTCGCCCTCAACGGACGGGCATCCTTTCACGACGCCCATGACCCCACAATCACTTGTGGATGAAGTCCGGACAAGCGAGCATTCGTCGGTGGACAGTCTTGAAATAATCTCATGCATATTGCGTCCAAGACCTCGTGCTTTCTCGGTCAAGCTGGATGGGATGCGGAAAGGTATGAGTATCGACGGCGGGGGCAGTGTTGCGATCAGAAATGGCAGGGCTCGTGGAAACTCCGTCAAAGAGAAGGTTCAACATCTCGAGCAGGGGTTGTAAATGTATGTAGTTGGTCAAGGTGGTTGGCAATGGGGCATGTCATTTCATGGGAACGAGGGAAGTGTGCTGTGATAGTGCGCTGTCGTGTTCATATGTGGCAGAGGAGGATGGCAAAATTATAGGGCAGGTACGAAATTGAAGTGAATTTAGTTCGCTTCGAAGTATTGTTTCTTGAGTCTTGTTTGACATCCCACGCACGGTCGTTGATCGTCTCAGATGAAGCGTAATCGCCCTGTACAGGTGATTCACTGAAGTGGTGTCGATGTGTACGCTAAAAGTCGAAGTCCAAAAACAGAATTGTTCGCTTGTTCACTTACGTCCCCATGCAGCTTCTCCAGCGACACCACCACGTGTATATTAAACGTTGAAAAAGCAAAAAAAAAGATTTGAAGCATGATGCTCGACGACACTTTTGAACAGTTAGAAACTGTACATCGTGAAGTGACGTTGTGGCAGGGCATACCCTGTGTGATTCGAACACTATTAGACAGTTAGAAGCGGCTCAAGTCGAACGAATCATGTAGTAGAACATACCACGCTCCCGAAGGAACTGGCTAGACAGTTGAATACGACTGAGTCGTATAGTTCCAATAGCAGGCCAGCGCGTTCTAAATTTTCATTAGAACAAGTTGCATTTATGTAGGCAGTTGAGTATACTCACAACCACTCCGCCTAATTAGGCGTTAGCAATTGTTGGTGACAGACGATGGTTCGACTGTACTCACCAAAGTGCCTATAGCAGGATGACAAATCAGCAGATCTGTGACAATATGATAGCTTGATCTTGACTGTGCGAACCTTGCTCTGGCACACCGCTTCTCAAAGCGCCCCGCAGCGGTGACGAATCAAATTACTTGTTGGTGGGGCTTCAGAGCTCACGCCAGAACCAATGAATTACAGCTCTACTTCTGCTTCCATGAAATCTCCTTCAACATAGCCTGATTCTCCTCATGCACCTTTCGAAACTCGGCCAGCGTCTCAGCTTGTTTCTTGCCAGACTGAACGCCCAAATAATACCCGATGGCTGAAGGTAGTAATGTGACTGGAAATGGTTTGTTGTATTTGCTTGTCAAGATGCGATCTTGAATGAAAGTTAGTCTTGGCGTTGGGTAGTTTCTCAAGTTTTGTTGCGCACCAACGAGTTTCTTGAAGCCGCTCATGGCTCGGACTGTTTCTTGTGGGAGATTGTCTTGGTGGTGGTACAAGGACTTCAAATGTTGCACTGCTTGAAACGAGAGGGGGGATTACAAGGAGGCTGGGAGATGGGGTCGGCATTCTCGGGTGGACGGACGAAAGCGAAGAGGGCTGAATCAAAAGTTGAACAAGACTTTGATGGCGGTTCATTCGTGGAAGCACGACGACCATAGATGATTGTTGGATCGCTCTGAATCATTTGAAAGTCGCTAACAGACTAGTTTTGCACATGGACTGCCTTAAATCCACACTTTTCGTGGAGAGAGCTAGATCTATTCGTCTTGTTTCCGACGTATCGATACATTTGGAGTGACAACGTTCTACCTCCTTCACCCGAGAACGCAGCACCGACGAACTGAATATGAGAAGTTGGGAAGAACAAATCCTCAGAAGCGGAAACCACGTTGCGATCTCCACAGTGTCCAATTCAGTTCAAGATAACTATTTGCCTTGAATATACCACCTGAGCGCAAATACTCTATTTGGTATCGAATGCCCAACTCTAATGACCGCGACCATCGTAGCCAACGGAGCAACAAAAGGCTGCTTTTCTTCCAAGAAGATATCGATGGGACTCGCTCAGATTGACTGGAGCGGGAACATTACAGTTCTCTCTCCAAACATCTGAAGCAAACAGCAGCTGAATGCACAGAAGCGTCGGACATGGTGCGTGTTGAGAGCGGAGCCACGGAATACTGCAAAATCCAACCCCGTTGGATCACGGCGAAAGTCAACGTGACGTCGTGACATCCGCGCACCACTATCGTACTCTCTGAGGTCCATGCCAGACTCCGAACGTACTGACTGGCTTGGTTCAGCTGAAGTGGCGGACCGGAGTCATCGGAAAAATCTGACAACCAACGTTTCTCCCTCTGGGATTGAGCTCGGTTCCGCTGTTCTCGACAGAACAGAGTGCGGCGATGATGGTAGTGATGTATCCACCTCCTCACAGCTTGCTATCCCTATGCGTCCGCCTGTCATCATCCGATAATACCTCGCACACCCAGCGCTCCGCCTCTTTCTTCATTAAAGCAGAAAATTCATGCCCAGCACTCGAGTCCACAACATCTTCAACGACAATTCCCTGATCTGCAGCCCAGCCACCTTCAGCAATCCCCCTCTTCAACCAGTCCAGGAATACCTTGCCCTGTGCAGGCGGTACCAATTTGTCCTTCCCTCCACTCAAACAAATGATCTTCTTTCCTGCCAACGTTCGCTCGACCACAGACCTCAAAACCTTCGCTTCCCTTTCCGAAGGAGGATGCAGATGATCGTCACCCGAGAAGACATCCAGTTCACTCATCAAAATCCCGGCAGGATCGTACTGTTCAATCGCCGCAAGTAATGATTGCGGAAAATCGCTCGATCCCAGAAAATCTTTCCCCGGAGGATCAGATGCAATGGCTGTTCGCACTCTACTCCGGATTGCTCGATCGGTCATGAGTCGTACGTAGTCCGGACAACCTATCACCACCATGCCAGCTGATATCCGAGGCTCTTTCATCAATGCAACCCATGTCGCATGTCCACCTAGACTGACGCCTCCGCAGAAGTGATCGTGGATTTTGAAAGGTAGGTATGAGGGAATCTGGGTAATGAGGAGACTCAAATCGTTGGCCGTACCGACATACGTCGCGAACATATCTTGCCCGTGTGTCGGATTCCCCTGTTTCCACGATACATTGTTGTCGTTCTCAACCATTCTGGAGCCATGATTCCGTTGATCAAAGTTGACGCATATGAGGCCTTTCTGGCTTTGTGACTTCCTCTTAGAATTCCACGCTTCAATCAATGCCGCAGCAGTGTATGCCATGCTATCTTGTGTATCACCTCTTCCATGTAATAGCCAGAATGCTACGATTTCTTCGGGATGTTGGGGAAGCTCTTCCATGCCGTAGACTGTCGTCAGAATTCCGCCAATGTTGTATCGTTTCCAGGAGACGGGTTTGACGTTTGCGAAGGCTTTGTGAGTGTTTGCGATTGGTGAGGTGAAGGGCGATTTGGTGGAGTCGACGCGGAGGGCGTGAGCCCAGGCGAATGTACTGCTGCCTGCCATGGTCAATGTATTGTGTGTTTGTGGGAAAAGAAGTGCTGGAAGAATGTTGTGAGATGCAACAGCTTCGCCCCGCTAAAACTATGAGCCGAGGCTTGTGATGTATCTAAGCCGAATCGCCATCGCCTGAGTAAGAAGCTTGCGAGGTGATCCTACAACAACCAGGCGTGTGGCTGTCAGGCGGGCTTGCCATTTGCTTCTGGCGGTTGCTACGCGCGAGAGGCGACGAAGGTTCACATGGTGCCTGATGTATTAGCAGGACCAGTATGGAAACAGCGTCCGAGATGATCCGCTGGTAGCTGCAGATGTATACATATACGATCTGCCTGCAAGACATGGCTCGAGGTATCGTGGTATCGCATCGCATTGCCCTTGAAGGGTAGGTGCATCTGATCTCCCGAAATGGACGACTGTGGTAGCACGGGTCAACGCCATCTGTGATACCAGAGCTGCCAATCGTAGTGGTAGGGTATCGATCTGTCGAGGTACAGCAGAAGGTTTCGCCATGTAGGAGGTACAAGTGAAGAAAACGGCCAGGCGGTCGCGTGTCGAATGGATCAGGGTGCTCGAGGTGTGGGAGTGCAACGCGGATGGGCGTCATTGTTGCTGGCAGCTGAGATGTCGACGTTCATTGTTCCACACTCGTCCCCAATGCTGCATGCGCCTATTCTCGCCATGTCCCCGTCATCGCGCAGCACGGCACACCCTCTCCTTACAGCAGCAGCGACGAAGAAGCAAGTCCTCAGATGGAAGCTTCACCGCTCCGCACTCGATCTTGCCACCCGCTGCGCGAGCTCATTGTTCGCAGCTGACCGAGCGGCTTCTCCTTCCTCGTGGCCGGCTCTCGGACAGGCGCGCTTGACGCGTGCTGCGGTGACTGTTGTTCAAAAGGCGCCCATCAGCCTCTCCTCGTCGCGGTGAATGCGGGCAGATCGCGCCAGCACCATTGATTGCCACAGACTCCCTCTGCGAACTCCAACGTCACTCCAGGTCAGTTGTCCCGAACATCGTCTCCACTGGAACCGCGCCGTTGGCCTGCCACAGGAGCCTTGTCGCGCGGCAGTGGACCCCGAAGAGATCGCGTGGGTCTGGCTAACTCTACATCATAGCCAACCCACCTAAATCACCACGGGCACGCCGCAGACCCCTCCATCCGGACATCTTTTTCGCTGCACCACCACGACCTCGCCCACAGCACTGTCCAAGTGTAGCATGAGCTCGCAGGAATCGGTATTGTCAATTCATCCCGCGAAGGACTCCCACGCGAACGATACCCATCACAATTCCCAACACAATCCTCACGAGGAGAAGACACGACCTAGGGAGCACGTTTCCCTCGACCTCGATCCCTATGCGGCGCCCAGTGTCTACTATGGCGCGAGCCACCACCCTAGAAAGGTTGCAAAGAGCCGCACCTACTCGGCAGTAAGCACATTCCTTTCCCGCCCTAGCAGCGACTCAGCAGCTTGCTTGCAGCATTGTACCAGTACTGACAGCCACAGGTTGATCCTGGCCTGAATAAGGTAGGCACGGATAACTACAATGCCCCTTCCCGAAGACTGAGCCATGATCAAATGGGTAATGCCCCACGTCGCTACCTGATCAACGTCGAAGACACCCTCAAAACGCTTCTCTCGCGCGAAGACACCGATTCAAACATCCAAATCACCATTGAGGACACGGGTCCCAAGACGATCGACTTGGGAACAGCAGCGTCGGGAGGCTACAAGCGATTTGATGTTCGCGGGACATACATGCTCAGCAATCTGCTGCAAGAGCTCTGGCTAGCCAAAAAGTTCGGACGCAGACAGATTGTTCTCGATGAGGCTCGATTGAACGAGAACCCAGTCAATCGGCTGGCTCGCCTTATCAAGGATCAATTCTGGCCAAATCTCACACGGAGAATCGATGGGTCCAACATTGCGGCGGTTGCAAAGGATCCGAAGGACTGGACGTCCGACCCTCGTCCTCGCATCTACATTCCACCGGGCGCTCCAGAGCAGTATGCCTACTATACGCGAGTCGCCAAAGAGCACCCTCACATTCGTCTTGATGTTCAATGGCTCAAGGAAGGCGGCCCTGACGATGACGAATATGTCCGTGACCTGAATGAAGCTCCAGGTCTGCTCGCCATTGAAGTGGAACGCGTCAAGGACACTCCCGCTGGTGAGCCAGACTACAGAGGGCTGCCTTTTGTAGTGCCCGGAGGCCGTTTCAATGAGCTGTATGGCTGGGACAGCTACATGGAGACACTTGGTTTACTTGTCAATGATCGCGAGGACCTTTGCAAGGCCATGGTGAAGCACTTTTGCTTCTGTATTCGACACTACGGCAAGATCTTGAACGCCAACCGGTCTTACTACCTGCGACGCTCGCAGCCTCCCTTCCTTACAGACATGGCGCTTCGTGTCTACGATCGCATCAAGCATGAGCCGGACAGCCTTGACTTTCTCCGAAACGCCATACTTGCAGCGATCAAAGACTACTATTCCACATGGATGTCACCGCCGCGCTATGACGCCGAATCTGGGCTGTCGAGATATCGACCAGGAGGACTCGGGGTTCCTCCGGAGACTGAGGCTTCCCACTTCGTCCACGTCCTGCAGCCATACGCCGACAAGCACAAGATGAGTTTCAAGGAGTTTGTTCACGCCTACAACTATGGCCATGTCTTTGAACCAGAACTCGACGAGTATTTCCTTCACGATCGAGCTGTGCGAGAGTCTGGGCACGATACTTCATACCGCCTGGAAAAGGTTGCCGCCAACCTCGCCACGGTCGACACGAATTCTTGTCTGTACAAGTATGAGATCGATATTGCACGCACCATTCGTGCCTTCTTTGGAGACAGGCTCGAGGTTCCAAAAGAGTGGCGCATGCCCGGGCATCCCGAATTCGAAACGTCGTCAACGTGGGATCGCCGAGCCAAGAAGCGTCGTAAGGTCATGAACGATCTCATGTGGGACGAGGAGAAGGGCATGTTCTTTGACTACAATACTGTCAAGAAGCAGCAAACCGGCTACGAAAGTGCAACCACTTTCTGGGCCATGTGGGCAGGAGCCGCCACACCAAGACAGGCGTCCATCATGGTTGCCAAAGCTCTCCCCAAGTTCGAAGTCCATGGAGGCCTCGTGTCTGGTACTGAAGCGAGTCGTGGCGCAGTTGGCGTGCATCGGCCAAACCGGCAGTGGGACTTTCCATTCGGCTGGGCCCCACAACAGATTCTTGCCTGGACAGGCTTCCTTCGCTACGGCTTTGAAGAAGAAGCACAGCGCCTTGCATATCGCTGGATTCACATGGTCACGAAAGCATTCGTGGACTTCAACGGAGTTGTGGTTGAGAAGTACGACGTGACGCGACCTATCGACCCTCACAAGGTGGAAGCCGAATACGGCAACCAAGGCAGCGATTTCAAGGGTGTTGCAACTGAAGGCTTCGGCTGGGTTAACGCGTCATACGTCTATGGCTTGCAAATTGTCAACTCTCACATGAAGCGCGCCCTCGGTGCTGTCACTGACTGGGACACCTTCAAGAAGATGACCGAGGCTGCGGAGGATCCAGTCGACTTCCTCCACAAGGACAAGGCGACGAATGGACACACCCCTGCTCCCAATGGACAGAAGCCAGTCGAGCAGAAGCCGGTCGAGCAGAAGCCGATCGAGCATCATCCTGCACCCGTGCAATATGCTCACAGTGGTCAACACTGAGGGTGAGCTTTGATGATTCCATGGCGAGCGCGATACCTGAGATGGGGAGAAGAAAGTCAGAGCATTGATGATTGGTTACGATTACGATGAGAAAGACTTCAGTTTGGTGGTTGGCCGAGCATGGCGTCCTGAGGGTTGGTGTAGCCAGCATCGTAGCATGTCACAAACGTTGAACCTATGTGCAACTGATTCTTCACTTTAACCCCCACTTCATCGCCTTGCCCACTAGCGCAGGAACGAGGGGCATGCCAAGCCTCGCGATCTGCAGGTGCAGCTTCGACAGCTTCCACGACTTTCGAGAAGTTTGTTTGTGACTTCATTTCGCACAACGCAAAAAACTGACTTTGTTCCTTCGACGACTGTACACAAACTTTTGGTGACCACTCGACTCCCAACTCTTCTTGGACGACTGCGACATCCCCGAAGTCAACCACCACCGACTGCCATCACCATGGCTCCACGCAGCAAGGTCTTCTTCGATATCTCCATTGGCGGCAAGCCAGCCGGCAAAGTCGTGTTCGAGCTTTACAATGACATCGTTCCAAAGACGGCTGAGAACTTCCGGGCTCTTTGCACAGGCGAAAAGGGCAATGGCAAGTCCGGAGTACCGCTCCACTACAAAGGCTCAGGATTTCACCGTGTGATCAAGAGCTTCATGATCCAGGGTGGTGACTTCACTGCGGGCAACGGCACTGGCGGAGAGAGCATCTATGGTGAGAAGTTCGACGATGAGAACTTCCAGCTCAAGCACGAGAAGCCGTTCTTGCTGAGCATGGCCAATGCCGGGCCAGGCACCAACGGCAGCCAGTTCTTCGTGACGACAGTGCCAACACCACACTTGGACGGAAAGCACGTCGTGTTTGGAGAAGTGATTGCTGGAAAGAGCATTGTGCGCGAGGTGGAGAACAACCCGACAGGCAGCAATGACAAGCCAGAGAAGGACGTTGTCGTCGAGGACTGCGGCGAGCTGCCAGAAGGAACTGACATCTCGGAGTTCACGAAGAAGGCGCCTGATAGCACTGGCGACACATACGAGGACTTCCCTGAAGATCAAGAGAAGGCAGGCGAGGAGTGGAAGGGCACGGAGATTGTGGAGATTGCGACGAACCTGAAGGAGATGGGAAACAAGGCATTTAAGGCTGGCGAGCTGGAGCTTGGTCTGTCCAAATACCAGAAGGCATTGCGGTACCTGCAAGAGTACCCGACACCACTCGACGGCGATCCAGCAGATCTCGGCGCACAGCTCACCAAGCTGAAGGTTTCGCTGCATACCAACAGCTCGTTGCTGCAATTCAAGCTGGGCCAGTACAGACCTTCATACGACTCGGCAGATAAGGCATTCCTCGTGGCCAACATCTCAGACGCAGAGAAGGCGAAGGCACTCTTCCGCAAGGGTGTCGCTCTGAAGGCTTCTAAGGACGAAGAAGGTGCACAGCAGTTCCTTGAGCAGGCTCATCAACTCGTGCCAAGCGATGCGGCGATCAACAACGAGTTGGCCGCTGTCAAGAAGGCTGCTGCTGATCGCAAGGCGAAGGAGCGCAAAGCCTTTAGCAAAGCTTTTGCGTAGATCCTCGCTTACGATTGACGATGATGGATGGTGTCTGGCAGGGACAAGGTCCGCCATGCGCGTACCGAAGACCATCTACCCCACAAGCTGTCTATGGTCTGCCACATGCCACGCGAACAGTGGCCGGTTTGGGACGAGGGCGCAAGCCTACATTTAGAGATGATGCTTTCTGACTAGCGTTTTGAGCATCAAATGAAAACGATCTTCCAAAATGGGAATTCGATCGATATGAGATCAGATGAGTACGACTGGAAAGACAAAAACTACAACCAATGAAATCCAATTGTGAATGTAATACTGTTGTTAGGTCTTGATCGAACTTTTCATTTGGCCTACTTGAGTGTTTCTCATCTTGATTGACAAAGTGGGCGTCGTGTGATCATTTGTGTCCGCCCGCAGACACAAGTCTCATTGCAATCGTTATGATCATAAGCTAAGATACATGTAACGGTCGAGGAAGAGATAGAGTCGGAAGACCTGCTTCCCCCTCTTCTTCCTCCTGCTTCGCATCCTTCATCACTCCCTCTCACCATTCGCGCCCGTGCGAAACCCCTTCTCAGGCTCCCATCTCCTCACGTCCTCTTCTAAGCTTTGACACAGCCCCATACTTCCTTCGACCAAGACGAACCCCAGGGACATGATTGATCTTGCAACCACGGTGCAATCGTTATGAGTGATTCGCGCTTCTCTTGTTGGATTCTATTATTCTGCTGCTTCTCCTGCTGCTGCTGCTGCTGCTGAGGACGAGGATTGTTAGGGAAGAGGTGATTCCACAGTACGTCTGAGATATCGAGTTGATGCAACGAGGGCTGGACTGCAGGGACCATGATATTGCGCTTTTGCTTTTGCTTTTGCTTTTCCTTGTTTTGCAGCGTTTCAAAGATGAGATTGTTGGTGTTCCACCATGGTTCGGGGATTCCGATCGTGGGTTTGAAGAGGATATTGTTATTGTCTGCTGCTGCTGCTGCTGCTGCGTTGCGTTTCCTCTCCTGATTCTGCTGAGGGGAGACGCAGCCCTAGGCTTCTTTTGTCCAGATTGTGCCTTTGGGGCAGGGTTCGGGCCACCACCATTCGGGGATTCCGATGGTTGGTTTGTAGAGGAGATTATTTTGGGCCGCGGCTTCTGCTTCTGCGTTGCGCTGGTTGATTCCTCTTTTTTCCTTTTGATCACTTGCTAGGATATGTAGTCCGGGTGTGTTTCACCATCCTTCGGGAAATACGATTGTTGGCATGTAGGGAAGAAAGTTTTGGGGTTCTGCATCGCGTCTGTTTTTCTTTTGGGAAGAGGTGCATGTGTATTCTTCTTGTGACCAGACGGAGCCTTTGGGACATCCCATGTTGCGTAACCATGGTGCGACACCTGGTCCGTCGAGGAAGTTGTCCTCGTGGAGTATTGATTTCAGGTTACGCTTGTTGTTGTTGGCTTTCTGGTGATCAATTAACATATGGGGCAGATTCCACCATGGCTCGATAAGGGAGGGTGTTTTATCGAAGTTCACGTGGTTGTCCCCAATTGCTTCGGCATTGCGTTTTGCGAGGCTGTATTCGATGGCCTGTTCGAGGAGGAAAGGGTCGATCGCGTTGATTGGTGATGCTGTCGCGGTGTTTGCGGCGATTGCAAGTAGGGCAGAAAGAGTAAAGTCTTAACGCGCGAGGAGGACTTTGTTAGCTGGAGTTTGGGGACTTTTTGATGGGACGAAAGAGGTATATAAGTGGTTTGGGATGTGTTGATAGGGTGAAGTGAGGATTAAGAACGTACATTTCATTGTTGGCAATGAATGTTGAGGATGGAAGATGAACTGTGGAATTGTCTGTTTTGGTTTTTCACCTTCATCCAGGCTCGTGCACCAGCATATATAGTCGCTCGCAGCCTCCCCGTTGTTGCTCTGTCGTGGCCATCGTCTTTGCTTGCTGGTGCTCACGTGCGCAGCCAACGTCCTTCTCTCCGAAGATAGTGGTGAATGTATGGCCGGCGATTTGGCTATGGCATTGCCAAGAAGCAGCCTAGCTCTGTTTTTGGACGTCTAGGTGCACTGGTGACGGGGTATGGACCATTGAGTTGCCTCATTTGGAACTGTGTGCTCGACGGTGGTTTGGCATAGCATGTCGTCGCCAGTGGCTTGAGATTTTGTGGCCGGATAAAACGCTTCGGTGTGTTGCAGAGAAGCGAGATGGATAGCTGTGACCAATTCGAAAGCCTGTGCACGGTGCGAAGACGCATCTGGACGGGCCTAGATGTAGGCAAAAAACCAACTGCTCCCGACCCGGTTCATCCTGGAGCCATGGTCTCGTGTCATGTCTCATTCCGCATTAAGTCGTACCTACTGTTGTACCTACTGTCGTGTGCTCATTTCTCCTAACCCCGCACGTGTCTGCACTTATGCTTCCAGCGACTGGTTCAGCGCTGTGAAGCCACCCTCAGGCGGCTGCAACCAATTCCTTTCGTCGTACTTATTCCCACCCTCGATCATATGGAACGTGTAGATCATCCTCCCTTTCTGACTCAAATTCCTCTCGCTCTTGTGTAGGATATTCCCGTGGATCAACACTAGTGTGCCCGCCTTCACTTCTCCGAGCACATACTCCTCTTGGTCTTGACCTACACCATCCTGCTTCTCGAATTCCCTCGGCCATTCCTCGCCATTCTCATTCGCGGCAAACTCCGTCCCGCTGTTGTCCTGTTTCCTCACAAACCTCTGCTTGATTGGCGCTCTCCTATGCGAGCCCGGCGCGAAACTCAAACATCCGTTCTCTACTGTGCAATCTTCCAACGCATACCAGAACCCCACTGCAGACGGCGGATTCGTGTACAGAAACACGCTATCCTGATGCGGAGGTACTGCGCCTCCGATTTCAGGCTGTTTGCAGATCACCATGCTTTGCAACACTCTGGGATCTTCGAAGCCCAGATCGCGCGCAATCGCCGCGTTGGCAGAGTTGATTGAAATGGATTTGAAGTGTGGGTTGAGCTCGTGAAGATAGTGGCCAATCTTGTTGATTGCTTTCTCTTTCGGTTTCGAGAGAGCGTTCGTTGCAGGATCGAAGGCGTCTTCTTCGAAGAAAAATCGTACCTTGTCACCAGAGGTGAGGAAGTAGTCATCGCCCACGTGGGAGGACTTTTCGCCTGTGCTGAAGCGGGTCATGGGATGGGTGGAGAGGTCGAAGTCGGAGAGCATGCGTTGGGATTCGGAGAGGAGGGTAGAGACTTGTTTAGGAGTGAGAGCGTCGGGTATGAGGAGATAGCCATTTTCGTGCCAGAACTGTTTCCGGTCGGCTGTGAGGCCAGCGGAGGTGGAGTCTGGGGATGGAGAGACGCGTGAAGGAGCCATGGTAATGAGTTGTTCGATAGGAGAGGTGGACACAGAGAATAGAAATGGTATACTTAGCAAAGGGTGGGCGGGCTGGTGTGAGATACTGCTGGACGTGTCGTCGGCCAGCTGCGAAGGATGATGAACAGCATTCAGCCTGTTCTGAAGGAGCGGGCTTCGAAGCGTTTCGGCCCGCCAAGCCTCCTGCTCTCTCTGCCAAGACTGTCTCGTTGCCTCACTCGATCCTAGGAGGTACTCCATCTCCAAGAACAATCCACACTTCTCTCGCGCATCTCAAATAGCTCGTTCACATGCGCCAGGTACGAGGCAGTGCGAATTCCCTTTCCGACTCCAAACCCGCCATAGCAGCGGGCGCTGTGAGCACAGCACTGAAGGTGTGGTGGAGGCCAAGGACCGCGGTGCAAATGCTCTCGCAACGTTTTCAGGACGAAGAGATCTATTCAAGTAATGATCACCCTGGACACAGCGTCTCGGAGACTCGATCAGTCGAATGTGGCAAGCATCGATGTCCACACTTGCCTCGAGACGCCTCTCGAGAACGCCTAAAAACGTGAGCATCATCGGCCACCCAGCCCCGTTCAGGGACTCCAACGCGATCTTCAAGCACTAGTCCAGGGGGCACAGTATTCTCGTTGCTTGGAACGACTGTAGTAGGGCGTGATGTGAAAAGAACCGCTGATAGAGTCCGTATTGCATTGGATGAAAGGCGATGAGGCGCGTTGAAGATGGCAAGCGAGAGGTATGACAAGAATTTTTCGTCAGACTTTCATGAGGACCATGCGACGCAGTTGAGAGAGTCTTAGACCAGGCACGTTGCTGGCGAATGGAAGTGGTGTCTTGAAATGGAGAGAATGGTTTATCAGACTTGTGCTTGTTGATGAACAGGAGTCTAGGCTTAATTACAGTGCATTCTGGATCGCGATCTTAAGCCCCGGCGGAATCTGGGGAGAAACATTCGTTGGCAACGCAAGAGCAGCACAGAACCCTCAGCAAGCATTTTCTCTAACTAATGGATTCCGGCTTGGACCACACACGCGACATGGCTCAACACTTCCTGCAATCCGGCTTCGTCTCTCGATGCTATACGTTTCCCCAAGATAGGAATGACCGGTCAACAAATGCCAATGAGGAGGTATCTCGAACAGCCTGCAGAACGTCGGACTTTTCTCCGCAGGGAAACTTCACCTTCCGTGAGTGGCAATCACAGCGGTTGCCCAGCGAGACTCGTTCAATTCATGATACCACTTTTGGAGTTGAACATGTACTGCGGCAACAAGCATGGTTCCTCCAACGACGTTGTCGCTCCGAGTTCTAGAGTCCTGCCAAGATGAGCGATACTTTGAGGCCTGTCTTTGGCATACCACATCAGCTCACCTTGTCCGGCAGAGTCTCATGCGGCTGTAGCCACGTGGTGAACATGTATGATGTACCTTCGCTAATTGCCCAAACAGAGCAGACTAAATTTGAGGCCGGTATGAGGCGTCCAGTTTGAGTTCGACGCAGCGCTTGGCGGCAAACAGTCCTAACGCTTCAATCATCCTTCGATGCAGGTGAAACAGAAGATTAAATTTGACGCATAGCAAGCATTTGATTCTGCATCACCGCGAGCTCATCTATGTGCAAGTCGGAGCCTGCTGAAGCACGCACCATTCTCTTCTGCGCGCCGACTATCTTGGAGAACGCCGCAAATCTTGGCACATCTAGAACTAGCGGCTTCTAGGTCCAGATGCAAGCCATCCGCTTTTGTCGCTTGACATGACCCAATCTGGCGATGGGAGGGAGAAGTTCTAAGCGACCGCCATAGTGTGTAGCCTATCATGCCTGGAAGAATGGCGCTTCGCAACTTCGAGATCAGGCCACTGCCACGCCTGGAGTCATGACTAGCGTTTTCAAAACGCGAGGACCAAGCCTGGCGCAGTGTCACCAGCGCGGTCAGGCGTGTCTGGAAGACAAGGAGTTTGTCGTCTCGTACAAGATGCGCGACAAACAGCCTCCACGAGTACATGTCGTGTTTGTTGTGTCGGTTTGATTGCTTTCTCCTCACGAGATGACGAGAGTATCTCTCACCTTGGCCTTGGGCCTTCTCTGGCTTTTTACATTTGGCGTCGTGGACGCGACGCCATGCACTCAAAAGTACAGGGTCATCGTCAACTTACTATCGGAAAACCAGCAGGCCCGCGAGTACTGCTCCTCCTTGCCCTCCAGCCAACGATTCGATAGCAACAAGAGCCCAAGTGCCTTAAAGCTTACAAGTACGAAGTCATCAAGACCATCTGCGATTGCGTGAAGCAGAGATGCGACAAGTTACCGAGATGCTATCTTCCCCAGTCTACATGCCGGAAGCCTTGCGGGGGTTACTGCGCGAGCCTGGGCAATGACGAGAACAACTGCGGAACCTGTGGCACCGTATGCGGATCTGGGCAGAAATGTATCGGTGGGAAATGCACGACACCTCAGCCGACTTGCCCAAAGCCTACGAAGTGGTGGTGCGATGGCGCATGTGTCGATCGCAGGACTGACAAGAATCATTGTGGTGGCTGCGGACAAAAGGTATCTCTTTTCCAACCACCAACCGTCGTCACCAGCATACTGACCAGGTCTTCATAGTGCGGAGGCGACCTTATATGCCAGAATTCCAAATGCAAGACCCCATGCAGAGAGGACGCAGTGTTGTGCAATGGCGTTTGCGTGTACAAGACATCCTTATCCAAAGACAGAGACCACTGCGGAGATTGCAACACAAAGTGCACCGACGGACAATCGTGCGTGCAAGGCAAATGTGTCACCACGCCTGTCACCTGTTCTTCGGGGTTCGAGCTATGCGATGGCGGCTGCAAGAAGAAGGACACATACGCTTCGGATCCCTTGCATTGCGGCAAGTGCAATGTGAAGGTAAGTCTCTCCTCCAACTCGCGTAAAAGGTAGCATCACTGACCAAGTATAGTGCTCCGGTACGACCAGGCGCTGCAAGAGCGGAACCTGCGTTGAATGCGGCGACTCTTCCGACTGCGAGATCGGAAAGCTTTGTCAGAACAACGTTTGTGTTACACCTCCTGAGTGCACAAATGACAACGAGTGTTCGAGGGCTGGAAAAGTCTGCAAGTCTGGCCGCTGCGTGGACGAGTGCAGAACTGCGATCGATTGTTCAGGCGGAAAGATCTGCTCCACTGATAACAAGTGCGTGACTCCGCCGACGCCTGAGCCTGAGTGCTCAATTTTTAAGGCTTGCACTGGCGGGAAAAGTTGCCAGGAAGGCGTCTGCGTGTTGCCGACACCTGAGTGCTCGCAAAGCAAGACTTGTACCGGCGGGAAAATCTGCCAGGAAGGTGTGTGCGTCTTACCGACGCCTGAGCCCGAGTGTTCGCTTTCTAAGGCTTGCACTGGTGGGAAAATCTGTCGGGAAGGCGTTTGCGTGTTGCCGGACCCCGAGTGCTCTGAGACCAAGGCTTGTACTGGCGGAAAGAGCTGCCAGGAAGGTGTGTGTGTTCTACCGATACCTGAGCCCGAGTGCTCGCAAAGCAAGGCCTGTACAGGCGGGAAAATCTGCCAGCAAGGTGTGTGCGTACCACCGCCGCCCGAGTGTTCTGAGACCAACCCTTGTAATGCGCCGGCGACTTGTTTGGAAGGCGTGTGCATAGTTCCGATCCCGCAATTATGCTCCATGACTTCGCAATGCACGAAGACAGGAGAACTTTGCAACGATGGCGTTTGCGGTCAACCTAAAACATGCATCTTTGGCACACCTGTTTGTCCAGCTGGGCAACAATGTCAGCCTTTTGGTCAGACTCCAGGAACAGGCATTTGCCAGGAAGTCACGCAAAGGACTTGCAGATTTAGTGCTACGTGCCGTTCCGGCGAATCATGTATCGGGGAAGTTTGTAAACCGACGCCATCGAGCTGTAATACGGATCTTGGATGCGGCGAAGCACGAATTTGTGATCAATCTAGCTGCATCGAGGGCACGGTATGCTCTGACCAAAGCACTTGCCAGGGGAGCGGCAAGGTTTGTTTCCGTGGCTTCTGTCGAAGTCTTCCAACGGCCTGTTCGAGCAACAATGGATGTCCAACGGGCTTCAACTGCGAACAGCAAGCATGCGTGCCTGTACCCAAGCGTTGCGACAGTGCAAGCGACTGCTCTGCCACCGAGAGCTGTCTCGGCAACACTTGTTCGACACCGCCAAGCACTTGTCGCGACGATGGCGAGTGTCCAGCTACTTGCTCACTTGATTCGCAATGCGGACAAGCCTGGATCTGTGGCTCAGCTATGACCTGTGTAGCAGCGACAACTTGTACCCTCACCTCGCAATGCGCCCCGGGTAGTCCAAGGAGAAACTGTATAGGAGAGCTTTGTTTGACTCTACCAGCTACATGCCGCGGCGATGCAGAATGTGGGGAGAAGTGGTGGTGCGATCGGGCTACTGGATCTGGAGTCTGCACCGAAAACAAGCAGTGTGACAACGCAGGGCAATGTGTAGAGGGGCAGAGCTGCATCGCTGGCAACTGTCGCAATCCACCAGCTTCATGCGACGAGGACGCCGTATGTCCTGCCGGCCAATACTGCCCAACCACTCGCGATCCGGAAGAGACGAGGACGTGCAAGACAAGGCCTGTGTCACCGCCCACACGCTCCTGTAATCTTTACAACACTGGCGTGTGCTCTAGCGACGAGGGCTGTCTGCTGACGGCGGGCTACAACGGAGAATGCAAGCCGCGCACGCTCGGTCGCTCTTGTCCCACTGAGCCTAACAATTGTCTCTCGGACGAAGACTGCTTCGAGGGCTCCTGCAGAGAGAAGTGCACCACATCCGCAGATTGCTCTGTTGGGACTTGTGATAATCCCTCTGGATACTGTTTTGATTACCAGCGTTGCGAAAGCGCCGAGACATGCCCGTCAACGCAGAGCTGCATTGGAAAAAGATGCCAAGACCCTCCCTCGACCTGCTTTCAAGATAATCAGTGTCCTTTCGATCAGATATGCGCCGCCGGCTCAAGACCTGAGGACCCAATGACGTGCAAACCAAGGCCTTTGAGCCCGCCCCAACGATTTTGCACGGCTAGCAACACAGGCGAGTGTTTAGCGGACGAGGGTTGTCTGCTAAATTCCGTCGGACAGGGAATGTGCAAGCCGCGAACGCCCAATCGTTCTTGCTTCGATGGTTGTTTCACGGACGAAAGATGCCTCGACGGGAGCTGCAGAGAAATATGCTCCTCGTCAGCAGAGTGTTCTGTTGGCACTTGTGACACTTTCTACCGCTTCTGCTTCGACGGCTTTCAATATTGCAAAACCGCCGACAGATGTCCTGCAACACAAAGCTGCATCGACAGAAAATGCCAAAATCCACCTGAGGCTTGCGGCGATAACAGTCAATGTCCGTTCAACCATGAATGCGCTGAAGGCGATTATCCCCGAAAGTGCCAGCCGAAAGACTTGAGACGGAAGTGTACGGCTTTGAGCTCCGAATCATGCTTGGAAACAGAGGGCTGCAATGTTCTCGCTGGCCTCTGCGAGGAGCGCACATTGGACCGCATGTGTTCGAATAGCGACGCATGTTTTCCCGATGAAGGCTGTTGGTACGGTGAGCTTGTGTCCGCGGGCCTTTGCAGAGTCGATTGCCAACAGACAATGGGTCTCTGTCCTGCATCCGGCCTGAATTGCCAAGAGGGCTTCTGTCAACCGGGACCACCACCTGCTCGCTTCTGTAACCGGGACGATTCGAGTCAATGTCTGGCAGGAGAAGGCTGCTCTGAGATGGCCCGGACCTGCGAAGTCAGAAACGATCGAACATGCGGCGCACATCAATAATGCTTCATGGATGAACTGTGCGTTCGCAGTTTAGACGAATTCGGCAGGTTGATTGGCCACTGCCAACAGAGGTGTCAGACAAAGGGCTCATCGTCCGGCTGTGCCAGCGGCAAAGTATGCAAGGAGGATTTCGTGAACGGCGTCGAGAGTGTCCTCGTGTGCCAAGTTCCACCGGCGCCAGGCACTTGCACTTTTGCAGACCGTAGCGGATGCTCGCCAACCCAAGGCTGCCACGGAGCCTCCGGCCGCTGTCGAGAGCGGACACCAGACCGGTCATGTTCTGTCGCCACCGATTGCCTCCTAGGCGAGTCATGTGATTCTGTTGGTAGCGGACAACGTCGTTGTCAAGAAGTATGCAAGAATTATGGCTCCCTCACTGAATGCCACGGGGAGTTTTCGTGCGGATCCAATAGCCGCTGCATCCCGAAGCGCGGTTGCACAATATCCGAAGAATCAACTCAATGTCTCCCGCAGGAGCAATGCACGCGAGGGGGATTGGACGAACAAGGTGTTTGCGTTGATCCGACATTGACGAGATCTTGCGTTCATTCGTCCGATTGGAGTCGCTGTGTAACGAACGAATACTGTGACCACAACACTAATCGGTGCAGGACGTTCATGAACATGAAACAAGGATGATCGTTAATGTAATATGTTGGGTTTGATGCTCGAGATTCGGATGTAGATCCGCAGTCGGGACTACATTGGGTATCGCTGGCTCTAATGAAAATGAAATGATTTCTGCTGCATTTACGCCCTTCTCAGCAGATCTACTGTTACAAACGCAATTCTGTTGACACAAGACTTTTCTTCGAACTCCCCTCTGATGATCAGTGTAGCACGTAATACATCTTTTGTCTTTCGTTCACCTCTTGCAGCACTCCCAGAACCACGGCGGCCGCCTGTTGTACCCAGCCACCAGCCTTCTCGCCTCGATTCTGCACTGATTCTCCACCAACATCGTCCCTTTCAGCTTCAATGTAGATCAGGTGCTCCCATAAAGCATCACACTCATGCTGAAGAGTACGCACTTGTTTCTGCAGCAATGTCTGCGTTCGCTGCGCAATCGAAAGCTTGGTACTAGCCATAACATTCTGGGCTTCCAGGACTGCTTTGTCTTGCTCCAGATCATCTAACTCGGCTTGAAGCCCCTCGTTCTTGGCTTTAAGCTGAGTCAGTCGTTGGCGCTGGTCGTCTTTTTGCTCGCGGAGCCGTGAAATGCTGCGTTCGAGGTCGGTATGTAATACTAGGGGGTCGGAGGAAACAGATGCAGCTCGATCATGCGAAGACGTCGCTTGGTCCTCGAGCCCGCTGTCTCGCCGTTGTCTGCCAGTTGCCAGCTGCTTGAGGTTGGCTTCACTTTTCTTGTATTTGTGTAAGAGCTCGTCGTACTTCTTTTTCCAGTTGGAGTTGTCCTGCAGTGACGACTTGGAGTCGCGCTTCGCTGCTTTGGGCCGGTCCAGCACTTGCGACAGGTGGGACTTTGGGCCGTGATCCAAAGCATACCACGGAGATGAGTGAGGTGGTGGCCCGAGTCTTGCTGGATATTTTTGCCGGATCAATCGATCGTTTTCCGCCTCAGTCTTGCTCAACTTCTCTTCCAGCCGATTTATCTTGAGTGTCAATGATTTTTTTTCGGCCGCTGCTGCGGTTAGTTTCGAATTTTGCTCCACATATTCGCACTGCAGAAGCTGATTGAGCCTGCAGAAGTCCGCAACGAGAGACGACTGCGACTTCGCTTCATGGACGCGAGACTCATAGTCTCTCAGCAGCTGTCTGAGTGTTACGATATTGGATGATACGGTGACTACCGAGAGATGAGGATGAGCCATGTCCATTGCGATTCGATGCATATCAGCTGGTATGCCATCGTTAATGGCAGCTAGCCAGTGGCACAAGGCTGCGAGAAACTTGTCAATCTCAGATTGTCTCTGCATGTTGGGATGTAGTGATCTGGTAGTGCTTGGGCACTGAAGAAATTTTGGTACTGCAAGGACGATCGAAGAGCTGATGTGCTGATGACTCCTGAGAGCACATGTATGCTTTACTTTATAGGGTACTGGAACTGGTGAAACTGAGGCTTGATGTCCAATTTCTGCGACTGCATGTTTTGCATGTTCATAAGATGAGAGCAATCTTTCGGCGACACCTGTCTCGCGATGTAAGACTGCAAGCTTACGTTAGTGAGAGATAGGCGTCCCTCAACGATAGCGTGCGGGCAAATTCGTAAGAGCTTGAGACAGGCGAACGACATTTGAGCTTGTTGTCTAGATGTTGATGCAGGTGTTGTTGCGGGAAGCGACGTCGGCACGGATCAAATGTTCGCCCGAACAATGCCAAGCATCGCAGTCCTACTTCCCCTGCTGGCTACATGTAACCATTCACATCCGAGCATCAACAGCATCTCATCATTCGCATCGTAGGCTATGGACCCCGACGCTCCTACTCTCGAAGTTCCCTCCTCTCCGCCCATCTGGCGCTGGGTCATCGGCTTCCTCATGGTATTCACCTACCCAACTTCCAAGCTCTCCATTTCCGTACCACAAACTCACAAACCTCCAGGTCGGAGCCTGCTGGGGCTTAACAACACCCTTCATGCGCAAAGCCGCAGTCCTACGAGACGCTGCACCTAAGCCTTCCCGACCCTACCTCACGGACCCAAACGTGCCCTGGATAAAACGAAAGTTCTTTGGAATTGCTTACGCCGTGATTGATCTACTCAGGAGTCCAAGATATGCGATCCCACTGTTGTTGAACGTCACGGGTAGCATTTGGTTTTTCTTGTTGATAGGGCAGGCCGGTGAGTTTGTTGCCATTCACTTTCGTTCTGCCAAGACTTCGCTGGAATGCATCCTTTGCTGACCTTTGCGATACAGAACTGAGCTTGACAGTTCCCATCACAAACTCACTGGCATTCCTGTTCACTGTCTTAGGAGAATGGTGGGCAGATGGCAAAGTCATATCACGGGACACTTGGCTCGGAATGGGATTCGTGTTGGGAGGGATTGCGTTGTGTGTTCATTCAAAGACTTCATAGCAAGCCTCTATTTGCTGCGAGAAAGATTCTTCGCACGCTCTCCACCTGACTTCGTGTTCTTGATCTGCTGCTTGCTTTTTGCTCAGAACGCTTCAAAAATGGTTGCAACTCAGCCACAAGCTCTATTTTTACAGTTGCGTCGGCCCTGAGCTCGTCTCAAGCCCAAAATCGCAGTCATGTAGGCCGAGGAAGAACTTGTGTCGCAATGTCGCAATGTTACAAACGTGCTGCCTCATGCCAGTCTCAAATCTCAATGTCAATGTCCAAGTCGAGGCCGCCGATAACATCATCATCCATTGTCTTCTTCTTGAGAGCGCCAATCGGACCTTTGACGGCGCCGTTGAGCGGAATATCAGTGCGTCTCTTCGGTGTGCTAGTGCCATTCGTGGCCGGGGTGCCCGCTCGGCTGGTGGCAGGAGTGTCTTCGCCGAACAACTCCTTGTCTTGTGATGATCGTCTAGCTTTGGCCTTTGCGTGCACCTTTTCTCTCACTTCTGCCGTCTTTCTGTCATATGCTTCTTTGCGGGCCCTCTCGATCTTCTGTCGCTCCTTGATCAATGCCTGGCGGACTTCTTGCTGATTCTTGGCCCGATTTTGCCTGTTGAGAATGGCCAGACTCTCATGCTGCGCCATGGGTTTCGCAGGACTGGCCTGATCCTTAGCCTTGACCTTTGGTGCGATCTTCGTTCCTCCATTCGCAGCACCATTCTCGAGCGCCTGAAGTTCGTCGTCACATCTAGCAACCTCCTCTTCGTCCATATTTTGCTCAGCTTCAGCACGGCGTTTCTCGATGTCCTTGCGCTTCAGCTTGGCTTGGTGCACCGGATCGTATTTGAGCTGTATCGCCCGCTGCTTGGCAAATTTCTGATTCAACATCTCTTCTGTGAAGTGGAGATTGATGAGACCGTTGATATCGTCCAGCTTCTTAACCAGGAATCGTCGAGATGGCGGCTTCATGTTCTCCTTCTTCAGCGTGTCGACATAGCGACCATATTCAGACTCTGTGATGTGGCCGTCGGAGCAAGCTTGGAATGGCCAAGGCTTTTCAGAGCTGCCTTGGGCCACGATGGCATACTGATCGGTTGTGAAGGTCTTTCCAGCCGAGTTCTCCAACGTGTATGGCTTGCCCTCTATGACTTCCTTGATTTGGCACATGCGATACATCGTCTGGCCAGTCTCGCGATTCTGTCCGATGGCAACTCGTGCAAAGCAACCGCGGATGGCTTGCTCGAATCCTGGATAGAAGCAGACGCGAGCGAATGCGCTACGACCGATACGTGTGCGATCGAAGTCCTTGATTTCGGCCGCGGGATCGTCCTTGCGCTCTGGTTCGGCTGCCCATTCGACTTCGCTCTCACCATCGGCATCCCGGTCCGAGCCATGCGATGATGGCGATCTCTCGTCTTTGCGATCGTCTCGAGTGCTAGCCAGGCGATCTCGCTGCGCGCCCTTCTCCTCTCTTGCCTTCCGGTATGAGTCCAAAGCGACCTGCTTTTCCGTTTTCGGACGAGTAGTGCGCCTGTTGTTGTCCTCAAGATCTGCGGCAGCTGCCTTTCGCTTCTGCTTGCTGGCGGCTGTGCTAGCCAACGCCCTCTTAAGGAGCTGGTCTTGAGTGCGTCGTGTAACCTCTTCAGCGCGACTCGCCAGAAGCTCTTCTCGCTGAATTTCCGACAACCCGAGCACATAGGATTTGTCCTGTTCCGACTCGTACTTGCCCTCCAGCGGGTATAACGGCTTCATATCCTCGTCGTCCTCGCCAGGCGCATCCGCTTCGTCATCGTCGTGCTGAACCGATTCAGGTGACCCAGGCGTGAGCGAGCTACAAACCATTCAGTCAGCAAGGTCACCGGATCGCATGCCATCAATTATGCAGTGGGTAGCCATCGAGAGCGGCGAACGAAGGCCTGACAGTGCCAGAGGGGCACGGTTGGGACACTTACGCGACATCATCTTCGTCTTCGCTTGGTTGTCTGACCTTCCTTTTGCCCCGCTTGGCTCTCACTTTCTGTGCGACACCCTTCTTTCGCTCTGGTGCCTCCTCAACCTTCTCCACGCTCGGCTGCGGCTCTTCGGCGCCTGAAAGCTCATCGAGCTCAGCCTGTTCCAGTCGCTCAAAGTCGTCGACGCTACTCTCGTCACCGCTGTCATCGTCACCAACCAAGCCCAAAAGTTCCTCGTCCAAGTCGGCCATGATGTCGAGTTATAGAATCGAGTCTGCCGAAGGTGGACGAGTCACTGCCGCTAAGAGCGGGTGCAGAGAGATTCTTTGACCGTCGCCGCCGTTGGACAAAGCTGTCGCTGGTGCCGTTGGGTACGGTGCAGATCAAAGAACGACGGTCGGTTGGTTGTAAGCGTGATGTCGGCGCAGAAGAATGTTGTTCAGTAGTGATTCTTGGTGGTCGGGAGCAAGCCTGCAACTTTTCAAAGTGCGGCGGTGGGTGGTGAGAGAAAGGGCGAGTGTCTGTTGTAGATGGGTAGTAGTTGTGAATGGATGAAGTTGAGAGAGAGGTAGAGTCGCGGCGACGTACCAAAGAAGCCAAAAGCGACAAGCGACAATGGAGGAACGTGCCATCCCTGCATAAACTCTAAACCTATTGTAGTGGTTGCGGCTTCAATGACGACTTTCTTTCCCATTCACCTCATCTTCTTCTATCATCACATGCCGAGTCCATACTGCCATACAGGCTAATCCTGTGAAAACTGTACTGAATCCGCACACTGAGGGATCCTCACATGATGGGTACAGTATCACCCACATTGCCACTCAAGGCCCGCCTCACACCATTGGCCTTCCAGCTGCAAAGTCGCCGCGCCTTCAGGACGACATCCCGACTACGATTACAGGACGAAAAGCAACCGGAAACACTGGACAGAAAGCATGCGCCGCGAACCAAACCACTTACTGAAGCTCAAAAGAAATTTCTCGATTCCGCACTCCGAGTCAACCAGGCAGGCGAATTAGCAGCGACCTTGATTTATACCTCGCAAACTCCTCCGGTCATCAAAGCACATCCACACCTGCGACCGTTGATGAGACATATGTATGACCAGGAAGAAGGGCATTTCAAGAAATTCAACGAACTGCTTGCCAAACACCGCATACGACCGACTGCGATGTATCCCGTCTGGCATGCTGCTGCCACTGTCCTCGGTTGGGGGACAGGTGTGCTAGGTCGAGAAGCTGCGATGGCTTGTACTGAGGCGGTAGAGACAGAAATTGGGGACCATTATAACAGTCAAGTGCGAGAGCTATTGTCGTGGTTCAAGGACATGGAAGAAAGGGGAGAGGAGCCCGGGGAGGAGTTGAGAGAGTTGATCAAGGACATCAGACGGATACGAGATGAAGAATTGGAGCATCTGGATCATGCAGTCGAGAACGACGCGAAAGAGGCGAATCCATATGAGCTTTTGACTGGAGTCATCAGAGGTGGCTGTCGAGGCGCGATCTGGATAAGCGAGAAGATATGACAGTCGCAAAGCCAACGAGGCTCTTTGATGACAAGGGCCTTCACTTCAACAGGGATTGATTGCGGAGCCAGCGCACCCAATATCTCCCTCAACCTTTAAAACCAGACCCATGCTCGACGTAGCAGTATTGCAGTGTCGAACCACGCTACTCTACACGATACTTCTTGAACTGCCTTGTCGGAACATCCCTCGAGAACATGATGTCAAGTTCCTCGTACGTCCTTCCCTTCGTCTCCGGTATGCGAAAGTACGCCCAGACAAGCGCGATAGCCGAAAGACCTCCATAGAAGAATCCGATCTTGCCGCGCATGTCCGCCTGATCGGCATTCAGCATGTAGGGTATGGCCACCGTCATCCCGATCGCGAGAAGAGCTTGTGTAGCTGTGGCGACAGCGATCGTCTTACTGCGTACTTTCGTTGCGGAGACTTCACAGAGAATGACGAAGCACACGGGGCCGACAGAGAAGTCGTAGCAAAAGTTCCATACCAGCATGAGGCTCGACTGTGCCCATATAAGAGGCTTGTTCTCCTCATATCCAGGAATGCAATCCAGTATGCCAATGAGAATCATAAGAACGACCAGGAGAAGCAGCCCGAGGTTGTAAATCTGCCGTCTCCCGAAGCGCAAGAGCAGGAACCAGGAGAACAGTGTACCGAGGAATCCCAGCGCCAGAAACCCACAGCTCATGCCGAACGCGTCTCTTGTTGGCAGTCCCGCCAGCTCGAAGAAGTATGTCGCATACCCAACGAGATAAACTCCGGAAATTACTTGGATGCTGTAGACTCCGATCGCGATTTCTGTTCTGCGTAGATTGATCTTCTTGAAGCAGTCCCGATATGTGCTCCCAGCTTCCATTTCCAGCTCGAGTCTATCGGTCTCGATGATCATCGCCAAGGTAGGTCGGACATCAACCTTGTCGCTCGCTAGCCGCTTCAAAGCTTGTTCTGCTTCCGCGATACGATTCTTTCTTACGAGCCACCACGGACTCTCCGGAGCCAAAGGCCAGCCTATCAGAATGACAGCAGGCCATACCCATTGAGCAGCGAAAGGTGCTGAATATGCCCAGTGCGAGTCTAACTGGCTTGTTCCTGCGATCACTCCATTCGCGATCAGTTGTCCCATGACGAAGCACAAATTGACATAACTCGTCAAGAGACCTCTCAGCGCCACTGGACAGACCTCTGATGCATAAGCTGGAGCAATGACCGCGTATGTTCCCAGGATCAGTCCGCCTAGCAGTTCACCCACTAGCAGAACCGGAAGCGAACGAGCAAAGAATTGTATGAAGATGAATGCCGCAGTGAGGATCACGCAAACACCAAAGGTGCGTTTACGACCATACCATTCAAGCGGGTATGCGGCGGAGAAGGCTCCAACGACTTGTCCTATGGGATTGCCCATCGAGAGGCCGGTCTGCCAGGGTGCGGAAATTATGTAGCTGCCTTCGTAGAGGTAGCCGAAGTCACGTTGGAAGGCTGGAGTTGCGTAGAGGTTTCCGAGCAGTTGTGGATCGAAGGCTGTCATGAGGATCCCAAGGGAGAAGAAAACACTCCAGCCTGGGGACAAGGTATGACATTAGACACCCTCTCTCTACTAATATAGGGGACGTATGTCCTCACCTATCGCCTTCGGATATAGTTTTAGAGTTTCGGTGAAGGGGAGATTCTGCTCGTACTCGATCGCTTGACGTGCCTCGTCGCCTGCCACAGCACCTATCCTGATGCCGCCTTTGATGCTTGTGGCATGTTCTGCATCGTGGTCGGCCATGTTGTTTCGTGACAAAAGCGGCTCAGTCTCGACAGAATCGCCCTATGACCTACTGTCAGTAACACAAGAAGTACAAGCAACATCGTTGAATGGGCTTGGATGAGCTTACATGGTCATGAGGCGAGCGGCCAGACGAGGCCATAATTGGCAGCTGGTTTGTCACTCCATCGCCAGGTTATCGAGAGTGATAGCATTCGCCTATCATTGACAGCTATCCCCAGTCCGCAGATGTTCGGTATCTGGTATCAGAACCAATTGTGGAGATGTAAGGAAGTGGAAAGAGGCGAGGTGCACGAAGCTCGCGTCGCGTCGGCCGGGGCCATGCCCCGCGCTGTGATCAACTTTTGCGAAAACAATCACGTCGGCTGCCAACAAAACAGCCAATTCAACTATCAAAACTTCTGCGGATAAGCGAAAGATGAACTGGAACGAGACTTGAGACGAGAAGGATGTGATGTTTCGTGAAAGCGAGGCGATTGCACGCCTGATGAAAGTGCGAAGCTGATCCTCAGGAAAGGACGCGTTCCTTCTCACTAATCGACATCGACAAGAGGCACATCTCTATCACCAATAGGGCTCGAGGACACCATGGCAGAGCTCAGGCTCCGCCTGAGGATCGCTGGCCTCCCCGGCCGAAACGCCTTCGAAGCTGCATCTTGGTGGCATAGATCACTTCCGAAGCGATCTTCCGCGATAGCAACACGATCACCAAGACCACCAGAATGGACGTCCCTGCTACTGTGAACGACGCGAAGCCTCGTGAAGCTGCCCAGAAAGAATGCCAGTGTCGATTGTCAAGTCCTCCCACGGCCAAGGTTACCTGCATCGCATTGAGGACGACCGATGTAACAGCGAAGACGAAGAGCAGCGGAGCGTAGAAGGTCTCGAGGTAGTCTTTGTATCTGCCGTCCGTGTACCTGTAGTGCCATTTGCGGAGGAAAACCTTCACCAGCATATTGAGTCTTGAGAAGCGGAGCTCGCCATAATTCTGGTATCGTGGACTGACCATGCCTGGATCTGGATCCTCGAAATCGGCGATGAACTCATTGAAGCCCAACCAGTCTAGCTCTTCGGGTATCAACTGCAAATGCTCTGATTGTGCGAGACGAAAATCGCTTTCATGCCGGATGAGTAGCGCGTAAGATCTCAGGAATCCTCGCGCAGCTTTCGATATTGCGGCAGATTTTGGGTCACAGTGCGCTGAATTGAGTAGTCGCTCACGAAATTCACTGTCAAGCAAGTATCCCGGTAGTGGCTTGATATATATCGCGCGATGGTGCCAGACAAGATGGAGTCCCGGATCCTCCATGATCACAATTTCTCGCCCGCGAAGTCTCTGCTGATGGAGCGGAGTGATGTTCGTGCATGACGGCGTGGACATCAACCACAACCAGGGTGAAAGCTCATCGAGATCAGGAGTAAGAAGGTCGTCGGAAAGAAAGTGTACGGTATCAGTTTGCGTCCGGATTCTAGGATGTCCGGGTATGCCGCCAACGCCTTTCATGGAATCTGAGCTAATCGATCCATCGGACTTGATATGGCAGCCGCTGCCCTTCTCATCGGCATCCATTCTGGAACTTCGCCGTCTTCCTGTCGTGCCACGCCCAAGACCAGATGTGCATTTGCTGTGCAGTCGTCTGCTCTATAGAAGTACATCAGGGTCAAAAGACTGCGCAGCGCTCCTAGATAATGCGAGGCGCAGTCAGTGCGGCCTCAACAGCTACAGAGTTCCAGTACGGTTTCACGCAGGACTGCGCAGCAAAGCTTCTCCTTGGAAGGAGCACGCCACACCTTGGCACGCTGCCCATGTGACCGACCGAACATCAAGAGGTGGCATTTCACAGTTCGAAAGTTACGAGCTCCAGAATCCATCGCCTTTCACACGCAATCTTCGGGTACGCCGCGCAGCAGTCAACGCAACGTGGCTCGACAGCTATGGGTGCCAACGGATCATGGGGATTGAAAATCTGGAGCGGTGAGCGAGACGTTGATCGACCGGGGCCCGAGAACGACATCGAAGTCGAGTATGTTATGATCATGCCTATGAACGGACTAGAATTGACACAGGCAGCATAATACTTGTGCAGGGACTTGCCTCTGATCCAATCTGGGCTTGGCGTAGCCAGAAGCCACGTCCTGCTCGAGAAAGAGCTGCAAGACAAACGTCAGGGTCGGCGAGTCTCCACGCTTTGGTAGATGACAGATACTGCTTCTGGCCGCGAGATTTACTCCCGATGGACATCCCTCGTGCTCGCATCTGTACGTACGCATACCATTCTCAACACCAGAGTGCCCAATTCACTACAAACATTAGCGAATGTGGCAATCAAATGCTATACTACTTGAGCGTGAAACGCGATACTGGTCGAGTGAGTTCGCTTTGAACTTGTGCGACTTCCTCGCTGAGATCATTCTAGGCTCGAAGGCGGCCCATCATATTCGTTGGACACAGTTTTGGCGGTTTGGTAATACAATCAGTATCACAATCTTTCATGTTCCACACTTTGGCAAGTGCTTTTCGACTAATTTGTATACAGGCTCTGGCCACCGCTAGAAGTGATGGTCGTTTTCACGGAATTGCCGAATGCTGTGTTGGCATAATATTTCTCGGCACACCATTTCGAGGCACACCCTTTGCTGGTCTTCTGGACTTCTTCAACAGAGGTCGACGCAACAAGCAGCCTGTAATTGAAGCATTGAAGCCGGACAGCAAGGAGCTGCAAGACCTACAGCAGCGATTCCGGGCCTCTCTCAGGCCAAACTCTCCTCGCATCGTCTGCTATTATGAAAGTTGAAGACCATAGTCTGTAATAAGCCTCCATCGTAACACTCGTCGCGCTGCTGATCATAGTGTAGCTGGTCTCGCAAGAGTCTGCATGCCTGCCTGGTGCGTTGCACGTGGCCATGCACGCAGATCACAGAGGCATGAACAAATTTTCCGGATCTGACGACCCAAATTACATTCAACTTCGCCTTGAACTAAACGTTATGTGCGGCAGGGCGCTTGAATTTCTGGCCCAGCAACGCCGAATAGATCCCGTCACTGGTGTGGGGATCCCTACCCGTCCTCACGATCAACCTCAAGCGACTTCTTCGAAGCCTACACCTCAGCCTTCATCTTCTCAATCTCTGCCGAGTCCGACGCACCCGTTGCCTGCCCTATTCCGACGTGATCTGGAGGACGACGAAGCATCAATGGAGGACCACGAAGCAGAGCGACATCGATATGACTCAGACAGCATTTTTCTAGAGGTGGATGCAAGTTCTCTTACCGAATTTGTCACCCAATTTCGCTACCTTCTGAGGCAGCCTGCCCCGAGCATGATACCCACATATCATCTGGGTCTCTTAGAAGAAATGGCAAAAATCGCGCGAGTCTTCTATACTCGTTGTCCTCTCTTGTTCTCGATGAGCACTCGAGAATGCATCAGGTACGGCAGTGACGTCAGTCACGGTGTCGACAACAATCCGGGCTTAGGCACAATATGTTCAAGCAAAGATATTCGACAGGTCATCAGCGTCACTACTGCTTTCTTCAATGCATTGGTACGGGCTTCTCAGGCGCGCCCGTGACTTTCGCTGACACCATTGCAGGATTCAAGAGTGTTGACCAAAGGCGACGTTCGTGCCATCGTTCGACAGCGATTCCTCCAGATGATGATCTTGTTGCTGTCAATGCTGAGCGAAGCTGACGCGTTCCACATATCATCCTTGCTCCGGAACACCTATAAAATGAGGACGTATAGAGCGGATCTGGAAATCTTGTTCCTGAGGACAATACCACTGTCTGCGGTCAATCCAAAGGTTTTCCTGTTCTACTCGGTATCTGCTGTGGTTGGCCAATCCCTACCGGATTTAGTCGGGCACAAAGCCTACTGGGAGTATTTGCTACAGGAGCTAGCGAAACAAGGTTATTTGCTGCCGGTGAACTTCATCGAGCTTCGCGGTGACACACAGACCTGGCTACCAACGTGGCCGAACGAAGGGCATCGCTCAAACGGTGTATTTGGGAGGCTACAGTTGCACGGTGAAGAGCCGAGAGGGTTTAACGAGACTCTGCCCTTCATTGTGGAAGGCCCCGACTATCCTGATGACTATGTATCCAGGAAAAACCTTGATGTGTGGTATGATTACGAAGTGGACTTCAAAACAGAATGGATGTTTCTATTCATGTATTCGCAGAGGGACACTGTGGTCACGGCGGGCTGGTTGTGTAGCCAGGCCGTGGTGAAACTTCAGGCTTCGGGAATCACACTAGTGCTCAGTCCACTGAAGCCCGCGCTACCATCCTCGCTGGACGAAGAAATTGATGTGGGAGATATAGTGCTACTCTGCGGCAGATATATCATCATTATTGCCCGGAGCGAACGAGTCCCGCCTGTTACATGGGAGGGGCTGGACACGTTCGAAATGCTCAACTGGATGGAGATCCAGAGTGTCTCACAAGGAGATCACCAAGGAGACCATCAAGGAGCACCCGAACGACACCTCACCGTCATCCTGTGACCATCGTTCAAATTTGGAGCTGGTCGTGCGCATGGCAGCACCTACTCAGCTTCATTGCGACCGCCACATTCTTGAATCATTGGGAATGGAGCTCTAATTGTGGCATTCGTCGCGGCAGGCATTCTTGTCATTACGTAGGTAGGGCCTGCCTTCTGAGAATCCTGGAGAAGTGAGGACCAGGATCTGCAGCCTGTAGACCCAGGCACGGTAGGGAAGCCTGCAAGAACAGAAAGTCCGAGTGACGCTGTCCGGCCACGAGAAGGACTTCCCCGAATTTGGCATGATGAAAAACAACCGATGGCAAACCAGCAGAGGATGTCCGTGCCAAGCCTCGTGATGACGTCCGGACCAACGCTGTTTCGACCACGCTTCACCGCGCAGATTCGTTTCATTCTCGAAAGCACAAGCAATATTTCGTGCATGGCCATGATGCCAAGCGAATCAAGAGCAGCGCAGCAGCACGGTACCTGTCGAGGACAATGTAGACCTCCAAGTACTTCCGCCAACCTGGAAGCCCTCTCGATTCGTGTGCAGGGCTTGTACGTTCAGCAGATGCGGCCGAACATGAAGAAGAGTGGAAACGAGAGCCATGCAACCATGCTCCCAATATACCACATCTGCGCTCGGGAAGCGCAAAAGAACTTCCCAGGGGATCCAATCAAAAGCAAGCGAATCTCGGAGCGTACCATGTATTGCCTGATCCCACGTGGGCAGCGTACTGCAGCGCGAGAAAGTCATTGTAGCTGAGCGGCTGCACGCTGCGTTGGGCCGAGCGGTACAAGAGACCTGACGCGATATTCTGGCAGTTGTTCCACGCGCACAGATGAGTATGCTTCGTCCGAGCCTTACTACCCTTCCTTGGTCGGAATTGATAGCTGACGTCGATAGTGATGCCTGTTCTGCAAAGATTGATCGACCTCATACGACGCCTGGCAACTTTTACGACCTTACTATAGCAGATTTGACTCCAGATACGCGCGTGCACTAATACCTCAGACAATAACATCCTTCTCTGTCGAGTGGTGCGTGTGCACTCGCTTCGCGTTTCCGGGCATTTTCCATTTATCTTCGCTGGGAGAAAGAGGCGTGGTTTGCATTGAGCCACCAATGTTGCGTCGTCGAGCCTCGAGCCCTGCTAGAGGCATGGCTTGGGATCTTTGACGCCGATTCTTATAGCGTAGCCAATGGAGGGGTGCTGAACCTGGTCGCTTTCACTGCCGCCGCGGTTGTTCTTCTCAGTCTGACTGTTGAGGGGCTTAATGGCTAAACACATCGCCGGGAAAGTCAACGTTACGGCCGGGGAAAGGACTTTGATATCATTATTCGTCCAAGAGAGATTATCAGGTGTGCAGCGCAAACCAAGGCTGCCGAACGCTTGAGGCAAAGCGTCGTCGGGCGCTGGATACGCTGATCCTGAGCGCGCAGTGAATGGACACCGACCCGCACTACATTGTGTTGCCATACTTCGTCGCTGTAACCATCACTCATCGAATACCACCTGATGAGTGACCCTCGGAGGCACAACGCACGGGTGGCCAGGACAGGGAGCAGGGGTCCATGCCAGCAGCACACAGGGCTGAAACCCAGCCTGCCATGCAGCCTCGGACGATGGACACTGACATGGGTGCCGCGTGCCCCAATGTTGCCTCAACTCACTGGCGGCAGGACGTGAGCTGGGGTACATCCTTCACATACAGCGGACCTTTCATACCCGGCAGTGGCGACAGCCTCCAGTGTGATGGTGCGGCCGCTCCAGGGTCATTCGGAGACTGTGGCTGGACGCATGAATTGGATCCTGATGTCGATTAGGACTGGCTGAACGCAGATTTGCCACCGAACGCTGGCTGACTTCGGCCCTGTTGTTCTACGTGCGTTCTCCCGCAGAACAGTCTTGCATGTGCAATGCGGCTTCCGCCGGGTTTTGGATCTGACCCATGCCTGCCGGGGTCGCAGCGCACTCGGTGCTTTCGTGCTGCTGACACTCATCTTACTGCGCTCGCTATCAATTGCATTTCTCTCAGGCTGGCGCGATTTCGTGACAACAAATCCGCTACACCGGCGATGTTCAAATTTGCATGATCAATGAACCAGATGAATGCAGCAAGGAAAGAATGAGGAACCGTTGAGCGCAGCATGTCATCAGCCAAGCAGCACTCCCAAGCATAAAATAGTGGTGCCTACAGGATCTGGTAGAACCGGCGACTTGTTCTGCTGCAGTGTTCGATACATGGTTCGACGCATGGCTAGCGGTGATGAAATGAATGCGTGCATGTGCCGTGCAAGTCCGCGTCTATCATCATCGAGCCCCAACCTTCGGCGGATGAACGTAGCGAGCGGCAACAGAAAAATATTGTCATGTTGCCTATGGTCAACGAAGTTACCAGGGTTGGAGACACTATGGCTCTAAATGTGGGACTATGAGCTTAAATGCCAAGAGCACGTGTACTCGATTACTGGACGACGCTCGCTCTTCAGATCTGCTGAAGCTTGAGATTCTTGGCACCACGCTCGTCGGACTTCTTCTTCTGGCGTTTGGCCCGTTTGTGAAGGAAGGGTACTTCGCCTCCTCGTGGCGAAGAAGCATCGAAGCTCATCAAGACCCAGCATTGACGCTTTCGAGCGACAAGCTCCGAAAAATATCTCTCAGCATGAAGATTCTTGCAGCTTGGCTACCAGCACAGCAGCGCCAAGAAATCACGACTAGCCCCATGCTTTACGCATTCTGTGGGAATATAGGACAACACGCCGAAGGCACGGTCGTATGTTCCGAAAGATTCGCCTTCTCCGATGTTAGTGTGAAGAATCAGGCTTATGGAGGAGCACATTGCCTACACGTGGGATCTCTCAACCAGACAACCTGAGCCCGTGCTCCATACATGCGAGACATGCTAGCATACCAGGATTAGCTGGCCCTGCGAACCAAATCTATTACGAGGAGCGCCAAGATGTTCTAGCGACGGGGGCATGGGCCAGTAGCTTCGGTCTGCTGCCCCGGGATGCCCACGCCTGAAGCATGATCACTCTTGTCGCTCTTGGCTCCGCGCATTCGTGCCGGTGGCCACCTCTCATATAACTGACCAGCAGCCGCCGCACTGATCTACTCTGTTCTTCACGACCAGTTCACTTGTCAACCCGGAACTGCAGATCACAGGATATTTGGTCGTCAAGATGGTGTTGCACGTACGTTCCCGACACGATTGGCGTCCAGGAGGGGGTTTAGTGATCTGACACCGTGTACAGGAGTACACCTACATCTTTGCCATTGGCACGTTCTTTGCGTTGCTTGAGGCATACAACAATGGTGCCAACGATGTCGCCAACGCCTGGGCTACGAGTGTCTCGTCCCGCTCCGTCACATACCAGCAGGCCATGATTCTGTGTCTGATATTCGAAATGACCGGTGCCTTAGCTGTCGGTGCCCGAACTGCTTCCACGATCAAGAACGGTATCATTCCCATCGAGGCTTTCCAAGGAAATGCTGGAGTGCAATTGCTTGCATTTGCTTGTGCGGCCGCTGGTGCTGCTACATGGGTTATGTGGTGTACCCGACACTCGGCTCACGTTTCTTCCACTTACTCGCTCGTGTCTTCGATCGCTGGTGTTGGTGTCGCAGCTGTCGGAGCCAGCGATGTTCAGGTATGTAGCCTGACCTCGAGATAATGGAAGGACTCCACTGACACCCTGCACAGTGGGGATGGAGCGGTGGCTCTGGACTGGGCGCCATTTTCGCTGGTCTGGTCATGGCACCAGTCGCCTCTGGAATCTTTGGCGCTATCATTTTCAGCTTGATCAAGTACCTGGTGCACGTGCGCACGAACCCAGTTCCATGGGCTGTCTGGTCCTCGCCGTTCTTCTTCTTGATCGCAGGTACCGTTTGCACGCTCTCTATCGTCTACAAGGGATCTCCTCGTCTTGGTCTTACAGACAAGCCTGCCTAGTAAGTCATCAAACGCGCTCAATCGCCAATTATCAGTCTTGCTAACCTCGTCATAGCTGGATTGCCGGTGTCACTCTCGGTGCTGGTTTCGCTCTGTGCCTCCTCTCCGCTCTGTTTTTCGTACCATACACCCACTGCAAGGTCGTGAAGAAGGACTACACTCTCCGCCTCATCGACATCTTCAAGGGACCAGCTCTCTTCTGGCGTGAGGCTCCTCCCGATGCAGTAGAGGCCAAGGTGCCAAACTACGCGGTCCTCCAACACGATGGCGAGGTTGCCCCACCAAGTCAGCAAAAGAAGAGCGAGAGCGACAACGAAGACAACTTCACTGCCGAGACATTGGTTGAGAAGAACGGTGTCACCACCAGCGGAGCGTCTACCGATAGCATCGAGCCTCACCAACGACAAGCCGCCGCGAAGGGTGTTGCTCTTGAGGCTTTGGAGCCAACACCTCAGCAAGCACAGGAAATCTACAAGCAGCAACTCATCGAAGCACGAAGGAAGCACCACGCCACTCTCCGAACGAAGAAGGGACCTCTGGGCTGGGCAATGGTAAGTCAAATCCTCTCCCATACCATGAAGAACCGAAACTGACTTTCTACCAGCGCCGCCTCCACAACAACCCCCCCGGCGCCGGCTCCATCTACGAACTCCACAACATGAAAGCCCTCGCCAACCGCCTCCCCGCCATGGTCGTCGTCGCCTTCACCTACGGTCTCTACTACGACATCCACGCCGCCCAACTCGGAATCCTCGGAACCCCCGAAGGAAAACGCATGGACCGCGTCTACAACCACGCCCCCAAATACACCAACGAAGTCGAATACCTCTACTCGTTCGTCCAAATTATTACAGCTTGCACTGCATCTTTTGCGCACGGAGCGAATGATGTGGGAAACGCTGTCGGTGTCTGGGCCGCTATGTACTCCGCCTGGAATACTGGTGAGACGGTCGGCGCGAAGGCTGATGTGCCATTGTGGCAAATCGCTGTGATTGCTTTGACGATTTGTATTGGTTTCATTACCTACGGTTACAATATTATGCGTGTGATGGGTAACAAGTAAGTCTCTCCTCCCACGCAGAAATGTGGTGAAGAAGAAAAAGAAGAAGAGGTTGCTAACAATGTTGTTTTCGCAGGATCACCTACCACTCCCCCTCCCGAGGCTCATCCATGGAAATGGGCGCAGCAATCACCATTCTCATTTTCTCGCAATACAAACTCCCCGTTTCGACATCGATGTGCATCACAGGTGCTACTGTTGGTGTCGGGTTGTGTAATGGAACTTTCAAGGCTGTGAATTGGCAGCGTGTGGGACTTTTGTTCTTTTCTTGGGTTATGACTATTCCGATTGGTAAGTTCTCCCACACTCCGCTGATTTGAACTCCGAGAGGAGGAATTAGTGCATTTACTGACTACGTTTCATAGCTGGTCTGATCGGTGGTCTCACTATGGGAATTCTGCTGAATACTCCGGGATACAACAAGGTCAACTGAAGGGCTTGATTGAAGCCTTGTGATGAAAGAGTGATAGAATAGATTGTACACCAGTCAGCGCAGTTTCATGTATGAACAAAAGTTCTCCTCAAAAGGCACGAGCATACTGTCCTGTCTCTTCCATTACACATCTTTCGTTCGAAGATTTGATATCACAATAGTCAGCGTAATCAGGGTCTTCAGACGCAGTACGCAATGTACAGAAGAAGCATCATAAGATGTTCAAGAATCTCTTGTGTGCTTCGCCACGATATGACCCTTGTTTACTGCTTATGATCTTATATCTCTTGTCAATCTTGTCATCAACTCCAAGACTTTCTTCCGCTGCGCTCCATGCTTGGCTCGCATCACCAGGACGTCGAAGCGAAAATGCATCGGAGTGGAGTTATCATGCAAACGGCCCTGCAGTGGAACACAGTTTTACAGCGGGAAGTAGGCACACGCGACTTCAGCGTCAATGCCAAGGATCAAAATGAGAGGGAACGTGAAGTCGTGTTTGTTTTTGTAGCAGCCCGTTGTTCTCGGTGCTGGGGTTGTAATCTATGTAAAGTTCAAAGGTTGGATCGAGAACAACCGACTAAATATAGGAGACTGCTATGAAAAGACGAAGGGATCACTCAAGCCTGTTGGATCTTCATGATCCAAGGCGAGGTCCAGCCGCTGAAACGCAACATAATCGCACAAACACTTTTAACAAACGCCAGAAAATCCTTCTTTCTCTTCTATTCCTTCCCTTTTAGACCAGAGTAGCCAATCGCAACGGTGCATGAGCCAAAGGATACAACAGCCACTTTGCCAAAATTTGGTTCTGCGTCAAAGAGACCTGGTTGTCGACCTCTTTGCCTTCGTGAGAGCGAGGTTCCATCACTCTGCGCACAATACTTGGCAACCGCGTTCTCTTTTCTGCCATCTCAGACGAGAGGTAGAACGAGTAGGCGGCGAAGCAAGCGAGAGCAGGTGAGAAGAAAGCTCCAGCAGAAAGCAAAGCACTGGCGAGACAAAGTCCCACAAGCAGCATGATCGCCGTGGCAGTGAAGTTGCGGCCAAGATGATCCTTGACTTTGAAGTAATCGCGCAGTCGGTCTCCCTGCGGGATCTTGGTCTCTGCTGCTCTGCCATATAGGTCCGTTCTACCGTGGTGATCACGGTAGCGCATGTGGTCACTCGCTCTTGCAAGTTCGGTCGAAGTGGTAGACGACGTACCGACGATGTAGGCGGGAGTGGCGGCGATGGAAGGTGTTCGGCCGGAGTTGTTTGCAGCAGCGTGAGAGTCTCTGGGTTGAAGCCTTGGGTACGCACCGCCGTCGGCGTGAGCTGCGAGAGGCGCATTCTCGTTGTTGACGGCGGTGGAAGTATGGCGGTGGTTCTGGTTTGTTCCAGATTTGCGAGGACGACGGCGAAGCATGTACAGCTCTGTTGATATGCTGCCGAGATTCGCGATTCCTTGGCCAAGTGTTGGTTGCGTTCTGCCTTGTAGTTGTAGTACAGGCTTGTTGCTTGTGTTGGCTTCGCCATTTGTTTGCGAAATCGCGGGCAGGTGACGTTCCCTTTCTTTCGACTTTTGATCCGACGAGAAGAGCGATATCGTCTCGTGATTTTGCGCGACGGACGACGCATGGGGCCTTCCTTGGGGTAGAGCTGCGGATCCGATGCGGATTCCACCCGATTGAGACACGGAGGTAGATGTCTGTAATCTGAGCTCTGGGGCAACAGCGCGAGAGGGTGGGCGTCGCTGTAGTCCTTCGCGATTCGTCACAATCGCGTGCCGGTTGGTCTGCAGACTGGATGCAGCGTAGTGCTCCGGACTGCCAGCGCCTACACCAAGCTGGTGCTCACTGGTATTTCTCAGCACAATAGCCGCATGTTGCATGGAGACTGCTGGGCGTTGTGACTGCTGACCGCCTTGCAAGCCAGTCAGATTCGCGAACGCTCGAAGGGCTCTCGTCGTGCCTATCAGCCTCAATGTGGTTTGCGCCAGCGTCGGTGGTTTCAAGCGTGGTGCCTCGAGTGCTCCATTCGCTTCTGCCAAGCGGTATAGTTCACGACCAGCGGCTTTGTGGACATGTGAAGTGTGCGTTGGCTGCGTGTTCTGCTGGCCAGAGCGTACACTTTCGCGCATTGTGCCAAATCCTCCGTTGTTGTGATTGGCGTCTCGTTCTCCATCTTGCTGTGGTATACCATTGTGATGTTGACCTATTTCAAGCAAGATGGTCTTTTGAGCTTCAGCCCCGTGAGAGACCCGCATGCTCAAGCGGCGTGGTTGTTGTTGTGATCCAGGTTGTGAAGACCTGTGCCTACTATCCTGCGGAGGACTCAATTCTGCAAAGAACTGTCCAAATTCTCCCGTGCCACCAGGAACCTGCTGCGGCGGGCTCTGGGGCTGGAAGTGAGTGGAGCTAGAATGTTCTATGCCGCCAGAAGATCGGTGTTCTGATTGTGCCAGGATGGGCGAGAAATAGTCATGTGGCTGGAAGTGTGGTCCAGGCTGCTCGAAATGTAGCAGATTGTCGACAGTGAATTCTGGAGTAAAGGAATCGTCGAACATTGGGAAGTCGTCGAATGTCTGGAAAGAGCTCATGTCCAGATCAGTGGTGAAATCGAAGCCCTCAGCGGCCGCAAATTGATTCGCAGCGGCCATGTTGAGCTTATCGCTGGTCTGCTGAGCAGGCTTGCTCGATTTGTGCGATACTGGCTTCGCAATCTTTGCGACGGACTTCGCAGTTGAGATCTCCTCCATCTGTGACTGGTTGTGAGGGCACTTGCGCTTCCTCTTGGCGCACTTGTCGCAGGCCTTGACGATTCGGCGTTTGCGGTACTCTGCCTTCTCGGCGTCGGTCATTTTCCGGCGCACTCTCTGCTTTGGCTGTGCTTCAGCGGACAAGCTGAAGACACCGGTCATCTGCTCGAGTGATGGTGGAGTGGTCTTGCTGGAAGTGGCCGCAGAAGCTTGGCGCGCAAGCTGTGGAGTCTGTGCCTGAGGAGAGTTCGCAAAGGATGTTGGCGTGGGAAGGTCAAGGAGGTCTGGGCTGCTGAATACCGACGCAGAGCCAGAAGACGACATGGAAGGCCAAGTTGGGGCATTGTCCATGGTCATTGCTGGGGAAGCCTGGAGCTGCTCGTCTTGGCGCTCCTCGAGCAGGAACTGAATGATGGCATCCCGCATGCGCTCAGAATGGGTCTTGAGATGAGGGAAGGCGATTCGCAGAGCATCGAACAGCTCGTCAGAGCCCTTTGGAGGGAAGAAGAGCAAAGCCGAGGTGGGGTCGAAAGGCTCTCCTGGCTGCAGGTCGCGGTAGACGACATAGGTTGGGGTGACGTCGAATGGGGTGTCGGTTGGCAGCGCCATGAGGAAGGGATTCGGTGCTACAACTTGATGGATATGGGATTGAATTTTGATTATTTTCGGGTGGTCGCGGTGGTGAAGTGGTTGTCGCGGCGGCAGTGGGTGGTATGGAGTGGTGCCGACGGGCTGGGCGACTCGCGAGACGGAGTTCAGCTGTTCAGGCCGCCTCGACGTCGTCGTGGTGTCGTGGGAGACTTGGACGGGGGATATTCCTCTCACCTGGGGAGTGTGTAGAGAAATCTAAACCTCAGGACGAGGAAAGCGGCATTGAAGAAGCAGGCAGGCATGCTACGGAGCGCTGGCGGCCGCGTGCCTCAGCCTCCGCAGAAGTCGAAGTGCGGTGTCCCAAATGGTGCGCCGCCAATCCTACGCCGCTAACTAATTCTGCGCCGTGATTGGTTGCTGGTGAAAGTCAGCATATGACTCCGACCAGCAAGCCAGGCTGTGCAGACGACAAGTGCGTCGGTATGCGCGCCGTCATCGTCAATGGTCAATGGCAGTAGCGGGAGATCTCGTCCTAAGGCTATGAAATGTTTCGGCGAGCCATGCTGCAACCGACACGAACATTGCAGCATGCAGCATGTCCTCTGCCACACGCACTGTCCACGACGACCATGCTCACCAGGAATGCTGCATCATACCCGATGAGGATGCAGATGGCGTGGTTGAATGGCAGCAGCGGTAGCGATGCTTGGCTTTCCCGTGTCTGCGGGGAACTCATGATGGGACTTGCTACTCGACACATCTTCTGCTGGCGCTATCCATCTGGACAGGAGCTGCCAAACGACTCTCGCGCTCGAGCAGGACAGCGGCGGCAGCAGACTGAAGTGTGCTGCTGTAAGCGCCGCTTCCATGATTTTGGCGTCAGCGGACTCCTCTAAGCGCCCTGCATGAGTGGAGACGTCCAATGGGAGCTCCAAGGCAGCTGTAGCACTGCAGCAACACCCAGGCCGCGAGCCTGCGGCCAAGGTGTGCTGCGGCTGCTCAAGAGTAGGTCGTTACTGTCGAGATCCTTTCTTTCTCACATCTCCTCTCTGTTCCTACTACCAGACAGACTGCACCAGCTTCCTGAAGCATATCACCATCTCAGAATCCACGCAGAATTACGATACCGCAGCTCCTGGCGAGCAAGACCAAGCACGTAGTAAAAGACGGAAGAAAGAGCTATAGGAAAGCGAAATACCGAACGCGTCAAGACAGGCAACAGAAGCAAGGATGGCGTCAGGACAAACATACTTCCCTCGTACGCGGTTGCTCCAATTCAACAACGACAGCATCTATGTTGGCTAACACGGCGATGAAGCCCCTCCTCCTGGCGGCGAGTCCACAGGTGAGACAGTTGGTAAAGACTATCCTTCTGCACGCCGCTGACATGGTCTTCCAGGTCAACAGCAGCAACACTTCGCTCCTCCTCCATCGTCGAACGAGACACATTACCCTCCACCACCCCAGCAACAGCAACAACACTTCGCCCCACCTCCGTCCTTCGCACCGCCACCTGCCGTATCCCCAGTCTCTCCACAACCGCAACGAGAGAGTCCGCAGCTCACTCAATCGAACGAAAAGTCCCTCCCATACTACCCTGCACCCCCCTCCGAATCCCAAAAAGAGCCCGAAGCACAAATCGCCCCCCTCGCCAGCCCCCGCCAAACCTCCTTCAACCGCCAATCCACCGTCCCCGGCGGCGCCCCTCCCCCCGGCCAATTCCAAGGCGCAGCCGCCACAATCGACGACGTCGGGACCTTCAACGGCGGCAGCTACCGCATCTCCCACCGCGACACCAACACCATCGTCACAATCCAACTCGCCATGGGCTGTCCCATCCAAGTCAAACCCGGCGCAATGATCGCCATGTCCCCCACCATAACCGTAAAAGGAAATGTCCAATTCAGCATGAAAAAACTCCTCGCCCGCGGGCATATGTCGCATTCGACATTTACTGGTCCCGGGGAATTGTTGTTGGGTCCGGCGAGTTTGGGGGATATAACGAATATTAGGTTGAGTGGGAATGGAGAGACGTGGATGTTGGGGAAGGATGCGTTTTTGGCTTGTACGCAGGGTGTGACGAAAGATTACGTCTCGCAAGCGTTGAGTAAGGCTTTCTTTTCTGGTGAGGGATTGTTTGTGTATAAAATGGGTGGAACGGGGATTTGTTGGATTGAGAGTATGGGGGCTATTATACGGAAAGATGTGAGTATACCCATTCCCTGCTTCATCTCCCCATCCAACACTTCATGCGACTAACATCTTCCTTCTTTTCTTCAATAGCTCCGCGAAGGCGAAAAATACATCATCGACAACGGCCACCTCGTCGCATGGAATTGCAGCTACGTCATGGAACGTGTCGCGAGCGGCGGAATTATCAGTAATATGAGTGCCGGCGAAGGTCTGGTCTGTAAATTTTCGGGACCTGGAACAGTGTTCATGCAAACGAGGAGTCCGACGGCTTTTGCGCAGTATATGGCTGCGCATGGAGGGGCGGCGTAGAACAGGTCGATGAGGGGAAGATCGTAGATGGGTGAGGCACGTCGAGGGAAGAAAGGACCGGAGAAGGTCTGGACACGGGATAAGATTGTTGTGATATTCGTTGATTCGTGCTGGATGGAATGTGCATGGCAGGCAAAGAGGCGTTTCGGATGAGATTAATGTGATACCAAGAATATGGCAAATACCGTTGTTCAAATCTGCCCCAAGAGCACTCAAATACGCGCGGCAACTTTCGTTTTCGAAGCTGCAGGGGACAATCCGAGACAAGTTTCGTCCTCAATCGTACAAGGCGTCTGCCTGTATTTATCTGTAAAAAAGGAAAGCTGCCAAAGCATTGCAGTTACCTACAATCTAGCGATTTATTCCTCTTCCTCCATCTCCTCCTCCAGCATTGTCCCTACGTGTCTCCTCATTGTGAACTCATCAGTACAGGGTTTGCACAACCTGTACATGCCACCACGGGGCTTGGTATAAAATTGGGAATGCGGCTTGGACTTTCTGCACCTGGAGCAGCGGCGCAGTTGATTCTGCTGCTGCTGCTGCTGCTGCTGCTGCTGTGGAATTGCAGAATCCTTTTTTTGGGAGAATTTGCCGCTGTGCTGTTGAAGAATTCTCATGCAGAACATCCTGCTGCTGTGCAGTGGAAGAATCCTCTCTCGGGACCTCCTGATTCTATGTTGGAGTCATGGAATTCAATGTCATGGGTGCTGTATGTGACCTGGGCAATGCTGGGGTCTGGAGTTGATTCGGTGTGCCGTTGTAGTCAAGATAGCCTGGCAATGGCATGCGTGGGGCAGAGGGATGGTTCGACTCGCCAGATAGAGTGCCGCCCCATGCAGGCACTCCAGCTGGTCCTTGGTAGGACGCTGGAAGGTGATATGATGGCGAGGGAGTGGGTTGAGGCCGTGCCTCTGCTGGTATATAGTGACGGAATCTATCCGCGTGTGCCAAGGTTCCCGTCGATAGAGGATAATCCAATGTTGTGGGCGTTTGCGTTGCCGGTCCTGCGGGCGCGCTCGTTGTGTGCATGCCGTGCGTTGGTGGAGCGGCCGCAAAGTTCGTCGGATGTTGGGCTGAAGCCGTAACAGGTACAGATGTTGTGTTAAGAAAACCTGCAGCATCACTCTACGATGCCTTTTGGTTGCGAGCGAGCCACAGACCGACGCTCTCGCGTGCCAGTTCAGAGCCCCAGACACCGTCTCTGCCACCGCGGCGGAACTCTTCGTTGGTTGCGTCTTCGCCTCCGCCGCGAGTGGCTTCGGCCAAAATCACCTCCAGGTCGCGTTGCTGGCTACTAATCCATCGCTTAACGAATGATGTTGGGTCCTTGGCCAGGTTGTTGTAGAACTTGCGCTTGGCATTAGTCTGATGAATCTTCTGCACGAGCAATGCGAGATCATCGTCAATCTTAACAATACTCTGCAAATCGTTAAGATGTGTCTTCGACGTGTGGAAGCGCGTGAGTTGGTGTCCCAGTGGATTCGGCAGTGGCACACGGATGTCGTAGACTGTCGGCTGACATGGTTTCAGGTTGGGCTTAGACTCGCTGTCCTCGTCTTGTAGGAAGGCAGAAGGTGAGTTGGGGTCTTTGGTGCCAGTAATGTATGGCTTGTCCACTCGGATAGTGTACTTGAGCTGGATCGGCGGGAGCGGCTGCATGTGGTGCAGCAGAAGATCCGGCACGTACGGGAAGTACACAGTCTCTTGCTTAAAGATCTGTATTGTGGTTAGCAAATTGTGTGCAGTATATCCGGATAGTCGTACCTTTTGCAACGCCGCATCGCAGATAATTTTTCTCTTATCATCATCCTCCTGCAGTCCCATCGCACGACAGTATTCCCAGATGCCCTGCACAGCACCAGCGCGGTCTTCTTCATCTGTGTCCAAGATCTCAGCGAGCTCAGGACTCAGCTTGTAGCGCTCGCTCTTCTCATCGCGCGTCAAATTAATGGTGATATTGATGTTCTCGTCGGCTTTACGCGTGAACTCTATCTGGTCGAAATTGTTTTCACGATCGGTAGGATCAAGCGGCTGGCCGGGAGTCATTTGCTTCTTGCGCCATTCAATCTGGCTGTATCCATCCGGATTCAAATTCGGATTGCGATCGAAGTCGATAGTGATGGCTTTGAAGAATGTGCTCAGCCTGGGTCGGTGTCCAGCGGGTGGCTTGTCTGCCTCGTCCTCATCCGGGTCTTCCTTCAGTCGGCCCTCGATCTTCAATTTGAAGGTTGCCTGGTTCTCTCCCAGCTCAAACATGCCATCTTCGTTCGCGTTGCCCTCCTCCATTATCTGCCACGGCTGTCCTTCGGCTGTATTGGAAATCCAGATACGTATCGTGCCTTCCCGGCGCGTCCATCGTCTCTGCAGATTGTCGCTGATATCTAGTCGCTTGCGCATCATGATCGCGTCAAGCCTCTTCTCAGCATCGCGCAGCTTCTTGTAGCGCTCCACGCCATCTCCTACCACGGCCTCGCTGACTTCGTCGGGTATTTCGCGGTCGGTTGGTTTTCTCGCCTGCCGTCGCGCAAGGTCTTGGCGACGAAGCGCTTCGAGATGTTGCTGCTGTAGTTGCGCCTGGGTCATCTGCTGCTGTTGTGGGTGTGCTTGTGGTGGTGCGACCATAGGACCTGCATTGCGCCAGGTGCGCTCGAGGTCAGCAAAGCTAATCTTGCGACGATGCGCGCGCGCCTGTTCCATGACCGACTCCCTTTCGCGCGTAGTACGAGCGCACTGCGACAGACGTGTGCGCGAGAGTGGGAAAGTGTAGAGTTTGCTTACCAGGCCCTCGTCTCGCCTGCTGCGGACTGCGATTATACCGGTAGTTGGCCTGCATTTTCGCCGATCTGCCAAGGCGAGCTGGCTTTCAGCCTCGATGATCACGGAACTCTGATGTCGATGGACGAGCGACGGTGATGATGGAAAAGTGTCGAGTGTCGGCAAGCTTGACGCGTGGGAGATGGATGCAATGCAGCAGGAGACGTGACTTGCTGGGGGAGGCGAGACACCACAGGACTGGGTCCGAGCGGAGGGGCACATCGACCACCTCCATTCTCACGCGTCTCTTTCCTCCATACTCACCCAATTCCGCTCGCAATGAGGGCAGCCGGATCTATCATGCTCGATGCTCCTGGCTCGCATCTCGTGTGTCACTCACTTGATGTCGTCCTGATGCATCGACTAGTGCTGCAAGAAGCAAGAAGCGAGCCGCGAGTAGTGGTCGATGATGAGTAGAGATATCCACATTTAATTCCCGTCCTGTCCTCTCTGTTCCATCTGTCTCACCAACCTAAACTTACCTAGATTACAGGTAGTAACCGCAGCACAATCAAACCATCATGGCTGGCGAGTTCCTACGCCAGCATGGCATCGACATCGATTCTGAAATGGCCAAGATTCAGTTCGGCAGCACCGGAAAGAAGACAAGCGAGCAAGCCACTCGCATCGACGTCCTGAGCAATGTCTCTCTGCCGGGCACAGAAAGAGATACTCGATGGGATGTCCACCTCTCAGATGGGTGCATTCGCGATGTCGTGGCCCACCAAGATGATGCTCCGCCGGCGAACTCTGTTGACGGCAAAGGTGCACTGCTTGCTCCTTCCCTCTGCCACCCACACATACACATCGACAAGGCATACCTTTTATCCCATCCCAAGTATGCAGATCTCCAAGTCGAGAAAGGAGACTTTCAAGAAGCTATGGACCTTACTGGCAAAGCAAAGGCTCAATTCGAGAACGAGGATCTTCTGGAGCGAGGCCAACGGCTTGTGGACGAGAGTGTAGCTGCTGGTGTCACGCACATGCGAGCATTCGTCGAAGTAGACGCTGGTGTACAGCTCAAATGCTTGGAAGCCGGCATTCAGCTGCAGAAGCGTGCCGCCGACGATGCCGTCTGTAATATACAGATATGTGCATTTGCGCAGCTGCCTCTGTTCTCTCCATCGGCAGGTGATGAACAAGGGGGCGTGATTCGCGATCTGATGCGACAAGCGGTCGCAAGGCCTGGCGTCACTGTGATCGGGAGCACACCTTATGTCGAGAATGACAGAGAGAAGATGCAGCGGAGCGTGGAGTGGATGGTAGACTTGAGTATTGAGCATAACGCCCATCTTGACTTCCATCTTGATTACAATCTGGACCAGGATGTCGAGCCTCTTGTCTGGTTTGTGGTGCAGACTTTGAAGGAGAAAGGCTGGAAAGACCGGACGAGCAACGTCACCATAGTGCTTGGGCATTGCACTCGCCTGACCCTCTTCAGTGAGGCTCAGTGGAAGGAGCTTGCGCAGACAATCAAAGATGCACAACTTCCAATCTCCTTTGTAGGGCTGCCAACCAGCGACCTGTTCATGATGCGCACTGGCAAGCAACCGGAAATCCGCGGTACGCTCGATGTCCCTCGACTGATCAAAGAATATGATCTCAATGCTTGCATCGGTGTCAATAATATTGGCAACGCTTTCACGCCTCAGGGGACCTGTGACCCACTGAGTTTGGCTTGTCAAGGCGTTGGGATCTATCAAGCAGGTACAAAGCGAGACACTGAGGTCCTGTACGAGTGTTTCAGTACAAGAGCTCGAGCGGCGATAGGCTTGGGTAGGCGTGGTGTCGGAGACACCAGTCTGGCTTTTCAGCCAGGAGACCCAGCAGATCTTCTGCTATTCCAAGCGGCAGACCCCAGCTGGCGCACAAGAATTAGTGTGAGTGAAGCAGTCTATCTATACGATCACGGCCAAGGCAGGATGACAATCCTCAATGGGCGCATATCCAGGTCTCCGCAGTGAGACAAGAAGTGAAGTCAACAGAACGCCCCAGCAGCCTCCCGCTCGCGTATCAAACGGCTAACGCCAAGCTGCATGGGAAGTGCATGTTTGTTGCTGAAGCGCGTGCGAGCTCCCACTGCCGCGTCGTCGCGGTCGTTTCGTTCTTCGCACTGGAAGTTTCTCGCGTTCGGGCGCTGTTTTGGCACTTCAGCAACAAAACCACCGAACATGGCGCCGATGGTTCTCGACTACGACCGGTAAGTCTCGTACGTTCATTCAAATGAAGACGCGCTAACTATCTTCCAGCGATGGTAATGTCGTCGGCGGTCACACCGTGGACGAACTCCCTGATCGCCTCTATTCGGTGCGCCCGCACCGCACCGTCAGCATGGCGGACTCGACACCGCGCATTCTGCCAGGCGCGCAGCCGTTCATGGACCAGCGCGGCTTGACTGCTCAAGCCCAGCACTACCCATACGCGGCCGCGCCCAACCTGTACCATCAACACGGCCTGCCGCAAGGCATGCGTAATGGCAACTTCCTGAGGAACGACCCGGCCTTGCCAGCACCACCTGTTCAGCCGCATCACGAATTGCCACCCTACCCTCCACGCAGCCTGGTGAGCTATGACTGGCAGGGACATGGTGAGGCCCGGCACGAACTCCCTCCATACCGTCATGCCAATCTGCAAAGAAATATGGAGTCAGCCTCAGCGCGTCACGGTTTCGTCGCCAACCCGCTTGCCAGTGGCGCCTTTACCACCAACCCTCACAACAATCCGCGCGCTCAAGCAGTCAGTCATGCCTCTCAGTTCGAGGCTGCTGGATACTATCCCGCTCCGCAACACTTCACATACGGACAGCTTCAACAGGCTGCCGGCCCGCAGATCGGACATGAGCAATTTCAGCGACAATACCTTCATAACTACGAACCTGTGCCATACAATTGGCATGGCGAGCGTTCCGCTTCCCGTAGCCAGTACGGCATCCCGTATCCGGCTGAGACTCAATCAATGGCGTACCTTGACCATGGCCAACCCCACTGGCCAAATGACGGTCGCGCTTCGAACGTTGGCAGCGATGGAGTGTTCCGCCCCGTCCAGCCTCCGCAGCTGTCTGCACCTTATCTCACACCACCGAGCTCGTTCGTGTTCGACAATGTCGATGTTGATCCGAGGATGCTCACGGCTCATACAGCGGGCAGAGTAACTGGTGAGAGCGAACCTGTTGCGCGCCGCTCATCAGACGCCATGCCACCGCCTAGTAAAGCAAGAACAGTCCCTCGCTCATCCCTATCGCAAGTGTCACAATATGCAGATGACAAGGATATACACTCGGTAGGAGATGGAGATGGTTCCGACGCAGAGGCCGACTCACAGAAGTCTGAGGAAGATGCGTATGTTCCACCTAAGAGCCCAGAGCAGAGCAAGAAGAAATCGAAATCAAAGAGTAAGAAGAAGAAGAAAAAGGGTGCAGCGGCACCAGCTTTTCAGCGCTGTGCTGACTGTAGGGCACGACACAAGAAGTGCACGCACAAATCGAGGCCACCTGCCATGACGGAAGCAGAGGCATCAGAGATCCTCGCGAAGATGCCCACCGAAGCGTCCGTTCTTCAGAAGGCATCGCCGGCTCCGGAGTCCAATGCGGAGGCGGTTGCGACTCCTGCAGATGGAACGTCCATCGCCGATCCTTCCATTGCCAGCTTCGAGGCCTCGCCTCAGGACGTGGGAGACGACAACGATACGACCATCGAGGAAGTGCAGCGCACCAACTCGCCAGAACCTGTATCCTCTGATCATACGCCGGTCTTCGCCTATGCGGACTTCCTGGACTTGGAGAACATCGAGCAGCATGATCATGATGAACAACAGTCCAACGAGAGTGACGAGGACAACGCAACACCGGCGGAGCATGTTTCGGACTTCCTCAATTCTCTTCAAGCTCGTCTCGATGTTCAAGACTCTGCCACCTTGGAACAATTCTTGAAAGACGCAGATCTGTACAAGACTGGTTTTCTCGACGAGCAGGATTTCTACAGGAACACTTACAAATTACTCCACCGCGCTCATATGCCAGAATTGCTGCTGGAGTTTGTGAAGTGTCTTCCTTCCAGTTGGGATGATGCAGCGCTAGCTTCGCTGAACGAGAGGCTGGATCGTGAGCTTGGCGAAGCTGCTGTGTCTGACGCTGTGTCTGAGGAAAACATGCTTGACTCGCCAGACGTCACGCCACCAGTCAAGCGCAAGAAGCGTCCTCAGAATGCTTTCAAGGCTTCTGAAAACTCTGACATGGCTGATGAGGAGGCCGATGATGCACCAGAACCGAGCACGGCAGCTTTCGTACGTGCCACACCACCTGTCAGTCCAAAGTCTTCTGTCTACGCCAGATCTGCCAATCTTGCCGATGGCGGAACTCGTGCACCACCGCAAGAAGTCCGCAAGCCCCGTGCTCGTGGTGGTAAAGCTTCTCCAAAGAAGAAATCGAAGCCTGCGGGCACCACGAAGTCCTTTGGCAAGCCGAAGCACCAGATCGGTCATCTATACTCGACTGAAGTCCAACATGTGGGTCCAGTGTACCCGACCCGCCGCGCCTTGATGAGTCGCACCACGAGACCATACATCCATGGTCCATGCGGTCAGTAATTCAGCTCGATAGTGTCCCGAATCGCCAATGCTAACAATCTTTACAGGCAAGGGCTTCGCCCATCCCCAAGATGTCCGCAGTCATCACCACAACGGTGCCGACACCAAGAAAAACTGTCCACTCGGCGCAGGGCACGAATGGGACGAACATCCAAGTTGCAAAGTCGGCCAGAGCGATCTCAACTACGCAACAGTTAAAGACGGCTTTGTCTTCATGGACCAGGAGAGCTGGGATAAGCTTCACGACGCCATCGCCCTTGGCGAAGCTGAGCCGAGTCGCCTCAAAGGTACCATGCGGATTATGGCAGGGGAGATGGATGATGAGGATGATCACGAAAGCGACACTGACGCCGACCATGAGACGGACGATGAGTATGAGGATTTCACGACTACGGAACATGCTACCCTCCCGTACCCGCCAACAGAGGAGCCAGCCAGTCTTGCTCCCGTGCCGACTTCCATACCGGCTGCCACACCCGCTGCCATACCGGCTTCCATGAAGACCCCGAACCCGCGCAAGAGAGCTGCTTCTAACATCTCAGCGCGCGCTCAGAAGAGAACTATCGTCAAAGCTGGAAGCGATGAGATGGCCGGGACGGAAACCACCACTACGACTAGTCCGATGGCAACAGCTTCTGTCCCACCAAAGAAGTCCAGAAAGAAAGCGGCTGCCGAACTGGCTGTCGAGCACAATAACACTGAGGAGCCAAGAAGCAATGTCGCCTCAAGAGCTGCTGCTCTCGGACTGCGCGCCCGTCAGTAAGCCGTCGCACCTACTTGGGTTGATGTTCAACTCACCACAAACTTGGCAACTTCATTGATGCTGAAAAACTACTCTTGACCTTTGCCTGTACATTGGCCTACTAATACTGGTCTGCACTGCCTCCTTCTGTACGCTGATGCACCAATGTCGTTGGCGGCATTGGGAAAAGGGCATTGTCAGCCAGACACTTTTGCGCGTTTTGCTTTTTGTTTAATGTTGTGTAATCATGCAGGAGTTTTGTTGGGAATGCAGAAGCTTCTTGCGGTATGCTTTCGTCGCTTTGCACGAGATTGCGGCTCAGGGTGCTACTCGCCTGGAGCATATCGCAGCTGGGTTTCCGCAATGGGTGCTCCTTGTCACGATTCCTGGAGTAGTCAGCAGACATGTAAAGAATGTCTTACAATAAAAAATGGACTGGAAGTAATTACCCTGAAACATTTGCCTGGTTGGTGATCGTGGTATGCGCAGCTCAGCTTAACTGCCATATATGCCGCTGAGGTCAGGCTTGACGATCCGCGCTGAGTAAGCTGCCTCTTGCTGAGATCTTTCAGGAAATCCACGGCGTAGGTTTCTTGCAAACCGCTGCGCATCAAGTTATCTAGCCACGATGGGGCACCCTGATACGCGTAGATATCTGTCAACAGTCGTCGAGGTGCCGAACCATCGGGTGTGTGGGTGTAGATGAAAATGGTCGTCGAACGAAATGCTGCGAAACCTTCTGTATCACTCAGTCTGCCAACCAAGGCATCCATGAGTGCGTCTTTGAAGTTCGTGTCCAGGAGTTTGTCGCCAAGGATCCAGGCTTTCAAGAGTCGCCGAGGCTCTGTGTCCAAACCGGTGAAGCCTACAATCCAGCGGTCTGTGTAGATCTTTCGGTCATAGAGCCAAGCTTGATAGATTTCGAATGTCTTGGGGTCATCGTCCGGCAATGGAATGACGCGACTCTTGGCCTCTTGCCAGTTGCCCTGCAAAGCGAGGCGCACAAATTCGGACTGTTCAGAGACGACATTTTGATGAATCGCGAACGTCTCTGCGTCCTTCGTGCCGACTACGAATGTGATGATAGGACCACGGAATTTGCCACTTCCAGACTCTGGTTTCTGGACGGAAAGCTTCAAAACCTCGCCTGCTTCCTTGGACGGATCAGGGGCGAAGATGGGAGTTCTTGATGCGTGGTAATCTCGCAGTCGCAGTTCTTCCGTGGAGAGTTGCGCGTATGGTGTGGTCGCTGTAATGTTGTAGTAGTGGCATTCTCCGACTCCCGTCTCGTTTACTATCTCCCGCCAGATCATAAAGAGTGGTGGAGGACCGTTGCTGATCTCGGCGATGGACATGGCTACAGCGAGCGCAAGAGTGCGCTCTGAGTAGAGGTTATGATAGTTCGTTCACACATTCATGCAGAGGAGGTTCGCTTTGGTGCCGCTTCAGATACAAGAGCACGTTGAGTTTGAAGCCCAATGTCAGTGAGGTGCAGCAGTGAGCGACTCTGGTAGGTGCAGTTCCACCCAACGCAACGCAGGCAGCACCTCGGCCGAAGTTTCACCGAGCGCTTGTAAACTCTATTTGCTGCCTACACAACTTCACTCTTGCTTCTACCACATCTGCAACGAGTCGACACAACACCTCGCGCAATGTCAAATCATGTGACGAGCGGAACGAGTCGGAAATGGCATCACAACATCACAATCGATCTCTTTGCGCGCGTGTTGAGCAACAGCATCTTCCACCCATTCGTCGCGTGGCTCATCCCGCTATGTCTTCGATCGCTCCAAGCTCCGTACGAAAGTGTTGAGTTCATCACAGCATGTGCTTACGCAGGACTGGTCACGCTCTTGTGGATGCTGTCGGTCATCAACAAGCGCGTCGCATACGGTATTCGAAGAACAGTCGACTGGGACCATGAAGTGGTCGTCATTACTGGAGGTGCAAATGGTCTTGGCAAGATCATTGCTCAGACGTACGGAATGAGGGGAGCAAGCGTGGCCATCCTCGACATTGCCGAGCCAGACAAGGACATCGAGGATCTTGGAGACGTACACTTCTACAAATGCGACATTGGCGATGCGAATGCAGTTGCCAAGATTGGCGAGGCTATCAAGCGAGAAGTGAGTGCGAGCGCTGCTGATCTATCGCTTTGTGCTAATTGTTTGCAAGCTCGGAGCGCCCACCATTTTGATCAACAACGCCGGCATCGTCAGTAGGAAGAAAACATGGGAACTGACGACCGGAGACGTGCAACGCACAATGAGCGTCAATCTCATCTCGCACTTCAACACAATTCGCACTTTCTTGCCAGGCATGCTGGAGTCTGAAGTTGGCGGCACAATCGTTACTGTGGCGTCAGTACTTGGCAAGTTGGGCGGTAGCCATCTGTCTGACTACACTGCTTCGAAAGCTGGACTCATTGCGATGCACAATTCCCTCCGAGGCGAGCTGACCTCGTCAGATGCACCTGAGGGCGCGGAGGACATTCGAATGATACTGGTCACACCTGGACAGCTAGCTACGCGACTTTTCGCGGACCTCGACACGCCCTCGCATTTCCTTGGCCCTGTCGTGGAGCCAGTGGAACTGGCAAATGAGATCGTACAGAAGATTGATTCTGGTGAAAGCGGAGAGATCAGCTTGCCATTCTACACACGCTGGGTTGAGTGGATCTTTGTCCTTCCCGCTGGCCTTCAGAGGATCTTACGGATCTTGAGTGGCATCGACCAAGCGATGGGATTGGCAAATGCCAAGACTGCGAAGAGGGAATGATACTGCAATAGCACGATGCTCTTGTTCAGTATCCTGTCTTTGTCTGTCGGTGTGGCCTTCATTCTTTGTGCTCCATCAATGGTCAATGTCTCGCGTCTTTGTCTCGTGCCTTTGTCACTCGTCTTCCCTTGTCCTCGACCAGTAACGCGGAGTGTTTGGGACAATGAATGACATAGTCACGTTCGATCACCTCGAGTAGTCAGTCACTAGGGACGACGAGTCTATATCAGGACGACTGGCTTCCGATTCCAGAGACCTTCGCTTCTCCATATCATCAACAAGGTCTTTACCATTCTGCAAGCGGAACCAACAAAGACAACCCTACCTCTCACGCAAACACCCACCAACACACAACACACCAGCAGCCCAGCATGCACCTAAATTCATTCTTCACCACGCTCCTGCTTGGCGCGAGCTCGTTCCAGCTCAGCTCTGCCGCGACTATCCACCGTCGGGAATGCAAGGTCCCAACACCAGTGGACACCTCTACCTGTAGCATCAGACCGAAGGCTTGGGGGAACCCTACTGTCATCAAGATCGGAGTTCCACACAGTGACGAACTATGTGGCAAACTCGATGCTTTGCAGCGCAAGAAGCTGCCTGCGATAGAGCACTTTCGCTGCAAAAAGGACGGCTGCGGCTTAACCAAAATCACGTTCAGCATGGGGTACAGCCCCGAGAATGTAGACTGGCTAAATGACAGCCTGGCCAAAGTGTGGCCACAAGTCAAATTCGTATGCCCACGGGACCTCGATTACGAAGAAAAGATCTTGAAGCGCGAGTGCAAAGTCCCAATGCCAGCTCATACCTCATCCTGCAAGCCTGATAACCAGGGATTGACTCCGGCCTGGCACATCAAGATCGGCGAGCCACACACTAACGAGCTCTGCGGCAAACTCGACGCACTTCAACGCACCAACTCCGGAATCGACAATTTCCGCTGTCGCAAAGACGGCTGCGGCTTGACTAAGATCGACTTCAGCATGAAACTGAGCAACAAGAACGCTAAGTGGATCAATGACAACCTCAGCTCCGTGTGGCCAGAAGTCAAATTCGAATGCCCATTAGACTGGAAGCGTGATGTCCCAGCACTCTTCAAGCGCGAGTGCAAGAAGCCAACCCCCAAAGACACTTCAATCAACAAGGTCGAAGGCGCCGGCAATCGAGATTGGTGGCGTATCAAGATTGGCGTTCCGTACAGCAAAGAACTCTGCGGTAAACTCGATGCGCTCCGCAAAGAAATACCCGATTTTCACCATTTCAGCTGCAAGAAAGATGGCTGCGGCCTGACGAAAATCCACTTCGTTCTCGACCACTGGGAGAAGGAGACCAAGATGGTCACCGAGGCTCTAACCAAAGTCTGGCCACAGGTCAAATTCGATATTCCCAAGAACTATGCAGAGAGCCAGAGGGTCAACAAAGGCATCAAGAACATCAAGCGTGGATGTGATGCTGCTCAAGGCAAGTGTTAAGTCGATACATAGCATTTCTTCTCAGCGTTTCATAAATTGATTTCTGTTTGATAACATCATCATTACCTCTCACTGACTCCATCTCAAAGAACCTAACACTCAAACTTGCGAAATAGCCGGCAGCGGCTCAGATACCCAATGGCACATCAAAATCGGCGTCAAGCCCAACAAAGACACATGCAAAGCTTTGAAAGGCTACAAAGACGGAGGCTTTCACGACTTCCACTGCGACGATGATGAATGCCATAACACAAAGCTCGACTTCAAAATGGACCATAATCAAACAAACGCCAAATTCATCAACACACTCCTCGCATTCACCTACCCCGAAGTCAAAGACGGCTACACGTGTCCACTCCATGCAAAACGCGACGAAACAGGCACAAAACCGGAAAAGAGAGAAGCCTCCATGCCAGAAGACTACAGAACCGACGACGAAATCTGGGCAGAGTCCTGGAAAGAGGAGCCCGACGGAAAATACTACCACTGCGAACGCGAAGACGACAACAAAAAATATCGCTATGTCATCGACCTTCCAAAACCCGAGGATGAATGTGACGTGCTCATGAGATTGGTGCAAGGCGCGCCAAAAGATGTCACCAAAGTACGCTGCGAAATGAAGCAAAGCGGCAGAACGACGGTCTACATCGACATGCGATCTTTTGATGACACAAATGCCCTGGACTGGGTGACGAAAATGCTGCGGACGATGTTCAAGGATGGACTGAAGGCAAATGGAGGAGATTACCACAAGTGTCCGAAAGCTGTCATCGAGGAGACTGCACAGGGGGAAGGCGCGTCTCTGTGAGTGGCAAGCGTACCAGGGGCGTGTTGGCCATGTTCGGACGCTAGGTCTGGTTGTGTACTCCAGGAACGCACTACGTCTGGCTTTCCCCTTCCCATCAAGCTGTGATGATTGTCATGCGAGGTTATCACGATTGTCAGGACCACAGTCTACTTGTTGAATGAGAAAGGCACTTCAAAGTCTCCACCTTTCTGCGGCGTCATGAGAAATGAATAAAAGTTTACTAGACAAAACTTCCACCCTCTTCTCTCTCTCCTCTCCTCCTCTCTTCTCATCTCATCTCACTCTTTAACCAATTTATTCAACTTCCGTATCTCCGTCCACCGAGACCAAGCTCCCATCTCCAATAAATTCATCCTTCTCATTTTGCCCGAAGGATGTCCAATTACCACAGGTTTCCACTCTGGGTCCGCTTGACTCAGATCCGCAATTTCTTTATTTTCACCCCTCGTACTTGACGTGAAACTCGGAATGACCTGCACATCTTTCCACCTCCACAGCACAACAAGCAGCAAGACCGTGACGCAGAGTAGAATTGCCGCAACGATCGAGATGGACGTTTGAGCGCCAAAGTCGTCTGTAATCCTGCCCGCTGCAACGGTAGCTCCTGCAGCGAGAAAGAAGCCGAGAGATTGTGCTGCGAACCATCCAGCGCAGACGCGAGGGAAAGAAGAGTAATTGGTCCGGCGCCGGCGTGTCTGAGCGGACATGGACTGCACGCGGTGCCGGGTGTTGACTCCTGGCTGCAAGTCGCAAGTATCGAAGCTTTCCATGATGAGACCGACGCACTCTGCTGTACCTAGATCTGCCAAGAAGCCCACCAGACCGGCGAAGATCACTGCGGCACTCCAGTGCAAAGGCGGACCAGGGCTGCAGAGACAGAACCCAAGTCCTGCAAAAGGTAGGAGCAGTGTAAAGATTGTCCTTCGAAGTAAGTGAGATGTCCAGGTCACACGCGGCTCTTGGAATGTCATGCTGTCCGTCCTTGGCGGCTTCACGCGAGCTCGACTGAACGTTGAGGCGTTCGTAAGTGGCATCGCCAAAGCAGCGCCGACTGGAACAGACAAGGCTGCCAATCCTACCCAATGTGAAGCCCATTCGTAGTCTCGCGAGAGGAGGGCGCCAAGTAGCTATGAACAGTCAGCTTCCGGACGCACTCATAGAACTTGTATGGCAACTGACCAAAATTACAAGTGTGAGTTGAGCTTGGATCCACCCAAGGTACAACATCAGGACGAAAAAGCCCGGCTGGAAGACCATGCGTTTGGTGAGAATGATGCCAGCCCAGACCTCCTCAAACCAGTACTTTGGTCCATCGTTCGAGATGTGTAATTTGACCTCGCCGCGTGCGATGCGGTGCTTGACTCGGCGAGCTTCTTTGTCTTCGAAGAACTGGAATAATGACCTCCGATATTCAGCCTTTCGTGTTTCCGGTGCGATCATGTTGACCAGCAGGAAGAAGGATAGGAGCATGATGCTAATCCAGAAGCCCCAACTGGGATTAAGCTTCGAGATAATGCAGGCACCAGCGAAGAATCCAATCGAAAGTGAGCTTCCGAAGCAAAATGTCCAAAGACCCAGCCAAGCACCAATACCACCGCCTTGCCTTCGAACATCATCCGGCGCAACAATTTCTTGATGTGGACGTTCGGACATGAGTGACGCTCCCTATAGGTCCCATAGGGTCGGCAGAAAGTTGACATTGGCAAAACCGAGGGCCAGGCCAGTCAGACCACGCGGGAGAAGAAGACCGATCTTGTACAGCAAGCCTGAGCCATGTGCATACTGCACGACCATCGCCTGAGGAATCTGGAGGGGTAGCATGATACCGAAAGCCACGAGTATGTATGGGCGGCGTCCATGAAGTAATGGCAGTGGCCATGCGATGAGAGTGCTCAAGCCCAGCCCAGCAAACAGTCTGTCACTGTCAGCTATACCCACATGATGATTTTAGATCATTCTCGCTCACAGCATATTGCCAAATATGACCCAATGTGATTCATCGTCAAGCTGGTACTGGATCCGTGGTACTTCTCCGGCCTTTAGAAGATTAGCATATGCGCAGACGAGACAAGAGCATGGCACGTACGTAGATTCCAGCTATCAATCCCACAAATATGGTGTTCAGGCAAGCAATGAAAGATGTAAGCCGCTTGCGGGTCAAACTCCATTCTCTTGCTATCGGCTCGGGTCGGTGGTGTCTTCTCAGATAATACTCCTCGCCTTCCTTGACACTGATATGATTGAGCCGAGGATGCTTCAAGCTGAGGTCGCTGAAAATGGGTCGGTTAGATTCAATTGGCAGTATGGGAAAGTCACTTACACTGCCTCCGCATCACTGCTTGCAGTTGGAACACGCGCCGGCTTGAATGTCTGTGCGGGAAGCGTCGCACTTGTTGTGCCAGTCGCCGGAGGCAGATTTGCAGCAGCGGTTGAATGAGCCTGGTCATTAGCGGCAAGCAGCGGCTCTGCCGATCGCGATCCATTTTGCAAGCCTGGTTGAGCCCTTCGTAGTGGTCTGCTTGGTACCCTGGATCCCGTGGTGTCGCTGTTGTGCATAGCATGAGCTCGATGGACTCTCTGTTGTTTTCCTGGTCGGCCGCAGCACCACTTGGATTCAGGAGGCGGAGGAAGTGGCGCCTCAATCTGGGCCGTACAGATGCTGTGTCGAATTCCCGGCTGCGTTGCTACTGACTCTCCATGGTCAGCGTAGAAGCTCGCCGCCGCGCCGGGTTTGGCACGCTCTAGCGAATGTGTAGAATGGCGACGCAGGATCTTTGGGTCCTTGTAGGCATAGTCACGGACTATAGAATCAGCAGAGGGTGGATGGTATAATCGAGGAGGTGTTCTCGAGATCGAGTCATTCGTAGAGACCATGCGGTGACCTTGTTGAACGGCGCCGCCTCGAGATATCCTAGTGGGCTCCTTTGACGCAGGCTGGGAGTTCCGTGAACGCGCTTTTGTCATGGCTGGGTTGGTGCGCGTGAAGGGCGATTTATCAGCTGAAGCTGTGTTCCATCTTCCAGGTGATGCAGAGGGCGATATGCCCTCCTCTTCTGATGATCGCATCGACTCAGTCTGAGAAAGCCTAAGCGGCCGCATTGTCACTTCTTGCACATCAGGTAGGCCAGTGACAGCGCGCGTGCCACCTTGATCCCCTGTCCCTACTTCCGAGGGTTGTACAGCATCGAGCGTATGCTGTGCTGGTCTTGTCGCCACGTCAGCGAAAGGCTTAGGCTTCGCGCCCGTGAGTTTCTGTCGTTCTGGCATTGCAGCAGCCTTGCGTGATACGCCAGTGGGTATTGCGTAGTCGCTGTCCGGCGATGAAGAGCTCGAGGGTGCCATTAGATGTGGCGGAAGCGCATACAGTGACGATGTTGTGGCGGGAAGTGAAGACAACGGAAGGTCTGCTGAGGTGGGCTTGGGCAACGTCTCGCTGGAATTTACAGCATTTGAGGCGGTATTCGATATGGCACCAGGTAGCTTTCGCTGCGCGCCATCAATGCTAGCACTAGAGACAGCTGCTACGTTCCTGTATTGACCCGGGTGAGGCTTCCTTGTCGTTGTTCCTTTACGTTGTCGTGCGGACTGGGCTTTTACCGTGTTCGTGGTTGAAGTTACGATGTGACTCGCGGGCTTCTTCAAAGCTGGTTCGGGACTGTGAGGAGACTTGACGAGCTTCTCGTACGACGCCGGGTCCTTTCTTGGGAAGCCAGCGGGAAGAGCTTCTCGATCACTTGGCGTAGTGGTGCTGTACTCGGACGAAGCGCATGAGAGCGCACGATGGTCCGGTGCTGGCTTTGTTTTGGTGATCGGGCGAGACCTCAGCCCCGCAGGCGGCTCTGAAGTCTGGGAATAGGATCTGGGGTCTCGCGTTCGCCTCTGGTCACGGATCTCTGGCGTTGAGCCTGTCGGGCGAAATCTCAGGTCGTCACTGAGAGTATTGGACGCAACGTACTTGACCGAGGGTTCAATGAGGTTGTTGACAGGTGCCTGTGGGGGCAGCGCATCATGACTAGAAGAAGTAGGCTGAGGTTGTAGTGCTGGAGCTATACCGGCCGCCTCGAGCCATGGCAGTCTCTTTCTCGCTGCTAACGGAGGTCGAGGTGCGCGCGTAGCCCCGTTGTGCATTTGTCCTTCGACTGTAGCCATTGGTCTTGACAGTCCAGATGCCCAGTTGTGAGGATAGTCGGTAGGGTGGAAGCGATAGAACAGCTACCCTCCGGGTTTGCGCGGATTCAGTGATCGGCACTGTTCACGGAGCGCTTGACTCCATGGACATTCGTAGAGGGTGCGGGTGATGTGACGTGCGTCAAGGCCGTTGGAGGTCGTGGAGATAGGAGCGGGCGAGCATCGGAGGGTCAGTGGTTGCTCGTCAGGCAGTGTATTGAAATGGATTAGGAGATGTCATGCAAGGGTGAGGAAATAGAGAAATGAGTGCACCACTGCACAGTTTGGAGGGCAGAAGATGAGCAATGAAAGCTTCGGCGTGCAAAGCAATCGCGGTCGTTGTTCCTACCTGACGTTATTGCTGCTTGGCACTTGCTCTTGCGCACCAACCCTTCTGCATGCGTAACTGCTACTCTTCGAAGCGCACTTTGCCCGCACTGACATCCGGGTACACGTCAAATCGACGTTGCGTGTAGATGGGAATGCCTTTGCGCGACTCCTCGATGGTATCATTGTCCAGGTCAGCGTACGTGATGCCCTCGTTCTCGTCCAGTTCTGACTGAATAGACGCATTCGGGTTCACGACCATCGAGTGGCCCCAAGCATTGTACTCGGCCTGCATATCGCGAGACGGACTGCAGAGCCCCACATAGACCTGGTTGTCCATGGCTCTCGCACGCGCTTGGAGCTCCCAATGCATCGCACCAGTCGTGAGATTGAAGGCGCCTGGGTACAGCAGCAAGAACGCGTCCTTCCTCGCGGCGATCATGGCCAGCTCGGGGAAGCGAATGTCGTAGCAGATGGCGACTGCAATCTTGCCGTACTCGGGCAGATCAATGAGTGTCACCTTGTTGCCCGGTGACAGCACCTCGCTCTCGTGGAACGAGATTTTGCCTGGAATATCGATGTCGAACAGGTGCACCTTGCGGTGTGTCCCGATCAACTTGCCATTCGGATCGAAGGTCAAGGAGGTGTTGTAGTATTTCTTCGTCTCCTCCCAGTACTCTGGTATGCTGCCGCCCACCAAGTATGCCTTTGCCTCTTTCGCGAGCTCGGACAGGGCGTGGAAGGAAGGCGCTTGCTCCTTAGTCGGTGGCGACGGCAGCAGCGTCTCGGCGTATCTGGGAAAGTGCTTCGTTCCGTAGGGGCTGTTGAAACATTCGGGCAGGACGACAATGTTTGCGCCTTTGGAGGAGGCTTCGAGGACCTTTGAACGAGCTCGTGCGAGGTTCGCCGTCTTGTCTGCTCCAGTGGCGAGCTGCACCAGCGCCAGCTTCAGCGGTTTCTTCAGCAATTTGGCCATGTTGAGGAGGTTGATCGACGAAGTGTGATGAAGCAGCAGCTTCGAGGTGGTGAGCTCTCATCGTGGAGATCCAACGCCAAGCCGAAGGTCGCTTCGCGTCACCGATAGGGCCTCGATAGGGCGACGGCCACCATGACCATCGGCATTGCTGGCGACATCGGTGTCGTCGTCGCTTTCCGTCCTCGGACTGAAGAACGAAACCATGCGATAGAGGAGAAACACGCGTATTGCACTTCTCACGCGTCGAGCACGTGTCTTGGCGCGTGTTTGGATGATCACGGTTTCATGCTGCTTCACTTCGCCGGGAACACCCATCCCAACCATTTCCGAGATCGCGTGTGGCTCATCGCTTTGGCGATGTCCGGAAAGTGATCATGGCAAGACTGATCGCGCATGCAGGCGGCGTCCACGTACACAAAAGGTGGCCCAGCAGATGTACTACGTCATGCTTGCCAGCGTTTCCAGATGCCTAGTAGAAGTCGGTGCATTTCTCCCGGATAGAATACTTACGCACATAAGTCAAGGTCTATATATTCCGAGACCGTGACCACCGAAACACTGCCTAGACGAGCAATTGCTACATCACTAAAAGATGGCCGACACCAGCGAGCAGCAAAGCAGCTTGAAACAATTCCTAGCAGTACGCAGACGATGTTACCATAACCAAGCATAGCATCTAACATACGTTCCAGTCGATAGCCACAATCAAGGGCGACTTGTCCACGATAACAGCACCTCCTTTCGTACTAGCCAACAAGTCTACCACAGAATTCCCACGATACTGGATCGAACAACCAGCGCTCTTTACTGCACCAGCTCACGAAGAAGATCCTGCCAAACGAATTCTTGCGGTGCTGAAATGGTTGTTGGCAAGTCTCAAGTCTCAGCAGTACGCTGGCCGACAGCCGAACGAAGGCGTCAAGAAACCATTGAACGCCTTTCTTGGCGAAGTCTTTATTGGCGACTGTGGGCCTGAGGACGATGAGACGCATCTGATTTCGGAACAAGTCAGCCATCATCCACCTGTGACTGCATGCTATCTGTGGAACGATAAACATGGTGTGCGAGCAGAAGGTTATACCAGACAGGTGAGCTGACTTCCTCTCCATAAGCTTTTCTGCCTCTTCGAAATCACTGTACTAATCACAATCAAACAGGACATTCGATTCACCGGAACAGTCAACATCACCCAAATAGGCCACGCAATCTTACACCTCGATGAACTCAACGAAGACTACCTCATCCCTCTACCCGACGTAAAAGTGCAAGGCATCCTGACCGGAAGTCCTTACCCCGAACTCCAAGGCTCTCATTCCATCATCTCCTCAACCGGCTACAGAGCCATCATCGACTTCAGCGGAAAACGCCTACTCGGGCTGGGTGGCGAGAAGAACCACGTCCACGCCGCAGTGTACGCCCCCGAGGACAAGAAGCACAGCAATCCAATCTACGTGGCAGAGGTGAGCAAAACCCATCCTTCCCCAATCATTTTACCTATTACGCATACTTACAAGCACAGGGCAACTGGTCCGAATCTTTCACAATCAAAGACTCCTCCAACACCATCCTCGAAACCTACAACGTCTCCACCGCCCACTCCACCCCCTTCCGCACCCTCCCCCTCGAAAAACAAGACCCCTGGGAATCCCGCAAAGCCTGGCAACACGTCATCGAAGCAATCAGAACCGGAAACATGCAAGGTGTAGCAGACGCGAAAAGTAAACTCGAAACTGCGCAAAGAGAATTACGGAAAAAGCCGGAGACGGGAGAAGAGAATTGGGAAGCGTTGTTTTTCAGGAAAGATGCTGGGAATCCTGTGGCGGAGAAGTTGTTGACTGAGGTTGGGGAGAAATTGGATACGGAGAGGACGGTGGGGGTTTGGAGGTTTAATGCTGAGGCGGCGAAGGGGTTGAAGAGGCCTTGGAGGGGGGAGTTGACGCCGTATGGATGAGGTGGAAGGGTGGGAATAGTAGTCGACATAGCGAGTAGAGAGCGGTTGTGAATCTGTTCTGAAATTTCATGGCCAGCGTGATGTCTTCCACAGCTACGCGATGAACTATCAGAACAATATCTTCTAGGGCCAACGGGCATATCCGAAGCAGCGTGGGACAAGTCAAATATCCAAACTCATAAATCAGACTACCTATCCGCTCCTAATCTACTTCCCCCCAGTAAACGTCACCGCCAAACACCCCGCCTGAGTCGTCCCTCCCACACCCCCATTATTACATTTCGAATAATTTTCCTTCATAATATCTGTACAACTCTTCCCTCCATCTCCCACCGGAAACGCAACATCTTGTCGATCGACCGTAGTGACACATTCATCAATCCACGCGACAGCAAAATCATATCTCACGCCCCAGCCATCAAGACGATAATCTGCTGTAATTTCTCCAGGACCAACGTCTGGCTGTCCATCGACGACTTGATTCCAAGTTTCGCAGAAGTACTCTGCCATGCGACCTTGGTCGTTGCCCTGGATGTCGGCGTGTCCGGGAAAGTCTGATTCATCCCAGCATTCGGTTGAGAAGACTTCCAATGGAGTGACGGATACGGTTGGTGTTGATGGAGCTTCTTCGGTGGTGGAGGAAGGCTCAGGCTCTGGCTCTGCGGAAGACGTCGAGGGTTCTGAGGTGGGTTCTGGCGTGTTGGTGGCTTCCCATGAGGCACAACTCGTAGTTTCTACGCACGCCGCTTGGCCACCTGAGCCAGCACATTGGGAGAATGTGGTGGTCGATGCGCACGAACTGCCGGAAGGTGTTGTGATTCCTCCTGTCCTTGTCAAGCTGGGCAGGCCTGTAATTGGGGGCTCAATCGAGCTGGAAGTGGACGTAATTTCTGAAGAAGTTGTGGTCGAGCTAGTACTGGACGTGACCTCTGCAGAAGATGTAGTCGAGCTCGAGGTAGGAGCAACGGAGCTTGTACTTGGTTCGAGGTCGGGAGAGTCTGGCAGACTTTCTTCTGGAATGTCGGTCTCTGGCCGAATCGTCGCAGCTTGCATCCAGAGAGGGACTGGGAGCCCCAGTGAGCTGTACATGGCAAAGGCATCATACTTAGTCGGTGAAGCAGTGATAGCGCATGCCAAGGCTGAGGATGGAGTCGAAATGGATGTTGAAGTTGTGCCAACGAGGCTGCAGCCAGAGCTCGAAGTGCAGCTTGTTGTATAGCAAATTGTTGTACTGGAAACCGAGTTATCCATGCTTGTGGAAGACACAGAGCAGCCGACCCTGCAGTCAGTGACCGTGGTACTTTGAGTACAGGTCTCCGTAGAAGAGCTGGTCGCAGTGGAAGTTGACTCCTCCTCTTCGCCTTCCTCATCCGTCTGGGGGTCGGGACAATCACCAGACACGACAGCTCCAAACACCCTGATACACGGAAGAGTCCATTTGGGTAGGTTGGGGAAGGTCAGGCCCCAGTCAAAAAGAGTCCATGGAACTGGTGGAAAGTCCCATATTACGACGCCTCCGCTGCCCCCGCCAGGGGCGCATGCCGTGCACCAGATCACCGGGACTATAGTATCGCTGCTATCCTTCGTCGTCGTGAGCCAGGTGTTTGTCGTAAGCCCAGGCGGATGAATTATTTCTGTAGACACCTCAGGTGGGACGGTCGTCATGGTGGAGGTGACAACGCTGGTACTCGAAACTTCGCCCGATACACTGATACTAGTGCTGGCACCACTCGGGATAGTTGTCTGGATAGGAAGTATCGTAGTACTGCCACAAACATTCAGCACGCCCGAAGACGCTAGAGACACAGTACAAGTATCGGTAGTGAAAGCAGAGCCACCAGGAGTGATCGTCGTTGAGCCGATGATGATTCGAGAGGCATTACCAGACGCAGTCAGACTAGGGCCGATCGTAATCTGCTGATTCGACTCCGTGAATGTTGTTCCATTTCCTGAAGGCACATCTGTGGTCGAGGGTGGCGCGCTGGAAATTGTGGACGTCACGATTGCTCCACCAGAATGAGTAAAGGTCGTGAGATTCGCCGATGATTGTTCTGTTCTCGGGACTGAAGCGGATACATCTGTGTTGGAGAGTGACGTGCTGGGGACTGCAGACGTGAATATTGCTCCACTGGAACTGGTGACAGTTGTGGCATTTGCTGACGATTGCTCTGTGCTCGGTGCGGGGACATCAGATACTGTCCACGTAACGAGGCTCCCGTCAGATTGAGTTGAAGTAGTCAGAATCGGCGTAGACACTGTTGTGCTCGGAACCGGAGCGGTTGAATTTGTAGATGTACCCGCCTGTCCATCAGATGGGGCCGGAGTGGTAGGAATAGCTGAGGACTGTCCTGCGCTTGATATTGGAACATTGGGAATCGTCGAGGTGACTGCCTCCCCATCGGATAATGTAAATGTGGTGAGACTTGCCGAGGGCCGTTCCGTGCTGGAGGCTGGAGCGATGACAATCGAGGATGTGATTACCTCGCCGTCTGATCGCGTGATCGTTGTGATTGCGATCGAAGACTGTGCCGTAGGCTGGTCTGAAGCGCTCCGAATGGTCGAGGTGGTCACTTCACCATCTGATAGTGTGATGACAGTGAAGGTGGCTGAAGGTACACTCGTACCAGCTGGGGCAGATGAATTAGCCGGCTGAGAGATGATTGGAATATTGGTCGTGGTAGTAAAGATTGAGCCGTCAGATCTTGTGATTGTCGTTGGGATCGCCGTCGAAAGGGTCGTCTCGATCCTAGTTTGGCTGACTGATGAAGTGAGAACTGATGACACTGGATGGCTTGTAGTCTCGATGACCTGGCTTCCGTCTGAGTTGGTGAAGGAACTGAGTACTGTAGTCGACTGGACAAATGAAGAATCGGACTCATCCGCAAATGTTGTGGAGGCCGATGGAATTGGATTCACCAACGTCGTAGTAATGACTGTATCCGGATCGGTGCTCGTTTGACTTATTGGTCCTGCTATCGAGGTCTGATTGATTGCAGATGAAGACGGACCATTACTCGGCTGGCCAGCGGAGCTTGAAGATGGGATAAAGATCGAAGACGATGAGTTGCCTATGCTAGGGGCCGAGGGCGTGCTCAATGACGCGGTCGTACTTTGGCCGTAGCCAGGAGGACCGTAGCCAGACGGTGAGGTTATGGCGGCAGAAGAGATTGTGCTTTGGCCGTATACAGACGGGCCATATCCAGATGGGACGCCATAACCTATCGTAGAGTCTGCTGTGCCCTGATAGTTATGGCCTGTATGGTGACCCGAGGCCAGCGATGCCAGGTACGCGATCCAGGACGAGAACTTGTCCATGCTGTGAACGATGGCGAGCTGCCGATGATCTGTGAGCGGACATCGAGACCATGAAGTGTTGTCTTCAATGCGACTGCATCTTGGGCACCCCTGCCAGGCACAATGCCACTACAGGAATAGTCGCTAGCATGTGTCCACTGTTGGCTCAGCCCAATGCTTGGTCTGCATAACCAAGCTGGACATCTTCGGGGCCGGTGTGACGCATGGATATTCGGAGTGGTACCTTGCATTGGATATGATCATGGTGTATGCAGCCATGTTGCGGTGGTACGACTTGTCCTTCAGCCGCAATTTACATTCAGATGGAGTACGAGCGCTGTGGGTCTGTAGGATCGGAGCTTCGCCCCGGAATTCACAGGCTGAGACCTTTCTCCCGCCAACGTCTCCAGCTTTCAGCCCAAGTGCCTCTGTCGTAGCCAAGTAGATGCAGCGACACTTCTTCGGCGGTGCACGGAATCCCTTGCGGCTCTTCGCCCACAATTTTGTAGATCATGACTTTACGAGTCTGCCGATACACGGCGAGGTCCAACACGGCGAAGTGCTGCCGGTTCAGAGGATCTGGCACATGCTCGACAATTGTTGCTACCTGTCGAATATCCTTCCCTATGTAGGGAGAGCTCCAGTCGGGACTAACGGGGGTCTCGGTGCCCAGAGGGGTTTCGCGGTCTGCGATGCTGCCATTGTCGGCCAAGCGAAGGAGGTACTCGCCCGTCTCGTTGTGTGACTTTTCCAATACCTCATTGATCGTCTGATCGCGATGAGCTCTGACTTTTCGTCGCCGTCAAGGCACACGTACCTCGATAGGTACAGACTCCAGGATGAATATCAGGTAGACATCGCCCTCGTCCGGATTTGATCGGTCCTGGGCAGCCATGATGGGTCTTGGTCTTCTGTTCAACGCACGGCGGGGATGTGTAGTGTTGAGGCGAGAGTGTGTCGGACGAGAGACGGAGCCAGATTGAGCTGAGAAGTGCCCGACGAACAACTCGGAGAAGTGTCCGCGGCCATGGCACTTGCCACTTCATTGGGCCGGCAAGCGAGATGGGCCGTGCCACGACGGGATCGCGGTCTCCCGCGGATTCCCGATGACTCTAAATTCAACCTCTTTGATCTTCCTGCCAACAAGTCTCCCAAAAGCAGTGCCAACGCGGCGCTCGCGTGCAACCACATTTATGCATCGATATTGCGCCGCAGAAGTGCCGCGTCTCAGCTTTGCCCACCGGTGAGGTTATAGCAAGGTACTTACGTACAGATTCCAAGGTCGTTAGGCTCAGCCCGCGCTATTGTAGTACCAGAAGGATTCAGGATGCAGAATGCAGGTACCACGCTCCTTCAAAATTCATGCCCAGCGCTCCACATCAATATCGAACCGCGAAACAAGGGCACTGCGCCTAGAATGCCATGGAGGAGGACTTCACACATGCCATCTTGCGAGCTGAAGAGCTGAGGCGAGCACGTCTCGAATGGACTCACCTTAAGTCTGACCCGGAGCCTCCTCAAGCAGCAATGCAAGTAGCTTTCACTCGCTCTCATGTTGTCACTAGTTGTTACTTTATCACTCGCTCTTCATGCCTCAGCCGGCCGAGTTGACGGGCATGTCCCCAGGCCATTTGGCGCAGCACTCCCAGTCGCAACATTAGTATCCCAGCCGGACTTGACACAGAACGAAGATCCGCATCAAGACAGCACAAACACATCGACTCCACAACCCGTTCGAGCTCCTGATGTTATTGTCCAGCGGACCACCCGAATTGACCAGAAGACGCATGTGGAGCGTTGGGGTGCTTACACTCCCTATGGCGAGGAAGACGAACAGACTCTCGTGCGGCGTGGTATCTTCAAAAGAGCTCCTGCCTATCGGGGTACCATGGTAAGTAAGCTAGTCGTGGGCCGAAGACGACAGACCCATGTGTGGCTGTTGGTTCACGATGTCCGAATTAGCAACCAACGCTGACGTCCCTCCTTTCTAGATGATGGACTGTAAGAAATCTCGTGAAGCTTGTCAAAATGCCTGTTGGTATCAGAACTGCATGATGGGCGCTCAAGGCTCAACCACTGCTGTAACTTACACCTACGGCGGTAACGATGACGGCACGCCCGAATACGCTCAGAATCGTGTAGAGTCTGGCGTTGCTACCTCAGGCTCGGGAACTCCCTGCGGTCTCTGGCCGTTCGGCCAACTGTTCTGGGACCCATATCCTTTTGTATGTGCTTTCCATTGCGCATTTATCTGCGTAGCTAATTTTCGCCTACAGCACTTGCAGGTCAACCCTGATGATCCCAATCTGCCTCCAAGAGACTCTCAGCTAGAATTGCAGACCGATGAATGGCCCATGGCGAATTGGGAAAACCCAACCTTTGATCCTACTGCCAGTATGTGAGATTCAGGCCATCAGCAAACCGCATCACTAACCGCATGATTCCCATAGATCCTCCTCAACACTCTTTACGATGCATCACTAGGCTCGACAACAGCAGTCAGTACCATCTTCTCGTATCTCTCTCGCAAAGCTAACGAGAGCTACGTAGGAGGCGGAGCCGAGTGGAAATACTTCAAGCGAAAGATGGTCCAATACAGAGCTGGCGCTAGGCATGAATCCAGTAGACTAGGCGCAAATCCTTTCGAGGCGGGCGACACGTTCAATGTCGAGTTCGACATGAGCCAATTCGATGACAACGATCCGGACGACGTTGCCATGAAAGCAAGGTGCGCGTTTGTGCCCGTCTGTCTCAGTACATCGCTGACTGGCATCTAGTTTGACGTACTGCGGTGCACCTGGAACCATCAATTGCGCAAACGATGGCCGCCAATTTCACATGAGCGGCATCGCGAGAACAGGCGGTGGAGCTGGAGTAGGTGCCTATTTGGATTACCCTTACGACTCCCAGACGATGAATACATACAAGATCGACAATGAAGCCCGCGACATCTGGGCGTATCAGGTGCTTGTAGACATCACCGGCGATAACGGCGACCAGTATGAAGTGACGGTTCAAACATTGGCAAATGGTGCCTATACTGCTGTCGCGAATCGCGGTGCTGGCGCTCCGGTCACTCTCGCACAGGGCGAAACACTGACTTTGCAAGGATCACTGCCCAAAGAGGTCAGTATTCACGCAAGACTCACATCCTTTGTCCTTTGCTGACATCCATTTCTAGCTTGAGATCAAACGCGTCGATGACAGTGGCTGCAACACTGAGCTAGAATTCACATACGGAACGCCGATACCAAACACACACGGCTGGTATGTCTTCAGATCTGATCAAATCAATGACGTCGACGAGAAGCATTGCCAAACCTCGGACTTGAACGATGATGATGGAGACTATATTGGGACTAGATTTACTTGCACCTTTCCTGGTTACTAGATCATTTGGTACAGACCCTTTAATGTTGCGGGGCCTTCAATAAATTGAGCTTGGCCGTGTTCTACTGTATAAGGATGTTACTTGCAATTTGAACATCATCTATGAGCGAATTATTTGCAAGGCCGGAAGATGAGACCTCCAGGAAGTGGGAGCTTTGGTCAGCTTATGCGACATCGGTACTTCGCATCGTCGACGATCGCCTGTTTGGCACAATCAGAATGATGCCCAAAGTCGTTACCGAGCGGGCTTGATCCCTCGCTCCAACAACGTAATCAATTCATCCAGCGTCCCAATCGCAACATCAGTCCTCTCATCCGTCTCCAACTCCTCCTTCCCTTCACTCTTCAACAACACCGTAAGCGCACCCGCATCCCTACCAGCAGCCATATCATCCACCGAATCGCCAACCATAATAATAGGCAACACCGGAGTCTTCACACCATCAGCGCTCGCCTTTGCTTTCGAACCCACCACGCCCCAGGACCTAGCAATATGCAAGATCCCCTCCGGCGACGGTTTCGGCGGCTTGAAATCCCTTGTAATCACCGGATCGAAAGGATTCAAATGCGAAGGTACATGTTTCTCCAATAAATGATTCACAGGCGCATCGAAATTCCTCGTACAAATTGCTTTTTTAATCTTATGCTGATCCAGGAATTCCATGAGAGCCACTAACCCTGCTTGAGGGATTTGTTTCGACATAGCTTCGCTTTCGATGGCTTTGATTTTTTCGAAGGCTTCGATTTGTTGAGGTTCGGGTAAGGCGTGGATGTAGTCGAGGATGTCTTCGGATTTGGGGATCCCGACTTCTGAGCGCATTTGGCTGAACATCCAGTTTTGGGGTTCGCCTTTGAGGAGGATGTTTCATCAGTAAGGAGGGACTTGCATCGGCAACACGACTGTGTTACTCACACAGTGTGCCGTCCATGTCGAAGACGATGCCTCGCAGGCGGAGCAAGTTTGTGTCTGAATTGCTTCCACTGTCGCCGCCGAGAGGCGCGAAGTGGTGACGTCTCACACTCATTGTGACGGCGAATGTGCGGCTTGCTGTTCGTGAGAGAGCTGATTGCTTGATACCGGCATTGGCTTGCCACGAGACTCGTACCGCAGGCTTGTGTAACGCAACTATTGTTGGCCTGGTTGTAAACATTGAGGTGAGGTCGTTAAGCGGCAAGGATGGTGTTCTGCAGTAGCAAGGATGCACACTGTAGGGCTTGAGGAATACCATCAAATCAAGCATCAAATATTGACTGAAGAAGGTCATCATGACTCGTATCAGAAGCGAGTCTCGCATCCGTCATCCGATACTAAAGTCGCACGATTGGTTGAACGAGCATTTATGCACGTTGTGCAGCAGCATAACGACGTAGACGGGCGCGATTAGAAACCACAAACAACACGGCTGTTTCAGTGCAATTTGTTGGAACGGAGACGGCGATCAATATCGACAGCTCAGGTCGATCGTAACAAGTATACCGCAAAGCCAAGAGAACATATATAGAGTGGCCAGAACACCTTGCCAACCTTACCAACATCCTTACCTCAGCACGACAAATCATCAATGGCGCCCCTCCAGATTGGCCTCCTTGGCGCCACAGGCGAGACAGGCAGCTCAATCTTCAACGGACTCATATCCTCGCCTCAAGCATCAGACTTCAACATCACCGCCCTCGTCCGCCCCTCCTCCCTCTCCAAGCCCGCCAACCAAGCCCTTAAATCCCACAAAAACGTCTCCCTCCGCGCCCTAGACCTCACAGCCTCCCACGAAGAACTCACCTCCTCTCTCCAAGGAATCCAAATCCTCATCTCCGCCATCGGCGCCCAGGACCAACTCTCCCAAATCCAACTCGCAACCGCAGCCAAAGCCGCCGGAGTAAAACGTTTCATCCCCTGCGCTTTCATAACCGTAATCCCCGCAGGCGGAATCCACCTCCTCCGCGACCAAAAACAAGAAGTCTACAACCACATCTTCCAGCTCGGCCTCTCCTACACAATCATCGACGTCGGCTGGTGGTACCAAATCTCCCTCCCTCGCGTCCCATCCGGAAAATTGGACGCAGTAGCCAGTATCGTTACCACAGAAATCGCCGGCGATGGAAATGTCCTAAGCGGTCTGACCGATCTTCGAGATATCGGAAAATACGTCGCTCGAATTGTCCAGGATGAACGGACAGTGAACAAATGGGTTTTTGTCTACAACGAACTCTGGAGCCAGAATGCCGTGTACGATCTCGTGGAGAAGAGACTTGGCGAGAAAATCGACAGGACGTATCTTTCGGAGAAGGATCTGCTGGCACGAATCGAGAGTCCGGGCGAAGGTCCGAACGCACTTTTTGTCAAAGTTCCAGCGCAGTATATGCGATCGTGGGGGATCCGAGGGGATAATACGCCGGAATATGCGAAGTATTTGGGATATGTGACTAGTAAGGAGTTGTATCCGGATTTGGAGTTTACGTCGTTCGAGAAGTACCTGGAGGATGCGTTGGAGGGCAAGATCAAGCCTGTGTACGAAGAGCTTCGGGCGCAGTTTGAGGCTTCGAAGAAGGAGGCATAGCTGTAGTGTGAGAATAGGCTAGTCTGTAGTCAGCACCAAACTTGAGAAGCAATACTCACGAGATAGGATTTATCCAAGACGAAGTGTTTCCTGAATGAAGATTCCGCAATGTGCCGCTGTGGCTTCATTGGCAATAGTACAATCTTTGCCCCTCTACTGCTCGGGCAGAGGTATGGTATCTCAAAGGAGCGCAAAGGTCGCTGAAGCGTCCACGTCAGATCCATCTTCTGACTTATGAGTACAATAATCCCGCTGTGGTGTAATCATTTTCCCCAATATTACAACGCCATAGTCCGGTAACATCCCGGCTCTTTTGATATCATCTGTCTCCTTCTGTAGGTGCGGGAGGTGAGTTGAAGACGGCGAGTCGCATGCGGTGGAACTATACTTGTGTTAGACGTGCGGTATGCAAAGGTGGGATCGTACTTACTGCCGGTAACTTGGGTACCACAACTGCTAGCGTCGCCAAAAAGTTGATCATAAAGTATGCTAGGTCGTAATGTGTGTAGTGCGTGCTGATTAGGAACAACCCGATCGGCATGGCCAGCAGAAATTTCTTCGCCGGCGTGTATTGATCTTCGTTGTCAATTTGCTCCCACATGTTGAGGTTGTCGTATGCTCCGGCATTAAACTCGAAAGGGATGCCTCGCACGTAGTGGAACATGAGGTATGAGCCGGCCATGTACGTTATGTTGACCATCGTCCATGACGTTTCTTGGGTGATGGACGGCACGATATCGTAGACGATCTTGAGGAGGAGTATGAGGATGATGTGAATCATCCATGCGCCTGAATGAGCATCCTGTATTAGCCACTGGTCCCCATCGTCGTGCACTCCCTGATCTCGCGGCCGCTGCCTCCTCTTCCTGCCGCTGCATGCTCTTTCTGTGCGTCACTCACCTTTCGCGTTCACCCACTGTGCATTCAAATTCGGGAGTATCGCTTGGTCTGATTGCTGCTCGAGGCTCTCGGGAGGCTCCTGGTACATCAGACTGCTACTCCTCCGCCGCCTCCGCTGGTCCTTATCCTTGGTATTGGTGCTCATTTTGCGTGTGGCAGACTGCACGCAGGTGGGCGGAGACGTGTTGACACCCTCGGCGAAGGTGATTCCGCCTCGCGACTGGAGGAGTGTGGACGACAGTTTGGCGGTGTTGTCGGGGGATCGTTTACGATGTGGTAAGAATAAGAGGGGAGCCAGCGTGGCGGTAATCTTGGCGTAAGCTGTGATTACAGACAGGTCGCGGTCGAGTGGGAGGTGCGGTGGTGGCAGAGTGCGAGTTGGGAAGAGAGGTCGGGCGTGGCAGACGAACAGATGGCCGGTCTTTGTTCCGTGGACGAGGCACGGCGAATGACTTGGCTCGCGTGAGGTGAAGTTGGCAGGATCCGCAGGCCGACTCACTCTGCCGGGGCGGGCGCGGGCGGAGGGCGGCGGCGTGGTACGAGATGGCGTCGTCGCTGGCGCACGAGAGCAGTGAAACAGGTGACGGATTGTGGTGGTGGTACGGAGAGGTGAAGTGTTGACTGCTCCAGCACGGGACTGTACACGAATGCCATGCAGGGTCACGTCGTCCAAGCCCACGAAGACCCCGAGCTTGTTCTAGACACGGCTCGCTATGCTCGAAATAGGAATACTACTGAACGCCCCGTCGGCACGCTGCTGTGCCCCTAAGGCGTTTTCATGCTCTTCTGCGCATATAGCATCGACACGTTACATCGAACGCCTCGCAATACACGCACGCGACACGTTTGTCCTATCGTGGTAATATGCTCCAACCCGAGTATCAGCCTATTTACCTCCATCGCACCGAGGACTGTGCGACTGCTGAGCGAAACCTGCTGTGCACATGACCCTCGGATGAGAGACGCATTCAGACTGTCCCGTTCTCATACCGCTATCGCAGAGAGGATACAGTATAGACGAGATGCGGCTTTTGCTAACTAGACTAGAGTAAAGAAAACATGAAACGCAAGGGTCCAGCATTCCTGTGTCAACGGTGGCCGTGCGTATTCAACCAAGCAGATGCCTGTCGGAACATCAATCCGCAGTGCACGACCACCACAATGCAGAGACGTGCTGCAGGTGTGAAGGTGTCAGATGTGGCTGATCACCTGGCAGCCTCTTTTGTACTTTCCTAACCAGCCGTTGACACCATCTCCTGTATTCGCTGTACGCCGATCAATCCCTTCGATTGCGATCGTCTTCATGTACGCGTGGCAGGAGACTTTTCTGCCTCGTGAGTACTGGTGGACGCTGTCTCTCGTAGTGCTTTCAAACGTCACTCTTGATCATATCTCATGTGTAAGCGCCTTCTAATGCCATGTGAACGCTCACTGTCATTGCGTAGAGTTGGGTATTATGCTTGCTCCAATCAACGCCAACTCTCTCCACATACGCCTCCCACCAGTCGCAAGTCCTCGGCCTGACCATAACTACCATCTACACTGCACGTTGCTTGTATAAGAGCACTATGCTGGAGCCTGGTATGGCTTCACGAGCATCTCACTGAACCTGTGCCATTGTTAGCATGCTAACACAAGCTTCCTCCGACAAATTGTGACTTACTTCGAAATGCTCTCCACTCCTCTGACTTCGTCGACCAGCAGCGGCATCTTCACAACGTGGAAGTCTTCGCCGTACAAGTCATCAATTTGCTCCAGGTACTTCTTCTGCATCTTTCGCCTTGAGTTGCACTGCTCGCAAGGGTTGTCTTTCTTCGGGAATAAGAGCTGGTTCACCACCATCGCATGTGTGTCGATTTCGTACGATCCCAATTCTTGAATCATGCGCTCCGTCTCATACAGTGACAAGAACTCTGGAATGAGAACTGGCACAAATGTGGTCAGATCTGGATTCTTGAACTGCTTGTTCACCTCTCCAATCGTCTCCTGTAGGTCGTGCATCTTCTTGACAACATCGTCAAACGATTGTCCATTCGGCAGACCACCTCGAGCACCGATCAGGTTGTTGATCATCGGCCCAAATTGTGATGAAAGCGCGCTGAGCTTCTCGAGTGCCTTCTCCAGCACGGTAGGGAATTGCAGGAAGCGTAGAGTGTGACCAGTGGGCGCCGTATCGAAGATGATGAGCTCGTACTCCATGCCCTTGACCTGCTTCAGCACTTCGGCAAAAGACATGGCCTCATCGACACCAGGTATGCTGAAGGCCATGTCCTGAAACATGTTGCCCACACCTCCGAGGCCTGCCATGGCATCCTGTGCATCGTCGCCTCCTGCGGCAATCAGATCTGATATGCTCCCATTTGGATCAATCTCCATAGCTGCGAGACCTTCCACGCCAGGCACTGGTTTGGCGTCCTTGCCGAACTTGACACCAAAGGCATCAGAGAGGTTGTGAGCGGGATCGGTGGAGATGAGCAGGACGCTCTTTCGGGCCTTGGCCATTTGTACAGCAAGAGAACAGGATGTAGTGGTTTTGCCAACTCCTCCCTTGCCGCCTACGAAGATCCATTTCAAACTCTTTTGATCCACGATGGGCTGCAGGGAGGGCTCCATTTCGTCGGCCATGATGGAGACAGATCGCAGGTGTGAGATAGGCGGAGGTGTGCGAGGACGTGTTTAGAGAAGATTGTTATAGCGGAAAAGTGTTTTGTTGCTCAGCAGGTGCCTGTCAGTTGGCCAGCAGCTCCAGAACGTGGAACATGCGCGGGGCCCTGGTCGATCAGAAGATCTACGTCAGACCGACCAGATGCGCACCTGACCACTCAGCTCCGTCCGGACTTGGCTCCGCCGCAGCTCTGTTCTCGAAAAGTGAAGTGCATCATGACCTTAGCTCGATCATCTTCATTATCATGAGCAAGCCTGGTGCGCTAGCCCGAGCGTGGTTCAAATGGAAGGCATTGCGTCTACCATGGCGAAAGACGTTCCTCGTCGGCTTCGACCTGAGCGGTAACACTTTCTGGGAGTTCAAGGACGCTTTGAACGCCGGTCGCATGCGGCGGATTGTCAAGTATAGCAACAAAACACCTCACTATTCAGATGTCAAAGTCACACGTAAGTCATGTACTATACGCGATCGTCTCCGTCTTCTCAGCCCGCTAACACGTCTCTCTGCAGCACAATGGCATCAATGGCTCAGACATACTCGCGACGAACCACCTACGATTCAGGAACAGCAATACGACATCTCTCGTCAAGCGATGATGAAACGTCTCGCAGCCGAAGCAGATGAAAGATGGAATTCGAAACCTTCCTTCCTCGATTCTCCGACACGGAATCAGCCTCAACCTGCGATAGGTGTGAAGGATCCAGGAGGGTATGCTCCACAGACTGAGCCGGAAGCGTCTCAGGGTGTCCGAAGTGCAGTAGATGAGCCGAGTAAAGTGGAGAATGCCAGTCAAGGACAACAAGAAGGACTGCACGAGGGGAGATTCAAGGGCAAGAAGACGAAGGATAAGAAAGAGAACCCGTGGGAGAAGCTACAGCCGAAGGGAAATGCTGGAGAGAATTGGCAACCTGAAGGATGGGCGCCGAAGCCGATGGAACGAGGGCGATAGCATGATGTGTAACGATGGAATAGTGTATGAATACTCTACAACATGAACTTGCCAGATGAGACGAGGCCAATCTACTGGCAGTGAACTAAACAAAGATTCCTGTCTGAAAAAGATTTGACAAAGTTCAAGTAGCAAACATGGAGGCATCTTACTTAGGCAAAGGAGCATTCCGTTCCTCAGACCTCAGGCAATATTCAGACTACGGTTCTTACCAGTCTTCGGGTCAAGAAACAAGTCAGTCTTATATCCTTTCAGCACTCGTGTATCTAATGCTATCGCTCTTTTGTCTAAGCACATGACTTTCCAATCAAGAAGACCGTTCGATGCCCAACAGTCATTTTGTTGATTGCAGAGTATCTTACCAACAGTATATTCATAGTCATTTGCTGGCCTCTGATTCGTCTAAAATCTTGGACCCTTGATTCGTCCAAGTCGCTCGCGCTAAATCGCGCTACTTTCGGCGCGCTCCACTTCGAGCTCTCTTCCACTCGCACTCCGACCAGGATACCAGTCAAACTCGCCGCACATTCTCGCAACCATGTCAGATCTCGAGAACGAGTCGCGAACATCGGCAGTCGGTCGTAAGAGAAACGCGACTGGTAAGTACAAAGACTTTTCTTCACACAGCCGACAGACCAGCATTTCAAGCAAGGAATCTGGCGAAGTCTCGAGTTCAGAAGGCGGCGGCGGTGGCAACGACAGCGATATAGAGGAGATCAGCGAGCGTCAATATAACAACAAACGTCGAAAGACGGATGACGGAAGTGAGGACGGCGAAGTGGAAAGTGGCGACACTTCATCATCGATGGACACTTCCGACAGCGACTCCGAGGATTCGAGCTTCGAGATGCCAGAAACCAAAGACGGCCCCACAAGATTACAAGAACTATCACAAGCCGATCGCGATGCTCAAGCAAAATACTTCGACATCACCAACCCCGGAAGTCTCGTGCGCTGTCTCTGCTGTGGCGAACTCGGACACATGGCCGTCTCCTGTGCTGCCCGGACATGCTCTCACTGCAATCAACGAGATGTCCACCAATCGAGTGCCTGCCCAACATACCGGAAGTGTGGCCTCTGCCGTGAGCGAGGCCATGACGCTCGAGAGTGCAAAAATCGCGCCTATATTGGTAAGCCAACCCCACCTGTCCTGTCCAACCCATGCCTCTGATATCTAATAATCGTTCCAACAGGCCCCGACCCGTGCGATCTATGCTCAGAAGCAGGCCACATCGAAGAAGAATGCCCGTACCTATGGCGCATCTCCACCAAACCAGCACCAGCCCAGCCGCGCTCGGGCTTTACAGCAATCAACAACGGCGGCGGAGGAGGGCTGAACTACGACGACGATGAGGAAACTCCGCCTCCTCCGCCCCCGCCAGAGCGTAGCCGTCCATGGCAATTGATGGGGCTCTTCGATGATGGGAGGGATTAGAAGTCCCCCCGATGCGAGAGCCCAGGAGATTACATGGACGAGAAGTGGGTCCACGGAGCGTTCAAGCAAGCATAGATAGCAGCTTTTTCTCCGAATGAAATGTGGTTTTGAGGGCATTGATTGTGCAAACGTGTACGTGATTGGTTTTTTGATTCCCCGTGAGATGTGTCGGGAGCTCATGTGCTTTCTCTGACTTCAGATCCACTTGTATGCCTCCTGAGTGGCATATGCGGCAAATTGACAGCTTCTGGAAAGTCAGAGTGACAATTAGACAACGGACCCGCTCTGATTCTTGCCCGGCTTGCATGGCACCGAGCCTAAAGAAGCAGTTCGCGATGCGCCGAAGCGATGAGCGGAAACACTGCAGTGGTCGTGCCTCTCCTCTGGCAACTTCTCTGTTGCACTGGTGCTTCCGAGACAATGCGGGTGCGGATTCTCAGTACGTCGAAACTGAAATTCGTCTGGAGTGAAGCAACGGAACTACTCTTCACATCTCTATCTACAGAACTACAGCGATTGCTATGCCCATGAATGTAAAATTACTTGAGCGGGACAGAAGCAAATTCCAGAGAGATGAGAAGGATCAATTCCCTCGCTGCTTTCCAGTAACCCTCTCTCTAACAGAACGAACAGCAGAGTGCTCACGAAAGTGGAAATGATGAGATTCTGCAGAACTTTATTTTACTAGAGTGAAGCAACCACTACTTTTCCATCTCTGAACACTAGTCATTATTCATACCATCATATCTCAACATTGATCCCTTGCCGCACAAATTCCAACATCAGAAACAAATCATTACAACCCCTGACTCTGCACCAAAAGTTCCACAAGACCCAACTGTGCTCCTACTCCGTTTGCGGTCTTCGCATCATATCCCACTCCTCCACCATCCTTTTGAGACCACTTCAAACTCGCTTGATTCTTGCCTGGACTGGCTTGTACAGTCGTCAAAGCCGCATTCTTACTCGCCTCCAAGACCGCTTTGATTTTATCCTTGGTCTCAGGAACCAATGTCGCTGTCAAACCCATCCACCTCGCCAACGCTGCTTTGAAAGTCTGTTGATCGTCGTTGCATTTCCCTTCGTCTTCACATCTTGGCTCATACAAGATTCCATTCCTCGTAAAAGTCGCAATCGCACTATCCACAAACTTGCAAGCCCGGCCTTTCCAGTCTTCATCAGTACTGCCATCAGTCGATAACTGATGCATCACCGCACACCCACCCATCCAGACTCCGACATTATAACTCCATTCCTCTTCCGCAGCTTTCGCACACTCGGGTGCGTGCACACCATCGAAGACTTTATATGATTCCTCATTGATCAAACTCCCGAAGCCAGAATCCCATAATTTCTTCGCCCAGTCAAGGTAGAAGTTCGTTGTATAACCAGATGCTTCCGCTTTGGCCAGTCTTGCGGCTAATTGAAATGCCAAACCGTTTGTGATGGCGTTTTTGTAATGGTAGCCATCCTTTGCTGTGTCGATTTGCCAGCCAAGTCCGCCTTTTCCGGATTCAGCAGCGGAGGGACACATGTCTCCTTGCCAACGATCGATTACAGCTTTGAACACATTTTTCGCAAGGTCAAGCCAGTTCTCGCAACCAGGAAGTCCATATTCTGCTGCGGAAATAGTGGTAAGGCCCCACCATAATTGATCGTCATTCCCAGGACTGATAGCGCCAGAGAAATCTCCTTGAGGACCCGCTTGCGCGAGGATAGAGCTTGAGAGACTGAACGTGAACGGGTCCGGTGAGGGAGCTACAGGTGCGCCAGCAATAGGCGAGACCGGAACGGGTTGGGCGTTTTGCTCTTGTCCTTGTTGGTGCGTGAGATGCCAGTAATTGATGAGTGTATTGTAGGTCGATGCTGAGATCCAACCGGACTGATAGATGGGGAGGGATCTGATGAGGCCTTTAGTTGGTGAGCCTGGTGGAGACTCAGAGTCGATTTGGGAGCTGATGGTTTGGATCACAGTATTGAGCACGTCCGAGGAGAAGGAAGAGGAGGAGGGTGCTGAGCTGTTACTTGCAATTGCCGGAAGTCCTGGCCCAGGCAGTATAGGTGAGGTGAGCGAAGGAGTTACGATGAGAATGATACTGAGTAGGATGTTTGTGGAGAGTAGCATGGTTGATGCGACTCAGAAGAGGAGCGACTTCCGCTGCTTCGGCGATAGGTAGTATGAAAACCCAATGTTTGTGTCGTTGAAACGGCTTGATCGTAGATTTTGGCACTGGCCGTTGGGCAACACTTGACCTAGTTACGCCTCGTGAAGACGGCACGTCGCGATGCGAAGCTGATAGCTGATCATACTGACTCGATCGCTGAGAGTTTGTGTTCTGCTGATGGACATGCTGGTCTCGAGATGGCCAACTCGTGAACGTAGCAAGCAATGCCGTTAGTAGTTGCACAACTGTTGACCACGTGCATCAGGCCCCTTCTGGATGCGCCTGATGTGGTCCTGATTTTTCTGTAGAGCCAGGTCACGGTGTCTAGCTCGAGTCAGCTTGGCGGTTGCCGCAAATGGAAGATGTAATTTTGGCAGAAACGGGACATCTCAGGTCATACTCATATTCAGCCTCTATACTGCACGCTACACCTTCAAACACCTGTCATCACACTCATCGTGTTACTCCTCATGCTGCCAATTGCGTCGCTGGCTAGTCTCGTGGGCGAACAGCCCTCCAGACATAGAGGCGTGTGCCACCAGCGTGCGCCACCAGCGTGCGCCAGTCCTGGCCGTCATCTCCTTCATGATACTCATCGCGCTCTCGAAATCACCAGATGTGCAAACTCGATCATCGCCGACATAGGTTTCGAAGGAAAGCCGCCACCAAAGTGGAGCAGAGGTAGCAGAATATGATGACAGGCAAAGCTCCCAACGTGCTGTAAGCGCTTAACCTTGCATACGCTTACGCTTGCCGACTTGGGCAGAGAAACCGCTCTTGATAGCAGTGACGGAACGACGAGAACCACAGGAGTTGCAAGTGACGAAGTAGAGACGGTTCTCTCCCTTGCTGAGCTCGGTGTCGGGCGATCGGCAGGTCTTGCAGGTCACGTATTCGACTACAGTACATGTTAGTGAGGGATCATATAGCACAATATCTGACGACTTACCAATGTAACGACGGAGCACGTTCTCGATCTGCTTTTGCTGGAAACGACCCTTGATAACCAGTCTTCGGCTGCCGTCCACGGAACCGCTGGTACCCAATTCGGCGAACAAGAATTGTGTAACGTGCTCGTCTGTTCGCTTCATCCTCTTGCAGATATCGGCAATGTTGGCAAAGATGGTCTTCTTGTTACCTTCACGCAGACACTGTGGTGGAGGAATCTTGTAGCTCTTGCCTCCACTAGAAGCAAGATCAGGATGCGAGTCGTGAAGCATGACGAAGAAGCGTGAAAGCAGGCTCTCGTAGTTGTATGTCTTGGTCTCGTCGTGTGCCCAGATACCGGTACCGCCGTGGATGTCGCCGTCCTGCACGCCCTTCTCGGCGGCGTCCGTGGAGGGCTTCTCCTCGGCCTCGCCTTCCGCAGCGCCTGCCTCTGCAAGCTGCTTCTCAAAGTCATCTGCGGGCGCCTTGACCTTCTTCTTCTTCTTTTTCTTGAGCGCCGACAGATCGACCTCGCCGTCATCCTCTGCTTTCTCCTCTGCCTCGTCGTCTTCGGCCTCCTTCTTTGGCTTCTTCTTCTTCTTCTTGGCCAGTCCCTCGAACATGGCCGTCACTTCATCGACAGCCTGGTCATCGCCGTTCTCCTTGCTATGGGTGGCGGCAGAGTCCTTGTCGCCGTCGTGCGTTCCGTTGGCATCGTGGGTGACGTTTCCGTCGCCGTCGACGATTGTCTGGCCCTCGGCGAAGGCCACGGATTTGCGTTTCGATGATGTGTCGTCCGCCATGTTTGCGGTGTCGTGTGCGATGATAGGTTGCGGCAGTGGTGGTGTCGTGGAGACAGGATGGGGCAGCGGGTTTTTTAGAGTTGCGTGTCGAAGTTGCGTGAGTCAAAGCGTTGCTCCCACAATACATCACCACGGCCGGAGAGAGGTCCTCAGCCAATGACAGTAGAGAATTCGGCATTGTACCACAGCATCACTCATTCTGCTCGCATGTTCTGGCCATGACTGGGTGTCACATCGCAAAGTCATCTGATGAGTATCCTCTCGAATCTGACGGCCGAATTGCAACCATGTCAGAAAGCGACGTTGTTGTTCTCGTCAATAACATCAGGCATCCCGCGGCCAGCATAGCTTCGCCCGAGCTCCGAGCTTGGATATCGGGAGCGTAGTAGACATCAACATCGAGATCACGCTCGTAGGCAGTTCTGCTACGCTCGAGTGTTCCAGTCACTCCACTTCAGGTCTTCCACACCTTTACCGATATCGAAACTTGTTTGCTCGCGCCATCATGTCCGAACCGGCATCCTCCTACGCCAACATCCCCACGCCCACTTCCGAAGACGTCGATTCGCTGCCTTCCTCGTCTGCCGGCTCGACAACTTCCGTCTCACCTAGCGAAGAGGAGGCATATTCCGACGCCGAGCGAGAATGGCGCGAGAGTCTGCAACAGCTCGAGCTCATGTTGACACTGGTGCTGATACCATACCTCGGGAAATACTTTGGGCGCAAGTGCGCGTATTATGGTATGCACGAGTGATGCCCGTGCAGAGAGGAAGCATTGGGAGGTGCTGACTATATGCCTAGGCTGGACTAAGTTCATGGAATGGAAATATCCCGTCAGCATAGAAATCACCAGCCCTGGCGCTTTCAAGGCCGCGGGAGTCGTGGAGGCAGCAGCATCGCTATGATGGGGATTCGCCGCTTTCGACTATTCGAACAGACGTGCAAGACGCGGTTCACAACATTGGGGCACCCTGCTCCAGGCTTTTGTCGGATTAATGCCTTCCGAGAGGTACGCTGCTGCGAGCAGAGAGGCTTCTTTACAGACAGCACTGTCTCGGACTATGACGCTCGTGGCCAGTCGATGGTTCTCTCGCGCTGTAATTGCAGTCTATACTGAGGCTAATGCTTCAACACCTGACGACACCAGACTTACGACATATCACTTCACGACGAACCACTTCACGATACATTGATGTATGCCTTCCGCAATCAACTCAAACGGGCAACATAGTGGGGTCAAATTTTATGTTACAGCTGCCGAAGATCGATTGTGGCGTACGTAGTGAATCGATGCGGGAGACGCGTGGCAGAGTCATGAGCGCGTGTGCCGTTCACGAAGAGCAAGCGGGTGCGGTCACGAGACATCGATGAACGCTTGGGCGGCGGCGGACGATGCTCTTTGGATGGCCGACGCGCAGATATCGTAGGAGGTAGACTTGCTCTATGTAAAGCTACAGAAGTGACATTATAGAATGTGCTCTCAAAGAGCGCCAAGAAAGCAGTCCCGTTTTAGTTCTACCTCAAAGTTTGCAACGTCAGCTATTTCTTTGACCTTGCTGCACGTTGCATTTGCTACCTCCTAGTTGCTAATTGATGAAGTTGCCCCTTGCTTCCTCACACCTGATCAACATCTGTGCTCGACTTTGCACTTCATTGGATCTGGCCATAAACTCTTCCCACCAGTTGCTCTTTCCACAACTGCGTGTGCACCGTTTGCACACTACATACTTTCAAGCGAGCGCGAAGTCTGGCGTAAGTAGGCACGTAGCATTGGCGGCTTCGACTTGCACTGTAGAACCTGGACGAAGTCGAGCGGTCCCAGGTCGTGTCTGCCGCAAACAGCTCATTTCTGGCCTTCATTGAGCTTCATCCTGAGGCCATGGCAGACAGCGACAGTGACACCGATCCGGGAAGGTTCCTTCGAGAGATGGGATATGGGAAACCTGGCGGCCCTCAGATGCCGGAGATGCCAAAGGCACAAGACGTTCGGAAACAGCGAGATACGCGAGTTGCTTCTATCTTCAGAAATTTCCGGTTGCTTAAAAAGATCCTGGAAAGACACGAAGCCACAATCCAGAAACGATGGTTGAAGAAGACGCGGGAACAGAAGCGGAAAATCATTCTTGCCGCGTGGGGAGGTACCATGCCGGTTACCCATCGACCTGACTTCGCAGTGTTTAGGAAGATGACAGAGCGGGGAGTGGGTGCGCAGTATCGCTCAGAGTTGATGTGGCCCTTCATCAATCAAGAGGACCTCACAAAGCCAAAGGTGTTTTGAATCGTCAACAAAGTGGTCGAAGCGCAGCCAGCATGCTGACAAGATTACATCTCAGACATTACTTCTTTTCCTGAATGCTCGTGGTCGAAATGATCCTTGCGACTTTGCAGCTGCAGAATACGAGTCCATGCACATTGGAATTGTCACTGAGTCTATAACACCTGCATTTCTAAATCTCCACGTCATGCTCTTCAACGGCAAGAGAACAGAGGCCGAATATGGCCGGCTGCTTCATTGGAACGATCATCCAGATGCTGGTCAATGGTGTTGTACAAGAAAGCATATGCAACCCGGCGAGGGACTACTCATATTGGAGTCCCAGGACAGGACAATGGATTTCCTCGTCAAGTGCGCCAGGAACATCCTCCACGACATATCCGAGGAATCGCTGCTGGACTATCCAGCTCAGCCAGCGCCCCCGCCCATAACAGACCAAGAAAGCGGACTTGCATCCTTGGCGCTCATGAAAGCAGAAGCTCCATATCGCATTCCTGCTCATCTCAGTTGGGACCGAATGGTTAGCCTCCTGGGTGCGAAGCGAGCGGCTGCCGAGGATCATCTGTGGTCACTCCGTGAAGACCCGCTGTACTTCTCGAACACTCTGCGTGAGATGCGTGAGCATCGTCAGGAGTTGATCAAAGATACCCGCGGCAAGGAACATCCGTATCTACGATTTGGGCGAGAAGACATATTATGGGGGTGGATAACGCGTAGGCGCCGACGAATCTGATGCAAGCAACAGAGACTGATGAGATCTACAGATCGAGAAGTATCTTCGGCCTTCATGAAGCTCGAGTGGTGAGCGGAGCTGCACAGACAAGCACTAAAGCTGAGAGACCTGGAAAAGAAATACTCGAAGAGCATCAAGCCTGAAGATGACCTACCGGCGGAGTATCTGCTCGCAATACTTCGGTGCGCATGTCACATGCTTCTTGACAGTACGAGAATTTGGCTGACCGCTGTAGCTTCCGCCACCTGTTGTATCAGACCACGAAAGGGCCAATCGAGGATCTCAGAATGTTTTTCATGTCATCACCACCTTGGAGAGGCTATTGGGCGTGAGAACCTGAAGACGATCTGAAGCAGACCCGCATCGCTCTGGAGAGAAAGTCTAATTCGCCGCTCAAACACCCAGAGAGTTTCATTTACTACTTGCTCCAAAAGCTCTGGAAGGACGACCGCACGGTCCTTCTCCTGAGGATGACGAACATAGTGGACGAACTCCAGCATACAATCGACTCCGAACCGAAAGCGAAAGAGCTCATCTCAGCATATTGTGCAGCCCAAATCGGTGATTTGTCGATACTGTGTGAATGTATTCGGCAACTTGAACTGTACCAACCTTGGGCAAATATGTTCGTGAATAATCTGGTGGACTTGGAGAGCGACATCGTGGCGGACTACGAAAAGCAAAGCCGGCCATGGTATCGACTGCGCGATGCTACCAAAGGAAGCGCAGATGTTCTGGCGCGATATGAAACTCCCACGACCGAACGCTTTGGATATCCAGTGGATAAACGCAGAACGAAAGAAACTACGGACGCTATGAGACTGGCTGAACAGAATCTGGACACGTTTTGGAACAAGGTTGATGAGCTTGTGCATCGAAATGCGGGCGATTTGCGAAATACTGCTGTTCGTGAACTCATGCTTCAGCCACGGCTGTTGCACCGCACGCCCGAGTGGTTAGATCCAGAAACGAAACAAGACAATAATGCGTCCCAAGCAAAGAAGAACCAGCAGGTTGATGCTCTTTGCAAACCGCTTTCCGAGATATATTTCGATCTTGAGTTGCGGACAGAAACTTCAGGCAATGACAAAGGAGTCCATATAGCTCAGCCCAGGACGAAACCAAAGACCCGAGGTGCACCAGCATCGACGCCAGCGCCTGTCGATGATAACAACAACATCCTGCCCGAAGAAAATTTGCTCGACCCTCAGCCCATCTTTGAAGTGGACAATCGTGCGCTCAAAGTATTCAAGACCATATTCTACACACCCTCATCTGGATCAACGCCAGGAGAACTGCCTTGGGCTGATTTCGTGCATGCCATGGTAGCCACAGGATTCAAGTCCGAGAAGCTGTACGGCAGTGTGTGGCAATTCAGTCCCACGAAGTTGGATGTTGAGAGGAGCATACAATTTCACGAACCTCATCCCAGCGGGAAGATACCGTACTGGATTGCGAGGAGACATGGCAGGAGGTTGAATCGTGCGTATGGATGGTTTGGAGGAATGTTCAAATTGGCTGAGAAGAAAGAGACGGCATAGGCGATTCCCAATGCGTTACAAGGGGCTTTGGTCTTTGGTTTCGTGAAAGGTCGATGCCCGTTCACGAATGATCATTGGAGACCGCTCAATGAGATCCCGCTTTCCGCCTGTATGGCCGTGCATTTGGTTGGCATATTCGATTGCACACGCACATATATGCTGAGCTCCTCGAGCGAGCAAAGAAGCAGAAGATACCCAAAGAAAATGAAAACGACAGCATGGCAGTGTCGCGGCCACAAGCATGGTACACGTGCTTACAAGAGACAAGATTCGACCAGTTTCGTTGCCAGAGGCTCGTAGTGCGCTCAAAGCTCATCGAGAGCCTGCGAAATGAAACAGTCTATGTTAAACCTGTCAGCTATCTCGTCTTGGGTCCCATGCCTCTCTGTTCACACGACATATATAAGATTTCTGAGTAAACAAAAAGGGAAATGACAGAACAAGAACTCCGCTCCCTTCATCCAGTTGAAATTGCATGGCATGAAGAGTAGGGGATAACTTCATTAGTAGCGGTAAGAGGTAGTCTAGGCCAGAACATGGTTGGATCGTGGACACCAAAAAAACCCAAAAACATCATTTATCCCAATTGATTTCCCTGGTAATTATTAGCGATTATTCTGATGAACACATCTGAAGTGAACACATACGTAACAGGGAATTGAACCCTGGCCTTGTCGGACCATTGAAGAATGAGAGCGACAAATCCTAGCCACTAGACCATTACGGACTTGATTGAATACTTGGTGCGCATGCAATCTCAATATGACCGCTCACATGTGATATCAGGGGGCTCGAAGGTGAACAACACTCCTTTTGACCTGCTGGCTGCAACTTAATGCCTTTTGAGTCTGTAAGACTAGATCATTGATGGAAAGCAACTTCATCCTGCCGGGCATAAGGAATTTTCCAAGTGAAGTTCAAAACTTGTGCCTCAGGTGTCTGCCAAGCCTACCCGTAGTCCAACTCCCGCTTCCTGTTCGGCACTTGTCCCCATCATCTAATACATTATTTGCACACTTCCTCGTGTGTACGCTGAGTATATCGATGTCACTGGTCCGACTCAACGGCGGTGGCTGACTGTATAACGAGGTGAGAAGTTGAATCAATATGAAGCTGTATAGTATCCTTAGCAGAGAAACATCTGGGAACGCCTCTTTAAACTCTTCACGTATGGTAGATATTATGGGAGAACCTGTATCTCTAGTGTTGGATGATGAGAGGTCATGGTGTATAAGAGGTCGTGCAGGGGAAGTTCGAAATTCATGTCTGCCAGGCCTCAGGCGTACTTCCACTCCTCCGTCCCTTTCGTTCGTTAGTTAGTCTTCTCTGGACAATCTTATAATTTGAACTACACTTCCGTACATACCACCATCTGTCTTTTGTGTTTTGTTCATCCCCCCTGCTATTGGTATTGTGCCGCGCACTCTCCTGTTAGCTCTCTACGGCGTAACGGAATTTCTCAAGAGCGGCCAACTAGATTTGGAGGATACGATAGTATTAGGAAGGACTGATGCTCCTTTAGCCGATGAATGCAGACTTCGAAACTCGATATGTATTGATCGGCGCGGTGAGACTTATACTGCTAACCAGCACCACCTGTTGTTCCAAGGTACAGGTATGAGAAATGCCTATGCTAGCCTGCCAGCACACCAGAGTCCCCCAACTGCTTGTAGTAATTCAAGAGATCCGACGACGAAGTAGCGTTGTATATCAATCGAGTGGCAAGGTCCACTTGCAAGTAATCAGTTCCCAAATATCGAATAGTGGTTCCAACTGGTACGGTCCTACAATTCCGAACGATCAAAATCAGCGAAATCCACACCAGAACGAAAACGTCGATAACATGTCGGAAGCTTACACATTGTCCGCTTCGGCACTCTTGGAGTTCCCCTGCCATCTGGTCCCGATGACCGAGCAGCTGGAGAAGACGTATAATACATCATACTGAACATCCGTAACCAATGCACCGCTGTATCCTGAACTGGAAACAGAGTCGTATACTGCACTGCGATTGGTGTACAGCGGAGTGGGATCTCCAAATGTGGCTCCTTCGTCGGTGTATTCAAATTCGGGGGCTAGAGTGACATCAACGAGTGCTGCGCCAGTTCCATTGCCCTGAGAATCGGTCTGGAAAATCGAGAACCAGCGTCGTGCGATGTTGGCGGCCTCGGGTTCTGATAGGCAAGGTTCTGTGGCTGTTGGTGTAGTCGTGTATCCGTAGACGAAAGGGATGACGACGAGTACTGATAGAAGTTGCATTTTAGTCTTACGAAGGCTTGACTGGAAGCTAGTTCCAATGTTGTGAACGTGTTACTTCAAAAGAACAGCTGCCGCTATCCGAGTAGACATTATATGTCCTGAACAACGTCTTTGCTTTTCACCCTTTTGGTCTTTGCCCGGCCATGGACTTCCCCTCAGGATCAGCATGGAAGAGGCTTGTTGTAGGGTCGATACTTGACCCAAACAGGCAATAGAAAAGGCAGCATTTTGAGTTTCCAGTAGTGTGCACGACCTGCATGGAGTCTGAAGTTAACGCTATCACTTCTGGTACATACCCTTATCTCGCTGCCCATATGATTCGGATAATCACGGCTCGTGGAAGCAGTAGTGGACTGGAGCGAGAGACTGTCATCTCAAAACATCGTTCCCGTCGTAATGAGCTCGAACAATGGCACCCATGGGCTGAGAAGCGCGAAGACAGAATGGATTGATGGGCTCAAAGCCTCTGCAGAACATCAATGCTCGTATTGATTATGAGATCTTTCCTGTAGCTGGAGCGCAACGCATCTTTCTTGTGGCCTTATATCAATTCAAACAACGTCAATGTCCTGTACCGCGCACTATCTTGGCCGCAACATACCCAAGGATGGATTTGAAAAACCTCATGAACGGCGAGCCTTTGTTGACAGATTTATCGAGACATACGGAGACAAACTCGGTGGGTGTTCGTCTTTGCGTGTCGACTCTCGAAAGAACAATGGGCGTGTACGACGCGAGACTCTGCCAATCTCCACGAGCGACGCATTAAGCATTCCGCCTCACAGGCCGTGCGTGATCGGGGGGCCCTCGTAGACTGAGAATAGTGAGGACACAACTATGAATAGACAGAAGGCAACACGTACCTTTTCGAGCCCACAGCAAATAGTAAGCTGTGCTGAGGACGAAAAATCCCACAAACACAACACTGGCATAGTTCATGCTTGTTGCTGTAACCGGTAACGTCGTTGGCATCGAAAATAGTATCATCTGGAAGGCAATCCAGACGACCATGACTCCATTGACAAGCCAGCCGACGACAGGAGGAAACCGGAATCGAGCTGTCGATACAGCTTTTCGACCTTCGAGCATGCTCACAGCCACTGGCAGGGCATAAGCAGCTGCGAGTCCGATCACTCCCACAGAGGCGAATGCCGTAAAAGCACTGGTTGAGCCGAGATTGATCAGGCCTAGCAGCATTTGAACAACTGTCGTGAGTAGAAGAGCCATCACGGGCGTGTCGCCCAAGTCAAGCCTGGACCACAGACCAGAGAAAGGAATGGCATGGTCCCTGTGCGGCGAGCGTTAGCACCCATAGCAGCGGAATGTAGACTTCGTACCCACCGTGCAAAAGCCCATGTGCAACGCGATGCTGTGGTAGTGATGGAGACCGAGCAGAACACAGCAACTCCCAACACAAAGAACATGAGTCCAAGGCCGCCTCCGGGACTCCCCATCACATGATTGAAGATGTAGGGAAGGCCCTGGGCAGCCGGTGCGTTAAGTACATCCTCAAGTGGTGGCAGCGTGAAACAGATTGGTAGAATGAAAAAGAGTCCCATAATGGCAGAAAGGGGGACACTCAAACACATAGCCTTGGGTAGCATCCGCTCGGGTTCATGTACTTCTTCTGCCATGCTCGATATCATTCCCATCGCTGCATAAGTATATGCAGCAGGAAGCAGACCAATGGCAAAGCTCCAGGAGCCCCAGCCACTGAGCGTATTGTTATAGTGCGCCAGTGCATACGCAGCGCTGTGTCGTCCCTCTTTCGCGGTCGCAGATAGCCCAATGAATACGACCATGATGCAGAGAAGGTTCCAACCAGCCGCTATTGTATCGACGTATGGCAGAAACCGGTTGCCGAAGGCACAGAGGCAGAAGACTGCAATGCAGATGGCGTAAAATATCAGAAGCAGCTGCCAGTCAGTTGCCGCCCAATCTGGATGATACATTGTGACAGTCCCAGCAATGAGTGAGGCGAATCCAAAATTGACTGACAAGGCAATGGTCCAGTTGCCCACGAGCCAGATCCAGCCTGTCATGAACGAGAGCGTAGTGCGCGCCCGACCGGCAGGCATCAATTGGTGCACCCCTAAACGTCACATCATGAATCAGCGACGATCTGGCACCTTGAGCAAGAGACAAGCCCTTACAGAATTGTGGTCCGCCAGCGGTCGGGAATTTTGATGCGAGCTGTGTTGATGATAGTGTATCAGTTACATAAACACAAGCGAGCACAACTCCCGGCACCGCAACACATACCTCTGCAAGACTCATGACCACAGCTTGATCGAGGACCGACACCATGATCCAGCCGATGAAGTACGGCAACTGGCCGCCTCCGATGATTGCAGAGTTCAGTGCGGTCCCTTCTCCGAATGGGACAGCAACTGTTGATGTGAAGACATATGTGTCAGCTGCTGCTCCGCATGATCATTCAATTGAGAGGCTCACTGATGGCAATCGACTGGAAAAGAACAGCAGACAAAGTCCTGTTTCTCGTCAACACTGGCGTGTAACCCAGCGCGACGAGACCGGCATCCTCTTTCTCGACATGGTCGACAGTTGTTCCGTTATGCGAATACTGCACTTCAAGTATGCCTTCTTGCTTTCGATCATCAATGCTGACGGAGGACGCTTCGTTTGTCGACATTGTTGAAGTGGTGAGTTGACAACGCGAGTGTCGATGCACCTCGCGAAAGACATATCAAGCACTCTTGAGCAACACAATGGTCAGTAGAGTATTATCTGCAGATCGTGTCCAGATGACTGCCGTTTCTGGCTAGCATGTGGCTGATATAATGGCGGGGGTCGCTACTGGGGAACGCATGTGGAGCCAGCTAGGCTTGGAGTAGCATGTATCTTGTGCAATGGGTTCGTCCAAAGCTAATGCAGGCGCCTTGAACTCTTTTTATCCCGAGCGCGGTCAATGTCACGCTATCAGAACAGGAAGACGTTTTGTGAAACTGATTTGAACATGTCCCACCAATTCAGTTTGATCTCCGGTCGACTCCAGATGTCTCTTAGCAAATCTGCCATCAGGACCAAATTTCCGAAGGCCAGGTACGAAGTTGATTTGGATAGAGAATCCGACACTGCCTTTCGATCCTGAGCGTATAGACAATGCGATCCGACAACGAGTAAAGGGAATATCAGACAATGGGTCATCATCCCGGGCAGTGGCTGATCGAGAAGCGTCGAAACGGCTTGTCGGACGACAAGTTGCACTGCGGCATCGTCTACGCTTCTACCTTGTAATGCGCGATACACATAAATGATCGCGCTTGTTTCGTACAATGTGCAAAAGGAATCCCAGTGCCCGGGAAGCGTGAAGTCCGGGCCATGTGATCGTGCTGCCTGTCCAACCAGCGATACGAGGATATCTGGCACGCACCTCTCGGCCAGTCGGTATCCGACGTCTTCCGGTAAGTGGTCGTGAACGATGTTTCCAAGGAATGCAACCTCCGAGTAGACTTTGAGAACCTTGAGGAAAGAATCGCCGCAAGATAACTTTCCCCACCATGCATGGACACCCGCAAACATGGACCACATCGTAGGCTCGAAGAACGGTTTACCGCCACTTAGCAAGGAGCGGACCAGATCGACTGTAGCAAAGACGCTCAGAAGATGTGTCTGCAAGCCACCTGCCAGAAGCATCTGCGATGGAATGGTGTTCCACGTGGACAAGATTGACGAGCCTCCCTTGAGATGCGACTCCGAAGCATTGTTTTGAAGATCAGGTGCAATCATGCCGTCGAGGATACAGAACATGCAGACGACCTGAAACAATTGACGAGCTTCATCGACCGATTCTACACCACACTCGATGCGACTGCGGAATCTCGTCAAAGCGACCTGCCGTGCCTGCTCTTGAGTTTGAACACCAGAGCCCGCTGCACAACTCGCTTTGTTGGAATATAGCAAGTGATGATGCGCTTGCGAAACAGCCAGGATTGCTTCTGTCAAAACAGGCTCGTGCATTAGCATCTCCTCGTCCAGCGATATAAGTTGCTCCGACAACTGTAGTCTTGGCCATACAGCATTCCTGAAATAGAGGACCAACGATTGCGGGAGAAAAGGCGAAGGTGACGGAGGAGATGCTGGAAGTGTCGAAAGTTGTTCGGAGTCATCCACAGGAGATCCGCTGGTCGAGTGTAAAGCGCGCCCTTCCAGAGGAGCGCCCATGGACTTCAGCCGACCACGAAAGGCAGCACCTCCCACCCACTGCAGCTGCTTCTGCGAGTAGTCGCATGCTCCTCCAGCGAGTAAGCATTTTGTGCACGCGGGACGTCTCAGGTCGCACTTCAATCTCCGCTTCCGACAGGGCCAGCACGATCCGTCCACGACCCTCGGCCCCATTCTGCAGCTGTATCAAACGTTACGGGCGTTTGGTCAAATACCTGCCGTTGAGGGTATCGAGACTGTCGAAGTCATTTCACTTTGCCCTGTCGTCGAAGGTCCGGCCTGTTGCCGACTCCAGAAGTGGGGTAAGCACGCCTCGCGCGTCGTTTCGAGGCTTCTGATAGACGATCAGACAGGTGGAGATACGGCAAGCTTTCGACAAGCTCAAGCTCAGAGCTTCGACTTCGGCTGCCTTCCCGCATACCGCAAATGGCAACGTCCTTGCCTAGCGCGATCCGTGTACTACGGGCCCGTAATCTCCAACTTATCATTGAGCTGCGATGCGATAGAAGAGTGTCAGACGCGACAATTTGAGGCGCTCCAACGTCCAAGATGTCTTCCGCGACAATCAATTTGCCAAATGGCAGCGCGTACGAACAACCAATTGGCTTGTTCATCAACAATGAGTTCGTGCAAGGAACGGGAGAAGAATTCGAGGTCGTCGATCCTGCCTGCGACAAGCCGATTCTGAGTGTGCGAGGTGCTTCGCTCAAAGACGTGGACACTGCGGTCGAAGCTGCCAGAGAGGCATTCGACAGCGGACCTTGGTCGGATCTGACTCCAAAGGAGCGCTCTACAATCCTCTTCAAACTCGCATCTATCTTGGACCGCGAGAGGAATCTCCTAGCTGCCATCGATGCTTACGATCTAGGAAAGCCGTACGAAGCTGCGCTCGCTGGGGATTTGGATGAGACTGTCAACGTTTTTGAGTATTATGCTGGCTGGGCTGACAAGATTGACGGCAAGCAGATCGATACCTCAGCAGAGAAACTGTGAGCTGGGGGCCACTCAAAGCAGGATGTGTGGATGCTGATGACTTTACAGTTGCTACACAATCCAAGAGCCACTGGGTGTGTGTGCCCAGATCATCCCGTGGAACTTCCCAGTCATGATGCTTGCCTGGAAAGTTGCTCCAGCACTAGCCTGCGGGAATGTGGTGGTTTTGAAGCCAGCAGAACAGACTCCGCTATCAGCCATGTACTTTGGCAACTTGGTGAAAGAGGCCGGGATCCCTAAGGGTGTCGTGAACATCATCCCAGGACTGGGCTCGGTCACTGGCAAAACTCTGGCAGAGCACGAGAGAGTGGACAAAATTGCCTTCACCGGCAGCACAGCCACCGGTAAATCCATTATGCGATCTGCGGCCGCAAATCTGAAAAATGTCACTCTTGAGTGTGGTGGCAAATCTCCTCTAATCGTCTTCGAGGATGCTGAGATGGAAAATGCCGTCCAATGGGCGCATACTGGAATTATGGACAACTCGGGCCAGGTTTGTACATCGACATCCAGAATCTACGTGCACGAAAGCCGATATGAGGAATTTACAAAAGCCTTTGTGCAGCACACGGAGCGGAATGCAAAAGTCGGAGCGCCTTTTGAGGCTGGAGTCAACCACGGACCACAAGTCTCCCGAGCACAATTCGACAAGGTGCTTAATTATCTGGAACAAGGCAAGCAGGAAGGAGCCCGGGCGGTGACGGGAGGTGCCAAAATCGATCGGGATGGGTACTTCGTCCAGCCAACCGTCTTTGTCGATGTGAGCTATTCCTAACCCATGGCTTTGAGTACAGCTAATCTGTTGAAGGCTTCCGAAGATTCAACGATCATCCGCGAAGAGATATTCGGCCCAGTCGTGACTATCAGCAAATTCAAAGATGATGCTGATGCGGTTGCGAAGGCGAACAACACTTCGTATGGACTCGCTGCAGCACTCTTCACCGAAAAGATCTCGCGAGCCCACAAGGTAGCGCGAAAGCTTAGAGCCGGCATGGTATGGATCAATTCGAGCGGAGACTCGCACTATGGGATTCCATTTGGGGGCTTCAAGTCCTCGGGCATTGGCCGAGAGCTTGGGTCGTACGCTTTAGATGCATACACGCAGACAAAGGCCGTGCATGTGAATCTCGCTATCTGAGCTCTTAGGCCAGGCCATGGAATTGGTCCAAGCATAGAAAGCCAAAGACCGTTTCCTGCCATTGGTAGTGCGCGAACACACGCTGTGGAGTGCTGTCGAGTTTCCGGAGACCCTGTGCGTTGAGCTGCAGTGTACAGCCTCCTGGACCAGTTCCACAATATGTTCAGAGCTTGATCGAGCTACTGTGGCTGCCAGAGTGCTGTACTGGACCCAGTGTGGTAGGACTGGATCCGAAGCAGATCATGCTTGCTTGTTCGTGCATGAGAACATCGCAAGGCCCTCCCTTGCCCCATGTTATGTCGCGTCTTTGCAATACACTTCGCTCGAGCTTTCCATCAAATGACAGACGTACTGGATAGCACGATCCATCCCCAAGGTGAATGAGCCACTTATCAGATGTTATGCCCCAAGCTCAAACTCACATCAGATCCTTGTATGCTATCAGTCTTCGGCGGGTGAACATCTTTCGAGCAGGGTCAAATATGGTCCATTTCCTGGCGAAAGTCATAGTGATGGGCTCTGTATCCGACAAATACGACGACTCTCAGGTGGAAGAGGTAGGCGGAAAATGCGGCATATTTCGTGCCACTGCCGGAGCCAGGTCATGCTCGTTGCTCGCGAAGACTATCTTTTCTTCCATGGTCCAATTCGCGAAGAATACTTGCAAGTATGACAGAAAGTGTCGCGATTGTACGTCAGAAATTTGAAGTTGTTGTCACATTGCCGAACGCGTGTTGACGCGTAAGAGGAAGCAACCTGCTTCTTCCGGACCTCGCCGAAAATCGCGGGCGATGATCATGTCAAACCTCCACGATTCGATGTCCTGTTGTGCTTCACATCCTGCTGGACGTTGCAAATATCATCAGAGAATGATGGCTCTTATTCTACTTGGCCTTCGGGAACAGACATCAACGCGTTATCATTTCGTCAAATGTCATACTCACCGAAAAACGTTTCCGGACATCTACAGCATAATGCTCAACCACAAAACCCATCTCAAGTTCTCTCTCGCAACGAGAGCCTCTCGCATGAAGTGGCACTGGCTCCTCAATTATCTCTCTCCAACCAAGGCTTACAAGCCTCGTAATGCTCCTTCAAAGTCCCATCATACTTCATAATCCTCCCAAACAAATCTCCCTCCTTGTCCACAATCTCCAAAAGCCTAAACGCACCAGCGAGAATGAAATCCGCAAAACTAGGCTCACCGCCTCCCTGCACAAAGCTGCCCTGTTGCTCCTCGAGCAAAGCTTTGATAGCATCTAAATTTCTCTCCGCGTTCGTCCAAGCCTGCTCGCCCGCCTGCTCGCTCTTCGCAAGCTCAGTGAGTGGCATGCCGAACCGTTTCTCCCGCGTAGAGTTGAAATACTCTGCACTCTTGGGATTGAGGATCATCTCTGGAACGCGAGGGATAGCGATCGCTTGTAGTGAGGTCCAGAGGCCCGCTACTGCTGTTTGGACGCGAGCGGCGTAGTCGTTGTTTGCGAACTTCAAGGAGGGCTCTGGGTAGAGACGTTCGAGCTCGTGGGCGATTGCCAAGGAGTCCATGATGTACTTGTTTCCTGGAAGCTTGATTGCCGGAATAGAGTATTCGGCATTGGGGTTCACGTTGTGTGAGTTTGGTGGGATGCCGAAGGACTTGAGAGTGGGTGCTACGTCTGGGTATTCGATCCATTCGGTCTTGTAGGGGATGTCCTTGAAGTTGAGGGCGAGGCGGGCTGAATTTTCTGTTAGTTGCTGGCATGATGAGCGTTATTCATGTGGCAGTGCAACACCTACCTTTCCAAGGATTCAAGCTCCAGCATTTGGGCGTGCCTCTGCTAGGCAGGTCATAGAGGATGATCTCGTCAGTGGACATTTGGGACTTCGGAGTTGATGCTCGTGGTCTTTTTGATTGATGTATCGCAAAGGACCGTTGCAGAACGAGATGTAGAAGCTTTAGAAGAGGCAAAGACAGCTCAAGAGAGCTCTTGCGCGCCCTTCTACACGCAGATAGCAGACTTGGCAGGTACAGGTGGGGCTTGTGCTACGAACGGGAAGGCGTAGAGATGGACTTCATTATCTATAGAGGCATGGTCATGCAATACCTTAATGTACAAGTTTATGGCTGCAGCTCTGTAGCCACCCGGTTGTTATCTTACAAATCGTCCGCAGTCGCAACATTGTCAGGTGCGCTTGGAGGCTTTCGCAAGAATGCTTCCAACAGAACTCCAGTCGCTACGCCAACATTCATGCTGTCGACACCGACGTCTGGCACACTCTCAGCCCTCTGACCACCCTCAACAGACACGAAGTAGTCAGCACGATTGCGCAGATTCTGTCTCAATCCTTCGCCTTCCGCTCCGAGCATCAAAATACATGGGTGCTTTGCTAATGGACTGTCGGCAGACACATGGGACGTACTAAGGAATTGTCCAGAGAAGTCCGCCTTGCCAGTGGGTGCCACTGCAGCATAGACTTTCCATCGGTATTTTGAAGAGTCGTGTACGAAATTCGAGGGCTGCGATACAGAAAGTAGTCGCATAGCTTCGCAAGCTCCAGCCGAGGCTTTTGCTAACACAGCAGATGACAAGTTTGCGCAGGTATTAGTGGCGACCGCGACAGCATCGACGCCATAGAAGTGACAGGTGCGGATGATGTTGCCCACGTTACCAGGATCAGTAATGCCGTCGAGCATGACGATGAAAGGATGACGCCAGCCGCCGCTCAGAGCGTTGATGACTCTGGGGCTGCCATTGATCTTTGCGTCTTCGGCCGTCTGTGAGCTCAATTCGATCGGAATCAAGCCTTTGCTAGACTCCGGTTTGCGAAGGCCAGTCACTGGCACTGCAGGTAGTTTCGATGCCTCCAAGATGACCCCATTGTGCGGGCGACCATCTGACATCTTGTCTAGCATCGCAGTCTTGAATTCGTTGCGGAAGGGAATGCCTGCCTGTTTCGCAAGCGCTACCAGCTCGCTGCCTGGCTTGTCTCCAGACTCCGTGCCTTGGGCTCCGATGTCTGCATCGAAAATCTTGGGGTGAATGTACAATTTATACAGCTTCCGACGCTGTGCTTTGAGCGCCGCAAGGACGCTGTTGTAGCCATAGAGAAATTCGCTTGCTGCTGTGGTGTACGGTATCGAGACTGGCACCTCTTCATCTTCATTGGCCGGTCGTTTTGCACGTACTGATCGATCAGTGCCTCGTGTTTCGCGGCGATCATGCCTAGTGTTATCTGGCTCCCGCGCAATAGTAGGTCTTGCATCTCTGGGTTTGGTGCGCACTGGTGCAGTCTTGCCTACTGCCAGATCGATGACACCGTCTTTGGTCACGTAGATGACACTCTTTTCGCCATCAGGCATTTCACCTGCCAAGAACGTTCCAGCCCTGGCCTTTTTGCGGAAAAGAGAGACAACAGCTTCTGCTGGTTCTTCTTCCTGAAATGAACCTGAGGTAATGTAAGAGTTCACTGCTTTGAGAGACGATCTTGCGTCCCTTATGAGCTCATCCACGCTATGGCTCTCTCCAGCTTCTTGCTGTTGCTGCAAGAAATGAATCTGACGACATGCATTCTTGATCAATCTCAATAGACCTTCAGCAGGTTTGGGCTGTGCGCGAGAATTGGGCTGCCCTCGAAAGCCAAGATCGGACTCCGCTCTAGATCGTGATGCTTCAATTACTGAGAACCTTGTAGAATTTCCATCAGATGTGCTGGACCGCGCTGCTGTCATTTCAGCTCGCTCTCGTCGACCAGGATTGAATGCTTGGCTTGGTCTGCGGCCACCGCGGTCTCGAGATGCAGAGATCGCGGGGCGGGCATCTCGAGGCGTGCCACTGCGGCCTACATATGCATTCCGAGCTCCAGTTTCATGTCCAGTGTAAGCACTCAGACGTCTCCGGTCCTCGGGTGGAGGCTTGGGAATTCGTGAATCTCGGGCGTCTCGCGCTGAGGCTCGAGCTCTCGTAGACCAGTCTTTGCCTCCTCTGTATTCTCGGCCATCATCTTTCGTGGCACGAAGACCGCGATTGATGGCAGAAGTCGTCGACACCCATGCTCGCTGTTTTGAAGTCTGGACAACCGGCAATCTGCGTAGAGAACAGACGCGCCTGCGAAGCAACGATGAAGACATGAATTGGATGTTGTGGTAGATCCCTACTTAGGAGAAGGTTCAGTGCCTGCCGGCCAAAATCGGCCCGTGTCGCGACCCCCCGGACGAACTTCCATCACGTCGCGTCCATGTTGGTGGTCTTAGCACAGCACCTGCACTTGCACGTCTTCTCGGCGCGTGCCATGTCGACAGCTCTCAAAGATTGGAATACGCCTTGAAGTTGAAAAGGCGACAACATCGACATGTCGTTCCACTTCGACGCCCAAGCCGGCTCCGACGATGACAGCGACACGGCCGTCGACTTGGCCGACTGGAAGTTGGGCACAGGAACACTCAAGGCACCGCGTCCTGCCCCTCCGCCACCAGCTCCCGTCGCGCCCATGGTCGTGGGAAGCTCCAAGTCTGCTGCTGTCGTTCAAGTCCGGGACAGTTCGTCGCCAGAAGTGCTCAACGAAGAGTCTCCTCGCAAACGCCGCCGAACAACCACTTCGCCCTCGCCGCCCCCGCCCTGTCTCGGCTTCAAACCAATCAATGCCCCGTCGCATCGCTCATCCGGACCGAGTTCGATAAATCCTGTGAATTCCGACGCATCTCCGGAGGCTGATACATTGTTCGTAGAGAACGAGACTCCGAAGCGCGCAAAGGGCAAAGGGAGGGCATATGGATCTGGACGATCCAGAAGTCCCTCAAAATTGGTGGTGGAGGTGTCAAGAAGAGAAGCCAGGAAAATTCGTGATTACGATGATCTGCGGCACGGCGCAGAACACGTTCGGAAGGTTCTGAGCGAACACTCCTATGAAGATGGAACGGTGCTTTACAAGGTCCAGTTCGGCAACTTTTATGATGACTTCGTAAGTCTGATGCCCTTTTCAGCTTTCACGAGCGAGCTGGCACTGTGAATTCGCCTACCACCTGGCTCGTTGTCATGGTGTGTGGCGACTGTCACATGTAAGCCCTCAACTTGCCTTCACTTAACTTTTGCATGACCATAAAAGGCGCCTGCTTTGTGCTCCTCAACCTCGACCTCGACATCAACATTCAACCTATCCACCGCAAGCGCATGCATTCTGACCCATTGAGAACAGGTGCCTTTCAACGACCTGCTCGACTACGACAACGGTGAAGAGGCTATCGCAGAATTCAACGAGGTCGGCCCGCCTGTTGAGCAGCCGGCACCAAGTCGAGGCGGCTCTCGCACAGGTCGGAACACTCGCGGTGGCAGGATGTCTTCCTCGCGTCCGAACGCTGGCAAACGAAACAATGATGGTTTCGTGAGCACCGTTGACAACGTAATCGACAGTGACGAAGAGCGTTCTGAGGATGAGACGCAAGCTTCTCGCCTACTTCGCGGCCGCAAGCGCAAACAACAAGACATCTCGCAATACGTGGATATAGGCGAGCCTGAAGACGAAGACGAGGAAGACGACTACTCAGAAGATGAGCTGCAGCGTCCCACTCGCGCCGCCCTTCGCAAATCCAGCCGGTCTGCCAATGGCCGTAGTATGCGCACTCGCCGTCAATCTACCGCAGTCAGCGAGGAGGACGACGAAGACGATGACAGCGACAATCTCCTCGCGTCCGACCTGCCCGGGACACGTCGGCGCAAACGTGGCCGTCCTGGACCACCAGCGAAGAAAGCTAAAATAGCTCGTGAAGGAGCTCGCCACAGTTCACGCGCCACGAGACATGTCGGTGGCATGACCGAGGTTGAAGTTGACGACATCTACCGATCAGAGTCCGAGGAGCCTAAGCAGCCTTCCAAACCCAAGTCGGTTGGTGTTCGTGAAGTCTTCAAAGATCTACCACGTAACAACGAGTTCCGCATGCGACATTCGCAGTATTGCGATGTGTGCGGAGAAGGCTCGAATTTCGCGAAGCTCATCTGTTGTCAAGGATGTTCTCTGGTATATCACAAGCAGTGCCTGGGTCACCGAACCAATCGCGAGCACTTGGTCACTAAAGTCGACGAGGACGATTTTGTCTTGCAGTGCCGTCGCTGCGTGGCTTTTCCGCGAAAGAAAGATCCAGCAGCTCCAGATCAGGGCAAATGTCAAGATTGCAGACAGCACGGTGCAGCATGTCGTCCGTTCAGACCACGCAAGTCTCCAACTCAAGAGCAGCGAGACCGGGAGGAGAACGATGGCGTGGATCCAATATACGATGTTCCACCGGAGAAGATCAACAACGTCGACACCGTCATGTTCCGTTGCACGAATTGCTTTCGGGCGTATCACTACGAGCACCTGCCTTCTCGAGCCGACTATGATATGATGGAGCTGGAAGCTGATCCTGAGCAACGATTCCGCGAATACAGTCGAGACTGGAAGTGTAAAGACTGCGTAGAAATGCCTGCCAAGGTCTCAGGACTCATCGCCTGGAAGCCTATAGATGAGGACCTCTACGACCCAGAGCGCGGTTTTGACGGACTTGAGGAAGAGGATAAGGTGTACTTGGTCCGATGGGACGGCATGTCATATTTCCGGGCGAAATGGATGCCGGGCCCTTGGGTATGGGGTGTAACGCCTTACAACACGCGCAAAGCATTCATGAAGCGCGAAGACACGCAACATCCAAAGATGCGCACAGAAGACGCTATACCAGAAGATTATCTGCGCACCGATATCGTCCTCGACGTCAAATTCACTAGCATCGTGGACATTAGCACCCAAGAGATCGACAAGGCTCGCATTCGGGAGGTAGACAAGGCCCTCATCAAGTACAAAGGTCTCACATACGAAGACGCAGTGTGGGAGACACCTCCAGGCCCAGACGATGGCGATAGATGGACTGATTTCGTGATTGCCTACAACGACTGGGTGGCTGGACGCTACGTACGACAACCGAAACTCAACGCGCTCAAGACACGACTAGAGAAAGTCCGCAAGGAAGATTTCCGCACTCTTGAGAAGACTTCGCAGCCAGAAACACTCGAGGGCGGCAAGTTGATGGAGTATCAGATCCAGGGCATGAACTGGCTTTACTACAAGTGGTTCACCCAAAAGAATGCCATTCTTGCAGATGAAATGGGCCTTGGAAAGACAATTCAAATCATCGGATTCCTAGCCACTTTGGTCCAAGAGCACAATTGCTACCCCTTCCTGGTGGTTGTGCCCAACTCGACCTGTCCGAATTGGCGACGAGAGATCAAGCGATGGGCACCAAGCCTGCGGGTAGTGGCCTTCTACGGCACGCGGGAGAGCAGAGATCTCGCCATGAAGCATGAACTATACCCTGATGGCGCCAAAGATCTCCGGTGCCACGTCGTTGTCACCAGTTACGATGCCGCCGCAGACGACAACTGCCGAAAGTTCTTCAAGGGCGTGCAATGGCAAGGCCTCATTGTCGATGAGGGTCAGCGTCTAAAGAATGACAAGAATCAGCTCTACAGCGCACTAGGTGCGCTGAAATGTCCCTTCAAGGTTCTCCTTACCGGCACACCACTACAGAACAATCAGCGCGAGCTGTTCAACCTACTCCATTTCTTAGACGATACGTTTGACGCAGCCGCTCTCGAAGAAGAGTTCGCTGAGCTTGATCAAGAGAAGATCGCCAAGCTGCACGACATGATCAAACCATTCTTCTTGCGGCGCACAAAGGCACAGGTATTGACGTTTCTGCCGCCCATGGCTCAGGTCATTGTCCCAGTCAGCATGAGTATTGTGCAGAAGAAGCTGTACCGAAGCATTCTTGCGAAGAACCCCGACTTGATGAAGGCCATCTTCAGCGCCGATGCCAATTTGAAGCAAGGAGAGCGAGCAAGCTTGAGCAACATTCTCATGCAGTTGCGAAAGTGCTTGTGTCATCCGTTCGTGTACAACAAGAGCATCGAGGATCGCCATGTGGATATGGCAGCTTCACATCGAAATCTGGTGGATGCAAGCTCAAAGCTCAAATTACTGGAGCTCATACTTCCGAAGCTCAAAGAACGCGGGCACCGAGTCCTTATCTTCAGTCAGTTTCTCGAGATGCTCGACTGTGTCGAGGACTTTATGGACGGCATGCAGTTGCGATACCAGCGCCTCGATGGTCAAATCAGCTCGCTGAACAAGCAAAAGCGGATTGACGAGTTCAATGCACCCGACTCGCCATTATTTGCCTTCTTGCTCTCGACCCGTGCTGGCGGTGTGGGTATCAATCTGGCTACGGCAGATACCGTCATCATCCTCGATCCCGATTTTAATCCTCACCAAGACATTCAAGCACTGTCACGTGCCCATCGAATTGGTCAGCAGAAGAAGGTCTTGTGCTTCCAGATAGTGACTCGTGCCAGTGCGGAAGAGCGCATCATGCAGATCGGCCGCAAGAAGCTTGCGCTTGATCATGTGCTCATTCAAGAAATGGACGCCGATGACGCTGAGCAAACTGATCTGGTGTCTGTTCTTCGCCATGGTGCAAGCGAGCTGTTCGAGGATGATGGCGAGCAAGACATCGTGTACGACTCCATGGCCGTTGACAGGCTGATCGATTGTTCGCACATGGAAGACACGAAGGCCGGCGAAGACAAGACCGCAGAGACCCAGTTCTCCTTTGCACGTGTGTGGGCGAACGGCGACGCGTCCCTCCAGGATGCAGTCAACGAGGCTGAAGACTCCGTTCCAGATCCTGGTGTATGGGCGAACATTCTCAAAGAACGCGAACGTATCGCTGCGGAGGAAGCGACCGCGAAAGCTGAAGCATTCGGGCGTGGACGTCGTGCTCGTGAGCGTATCGATTACGCTGGTGAGGGCGCTGATGCGGAAGCTGTGGACCTGACACCCGTCAAGCGTCGCAAAAAGAAAGACACCGGAGGCGACAGCGACACCGATTTCCAGGCCGACGAAAGTGACGATGATGCTGATGAACCAGGTGAGGATATGGAGAACGGTGAGTTGCTGGACCTGGAGGCACCGCGTACTAAACCCTCTGCAGGCAAAATCTCAAAAGGTAAGACCCCTTCCAAAACCGCAAACATGGCACACAAAACGGCTGCCACTCCATCGAAAGTGCAGTCAAAGGCTACTGGGAAGCCCAAGGTTGCATCTCAGAAACCTGCCCCCGCTGCCAAGAAAGGCCAGAAAACTTCCCTCAGCAACTCGAGGGCAGCCAGAGCGCAATCGCAAAAGGCTGCCGGGGCGCCCAAGAAGCCAATGCTGAAGAAGTCTGTGCCGAACGGCAAAGGTGGCCCCAATCCGTTGACACCGAACCATACGCCAAAGAAGAGGTCTTTGCCTTCAACAGGCAAGAAGTCTTCCAAGGCCACGAAGACATCTGCTTCACCCATGAAAATGTCTGAACCTGAGGTCGTTGTCATCAGTGATGACGAGGTTATGCCCAACACTCCGAAATCACCCGTGAAAGAAGCACAAAAGGAGAACATAAACTAAAACGATATGTCGCAGACTATCCCACATTCAAGCGTGTCATTGTACCTGCACCAAATGCCTCGACTTCCACGGATCCAACAGCAAATGCACTCGCAGCAACGAACGGAGAGTCCAGCATATCCGGCGAAAAGTCGCACAAAGTCGAGCCACCTGGGATCACATGCAAAGCCTGTGGCCGCTATCATCCAGTTGGCAGCTGCCCCCTCAAACTTGCTGGTGTGGAGTTCTGCAATCTGTGTGGCATGGCTCATTACGGTCATGCTCGCGTGTGCCCACACATTCAGTCAGAGACACAGGTAAGTTTCGGCGTTGTGACGTACTCGCCGTACATTCCTGACACGGCAATAGGTGCGTGCTATGCTGGAAGCCCTTAAGTACTCAAATGAGCCAGAACACCTGGTCAACGAAGCGAGACGCTACTTGCGTGGGCTGAAGGGAAATCTCGTGCAGCTCAAGAAGAAGAAAGAGGAACAGCAGCATGCGCAACGCGAGGCTGCTTTTGCAGCACAACAGACTCAGATGTACAACCAGGTCGGGTACAGCGTACCCTCGTGGGGTGGCTATTGAACACCGTTGCAGAGCATTGAGCGAGACGCGAAGCGTCAAATCAGCTCGCGAGCTCACCGAGCATCAGCTTCAGATACCCATTGATGCAGCCAAAGATTTGCTACGGCAGACTCAATTGCAACTTGAGTGCATCCTTCGCCACAATTTCCTCCCTCTTCGCCTCCAATTCCTTGACATCCCATTTCGCATTCAACAACCTCCCACTAAGCCACTTCCTATCCTCACTCGTCAACCACACACAAAACGCCCCGCAAAGCTCTGGACTATCCGTAAGGAAAGGCCTGAATTCCTCTGGTACTGTCTCATCCGCCATCTCACTGAGCACCGATCCCGGATGCACCGCAAAAGAGCTTAATCCTTGATCCGAGTACTGCTCGTGAACGTGCTCCAATAACTTCAACTGCGCGCATTTCGATACGCAATATTGTGTATTCGCAATCGGGCCCCGCACAAGGATCGACGCAAGAGAGGAGACGCCGATAAAGAGCTTCGCGCCGTCTGAAGTGTTGAGTAACAACGGTATCAGAAATTTCGCACAGTAGAATATTCCAACGTAGTTCACATTTGTCGCATTGAGGAACGTCTCTGGATCTGTTTCTGTTATCCGTAATCTGACCGGTCCAGAGTAGCCGCTGTTAACAATCACTGCGTCCAAACGGCCAAATCGAGAAAGTGCCTTTTCCGCGAGAGAAGATACAGAAGCTGAAGATGTGATGTCGCAGGATATAATTTCGATTTCGACTTTGGGGTTGAGGGCTTTGCAGGCTGCGGCAGTTTCTTCGAGGCCTGAAAGACGGCGAGAGGCGAGGATGAGAGCTGTACAGCCTGCTTTGGCGTATGCTGTAGCGACGCGTGCGCCAATGCCACGAGACGCGCCCACGATGCAGACAACGAAGGGCTTCGGCAGGGTCACTGTTGAGGAGTTGATGTCTGCGTTTGGACGTGAGTGGGAAGTTGTGAAGGCTGCGCCGATGGATTTGGTGCCCCAGTCTGCCATGCTGATTATTATTGGGATGTTATTGAGCAAATGTTGTTCTGGTGCAAGAGTAAGGACGTGAGAAGAGACGAAGTGAAATGGTCGCTCAACACGAGCTAGTAATCATTGGAGCTAGTCTGTTTCGCCGCTCGCTGGCGATGGAAATTCCTACGTCCATTTTGATGCACTGACGAGCGTAGTGCTCACAGAAAGGGCGATTCGCTAGAATCTCCAGCATGCATGAGTTCAAACGGGACACGGCAAAGGGCAGTTGATTTTGAGATTGTGGAGCGAGCAACGGAGTTAGCGAGCGGTCTTCAGGATTTTCGGAAATGTGAATGTACCATCGGGTAGTCGCTAGGCAATATCACGGGCCGACGAAACCTTTCACAGCACGTTATATACGACAGTGTTGAAGCTGGCCTGGATGCTAGCAGTAAACAATGCATCAAGCAATAGTGACAATATCTGCAGCTACTTACGCTTGACGACCTATCCTGCTGGAGGAGGTTCAACATTGACGATATGAGCCACCGACTGACTATTCGACAGTTTAGCACGCACAATAGCCATGATAAGTTGACTGTCTTCGTGATAGGATGCAGGTTGCTCAAGGACAGACCTGCATAGCGCGCAGCCACAAGTCGAACAGGTCTCCAGATACGCGAGCTGTCGTCACTCTCCGGTTTAGACTCTCGTCCGTGTTCGTTGCATGTATACGTCCGGCATTCTGGCGATGCTTTACAGCGGGTACGAACGTCTGCTGGAACCGATGCCTACTCGCAAGACAAGAACCGCTGACCATAGAATAGAAGTTGCGGTTTGCAAGAAGAACGGTGCACCTTACCTGGTTTCTTCGTAGCCACGACGCACATGTTGTCGCGAGTCATGGATCGAGCGATCTTGCTTCTCTCGCGGTTCCACCTCGACAATTTCAGTGTATTGCGGTCCTTTTTCCAATTTCGCGATAGAATGCTCTGACTTGCCGACTGCTGATGCTGCGCTAGCCATGGGGATACGTCTTATACCTCGTGCTCGCACGCTATTAGCTTCTTCCTAGGATGCCTTTGTGTCGACAGACCGCAGCAGGAGCTTTGGATTCTGCAGCTCCACCCATGATAAAGTCTTGGAATCGGTCTCGGTGCCGTCTTCGCTGAAGTCTTCCATCTCGAACTTGGTGTAAATGCGATTTCCGTTCTCATCGTATTCCTTGGGCCGGCTCTGTCTGAGCATTAGGGTCCAAAAACCATCATCCGTCTTCGCTTCGAGCTTCGCGATCTGTGCCACAACCTTGGGTTCCCAGCCCGTAGCGGCAGACACCGCAAGCTCCTGGTATGTGATGAAGTCTCCGACCTTAGCGTCAGCCTCGACAAGACTGGGCAGCGATGCGTGATCAGCCGGCAATGGAGGGAACTCGTCGTCGGAACCCTCCGCTTCGTCACCGTTGTCCAGCAGCGCACCTTCTTCCCAATACGAATCATCACCTTCCTGGTCGTCTTTTGGGTCATCGTAGTCCAGTGCATCTCCTCCACCGTTCTGATTGTATTTGTCATACGTCTCGATGAATTCGCCATTGGTCTGTGCATTGGGTTTTCGGGCTCTGGACCGCTTTCGCTGCTTTGCACTGAATTGGTACTGTGGGTCCCACCGTTGCTGGAAAGGGAAGGGCGGTTCGGAGAGCGTGACATTCTCATCTACGCACTCCACTGCAGTGAGTACGACTTTCTCCCGCCATGAGTCCGGAGCTTCGTCAGCTTGAGGTGTCGGCTCTGTCATTGCCTCAGCAGGAGCTGTAGCAGCGCCTGCGCGTGTGGGACGCGTAGATAGCTTCTTCTGAAGCGCGTCGCGCTCTTCCTGGGTCTTGGGCGTACGAAGGCCAAGTGAACCAAATACAAGACGGTTCATGCTTCTTGTGTCCAAACGTGCGCGTTTTGATGCTGGGGATTGATCTGCATCAGTGTCTGCTTCTCGTTTGGTCTTCGCTTTCACCGGCGTTGTGTCCGCCGCCTGCTGTGCTTCCGTAATGATCTGCGTGCTGGCTGCGTCGCTGCTTGTCGCCTCATCCATGATGTCTTTGGCTGTCGCGACTGGACGACTTGATTGCTCCTCTGGCGGCTCATCATCTTCTCTAGAAGCCGGTACTGGGCTGGCAATGTCAACGCCGCCTGAGGCGATCTGTTCGAGAAGTCTCTGCCGCCCAGACTCCATTTTGGCCTTCTGGCCAGCCAACGTGACGCTTTCGTCATCCAGGTCCTTTTCTTTCTGCCAATTCTGCATATCCTGCAGAGTTGCGTTCTGTGGTAGCAAGCCCGCCTCCTTGAGATGCTTGAGTCTTCTCGAGTCTCGCTTGCGATCGTTTCTCTCCTTCGTTCGCGACTTTCCTTGATGTGGCAGGTTCTGTTGCTGTTCAGGCTGGGGCGCAGCGGTGCCGTTCGGTTTCGGTGCTGCCTTCACGGTGCTCACTTTCCCCTCTAAACCATCCCAAGACGCCTCACTTTCGCTCTCACTGCTGCTGCTGCTGCTATCACTGTCGCTGCTGTCATCGCTCGAACTGGCACTACCATCCGAGCTGCTGCCTTTGGCTGATGAATCGCTGTCGCTGCTGTCGCCGCTGTCGCCCGCGCCGTTCTCGTCGTCATCTTCACTATCCTCTTCAACTTCTGCTTCCTCAAAGTCTTCATCATCCTCCTCATCATCTTCCTCATCATCAGCGTCCAAACGCAGCAGCGCCTGTGCATCCACAACCTCATCCGCCTTCTGCCTCTTTCTCGCCGGGATGTTAACCTCCGGACGTCTGGGTCTCTTCAACATAGGTCGTCCGAACGGCACACCGTCCAAAAGATGTCTCCCATCCTCGCTGATCTGATCACGTCCACTCAAAGTCCTAGCCCGCAGCTCCGCAAACCCAAGCGGTTTGATCACGACCTCATCTTCGTCCTTGAAGGCCTGGCCTACCTCGGTGTAATGTGTGGCTTCGTAGCCAGCGACTAGGACGGTGTAATCCGAAATGTCCCAGGTAGTCGACTCCAGAGGGAAAAGAGCATTGATCGACTGGAGGAATTGCGAAATCGTTTGCGATTGTTGCGTTGGCGGTATTGCGTGCAGGACCTGCACCGGCGGCAGCTCGTTGCGCTCGATCCGCAGACGGAGACGCATGTCAGTGCTGTTTTGGGCGCCGGAGCGCGGAAATGTTGTCGATGTCGATTGTGAAGCTGCAAGAAAGACGAGCGCGTAAAGTTGCTGAAGTGGAGAGCTCGCGTCTTTTACGCGGAAGGCTTCCGTTGAACGACCTCAGGCAGCTATCTTGAAGAGTGGCAGTGGCAGTGGCAGCAGCAGCAACGAGGAGGGACAATAGAGGTACGGGATCTCATTCTATATGACACGCTATATTAAGTCTACACGTTATTGTACAGTGCAAGCCCAGCCACTGCTGTTCTCAGCTTCTTTCTCCAAATCACCAACCCTCTCCTCAATCCGCACTACTCCCTTTTCGTAGTCGTCTACAGCTACTCGGACATCCTCTACCTTGGTCTTCAACGCATCAACTTCGTACTCAAGTTTTGCGACCAGCGTCTCGATCTCTTTGTTCCCTTCTTCTAGGCGGTCTTTCTCTTCTCGGAGCATGCCTTCGGTGTGCGTCTGTAGCTCGCGAACATTCTGCTGGCGAGGCAAATACATCTGATCGAGAGCTTCTTGATCACGATCAATTTGGTCGAGAAACTTATGCATCTTTTTAAGTTGACTCTGGGTCCAGCCGACAGTTTGCGTTTGGAGCACTGTGATCAGAGCACGAAGCCTTTTGGACTCTTTCGCCATCTGCTGCTGCTCAGCCATCTGTGCTGCTGTGGACGCAAATGGGTCGTAATCGTCCCCATGAACAGATTCCCAAGTGAGAACACTGTCCTCCGCCAAGCTAAAGCTCATTTGCCGGGGATAAGAATACTCGCTACGCGTCTGCAATTCAGTCGTCACGTAGTGCGAGTATGAGACGGTCCGCTGCAGCAACTGAGACACGTCAAATGCAGTCTCTGGTCCTGTCGGCAGAGCCTCGTTCAATTCTACGCCGTTGTACACCGAGCCAGCAACTGAAGGAACATCGGCGGTATCGACTGTAGTGCTTGAGTTGTTTCTCCTCATATGCTGGTCGCTGTCGCCGACTGTCGAAGTTTTGCTCAAAGTAGCGTAGATCGGTGGTCGCAGGCTTTCTTGCGAGGCGACTTGAGTGCCAGACAGAAGTGAGGTCGACCGGTTCCTGCCGGTTGGGTCTTCACTTTTGAGAGCAACATTCAGTCGGCTGCTCTGATCGGCTGCAGCGTTGACAGAAAAATTCCGCGACGGATCCTTCTCGGAGGCATGTGGGCTATTAGGGCTGCTCACGGGGCTAGTGTGTGATCTTCCAACGGAGGGCCTTTTGCTAGGCTTGAGGTCTGCTGGTGAAGTGGGCACAGGCTCATCTACTGACGGCTTGGGTTTATGACTGCGAAATCCGACAACGTCCTTCACCTTGCTAAAGCCGCTCTTGGCATCGTGCTTGACACTAGTCGCCCGCTTGAAAACCGATGGTTTCGCATCTTTGTCGCTTTCATCACCTTCGTCGATAGGAGAGGGCACTCGAGAGTCACCGTACTGTTCAAGTTCAGTCTCACGTCTCTGTGGCTCGCTCCCATCCACGGTGCTTTTGCGACCCGCTGTCCAGGTGAAACCGCCTTGCTCGTCAGCTTTGAAGACAAGCGATTTGCTGAATCCGGGTTGCTCCTGTGCATCATGTATGTTTCGTTCAGCTTCGTCGCTTACTTTACGTTTCTTCAATGGCTTGCCGAGCCACAGCCATTTGCAGCGATCGCTGTAAACAAGTTGCACGAAGCGATCTATGTCGACAGTCTCGATCTCGGCTATGCCTGCTCTGTCGCGACGTCCAATGCCATCTTGGATGAGATCTCCACCTTTTCCACTCAGTTCAGCCACTGTTGATTTGACGGCTCTGGGCATGGTCCACTGCACCTTGTCAGCCGCTTTTTGTGTCGCCTTGTGCAACCTGTCCATCGTTCGTCGGTCCAGCCGACGCGTTCTCGGAAATCGCTGCTGCTTTTGGAAGGCGCTGATGGCTTTCTTCATGGCATCGACATCGAATGGATCCTTGGGTACTGGAGCACCCATGGCATGCAGCCGGTTTCTTGCGCCCATAAGCATACCCAGGAGTCCGGCAACAGTGGTCGGGCCCAGAATGCCGTCGTGCGGCTCGATATTATAATGATCACTTCCGAATTCGACCCACCAGTCACGTATTGCGCGCTCAGTCACATCGCACAGCAAGCCATCCGCATAATCAATCTCGAGCTTATCGAATAACGTGAGTGCAGTCTGGCATAGTTTGATGATCTCAATGACCGATCTGTAGATGTCATTTTTCTCGCTGGTTCGATAGAGCTGGTGGAACTTGACGACTGTGGATGGAGCTGGCTGCGACAGTGACAGGCCAACACGTCCCGAACAGCCCAGTCTTTTCAAGTCTTCGTTGACGAAGAAGTCGAATCTGTGTTTGCTCACGTCACCATCTGGAACGGGAATAACGGCCAGCGATGATGGAAACCCGGCGAGGCTAGTGACCATCAAGATTCCCAGTGGGGTTTCGCGGCGTCGTGCATGGTACTGGTTCAGTGCTTTGAAATAGACCCGCAATCGAGGTGACCAGGTGGATTCGTCTACCGGCAGCCCTAGAACGCCAACCTTGACGACATGCGTGGGATCCCCAGTGAATGTTGTGATCATGTACGTGGGATGCATACGCGATGTCGTCCATTGCTCCACAATGTAGCACTCATAGCCTTGAAGGTCCGTACGTCGTTCGATCAAGGTGGTCGACGGATCGGCTTCAAGATAGCGAAAGGCAACAGGATCGGTCAAGACAAAGCGTTGCTGTCCATTCTTGGCGTCCTGCCTGTCGAGCCGGGTCGGCGTGTATGGCACAGGCGAAGTTGGGGTGCCATCTTGAGTGCCAGCGCTCAGTGAGGTCAACAGAGGTGCCGGCCTGTGCTTGACTCCTTCTTGATTGGGGTTGGTAGTCATGGCTGTTGGCTATGCCGCTGTGATACCACGAAGTCGTGTCACCAGGCGCTGCTCATGGCTGCACGCATGAGGCCTTCCGCCAGGCCTCGACCCGTTCCAGGATGTCCAGCACGCTGGCTATAATTTTTGAGCCAGGGAGATATTGTGAACTTTTCTGTCAGGACGAGTTATATTGGTGTCGGGCGGCACATGACAACGTGCAGTCGGTGTCGCGGGTTCCAGGAGAGGAAAGCAGAGGTCAGCGTGCGCCCCGTTACGGGGCAGTTGTGCAGCAGCCGAAGCATGATGCGACCTGCCGTCCACTGCTTCATCTTCATCTTCACCTTCCACCGTGTCACATGCTGCAAACATCGCCCAGACAGCCGTGATCGCGATTGTGGACGATGTACTCAGATCGCAAAACAACGTTCTAATTCTTCTTAGCAGCTGAACGAGATCACCACCGATATCCATTCCCATCGCCGGAGCTTCCACCTCGCCATCATGGACCTCATTCTAGCAGCTCACGAGCAGCAGGAGAAGAAGGGCAATCTCTCCAAGGCAATCGACGATGTGCAGAAACTGATCGATTTGCTGCAATCCACACGAGATGCCGTCGCCGACACCCCGGACAAGGCAGTGCTTCATCTGGCGAAGCTCTCCACTCCCGTGAAGCAGTCCTTCAGCAAGATCGAGGAGGATCTGAAGGAGGTTAATAAAGGCATCAACCAATACTCAAAGGCGCTGAAAGACAAGTTCAAGAGCACGGTTTTGCCCACAAACGCTAGCGATGCACTGACCAGCCAGCCGCATCTTATCAACCGTGCCATCGCCATGCATCTGTTGCGCGAGGGCAAGTTCGATGTTGCAAAGACCTTCGTGAGAGAGGTGAAAGAGCATCCGCCGGCAGGAACGGAAGCAACAGGGACAGAATTCAATCATGCCGCGGGAATGGACTGGATCGAAGATCTCGCCGACGAAACGATGCAAGATAGCAGTGAAGACAGGCTGGAAACAGAAGGAGAACGGAGTGGGTTACAGCAGAAATTCGCAGACATGTATCACATTCTCGATGCCCTGCGTAATCAGCACAACCTCGAGCCGGCGATAGATTGGGCGCATCACCACAGCCATGAACTAGAACACCGTGGTTCGAACCTCGAATTTGAACTGAGCAGGTTGAAGTTTGTGGAGCTCTATCATTCGAAATCCGACGAAATGACGGATGGTGAACCAGACTATCTCGCTGGTCCGGTGCGAGCGCTGGAATACGCCCGCAATGTCTTCCCCACCTTTGGCGAGCGTTACAGTCGGGAAACCTCGTCGCTTAGTGCCTCTCTTGCTTTCAGTCCCAATCTGGAGGACTCTCCCTTCAACGCATTATTCCACAATCAGTCCGCATTCGAAGAAGCATCCGTGTCCTTTACTCGGGAGTTCTGCGGCATGCTAGGACTCTCATCGCAGTCGCCACTATACACAGCCGTCACAGCTGGCGGTATTGCCCTTCCCGTGTTTGAGAAGTTTGAGCGCGTGATGGCGCAAACAAGAGGGCAATGGTCCAGTGTCAACGAGCTACCAGTGGAGACTCCCCTGCCACCTGGCTATGCCTTCCACAGCATCTTCGTCTGTCCTGTTAGCAAGGACCAGGCGACTGATGCGAACCCGCCGATGATGCTACCTTGTGGACATGTACTAGCTAAAGAGAGTTTGGATCAGCATAGCAAGGGCAAGAGCAGGATGAAGTGTCCTTATTGTCCCCAAGAGTGCCACCCAAGAGATGCTAAGAGAGTCTACATTTAGACACGACATGGTGCAGACGAAACGTTGGGAAGGAACTCGGCATTATGGAGCCAAGGCCGGCACATGACTACCTTAGAAAACCGTATCGGCCCCTCTGGACTGTCTACGTCGTTCCAAGGTGTTCCGGTGCCCTCAAGCTACGTAGCTATCCCTGAAGCATTCACCTCGAGACTGAAGAAGGATTACCGAAATGCAATTGAGTGCGATGCAAACTTCATCTCGGCGAAAAAGACTCCCTCACTTCCGGACCTTCACGTATGCAATGTGCCAAGTAGGCGAACCAAACACGCAGACCGGGTGCGATGTATGGCCGCTGCCGCTTACAATTCCAGGTCACACCAGAATAAGTTTGTTGCCTAGTCCTGCGGAGCTCCGGACAACGAGAATGCTTTCATCTCCGCGAAGGATTTGACTCCCGGCTGTAAGCTTGACGTGCAGGAGCATGTGTCTGCCCCATCGCCGGAGAAGACGAGCATGCGTCGCATCGTACCTTCATCGGAGCGGCATCAGAGAAGCCAAGAGACGTATCCGTCCCGCTACTGACGATCCAAGGTAATTCCTCCAGTTTGCTGTGAACGTCTCATTCGACTGCCCCAAGCTGTTCCGGTAACATTCTTAGAGAATCCCCGGTTTATAGACCAGGGCGCTGACACGACATTTGTGCGACCAGCTGAAAAACTGTTCTATGTACAACGAGGTCTCAAACACTACCGACGCCGTATTAGCGTCTGATGCTCATTGCAGACGAGGATCGGAGAGATGTTGGTGTTGGCCTGTGGGTGCGGCTACGTTGCAGCAACGTTTGACCTACGCTTGCGTACAGTTCGACATCGAGCAGCCGCAGTAGGGTCGCTCTGTACTTATGCTATAGCTCAGTACGAAGATCTGAGCAATCGTCATGTGACAAGATCCAGAACGGTCCGTGAATGCAGGAGCTACTGGAAGGTTGACCTGTGTCGCTTGCCAAGCGAAGCCGTTGCTGTTGATTAGCAACATCAGCCGCACTTTCAACATCACACCAACCCCACTTTAACACTCCGTCAGGATCGCTGCGTAATCACATCTTGCCAGGCGCGGTCGTTGTCGTGGACTGCTCGCGACATTTCGAAGCATTTCAATCCTCACTTCTCGAGTTCATCTGTGACGGCGGCCCCGCAACTTAGCGCTTGTTTATAAACACAGCCCACGATTGGCCAGTACCACATCGTCGAGTTCCACGACTCGAACCGAACGACAGCTGCATTTCTGGACATACTGCAGCGGAGCACGTATACAAAGAGGATCTGAGGACTGCACAGTCCTTCGGAATTTGGTCACTAACTGGAAACACCCCGTCGCTCGTCGATCCCCACAAGGTCACCATGTCGAAACCTTTACTTCTGGCTGCAGCTGCAGGCGTTGCCAGTCATGTCCTCTATTTCCGGATAGGGGATCACCATATGTATCCTGTCAAGTACATCCAGGCCTTCTTTGCTTCCTGCATCGGCGCTGTCCTTTGCTTGAAGTCTTACCATGGTGCTTCATCGAATGAAGCAGTCTATACGACAGCTGCACTGGCCACCAGCTGGCTCATCGGCCTATATTCGAGCCTTATCGTCTATCGCCTCTTCTTTCATCCTCTGAGAAAATTCCCAGGGCCATTCCGAGCTCGATTCGGAGGACTGTGGCTCACTTTCAACCTTCGCAAGCTGGACGCGTATCACGTGATCGATGACCTTCACAAGAAATATGGCAAATACGTTCGGATTGGGCCTAACACGTTGAGTGTCATCGACCCGCAGATCATGACTCCGGCATTTGGCCCAGGTACCAAGGTAATCAAGAGCTCGTGGTACGATGGATCTCGCCCACACGACAGTATGCACACCACTCGCGACAAGGCTCTGCATGATCGTCGTCGCCGCGTCTGGGCACCAGCTTTCTCAGACAAAGCCATTCGCGAGTATGAACCTCTCGTCCAAGGCTTCAACGACAAGCTGAACTCCATGATTTACGAGAGGCAAGGTCAAGCCCTGGACATGACTACACTGTTCAACCTGTGGAGCTTTTCTGTTATGGGGATACTCGCGTTTGGAAAAGATTACCAGATGCTTGAGTCCGGCAAGAGACACTGGTCTCTGGATCTTCTGACCGAAGGCATGAAGATGGCAGGCTTCAAGTTTCCTACATGGGTATTCAGAGTCTTGCTTGCCATTCCCGGCGCTGCGAACGGACATTGTAGGTATCCATGGAAGACGGCGAAGTTGACTGCGCATCGCTAATCCGTGATAGACAAATTCATGAAATTCTGTACCGACGAGCTCACATGGAGGGTACAGAATGACGAGAAAGCCGAGCGCAAGGACATCACCAGTTGGCTCCTCAAGCCATATGCTAACGAGAAGCATCCTGAGGCCGATCCAATGTTTCAGGCAGATTCTCGCCTGATTATCGTTGCAGGATCCGATACAACAGCAGGCACACTTACCTACCTCTTCTACCATCTAGCCAAGGATCCCGAACAGGTCAGAAAGCTTCGCGAAGAGCTCAGGCCGTTGGCAACAGGTGAATGGAAGGATAAGGACATTCAGAACTGCCAGCACCTCAATGGAGCAATCAATGAAACCTTGAGATTGCATCCACCTGTGCCTTCTGGGCTATCACGTGAGACACCACCTGAGGGACTGCAAGTCGGCGATGTCTACATTCCGGGACGAGTCGACTTCTCGGCACCGCAGTATTCCATGGGCCGCAGTGAGGACATCTACAGTAATGCCAACGAGTTTGTGCCGGAGAGATGGTACTCCAAGCCGGAAATGATCAAGCACGCGGATGCTTTCGCGCCTTTCTCAATGGGCCATTACAACTGCATTGGTCGGAATCGTATGTGTAGCCGGATCATGTATGCTTTGCCATGAACGAGATTGCTAACATCGCGCAGTGGCACGAATGCAGCTCCGTATCCTAACCACGCAGCTGTTGCTCAAGTATGACGTTGCTTTCGCCCCAGGCGAGGATGGTAAGTCCTCTTTACACTCTTCCAGTTCGTATCGAAGTACCCGCTGACAATTCTTGCTTCCTACAGGCACCCGTCTTCTCACTAAGACCAAGGATCATTTCACTGTTGGCCCAGCTCGATTGGATCTTGTTTGGTCCCCGGCTTCGAGTTGAGCAATCGCGGCCAGCGATACTTGAGCATACCGAGAGACCAAGGACCGACTCGTTGCTTGATCGGTGGTCATACCAGCTCTGGCGGATGGGGTTGTGAGTGGAGGCATCGAGAATGCCCAGCCAAGAAAATCAAGGGCTCAATAGCAATCCAGAGGTACAAGGAGTAGCGGCGGTCTTTGCCGCACTAATCGGTTGCTGCAGCGAGAGTCCCGCATTTGCCGCTCAAAGCGTGGCACGCAGTACCTCCACTACTCCATGGTGCAGAGACTCGAGAGAACATCGAGTGAGGTTCCAAGCCAAGGCAATTGCCTAGGATAGCTCTATGATTTCACCATGCAACTCTGCCCTGGCAAAGTGGCTCTGTTGTGTTGTTCCATTTCATGACATGGCATTGCCGAGTCGGCTCTACCAACAGACCCTTGAGCGCGGCCCCAGATTTTACTGTAAGCTTCGCCCAAGATGACCTCGGGTTTCGTCTGTAAGCGGATCATGACCTGCGTCTATACATCTGCACGCAGAATACATTTGTAGCAGCTTCTCGGCTACTGGTAGGATCATCTCTCTTTTTTAGAGTGCTTCATTAGCCAGACCAGTTCCGTGTACTAACAAAAAACTACTATATCGCGACCGATTCAGTCGAGCTCGTCCAGCTTGCAGCAACACTGATCGAATCGAAACATCACGCTTCATCAGCACAACATGGCGGCATCCGCGACAATCTCCACCTCCGTCGAAAACAGCGACCCTCTGCTCCAAGTCCCCTTCAGCGATCCTCCGTGGCTCCTCGGTCTCCCTTCGCCATTCTTCTCAGAGAAACATCGCAAGTTCCAGAAAGCTGTACGAGCATGGTTCGAGGAACACTTCCTGCCACACTGCATGGAATGGGAGACTTCAGGGAGCCTCCCAACAGATCTTTTTGCAAAATTCAATCAATACAACATGCTCCTTCCCAACCTCCCATCACCTCTCCCAGTTGAATGGCTGCACAAAGTGGGCATCAAAGATATTCTCGGCACACCTGTAGAAGATTGGGATTATACACATACTGGGATTTGGATTGATGAGATCCACAGATCTGGACTTGGAGGTCCTTCGAGTGGTTTGACTGCTGGGTTCGCGTATGCTATTCCGCCTATTATCAAGTATGGTTCGAGACAACTGCAAGAGCGTTTCTTGCCAGATTTCTTGACGGGAAAGTCGAGGACTTGTATTGCGATCACGGAGCCAGATGCGGGTAGTGATGTTGCGAATATCACGACTACGGCGAAGAAGACGAACGATGGGAAGCATTATATCGTCAACGGCACGAAGAAGTGGATCACGAACGCCATCTGGTCTGATTATGCTACCATGGCTGTGAGGACCGGCGGGAAAGGAGCTGGAGGTCTGAGTCTTCTAGTCGTGCCTTTAAAGACAGAGGGCGTGGATATGAGGAGACTTACTGTTACTGGCAGCAAGACTGGTGGAACGACTTTTATCGAGCTGGAAGATGTCAAGGTTCCAGTGGAGAATCTTCTGGGTGAGGAAGGAAAGGGCATGTTCTACGTGATGAACAACTTGTCAGTCTTCCACCAAGTTAAGAAGGAGATCATTGCTGACCATGCAACAGTAACCACGAACGTCTTCTCATCGCAATCGGCGTCACGCGACAAGCTCGCGTAGCCTTGTCCACCGCTATGGCATATGTGATGAAGCGCGAGGCTTTCGGTAAAGCACTCGTGGAGCAACCCGTTGTACGCAACAGATTGGCCAGAGCCGGCGCAGAGTTGGAGACGCTGCAGTCTTGGCTGAATGAATTCTTGTGGCAAATGGATCACCTTCCAAAGAGCCAGGCAGATACAAGGCTCGGTGGTTTGACAGCGCTTGCGAAGGCTAAGGCTGGAATGGTGCTCAATGAATGTGCACAATGCGGAGTGTTGCTCTTCGGCGGCAATGGGTTTACTGAAACGGGACAAGGAGAGCTGGTTGCGAAGATCTACCGTGACGTGTTCGGCTCGAGGATTCCGGGAGGTAGTGAGGATGTTATGGTGAGTGTCTGCCTTTCGCTTGATGACACGCAACTGAGTGTCGTGAATTCTGCTAACTGTTGCGTAGTTGGACTTGGCCGTGAGACAGTTAGTGAAGAACTATCAGAAAGCGCTGAAGCAACTGGATCAAGGAGGCAAATCGAGATTGTAGCTGCGTAGCCGTCGAGATGCGAAGTAGTTATGCAATGAAGGTGCTCATAAGCTTCAGAATAGCACAGTGTGTTCTTTGTCAAGCGTGTGAATGTGAAAGGACCGCTGGTGGCCTGTGCATGATGCTTAGTCATTCCCGAGCGCGGCGAAGAGCCGCATGCATCTCGAGTTGACATTCTGTCGGAGGCCCACTCCTCCTCACCACCACCTCGCCGCCAACCCCTCTTCCTCATCCGCCCGTCGCGTTCACGATCGCGTCCGAATCGCCGATAAGACATCGAAAGCACGAAGCTACGAATCACCAGGCGCGGCACTTCCACAGAGATTTCCTCGAAGGCGCGTGTTCTGCGCTGCGCGTACCTCGCCACGCCACCTGGTGACGGCTACCCCATCGGGGGAATCGAAAGGTAAGCGCAGCGGCGCGCTTTTGTCGTTTGAGAGCGGAGACAATCGAGGCGGGTTGGCAGCTGCGGCGGGCAGGTGGTTAGAAGAGACTCAGTCAAAATGTCGTACGCGGACGGAGATGCCATGATGGCGATGGCGGAGGATGGCGAAGAGACGTATGATGCGAACGCCATCACGGCAGAGGACTGTTGGTCCGTGATTCATTCGTTCTTCGATGCGAAAGGCCTGGTATCGCAGCAATTGGACTCTTTCGATGAATTCGCAATGTCCACGATGCAGGAAATCGTGTCCGAGACACCGAACATTGTCATCGATCAGAACATTCCGGGGGAGGAACACGATGAGAGCAACATGCCTATCGTGAAGCGGCGGTACATTATCGAGCTTGGCATGTTGTCCATCGCGCCAGCATCCATGACAGAAGGCGACGGCACAACGCGAAAACTGTTCCCCCACGAGGCGCGACTGCGAAATCTGACTTACGCCGCTCCGGTTTTCGTCGATATGACAAAGAAGATGCAAGTCTGTCGCGAGCGATCTCTAGGCGGCCGACTGAGCGAAGATGGCACAACGTGGTTAGACTCTCCGGACTGGGATGGCGTAACGACAGAGAATGCTTGGGAGGACGACTTGGAGAACCCGCCCGAGTTCAAGCCACAGGTTTTCGTCGGCAAGTTGCCTGTGATGCTGAAGTCAAAGATGTGTGGTTTGCGGAATCGTAGCGAGGCGGAACTTTATGCTCTGCAGGAGTGTCCTTTCGATCAAGGAGGCTACTTTATCATCAACGGCTCGGAAAAAGTGTTGATTGCACAAGAGCGCAGTGCGGCCAACATCGTTCAGGTCTTCAAGAAGAAGGGTACAAACACTCCAGTCACTGCTGAGCTGCGAAGTGCTACCGAAAAGGGCACACGTTTGATCAGTTCAGTGTCGGTGAAGCTGTACAATCAATCCGCACATTCGGCAGTATCAGGCAAGACGATCAAGATGACGCTACCACTGATCAAGACTGAGATCCCGATTGGCATCGTTTTCCGCGCTCTCGGTATCGTTTCTGACGAGGATATCCTTAACCACATTGTGGACAAGAACGATACTCAGATGTTGGAAATGCTTAAGCCATGCTTAGAAGAAGCTTTTGTTATCCAAGAACGTGATGTCGCTCTCGACTTCATTGGTCGTCGTGGCCAGCAACAAGGCACGAAGGACAAGCGAATACGATACGCGAAAGACATTATGCAGAAGGAGTTCCTCCCGCACATCTCTCAAGAGGAGGGTAGCGAGACGAAGAAAGCGTTCTTCCTTGGCTACATGGTCAATCGAATGCTCCAGTGCGCACTCGGCCGCACAGAAGAGGACGACCGTGACCACTTCGGCAAGAAGCGCCTTGATCTGGCAGGTCCGCTCATGGCGCAAGTGTTCCGCCTGAAGTTCCAACAGCTCGTCAAAGAAATGAAGCAGTATCTCCACCGTTGTGTCGAGATGAATCGAGAATTCAACATCACACTGGCAGTCAAAACCAACATCCTGACGTCTGGGTTACGATACTGTCTTGCGACTGGAAACTGGGGAGACCAGAAGAAAGCTTCTTCCTCCAAGGCTGGTGTCAGTCAGGTGCTTAATCGATACACATATGCCTCTACGCTCAGCCACTTGCGGAGAACGAACACCCCGATCGGTCGTGACGGCAAGATCGCAAAGCCTCGCCAGCTGCACAATACGCATTGGGGACTTGTATGCCCTGCAGAGACTCCTGAAGGACAGGCTTGTGGTTTGGTCAAGAATTTATCTCTCATGTGCTACGTTTCTGTGGGGACTCCTGGCGCACCACTCATCGATTTCATGCGACAGCGTGGTATGGATTTACTCGAAGAATATGATCCGGTGATGAACCCACGAGCAACGAAGATTATGCTCAACGGAACATGGGTCGGCGTGCATCGCAACGCAGGACAGCTTGCAGACACCCTGCGAGCATTGAGGCGCAAGGGTCTCCTGAGTTTCGAGGTCACGATCATTCGCGATGTCCGAGAGCGCGAGATCAGAATTTTCACCGACGCAGGGCGTGTCTGTCGCCCGCTCTTCGTCGTTGACAACGACCCCAAGAGTCTCAACCGAGGAAGCCTCGTACTAAAGCAAGAGCAGCTCGAGAAACTGGCGCTCGACCAAGAGATTCTCGCAAATCTGGAGGGCGTCAGTGAAGAAGAGCGCGATAATTCTATCTTTGGTTGGAAGGGTCTTGTGGACGCAGGCGTGGTCGAGTACCTTGATGCAGAGGAGGAAGAGACTGCAATGATTATCATGACGCCTGACGATCTCGAAGAGCACAAGAACATGCGCAACGGAATACAATGGGAGGAGGCCAGAGACGATCCACATCGACGTATCAAGCCCAAGCCAAACGCTTCTGTGCGGATGTGGACGCACTGTGAGATTCACCCGGCCATGATTCTGGGCATCTGTGCCAGTATCATTCCTTTCCCTGATCACAACCAGTCGCCCAGAAACACATATGTAAGTTGCGGACTGTTTGAAAATTGCAGAAGAAACTTCGCTAACGAATACGCAGCAATCTGCCATGGGCAAGCAAGCCATGGGTGTAACGCTCACCAACTACAATGTACGCATGGACACGATGGCCAATGTGCTATATTACCCACAGAAGCCATTGGCGACGACCAGAAGCATGGAGTTCCTGCGCTTCCGAGATCTGCCTGCAGGTCAGAACGCTATCGTTGCCATCGCTTGCTATTCGGGTTACAACCAGGAAGATTCCGTCATCATGAATCAGAGCAGCATTGACCGTGGCCTATTCCGGTCGCTTTTCTTCCGTGCATACATGGACCAGGAGAAGCGTGTGGGTATGGCTGTGGTCGAGGCGTTTGAGAAGCCCACGCGCGCCGACACCATGCGCATGAAGCAGGGCTCGTATGACAAGCTTGACGAGGATGGAATCGTGGCACCCGGCGCTCGTGTATCAGGAGATGATATCATTATCGGCAAGACTGCGCCTATGCCTCCGGACGCAGAAGAGCTGGGTCAGCGAACAAAGCTACACGTCAAGCGCGACGTCAGTACACCTCTGCGTTCTACTGAGAACGGTCTCGTGGATCAAGTGCTCATCACGACGAACACCGAAGGTCTGCGCTTCGTCAAGGTGAGGACGAGAGTGACAAAGGTCCCACAAATTGGTGATAAGTTTGCTTCCCGTCACGGACAGAAGGGTACAATTGGTATCACTTACCGACAGGAGGACATGCCGTTCAGCGCGGACGGTCTCACGCCCGACATCATCATCAACCCCCACGCTATTCCCAGTCGTATGACCATTGCTCACTTGATCGAGTGTTTGCTTTCCAAGGTTGGCGCCTTGCAAGGTCAGGAAGGTGACGCCACGCCCTTCACAGATGTTACAGTCTCGTCTGTCTCGGCAATCCTGGCTTCGCACGGCTTCCAGCAGCGTGGATTCGAAGTCATGTACAATGGACACACAGGCAAGAAGCTGAACGCGCAGGTCTTCCTTGGCCCTACTTACTACCAACGTCTGCGACACATGGTGGACGACAAGATTCATGCCCGAGCACGTGGTCCACTGCAGATTCTCACACGCCAGCCTGTGGAAGGTCGTGCTCGAGATGGTGGACTTCGTTTCGGAGAGATGGAACGCGATTGTATGATTGCCCACGGTGCTTCGGCCTTCTTGAAGGAGCGTCTTCTCGACGTCTCAGACGCCTTCCGCGTCCACATTTGCGAGATTTGTGGTCTGATGACACCGATTGCCTCTATCAAGAAGCAGCAGTTCGAATGCCGCCCTTGCAAGAACAAAACCAAGATTGCGCAGATCATCATTCCATACGCGGCTAAGCTCCTCTTCCAGGAGTTGGCAGCCATGAATGTGGCAACGCGCATGTTCACGAATCGCAGCGGCATCAGCATTCGATAAAGCTCGAGAAATTATACTGGTACTACGAGATCGGATGTGGATCAAGGGGTCGAATAGATTATGGAATTCAGAAAGTCAGCATAAGCAGGAAAGAGCCTTTGGGTCGGCTCGCACGACATAACAGAGGCATTTAGTAGCGTTGTCGTTTCGCTTTGGAGTTCAGCAACTAGGGCGGCGCAAAAAACGGCGTGAGTGATGCCATAAAAATGCCAAAGAACGAGATCCTGGCTGAGATCAGGTTTGTAAGAATAGTGGTTGGAACGACCTAGACAAGAGTAACGAGTGAAGCCAAAGACGGAGATCGTTTCAAACAACTAAATGTTCTCGACAGTTCACCCTGGCCACTAGGCTGGGCAAAGAAGTAGCACTTCGTTAGCATGTAAAAGTGAAGTTCAACTGAGGATGTCTTGGCAGTCGGGAAACAAAGCAACTCGCAATGACGTCGGCATAATCGGGCATTGGTCTCCGGGAATCTCCAGTCCAGCTCACTCAGCTTTTGCTTGCGACATCTGCGATTGCTGTATCGTCAATCAACTCACAATGTTTTCATCACGCCTCTTTCGCCCAGCGGCGCAGCTCTCACAGGTAATTCAATCGAACGGGACTCCGAACGCAAATGGCCAACGCAATCGCTGACACGCGCCCTGCTGCAGCATGTTCGACGATATGCCTCCGAAGCACCAAAGAGTGGGGGAAGCAATGGACTTCTTCTCGGCGCAGTCGGCGCTGCGGCACTAGGAGGAGGATACTATGCCTTCGCGGGAACAAAAGATCCTGTGACAGTGGCGAAGGAGAACACCGCGCCGGCTTATGAGAATAAGACCCCAGCACAAGGAGGGCCTCCAGACAAGGTCTTCATCGGTGGAGGTAAGCGCGGACATGCCGACATAAAAGATAATGGCATGTGCTAAGTCCTTGCAGACCAGGGCTTCATCAGCCTGAAACTGGACAAGGTCGAGGAGATCAACCACAACACCAAGAAGTTCATCTTTGCCTTCGACAACCCAGACGCTGTCAGCGGACTGCCAGTAACCAGCGCTCTGATCACCAAATACAAGGGACCAGAGGATGAGAAGCCAACAATTAGGCCTTACACCCCAGTCAGCGACGAGGGCGAACGCGGGCACATGGATTTGATTGTGAAGAAGTACCAGGGTGGACCGATGTCAACACATCTCCACAACATGGAACCTGGGCAGAGACTCGAGATCAAGGGCCCAATTCCAAAGTACCCATGGGAGACAAACAAGCACGACCACGTTGCACTCATCGCTGGTGGTACCGGTGTCACACCCATGTACCAGCTCGCACGAGGAATTTTCAAGAACCCACAGGACAAGACGAAAGTCACACTTGTTTTCGGCAACGTGACGGAGGAGGATATCCTCCTGAAGAAGGAGTTCGAACAGCTGGAGCAAGAGTTCCCTCAACGATTCCGCGCCTTCTACGTGCTGGACAAGCCTCCTCAGGGATGGAAGCAGGGCAAAGGATTCATCACCAAGGACCTGCTCAAGACTGTTCTGCCAGCACCAAGCGAAGAGAACGTCAAGGTGTTTGTCTGCGGTCCTCCTGGTCTGTACAAGGCAATTTCCGGGCCAAAGAAGAGCCCGCAAGATCAGGGTGAGCTTGCTGGTATCTTGAAGGAGCTCGGTTACGCGAAGGAGCAAGTCTTCAAGTTCTAAACGAAAACTTGACGCGGAGCGAATGGACAATGTACAGATAGATAGAGCTTCATGGCATACTATTTTTCAACCTGTCAATTGTGCACAGTCTCTGCTCGGTCCGCAATGCAGTGTCTGAACCAAAGTCGTTTGAGTCGTGGAGCTCCTCACACTGCAATGCTCATATGCACATCACTCAAATTCGCCGATCAGATTGACAGCATAAAACAAACAAAAACATGGGTTTGACGCGAAAGCTACAAAGCCAGCACTCCACAATAGCTCCACGACGCAGAGGAAGGCCCGACTCCGGCAGAGTTCTGGACTGACGCCACTGCCTACCTCTTTCCAACGTCAAAAGGCTGTGCAAGTCAGCAGGAAAGAGCCCATTGTAATACAAACTCGTCCCCAACGCAAGAACATCTGAACGACACTCTCTCCACCTATCATACGTAAATCCAGAAATCCGCTGCGAAAATGGTCTACACTCTCGTCGTCCACTTGCACGCCAAAGCCGGCGAGGAGAATATCCAGAAGTTGATTGCGAAACTGCAAGAGGCTAGTCAGGTTTATTCGAAGGATAAGGAGACCTTGGGGTGGTATTTTTTCACTCAATTACTTTTCTTCTTCGTGTGTGCACATTTGTGTCTGACAGTATCAATCTTTCAGGTTCGTCATGCAGGACCACAAAGATCCACAATCTTTCACGATTGTTGAACGATATGCCCACGAGAGCTCACAGAAGTAAGTATAAAGACTCGAGAATGAGATTGAAAAATTACCTTGTGTCTCTGTAATTTGCAAGATAAGACAGCTGACAACTGGATCTTGTTCCATAGGTACCACTTGGAGAACCCATACTGGCAAACCTTTGACAAATATGTGATTCCACTTCTGGATCGCGAAATGGATCTCAGACGCTACAATGAATTGGACACGAGCAAGGAGGTCAAGGTGGAGAATGATGAGAGTCTTTGGGCGAAAGTGAAGGAGCATCAGACGTACTGATTGCTTTGAGTTGCGACTATGTCTTGATTGATTGCATGCGTGGCATTGGGTGTACCACATCCCTCGAAGGCACTGTCGTACAACGACTGCGTGCTTGCAAGCTGACGGAAGCAGCTGAGAATGCGCTGTAGTTACTACCTACACAACAACAAATCGCATGCCTACAACTATTTCATCCTCGTCGAAAAAGCCCGGCCTCGTCTTCTGGATTTGTCGCTGAGCATTGCCCCCAGCAAAGCTAACAGTGCAGTCCTTGCACAAGTCGGGCACTTTAAAGTTCGCAAGTGCTTCTTCGGGAGTCTGATCGTCGAGCTTGCCCGGTTTGCGTGAAGAGCGTTTGACAGAATCTGAAGGCGGAGGTGTCTTCGCCTTTGGAGTTTCCGGTCTCTGAATAGGCTGAAGTGGACGGGGCGTCGAAATTGGCGTTGACACTCCGGATTCCTCGTTTGCTAGTGGTGTCTGCTTCTTGGTGCGCGGCGGATGCGGAGAAAGAGATGCGATACGTGCGATGAGCCTTCCGCCAGGATCAGCACCATTGTCCAAAGCCATTGCAGTGCGGGCTTCAGTGATTGACGAGAACGTCTGCTGCTCGGCGAGATGCGCCGGGGCTGGAGTGGAGGACGCCGTGGATGAGGCAGGGCCACGAGGAGTTCCGTGCTTGACAGAAGATTGTGATCGGGTTCGAAGAGGCCCCACGGGAGAGCTCTGCCCAGGACGATCAGAATCCCGTTGACCAAGTTCCTCCTTCAGCTTGCTGATTGCAGCTCCTTGGTTCTTAGGTGTCATCTTTTGGATATCACCTATACGCTGCGTGATCGTTCGAGAACCAATGTCTTTTCCTCTCCGGTTCTTGATTCCATCTATCACCACGTCTCTTTGAAACGCAATACCATGCGCATCAGCGAATTCTTTTGCTTTTGCCTCCGTCGTGGTCAATTTGCCCTCTTGAGGCTGGGTAGTGTGCTTGTTTTTCGATTTTGCTTGCTGCCGGGTAGCAAGAGGAACATCTGACGAAGTCGAGGGCAGCTCGGCTGGACCCCGAGCAGCTGTCGCTGGAGACTCATCCGCAGCGCACTTCTCTGTAAATGGGTCATCTGACACGGGCGGATGCTGAGGATGTGCGTGTCCGACTGCATTGGAAAATCTAAGCATACTTCTCGCATGCTTCGAGGGCAGTGGAGACGATGAGTCTTCAGCCACGGAGTCTTGTCTCGCGTCAGAGTCCCAATCTGCGCCCTTGCTCTGCAAGTCAGACATCGTCGGTCTGCTCATGTGATTTGGGGTCTGTGGCCGAGACCCAGCTCCGAGAGGGACATCATTTCGGTAGTTGTCGTTTCTCAGACGCGTGGGCCGTGCTATGTATCCGTGAGAGGGCCCGTCCTTACCTCCCTTCCCAGACACGATGATCACGTCAATGAGGCCTATGTGCTGACTGTCTCGAAGTCTCTCCGGTAGCGTAAGGTCCGCGAGCGCGGTCAGGAATGCTCCAGAAGGCGAGAAATCGCCCCATTTGTTGCTGCCACGAGTGCGGCCCTCATGCTTCAGCATTACCGACGCGCCTCCCCAACGTTCCGATGCATTCAACTTGCTCGAACTTAGTGCTGCTGAAGGCTGATAGATCCACGGCTTCTCTATCTGTCGATGGATTCGAGTGCCATTGATGGCATATTTGTGCGTCGTACCGGTCTTCTTGGGATTCAAGTAGAAGACGTCCGAAAGCGCGCCGTTCACAAAGACTTCTATCTTCAGATCGGTTGCTGCAGTTTGATTCCTGCAATGGTGGGAGCGGTCATTGGTCTCCACGGTAAGGCGCAGCGCGCGAGGCTGTGGCGGCGCCAGAACTGCGTATTCGCTCTTCTCTCTAGATTCAGCCATCAGGAAAGGGATGTCTTCGTTTTCACCAAGGTACTGCAGTACTCCCTTGGTGCTGCCATCGGCACCAATGGGGGCGGTAGGTAAAGCATTGCCAGCCGCGAGATGTGCCTCCACTCGTTGATCATCGATTGCTTGCTCCTTTCCCATCGTCAGCGTGACAGACCTCGACAGAGAGGCATCCAGGTCGGCTGTCGACAGAGTGGCTTGAACGCCAGCCGCATTGAAGCGCATCATGGTGATGATCGACTCGACTGTGTGCGCCGACAGAAGATCTGATCGAGCAAGTGATCAGGCCGAGTGAGTCCCGTCAAGTTAAGCGCTCGTGGTTTCGTCAGGAGCCATCGCGCACCTTCTCTGTTTGCCTGCAGCCGTTTGACTAGCGTGCTTCACGACGACACCACCTCCGCGAACTGTCCACGCGTCTTTCGATGCCGAGCGTGAATGAAGAATCAGTCTGCGGCCCATTTGTTCAGTTGTCGAGGAGATCACATCTCGAAGGCCGTGCCATTTTCAGCTTCACCTCACATTCATGCCGTCTGAGAGTCAACAGCTCCGTGCGAAGTACGCCATGAGTGTTCGGTTCCCGTCATCTAAGAAGGAATTGATTGGGTCGTTGCCGCAAAATTGCGAAGGACCTCTCGTCCAGCTCGCCATTTCATCCTCTGCTCTCGGTGATGAGGCCAATGGAGGGCTGCTCGAGGCTGTCTCCCAACTCTACCATCGTAGCATCGTAAACCCTCGCAATCTGCAAGTTGAAATCGTTGTCCTCCTCATCGTCGAGGCCATCATTCTCAGCATTCTCCAACACCAATTCGCCATCAGTATCCGTGTCCATGCGATCAGCCTCCCTTTCTTCCTCCTCTTCAGGCTCATCGTACTCAAACTCGCCTTGTTTGAAAGCCTCCACGACGTGAACTCTCGTCCTCTCCACTAGACTCCTAACCCTTACCTTCTCCGTCCCGCTCACGCCCCTCTCTCCAACAAATCCCGGCAGCCGTTCGCCAGTATCAACATCTCTCCCTTGCAACAGACTTGCAAATGCATGGTCCAACTTCCCCAGTGTCCTAAACAAGCTTTTCGGCGTAGGTGGCATCGCCTGTATGATGTTCCCCATCATCAAAGCCAAGCTGATCAAATACGGTACCTGCAGACTTGGTGTCCCACTGATCCAAATGACATTCAATAACTCTTCTACTGCTTTGCAAGCCTCTTTCATGGACGCGTAGCCTTTGACGTCTCCCCATGAATCTGCTTTGTCGCGATCAATGTCGGAGAGCTGGTTGGTCTGAGGGGACGTGCGTTTCGCGAATCGTCGCTGAATGTGAAGCATTTGTTGGTCGACATAGCGAATGAAGGCGCTCTCTTTTGAGCCGCCGGGCCGGAGAGGGGAGCCTCTAGGATGTGGAAGACGGGTGTTGATGTTGGAGGAGACCGTGGACGACGCTGGTGGTGATAGCATGAAGCCACCTGCGTGGCTGTCCATGTTCACGATTGTCGCGTCGTTGCGTCGATGGGATGAAGTATTTCAGCGTCAGTACGTGGCATAGTAGTCCGGCATGGCACTATTGCTGGAGACAATGCGAGCAGGACTGTAAAGGTCAGCAGCATGTAAAGAGCACTAATGTAAAAAACGGCTGTCTGTGATAGCTTCGATCTCGTAGCTGAGGTGGAGCGAAGTCGAGTCGAATTGATGACGACACGCGTCAATTTTGACTCGGTATGAATTTGTACCTGCCCGCACATGCCTTTCTTCCAGCACTTTCTGATGCGAACATTGGGGTATCTCGAAGCAATCATATCGTCGTATTCGTCGTAGGTAGGCCATTTGATCATCAAAGCCACGAGACTGACTGAAGCGGTCTTCGTCAAGTCCACTTCTGCAGTTGTTTGTCGTAGCCGATCACGCTCAAGTCTATGTTGAGTGATCGTAGCATCATATCCATCGTGAAGGTCTGCAGAAATTCAGCATGGGAAACAGCCCTGTGTGGAATAAATACTCACATCGTCGTCCTTGCCAGGCTCCTGCCAGACTTCGTTCTTGATGCTGGCTGGCTGTCTTGGTTCGTCCGGCTCATCCATCGCTTCCATTGCCTCTTGCCGTGCTTTTCGCTTGAGCTTCTTGCGGTATTCTTGCTCGTCTTCAGGCAGTTCTTCGCCCTGCGAGTCGAATTCGCAATCTGCGTCGTCATTTACCACTTCGGGCTCGGCGAAATCTCCAAGACCATGTGAACGGTCATGCTTCTTCTTCTCCATCTCTCGCCAAGCAGCAACGCCGCCCATGCGGCAGACTCTCTCTTTGACGGTGCCGAACAATTCCTCTGCTGCATACTGTGATGCCAGGCGCCATTTTTCTCGCAACTCCTCCAAATCAGCATCCGTTGTGGAATTTGAGAGCGTCTCTGCCTGCTTGAGAATGTCAAGCTCGTTTTGTACTCGTCGTATCTGTAGTTCGAGCGCCGAGTTCGCCTTCTGTAATGTGCGTTCTTCAGGATCGGCGTTTTTGCTTCGAGACGTCTGGGGCAGGATCGTGCGCCTTTGAGGCGTTGTGAATGTCGTCCTTTTCACGAACGATGGTGGTGCAGGCTCCGTGGGCAACACAGGAAGTGACAACTGGACCGTGTGCGCAAGAGTGCTCGGAGTGTATGTGGTCACGGCACCAACGGTCTTGTTCACGTTGTTCACGAGCGGAGAGTTCGTCGGCGGCTGATCAGGCTTCCTAGACCTCATTGGCGAGACGAACGGTTTTCTGAGCTTTTCGGCAGCATCGTTGAGCTTGCGTCGCTTCAATGGAAGTGGCGACGACATGTTTGTGGCATTTTGCTGAGGAGGTTGATGTCCAAGGCGATGTGGTTTGATGGAGCACGCGTTTGGGAGACGCGTTTAGGGCTTGGCATCGTCACTTTTCTCACGCTTCCACTTTCCGATGTCTACATGTACACAATTTCAGGCCCGCATCAGTACCATCCTGGTGACAGTTACACCGGAGATGATCTTCTCGTATGAGCTTGCTTGACTACTCAATTGAATGTTGCAGATTGAGTCTTGCACCGGACTGATTTGACTCAATGCCCATCCCAATACCTTCACACAAATATTCTTGACGATACCAAAAGCAACGATGCTGATGTCAGATGCGCTCTACCTAGCAATCTGACCAAGATACTGCAGAAAGATCATGTCAGCATTCGTTCCCTCCTTTTGGGCATTGGCTACGAAGACACACCTGAACCCGGAAGCTCCCTTGCGTCAAAGCTTCTCCATGATATTCATTTTCCACCAGCGGTGCACACGCTTCTAGCATCGTGGGCTCATCGCTACCAGCCACTCCAGCGCAGCCGCGTGCCATGCCTTGAACACAATACTAGATCATATCAGCGATTTCGCCATTTTCACAACTTCTGGCTATTGCCATACCAGAAACGGGATCCAGTAGAGCAGCGCATTCTGGCCGACTGGCAGGACAGCCACAAAATACTCGCAGCTGGGAATGGCTTTGAAGTAGTTTGGCTGAGCATCTCGAAGAAGTCGTCGTACTCGGAGGTGACTGCTAAAGTACCATTGATGGTTCGATTACTAGTCGTCAAAGTGTCTCCGATGAGGAAGTCAAGTCCACAAACTACTTCACTGCCCCCGCCAGCACCACAAGAGCTGGGACCACTGATTGGAACTTCTTGTCCGGCCAAAATACTGCTCGATATTTGTTCAAATTCGCACCCTTCCGACTGTCGCCGATGCAAGCCGGTGGAAGACATCGCTTGTGAATCAAAATGGTCTGCAGAGACCGGAAGCCAGAATATGGTTAGAAGTAGAAGTCCAAGCAGTACATTCGAGGTTCTTGGAGGCTGGATGTGTCAGGCTGCTGAAGTCGATGTCGCCGTTGCGTTAATTGTCAGTCTGGTCCCGTACTGACAGAAAGCATCTGTTGCTCGCTGCTGCCCATTGGACTGGTCAGTATCTTCGTTGGTCGTCTGATTGCCAGTTCCAGAAATGCAAGACCCAAAGCTCGCCGCTGCGGATGCATTGAGCACGGGATATTCGCAGTACAAAAAGCATCCCAGATGCTCCTGTACTTCTGATTCAGGTGGGCAGCAAGCCTCGAGAGCCGTCCTGTTCGTGGCCCGAAACCCGCAAGCTCCATTGGTGCCGGTGGGAAGAATAGGGTTGCCAGGAAAGTCTTCGCAGTTCAAAGAATCTAGAGAAACTTGGACATTGCCATCATTCCTGGTCAGCTCGTAGGTTGCCATAGAAGCCATGCTTTCCTTGCGTCCAAGTCGACGAAGGGCTCGATGATATCGAGCATCTTCCTCAGCTCAAGGTCGACCAGTATCACCGACCTGGTTAAGCCGGATAACTTCTTGGAGCCAAGAGTATCTATGTCTCGCGTGCGCCGCGGACTTTGCTCAATTGAGCAACGACCACAGTATGCAGTATGGCGGCACAGTCTTCGTTTGAGCGGATGGGGGATCGATCGACAGTCGAGGTCTTTTCCTGACTCTTGCCAAGGCCCATTTTGCTCATCGGAGGTCTTGACCAATTTATTGCGAAACCAATATGGACAATGCGATGTCTGCATACATGTAGTGGAGCGCTTGGCGCGTCACTATGATGTCGATGTACATGTAGCAGCTTGGACGTGTCAAGTAATGAATTGCACAGTTTACACCAGAGATGTAGTCAAAAGGTGTCACTCGACAAGATCTTGCACACTCATGATGTGACCGGGAATTATTTGAAGGAGGGCTTTCCTGTGTCTCTTCCACAAATGTTGAAACTTTAAGTGATCCTTGCCGGGAAGCTGCGGGATGCAGCTGGGGTAAACAAACCGATGTCATCAGGACGACTCTCGACAAGCGAAGTTGTACACTAGATGACAATTGCTGGCGACGCGTGTGCGCATCGTGCGAAATGACCTGGACATGGGCATCATCCTATCCACGACACGATATGCGCCGTTCGCTTTCATCTCCGGAATAATTGGGATCGTGTCGTTCGTCTTCACCTTGACAACATGGCTGAAAGTGCTATGGACCAATTTCGAGACCATGGGGCAGGCGCCCCATGAAGTCCATGCCTACCTGACGAACATACGAACAGAACTTCTCGAGGAAAGAGCTAGCATTCGCATCATGCGAAAGCAATGTAAGAAGTATTACAAACAAGTGAGGCAGAATGGCGGGGATACTTTAGCCGGACTGGAGCTGGACGATGCGACTTTGAAGACAATGGGCGATACTGTCAAGTATCTGATGCGTCAGTTTCAGGATATTGAGCAACCTTTCCTCGAACCTGGCAGCGACGGGATCGCGAATTTCGAGAAGCACGAACGGCAGCGAAGGCGAAGGAAAAACAGCTCCATTAGTCCTTACTACGAGCATTCGGCATACGCATCACCTACAACCAAAAAAGTCGATAGAGCAAGGTCTAGAACAGGCAGCAGGGGAAGGCGTAGAGCTCAGCAGCAAGAGGATGAAGAGGATGATGCGGAAACTTACTGGGCGCAGAGGACACAATACCGCAAATTTGGCTTCGCATGCAGGTTCGCCTGGCTTAAGAAGAAGTCACAAGCTCAGGACCTGTTTGCAACTCTGAGCAGAGTACAAATCAGGCGGATAGCAAGACAGGTTGGCGATTTGAGCATGCTTGTTCATCAGTATGGAGGCGCGACTGCGAGGACGGAGGAGATGCTGATGAGGATCGAGGACAGATTGTCCAATATTGTTGGCGTTCGCAGGATTGAGTGAAGTGAGACTTTTCTCACGCTCTCATCACACCTGGTCCACGACCTGGCGCAAGCGTTTCTCGCCACGATGACCACTAAATACATGCTTCCTTCTCGGGACTTGGACTGCAACGGGTACTCTACACACAGCACGAGTTCGTCATTAGCGACATGTTCTCGCCCCGAAGCAAGTCCGTGTAACCGTCCGAAATACATATCTCGGAAGACCAGTGCCGCTCGGCAGCAGAAGCAGCCATTCATTCATCACGAAGAGAACCGCCAGCTTTGCCATATGAAAGCAGGCAAACAACATTTCGATTCTCACCATAATTCGATAAAGCCCTTACTTTTCGCCCCTTAGACATTCGCTCATGGTGCTGTCATCATCTATACATTCGATATCAGCAGCATGATTCAAGCTTGAAATATCGCAAGATCATTGTAGACCAGGGGCGCCATGGTTTGCTGGCTTTCTGAAGAGCCAAAAGAGTATGAAATCAGTCCGTTATGCTTTGATCGCAAAAAGAATCATCGAAGTCTGCACAAACAAGTACAAGACTCGAACCGGCAAAAAATTGTGTCGCTTCTGTGGATCGAACTGTTGCGTTGTTAGAACTAATCGCATGAGGTGATATTGATGATGACTACTTACCACAGTACCTCCAGATACCGCACAGAATGCTGATGACTGTAGTGAAACTTCAGTCTGGCGCTCTCCCAAGTGAGCTAAAGCGACGCCTTTGATTGGATAACGTGATTTTGTTGTCGCATATGAGGACTCAATTTGTTTCGATGCCAGCTGAGAAGCTGCGACAGTACTCATGCTGCACTCCATGGACATCTGACCATACGATGCTTCATAGGCTCTGAGCATACAAAACAAGCAGAATTGTCGCTGCTGCTGGCCAGCGGTTCAAGAAGTGCGGACTTCGAAATTACCGTGCGAGATGTGTTCTCACAACTCACGTTGGGCACGATCCTGCCTTCCAATTTGGTCGGGCTGAGCCGCCACTAGTACATGGCCTCTCAAACGAGAACTCTGTCAACTTTTCTAGACTCTGTCAACTTTTCTAGACTCTGTCAACTTTCCAACTCTGTCCATCTTTCCCACGTCTGCACGCATCGCACGCATCGCAACAAGTTTTCAAGCAGCTTCACTGGAGGATCTATCGTCCTCCGACTTACCAAGCACCTCTGCCTCACAGACCTTGCAGCTCGACCGCTTGATCTGCTCATTGCGACGTGCTTCTCCAAACAGTGTAATCAAACCAAATGTACGAAGTAGCCACATGCTGAAGAATTGACTGGTATTATGGCACTGGCATACTGTACTATTGGACTTTTGCTGCTGTCGCTGATTTGCACACATCGTAAAGATTCGCATCACTCATCCACACAACATCTAGATTATCAATCGCCGCGAGGCAAACTCTTCTGACAATGAATCTCGACCGTCAATAGCAGCCGTTACCAGCCCGCAATTGGCTGTCCCTGCTTTATACCAGCACGAGTGGAGGCCTGGGGAAAGTACTGAGGAAACGCCTGCCGAAGCCGCGCCTGCTCCTCGTGCATTCTCAGCAACACCGGATCATTGGATGGCTCAGGCGACATC